TTCTCATTCTCATTCTCATTCTCATTCTCATTCTCATTCTCATTCTCATTCTCATTCTCATTCTCATTCTCATTCTCATTCTCATTCTCATTCTCGCTTTCATTTCTGAGCGTGATAGTGAGGCTGAAAACCCGTGGATTCATTTAGGTGGAGGATCACTATCTCTACGACAGCACGAGCTTATCCGTTGTCAAAATCACAAACGCTGATGAACAATGCAAAAATGCCCGTCTAATGGCTCCGTCACGACTTTTTCCAAACCACCCACGAAACGCCCCTTCTGGCGACTCCCTTGTGCTGAGAGAACCATTTATAGCCCATCCAGGAGATCTTGAATGCCACTCCCCAGAGAACTACTGCAAAAAGAAATCCCCACCAGCTCCCAGAGCTTTCTCGTGGAGCAACGTCCGAGTATCCCAAGATCTCGCCCTCTCGATCCAACGCCCCCACGCGGAATCGAGAATATTGGGATAGTTGTGATAGATCAAAGCTCTCTTCGTAGAACTCCTTATCAATGAAATCGAGATCACTCCATTCCTCTTCATGTTCTCCTGTGCCACCTCCCTGCAACACCCATGCTTCTACCTCGGTCGCTCCATTCCAACTCACATAAAGCATCTCGTCCAGGATCTTCGCCGCAGGCGGCTCTCGAGGCTTGCCAACCCAGTTGGCTGATCTGAAAGCCCGGTACGAAACTGCCGTATCGAAAACGTGAAGCCACTGCGCGCCGTAATGGACCTCGCATAGCAGGGTTCCGTCCAAGGAAAACTCACTCAACACCGGCGAGTGGCCAAAGCCCACGAACATGTGTTTGCTGTCGGGAAGGTATTGTGCCGACCCTTGCGAAGGAGTCCGTGTCCGGTACTGAGAGACATAAGAATGCAGCAGGGTAACAGTCCGGTTGGCTATATCCAGTTGGAGCATGAGGGCGCGACTGTATGGGCCATCGACGTGCAAAGGACCACCTTCCTTGTTGTCGAAAAGCGTTATGATACCTTCTTCTTCGTTGAGCCAGCGGGCATCGTGCTGCCACCTGAAGTTGAGAGCGTCGCCCCCCGAAAGGTCCGTGAACTGATTACGTTGGCCGCCAAGAATCCACATGATCTGGCCGTCTGGGCCGATGCAGGTGACCGAATGAGTATGGCGCGAAGAGATGAGATAGTTGCCCTTGGAGTCTTTGTCGACGCTGTTGATGTGAAAGAAATCGAAAGGAATGCTTTTGATGTATCCGCCGAATGGGTGGGTCATAAAGGTCTCGTTGACTTGGAAATGGTCTGATGCTTTCCACTCGAAAAGCAGCTCGCCGGTCGCAATGTCCACTTCCTGGAAACCACTGTCGGTGAGCCATCCGTTCTTGAACTTGCCCAGCGAAGACAGGTCCGCCGGGGTGACATTATAGAACGTCAACAGTGCAGTGTTGTCTTTGGTGATTTCAAACTCGTGCAGGTCGCCTTCGATCTCGCTTCCCTGCGCCGCTGCTGAAACCGTGTGTTTGGTCTCGTACGAGCTGTCCAGCTAGTCCTTGGTTAATTGAAGAACAGCTCGAAATACATGCAAACTCACCATATAATAGACGCCTTTGCCCATCGTCCCTCCCTTCCTTCCAGACCAGAATGTCAAGTACTGCTGACCCATATAAGTCTGCACTTTCAGGTTCGTCGTCACAGCATAATTCTGTCCTTTCCAAACCAATTCACTGTTGCTGTCCAATATCGCAGGACCGGGATCGGGCATTGAACCTCCATTGTAATTAAGGAAGGTATATCCCTTATCGCAATCTGGGTCATATTTGGTTATGCTCGTCCGCGGCGAACTCAACCCGTTTGATATATACGTCTGCGAAGGCGAACCACCATAGAAGCCCAAATCATACAAGGTCGGATTCAATGTCGGAGATAACCAGATAAGGAGTGGAATCGCAGCATATGAAATGGTCAGATACAGGGTAAAGGCACCGGCGACGACAACGACAGCCCAGAGGAGAAGCCGAAGGGCAAATGGCTTCATCTCGAAGCGCCGACGCCCCATGGGAAGCATTGGAGCAGGGGCAAAGCAGCATTGTAGCTGTCCTTCACGCACAATGGGAGGCCAACGCGTACTATATGTAAAAAGAAATACAGGCGTTTCATGGCGAACGGGGGATAAAGAGGACTAGCGGCCATACCAAGCGATGGTGTGTGTGTGTTGACCAACCACGATGCCTGCCACGCTATTGACGACATACTCAGTTCAGCACCGGAGAGGGTCGACCAAAATGGCAGTTGATTCATCGGCGGTTGATTTTGAGACTCTGGGCAATAGTCCGCGTAATTTCGGGGGGGGTGCGTTTGGCGGGCAATCGAGCTGGGAAGGGGGGAGATTTTCCCTGTTCAACAACGATGGACAGGTTAGCAGGTAGCATGTGGATAAAGATCCCGCCGCAAAGGAGGCTTAGCAGACGCAATGAAACGGGATCCTATCAAGACGGCATGAGATGCGACAAGAAGAAAAGGTGGGGATGGGTAGCGGGTGCCAATGCTGGAGGTGATGCTCATGTCTGCTTGTCCGCTTGGATCGGGGGTCTTGGTGTCTTGATGGTGGCATCGGCGGTCTTGAATGTCGTTGATGGCTTGCCCTGAACCGCGTCCCTTGTGGTACAGCGCCACCAGGACCTTGCAAGATGGAGCAGCTAGAGCATGACCTGGTCAGAGGCTCCGATCTTGTCATGGACTTGGACACACGCCGGGTCGCTCTCCGGGGGGGTTGTGAGTTTCGCTCCCAGCCTCAGGCCCGCTCGCAAAAACTGCCCAGACAAGCATGGTTTGCGACGAAAGCGGCAGTGTGGAATACCGCTGGGTACACGCAGGGAGTCGAGGCGGAAAGAATAGGGCTAACGTGAAGCCCAAGTGCAAGTGAGAGGTGAGAGGCAGAGTGAGAGAGGAACAAGCAAAGAGGCCCAAGAGATGCCGTTCAAGCCGGATCAACCTGCGCAGGTGGCGCCCACCAACCCACCCGGTAATTATCCGTCTCGCCGTCTATCCTTTATCACTGCAACTGCGCACCGGCACCTCGAAGACTTGGGCACATACCAACTGCCACCAACGGCGCCATCAGCACCATCTGCAACCTTCACTCCTCCTCGCCAGAACCGACTTGGGACCCCCCCTGCCAAAGTTCGAATAGACACTCGGAAATCGGCCACGAGCCCCGTTCCTCAGTGATTGATCGACACTCTAGCATGACGATGGGTGGCCATTATCAGTCGTGCACCCACGCTTGACAGATACAGACTGGTACAGCAGAACCAATTGATGGGATACTCCGAAAGGTACAAGTACAGCTGATCAAACCCAATCCCAGTCCTCGCTCCCCAATCATTTCAGTAACAACCAGGTACAGGACCACAACCGAACACCAACTATCCACCTTACCCACACCCACGTGCGTCCTTCACTCTCCTGTATCCGCTACTTTGCAGCCACCCAGCGTGCCAGCGTTCATCTTTGCCGAGCCAAGACTTTAGCTCGAGGTGCTCATCGTTACCAGCAACAGCGACACCCGGCCTCCAGGGTCCGGCGAAAGACTCCGTCCTCCCAAGAAGGACAAGAGCAGAGATTTGACTGACTCGTACCGAGGACGCCATCTCGGCATGACCTCTCCGTGGCACGCCCACATGCTCCCCGTTCCCCAAACCGGTCTTGTCGTGGCTGCCTCCGTCGAATCATCCTATGACAGTTCCATCGTCATGTGGCCTCGCGAAAGCTTAGCAAAAGGCCCCTTGTCTGTGTTTCTCGAGAATTGCTGTTCCCTTCTTCTGATCCCTAGATACGGCAGATAATGGCCCGGGTGAACGACAATGAAGAGCATCACCACGAGGAACATCAGCGCCGAATCAAACGCATAGAAGAACCACTCGTGGTCGATGAGATAATTCGTCGTGCCTAAGGCGAATTCAATGAAGCGAAGCAGTGTTCGAATCAGAATCAATATGTTGGCCACGTTGATCACCGTCAAGAACAACTGCCAGTTGCGCTCCTTGGGGAGTGAAACGTCTCGAAGCGTGGTCCTCAGCAGGACATTGAGTCGCAGGGTGGCGAAGACGAAAAAGCCAAACGATGCCAATTGTAAACCCAGTCCAACCAGCACCACATCTTTCCCTGTGTTTGCGTGCGACTTTGTGTTTGCTCCGGCCACCATGGCGCCTCCAATGACCTGGACAAAGAAGCTGAAGACATCAGATCCTACAAAGACCGGAGTGATTCTGCGCGCAGGTACCCAGAGATGGCGAGCTGACTGAAAGCGTGGAGGGACCACCCACATTACGACCCGGCCGAATGACTGGTAACAAGCGGCCGCCATCACGGCTGGCGCGACAAGAACTGATACGGTTGTTAGCGAAAGAGTGGAGTAAGGAAAAATGGGTTTCTAGTCCCCTGGCAAGGCTGGTATACAATGTTTCTTTTCGAGGAGACTTACTCATAACAGTCTGCACGATGAAGACGCTCTTGCTGTCGAGATTCTTGATGGAAATGGCCCGTGTCAAATAGCCAACGAACTCCACTATGTCAAGGTCAGTACATTCTTGCAGCAGCCTGTGGAGGGTATGATGGCAGACTCACTGGCGACCGCAAAGTTCATCGACCACCAAAACCAAGACCGGTGCCAGAACATCATGCCCAGGTTTATGAGCAATGCGACGCCGTACAACACGAGAAAGACGACCGCCGCGGCGAATGATGGGACATAGTCGTACCGGCCTTCCTTTGCGAATTCTTGGGGAGACTTGTCACCGGGCTCACTGCCATTGACAGATCGAGAAGCAAGCAGGAGAATGTGCGGGATAGATTGCCCCAAGGCATCCATGATGCCGGACGTGAAGACTGCGTCTCAACTAGCAGATCACGAGCAACGCAGGCACCTCGATTGAGCGACGAAAGACCTGAAGAGCCAAAATTCTCAGAGTTGCGGAGCAGAATAACCAGAGATGGATTGCAAGTTATCGGTAAGAAATATTCCTGATCGGCCGGTTCCTCAATGTCTTATTATACTGGCCGATTTTGGTCCAGCCCAGGGTGGTGGATAGGTAGGAAGATGCATGACCCGCTGGGATTCATATGCGCCAACTTGAACTCTTTTTGAAAGGACGTATTCGGTACGTGCGCCAGTCCCGACGCAAAGACTTTTGCAGGCCCATTCGGTTCGGACCCTGTGTAGGGTTGAACAAAGACGATCACCCCTGAGTGGGTTGTTTCAGGGCGCCGATAACATTGCTGTCCTTTAAGCGAGCAGCATCAGGCAGCAGGCATTCTTGAAATCATTCGAAAATTGGCTGACAGTTGCAAGTTCGCAACCCCTTCCGCAACCGGTTTAGCGAGAGCTTGAGGAGGACTCAATCTGGAGACTCCATTGGGGCGGTGCTTCTAGGCGAAGTTTTTTTGCCCATGGTAAAATCCCAACAGACACGCAGAACCTGAGACTTCAACCTTATGGGAAAGATCCAGCGCCCGGATGTCACCACGGAGCCGATGTCCCTGGCAATCGTCCGGCCTTTTATCGACCCTCGCACAGCCCTAATCACGTGGCAGGCTGAACATCATGCTTATCAGCGGGCGTGCATATACCCGAGAAGGAAATCCATCAGACGAGCTTACATGGCGATTCAGCCTCTTCGGGCCCATCTCGATGGATGTCCTGTGTTTGTCGGGGCTGTATCAGGTCCCACTCGGCATGACTGGATTTGCTGTGGCTTCTGGAAAAGGGGGTAATGTGTGATACTGGATTTTATGCTTGCAGCACAACACCCCCCCACCACCGCCCGCTCGCCAATCAACTAGACCATTTGCTTTATGCAGCCTCCTTCGGACCTTCATTTATATCCGCCGCTTTGTCTTTAACAGCGTTCTGGTTCTGGCCTTTTGCTCTCAGTTTCGCTTCCTTCTTCAACTGGCGCTGGCTCTTGGGCGCTTGCGATATGATCTTGACATGTTTCGACCACTTCTCCTGCGCCAACGCCTCGTCTTCTTCGGTCCACGCTCTGGGGAGCACTGCAAAGACGAGATACGAAGTGTGCGTTTTCACTTCGGCCTCTGTCCTGTGCACGAGCCTGCCTTCGTTGAATGGTAGTTTTCCTGCCTCGCTTTGCTGTTGCTGATCATTGACTTTTGCGCTCCCCTTGTTTTCATCCAAGTTTTTTCCCGCGTGGAAATCCTTCAACCGTTGTTCTACCTCTCTCAGTCTTGAAACCGCCTCTTCAACATCCGCTGCAAATGCATTGGTTCCACGCATGCCATTGTACTGCAGTCCAGTGTATTCTCGTCGAACGTCAATGCGCTTGTGCTGCACTTCCACCATCTCAATCTCTATCCAGTCATACCTCCGAAGTGCGGAGATTGTTTTTTGCGCCTGCTCGATACAAGGGCTAAACGTGCATATATGGACAGGCGAGTGAGGGTCGAGAACGCTTGGTGTGCCTGGATGCGACGACTCGCGCGTCAAATGCGGGAGAGCTTCCCATGGACAAGGCAGGTCCAAGAAGATGGCACTCGCGCAGGGAGAGGTCTTGTCTTTGGAGGGAGTGTCATCAGAATCATAGACCAGAAAGCCATCCTTGTAGACGTCTCGATGCATGGCGTGCACGATGGTGTCTAGTCCGTGCTGAAACATTTCCGCCTTGACCTTGTCGTGCCTCTCACGGTGGAATTCATAGCTGAAGACTCGTCCAATCCCATGGCTCTTTCCATCTTCCTCACTCATGCCGTCTCCCGTGGCCGCTGCATTCCCCTCCTTCTCCCCTTGGACTGCTTCATGGAGGTGGCTGTCTCTGCCCTTCTCCTCGTCGGCATTTTTACGAGAATCCCGCTCTCCCTCGGGGTACCCGTTGAAGACACCTCTCGCGGCCGCATGCGTGAAACTCCCGCTCCCACTGCCCGCCTCAATCAGCCTGCTGCCAGGCCTCGCTCGAATGCGGTGCAATATGTAGCTGTAGTCCGGCGTGTAGACGACCTGGGTCCGGTGTGGGAGACTCGTGGTCCAGTTCTCCGGCGTGGGCGGGAGGACATGGACGAAGCCCGATTCCGCCGCGACGGCCTCCTTGACTGCTCCCACTCCCGATCCTGCTGCGGCTCCGTCCCCGTCCTGCGGAGTCTCGACGCGCTCGCCTCCCCCCTCTCCCTCCCCTGCTGCTTTTCTTCGCCCGTCGTCATCTTCTCCCAGGAGCGCCTCGTCGGCCTTCCGCTTCTTTCCCCCGCCGCCGCCGCCACTCCCGGCATCTTTGCCCTTCTGCTTCTGCTTCTGCTTCTGCTTCTGCTTGGTCCGCCCCCGCGACCCCGTGTCGACTTTGCTGGCCCGAATCTGACTGCCCCAGGGCACGCCGATGATGGTCGAGTGCGGGAATGAGCCGAACCGCGTGTTGGTCACCACGCCCTCGGCGTACCCGTCGTCCACGTCCCGGGTCACCTGCGTCGCGAGCACGACGGGCAGCGCCTGGTCGCGGCGCAGGTGCAGCGAGGCCAGGTCATGTTCTTTGGCGAGCCGGGTCGGGGTTAGGAACGTGGAAACCATTTTGTTCCCTTCCTTTTTTTACCTTCTCTCTCTTTCGGTAACGGCAGGATCTGGTGGTTCGATACCAAGATGCTTTGTCTGGCCCGAAGATATGACCTCTATTTATTCTCTGTTATGTCGTGCGGGTTGATATTTTCCGGTTTCTTGTCATGGAGAATCGACCAGAGGGAAAGAAATCAGAACACACTTTCTGTTGCCCCCGGAGTTTTCGTCTATGCTAAAGGTGCTGCTCAGGATTGGAGTCGAAACTCCCTGGTGGCTTCGAGGCAGCAAATCTCTCTTAAGAATTGTGATTAGGCAAGAGGCCGCCAGCGAGGAAGCAGAGAGGAAGGATGAGAAGGAGAAGTTGAAATGTTCTGAAAAATTGATATCACGTGTCTGGAGGTGGTGGGTTTTCTTTGGGGTTCCTTATCTTATCGGCTGTGTGCAGCAAAACTCCTCTGAAACACAACAGCAGAGGCTTCCAACTTAGACGACCTTTGAAGGCATGTTGGGTCGTGTATGTCATTGATGGAATTATGCCAATGAGAGCTCGAGTGTTCTATCCTGGTGATATATATGAGACTCGTGGGATCTGCTTTTGCACCTCCATGATTCCCTCCTGCTAAGCCCCTACCGCGACCTCCTTAACAATCCGTTTCATCCTCATTTCTCATATATCCCAGGGCTTCACAGCGGCTTGACACGCGAGTCCAGCCTCCGGCAGCTCGCCGTGCGCGAAGAACCTTTTCAAGATCCCAAACGTGCACACGCTCGGATTCGTCGTGCCCGCGCAGTGGCCCGGCATGTCCTGCGTCAACACCACGCTGCCTTCATGCCGCTCCGCCATCTTGAACGCGTTGCGCACCGGCGTCACCGGATCCGCCGTGTTGCCGATGAACAGCAACGGGCTTCCGCGACGGTCGTAGTCGGAGAGGTTCGACTGGAACGGGCCCGTGAACCGGTTCTTGGCCCGCGGACGATTCGCCGCCGGCCAGTGGATGCAATGTAGCGTGATTTCCGCCCAGATCGATCCGACCAGCGGAGACTGCGACAGCAGGAGATCGAGGTACTTGGTAAAGTCTCCCTTTGATCGAAAGGTGATGTCGTCGCCGTCCCCGCAGAGGATCGAGACGGCGGATTCTAGTTGCCACGGATAGCTCGTGGGCAACGGAAGGTCCCTGCCCATGAAGGCATTCGCCTGCATAGCTATGTGGGCGGCATTTGGGAGTAGTGGTGCAAAGTCCCGGAATTGGGGAAACGGCCAGCTCTCCCACGCTGACATGGCGCTGTAGACATCTTGCTCCATCAGAGCTTTGAGAACCAAGGCCAAGAGCGGCCAGAGCTGGATGGGTTGATACAGGTGTATATGGATGATAGTTTTCATGTTGAAGTAAGTGAGGATGTAAGCATTGTCGTTTTGGACCAAGGGCAAGGGGTTGTTCTTGAGGCCGTTGAGGAAGTCCTCGACTTGCAATCGCATCTCTTCCGGCCCACTGATCCCGGGCTCCGAGAGAGCACACTTTGGGCCGGCCTCGAAACAGTACTCAAAGAACTTGGTCCACGTCTTGATGTTGTCCTGAAGATTACTCGTCCATCCCGTAGCGGCATAGTCATCTGCGTCGACCACACCGTCCAAGACCATGCGACCAATGCGGTGCGGGAACATCGAGGCAAACGTATTACCCAGATAAGTGCCATACGACAGCCCCCAGTAGTTGAGCAGCGGAGGGCCCTCGTTCGAAGCAGCAGAGACAAGCGGCTGTTGATTGTGGGCATGGCTGCCTTTCGTCTTCAACTCCCTCCGCCGATGTGCGTCAACTTGGTCAATGATTTCCGCCATATCATGGGCTACCAAGGCGGTACTCACGAACTGACGAATGGTGGAACCATCGGGAAATCTGCCTTTGCTCGTTTGTGCGCAAAGAAGGCCGAGGCTTTGATCAATGCCCCATTTGACGTCCAAGGCGTTGGGTTTTGATTCGAGGCTGCCAGCCCCTGCACCCAGGAGATTGAGTATGTCTCTCATTGTGTCGTCTTGGAAGCAGGCCAGACTGGGTGTCGAGAATTGGACGCCGCGGGGGTCGAAGGACAGGATCTCGAAATGCTTGTCGCCGTCCAGGACGTTTTGGATGCTCTTACCAGACCAAAGCAGAATGGCCACACCGGAACCGCTTGGGCCTCCGGGATTGATGACAACCGTGCCCCCAAAAGATTTGTCTCCGACGTCCACCACCGCAGGCAGCCTCGTGATTGCTAGAACGACCGAGCCGGGATTCGAGAGGTTGGACCAGTCAAGAGGCACCTCCAACCTGGCGCATTCAAAGACGCCATAACATTTGTGGTAGTGAAGCTCCCTTGAAGGAGGTATCTCGGTCCAATTGAAAGCGTCTGTGGTATTAACGCCAGCGGGATAGGGGTGTGTGAAGAACGCAGAACTGTAACCAACAAGCCCCGCGAGGAAGCATCCCAACAGCGTGCTAAACACTGCCTTCATCTTGCTTCAAGTTGCCCTCTGACGGCACGGTATTGACGGTAGAACTTCTTCGTTCGATTACCTGGAAATGAGGCGAAGCTGGTAAATAGGTCGATCGATCAACACATGAGAGGATGTTGAGCACGGGACGCCTCGAGCGCGAGAAGCTCCAACTACCGTTCGCAGGCAACAGCCATTAACTCAGGGACAACAGACTCCAAGATACACGGATGGCTCAAGCTAATCATGGGAATTGGAGGATATGGAGACGGAGAACCAGCTCGTAGCCCTGTCTCCTTCACCCGCATGATCGCGCTCGGTGCTGCGTTGTGGCCGGGTGGCTGCTGGGCAGTCCATCATGTGACTACTCACCTCAGCCTTGCACACGAGGCTGTCGATGCTCGCTTGAGTTTCCCGACGTGGCTGTCAGCAATCAACGTCAAAGGTCACCTCATACCACGGTCCTTGTTGACATCCCCGCCCTCGAGGCTTCTTTCCGCAAGGGTCACGGGTCCTCCATTGGACCATGGACAGCTACCGATGTGCTTCCTGCAACAAAGCATTCGGCAGGCTAGAACATCTGAAACGCCATGAGCAGAGTCACAAAGACCCAGGCTTCCGCTGCGACAAATGCTCCAAGTCCTTCCACCGGAAGGACGCCCTCAACAGACACGAGCTAACCCACCTGGCCGATGGACCAAGTCTTTTGCGACGAGGGGCAAGGGCTTGTTCGGCTTGCAGATTGGTGAAATCTCGCTGTTCCGGCAATCGCCCTTGTGCGAGATGCTATGCAAAAGGATCGCAATGCATCTATCCCATCAGCAGGGGTCAGTCCTCCGCAATCAGTGCAGCTGATCTCCGGGATGGAGGCGGGCATGGCAGCCATGGTCCCAATCCTTCGAGCTTGCCGCTTGCGCAGACAGGAATGCGAGATGAATCCAGCGACTTCCTCGCCTACCAGCCGCAACCTGGACTAGTAGCCAGTCCGTCGGCGGACACCCGAGGCGATCCGTATCCAGCAGACGCAGGAGCCGTGCTGCAGCCCTCTTCTTCCACCCAGTACAGCACATCTCAAAATCCTTTAGAAGAGAGTGCAACAACCTCTGCATTTGTTTGGCCCTCGAATTTGACCATCAACTGGCTCCAACCGGATGACATTAATTTCGATGGTGGAGAGTTCAATGATGTGTTTCCCATATTCCCAGCAGACTATTCTTTTTCACCAAGCATTAGCCTCGTGAGTCCTGCGCAAGAAAACAGCGTTGAGTTTCCGTCAAACCCGTCGGGTGCTGTCGCTCCACCATCGACAACTCCAGCGGCAAATGATGGGTTCGGAGGTCTTTACACTTCTCCGACTACGGATTCATCGACTCCGGCCGATAATCCCACCGTCGCAAGCGGGGAGTATTATGTTGACGGAGATGCTGGCAGACTCCCCAAGTCGAAACGGCGGAGAATCGTGCCTAGGCCTAGCAGCCTCAATGTTGTCGACGCGGCAGACTTCCTGCTACAGTATCCCTTGCCTATAGTGCCGTGCACAAACCCTAACTTACTTCTGTCACCTGAAATATATGGACACCTCTGTCTTCTCTATCAACGTCTGTGCTTGGAACCGACGGTGTTCAAAGCGTACCGGCCCTCGGAGTTCCCTCCAAAGCAAGCTTTGGAGGGCCTGCTAACTAATTTTTTCTCACACTTTGGGCAGACCCTGCCCTTCCTTCATGAACCAACGTTCACTTCCGCGTTGAGACATTGTGTTTTGCTTCTGCCCATGATGGCTCTGGGAAGTTGTTTTCTGACTGGAGAAAGTTCGGAGGTGTTTTCTCGATCCTTGCATGAATTCGTCAGGAGACTCCTGATCCTGGTTGAAGAAGATGATTCCTGGCGTCCACCGAGTCAAGAGAGCCTGGCGCAGGCGCAAATATTACATGCAGTCGGCGCCAAGTACGCTCTTAATGATCCTCTACGTGCGTTCACGTCACGGTCACTTTGCTCAGCCACTCAATATTGTCGGGACGGGTGGCTTCGGCAAGAACCTGCTCACCATCTTGATCCGCACGACAACAGCGTCTCATCACAATGGAAATCTTGGGTCAGAAAGGAAGAATCAATCCGGACCGGCTTGTGTATTTGGCTAATAGACTGTATGTGGGCGTTTCAGTTTCGGCACCCTCCGCATCTGCGCCTTGATGATGCTAGCGGGATGCGTCTACCTTGTCCTGATCGCCAATGGACAGCAGACATGGCGGAATGGAACCAGCTAAGAGCTGGTCTGGACCCTCCCACACCGACGCTCCGTGAAGCACTTCAGAATCTTTATATCGATAAGCGGCTGCTACCAGGTATGGGCGAGTTCAGCCACATCCTACTTATTCATGGCCTGTTCCACCGGACTTGGGAGGTAGAAGTGATGGTCACCCAGAGCATCTCGCATTTTGAACCTTCGGCGCAAAAGCAAGCCAGCGACGATCTACAGCCCAAGCTGCCAATTTGGCCTCCTGGCGTTCCTTTTTTCAGCAGATGGAGGAATGCGGCCTGCGACTGCTTGGATTTGCTGCATTGGAGTGCTAATGCAACCATCGGAGCTGCAAGCGGTATAGAGCACCCTACCGTCTTGCATCTCCACCTGGCACGAATTGTACTTTTAACACCCTTGAATGACATTGTTCTGTACTCTCACTACCTGATTCGGTCATCCGGCGAAGCGACCCGCCTTTTCCCCTCTGTGTCGTCCACAGAAGCTGAAGAGCATCGACAATTGATCCAGCGATGGGCAATTCAAGACCAGTACAAGGCCCGACTGGCCGCAATACATGCCGGGGTCGTCTTTTGGCATGTTCGACTCTACTCGATCAACGGGTTTTATGAATCAACCGCTGTCGCCCTTGCCGCACTCGTGTTCTGGGCTCTCAGCGCTTTTTCGCCCAAGAAACCGAAATTGAGAAAAGTGGGTGATGAAGAAGGCACCTCTCCTCCTTCATTAGACATTTGCGACATCATCCTCATTGACCGGCCCACTGATGACGAGCTTGTGCAGCAATTCGTCCGGCAGGGTCATGCCATGCGCGCCAACATGACCGGCGTCGGAGACCTTTTTGGGCCCAAAGGGGCCCGGAAAGTACTCGCCGAAGGACAGAAATTGTTGCTCACGCTGTCAAGCTGGAGGGGTATCACGGATTACTGGCTGAGAGTTCTCAACAGGCTAGAGAAGGTGACCGCAGCAGCGGGACTGGGAAGCCAACCTGCCGAGGTGGCGATTGCAGCAGTAGAATGACCATGTTTTTGTCACGGCTGCGGCGATGTCTACTATCCTCTCAGCACCATTCAACAGGTGGCCGAGCATTCTGGACCTCTATCTCTTCGCGCTAGGTCGCCCTTATATATGCCACCTTCTCAATCCAACCCTAGCATGCCCTCGACCACCACGGTTAGCTCTGAAGTAGTAGGGCACGAACTTCAACTCCTTAATGACCTTGTCATTAGCCCTTTCCACTCTTTGCAATTGGTGAACTTCAAGATCGGGATAGGCGTCAACGTCCTGCTCCTGGAGCAGACTGGCGCCCTCCTTCACCGTGAGCGCCACATAGGTCTCTCCTGTGCCATCGTCCGTCACGGTCTCTTCCTCCACCACGCACTCAGGATCGAGCTGCACACTCTTGAAATGATCCACGACCCAAGGATTGTCTCGATCTTCTACGCAATACACAATGGGGCCACGTATCAATGCGAGGGTGTCTTGATTGGTATATGGGTGCGGCGCGACAAGGCGAGGATGAAGATCAACTTCAAGGGTGAATGATGGATTTTCCGAGACCCAGGCTGCAGGCAGGACGAGGTAGCCTTTTTCTACACTCGAAGTGGGCGGCGATGGTGTAACCTGGGAACAATGTCAACCCTACGCCTCAACTCTCAGACTGACCGAGGACACGTGCTACTCACCTTCCACGATGTTGCCCATCCGGGTATCCGAAGTGCCAGACTGACCTGTGACGACTTTGTCTGCAGCTCGAATTCGACCTTCCAACTCCATGGCCAGTTGGTCCTTTGCGTCAAATTCGCCGTCTCATCGCCAGCCTGGAACTTGAGCTCACTGGGAATGTACAGATGGACATTGACCTGCGAAGATTGCTCGTTCTGTCCCGCTGCCTGAGTGTATATGTACCCACCAATCTGCCCGAGCAGCCTCAATACGTTTGGTGGACAGCAGGCACATGTGAACCATTCCTTTCTCTCCGACAGGTCGGTATCGCTGGATGCCAGCTGGTTGACGTACGTGAACTTCGTGCCGTCGTGCGACATGGCCGTCAAAACGCCGTTATAGAAGCAGCGTTCCATGACATCGCTAAATTGGTGATTGAGGTCGTACCGCAGGATCCGTTCCGCGAGCATCATGACGCCGATAGCAGCACAGGTCTCTGCGTAACAACCTCCTTCATCCGTGCCCTGGGGAAGGAAATAGTTCAGGCCAAACCCTTCCCATTGCTTCATTGCGCCAATCCCCCCCGTGGCGTACATCTTGCAACGAACCATGTTGTTCCAGAGTCGATAGACGGCCTCCTTGAACTGAGAGCCAGCAGGAGCCTCTTCCAGGCGGACCAGGTCTGCAACTGCGGTCAGCAGATACATGGCTCGCACCGAGTGGCCCTTGATAGTCTGCTGCTCCACAATCGGCTTATGGGCTTGGTAATACCACAAAGCGTTTGCGTCCCCCCAGTAGGCCATTCTGGTGTAAGGACCTTCGCCTCGCTGCTTTGCCTCGACCTCGTAGTAATGCCTGCCGTCTCTGGAGGTCCCTCTCTCGGTGAGGAAGTATCTTGCCAGTTCCAGATGTCGGCAATCCCGTGTGCGATGGTATAATCTCAGCAAAGCGAGTTCGATCTCCGGATGGCCGGGGTACCCATGGATCTGGCCTTCACCGGGGCCGAAGGTGCGATAGAGGAGATCGACATACTTGAGAATCGGCTCCAGAAGATCGGTGTTCTTATAGAGGTCGTGGTGGGCCAGAGCTGCCTCGATCAGATGTCCTGCATTATAAAGTTCGTGGAAGTCCCGCAGATTAGTAAATCGCTTGCCAGGTTCGACCACAGTGTAATGAATGTTGAGGTATCCGTCCGCGAGCTGAGCAGATCTGATCATTTGGACGAGCTCAGCCACTGCTGCTGAGATCTCGGGATCCGGATGGTCGCGGAGAAAATAGCACGCCCCTTCGATCCATTTGGCCACGTCAGAGTCCCTGGATGCAACAAATATCCCAGTCAGTCCCTTTGTGTGGCTTCTCTAACATTTTGACAGTCGGGGCAACGTACCAGAATAGGTGGTTCGGAATAGGCCAGACGTTAGGAGGGTCCGAGTACGAAGGGTGCCACTGCAGCTTGAACGCGTCGTATCGGCCGGTCTGCTTCAACACCTTCAGCTGGTACGTGAGCGTGGCCGACGAGGCAACTTGTCGTTTCCGGGCAATCAGAGATCCCGGGAGCAAGGTCGACTGCGCGAATGTCTCTTGAGGGTATGCCATTTGGGTCGTGTACCCTCGGGAAGCAATGCTCTCTAAACTTGAAACGAGGCCTTCAGCGCTTGAAGGGGGACGCTGAAGAATCCTGAAAAAAAAGAAAAGGGAGCACAAAAGGGAATAATGTGATGTGAATATTCCCGCGTGCAATAGGGCAAGGGGGAGCAGCAGAGAATAGCCTAGTTTCCTAGTTCGCCGGGGAACGACTTGCATTCTTGTCCATCCTCCGGTGGGATAAGGCCAATAGTTGAACCGCTCGTTAGCACCGGGGAGAACCAGTCCTGCCACTCCATCTCCTTCCCTTTGAGGAAACAAGAATCATCTGCCGACGACTGAAGTATTTCCGGCGACGACGGTCAAAGCAGACGTGAAGGACCCGCATGCCTCACGCCGGCTGTTACAAGCGATGAGGCGTGTCGGGGCTTTCTGGCTCAATGTGGGAAAACGGGCAAGCGGCGGTATCGGGATACACGACCGGTGTCGCGGCGGTGTGATCGGCGACAGCGTCGGCACCCACCACAAGACCGAGGCTTTGGACGCACGAGGCGTCGATACTGACCACGCGGCACGCAGGCTAGCAAACCATCTCACCCCGTTTTGCTCAGAAAGCAGCGCCTTGAAAGTGTTAAAGTCCTGCATTTGAGGCCGAAATTTGGACCAAAACGGATATGTGATGACCGGAGCGCTGCACTTCCTGTAGGATTCGGTGCAATACCAGAGTATCCTTGCAGATCAAGGCACGAGGACGAAAGTGACCACCTTGCCACAGGGTGTGAGATCCTGTTGTTCGCCAGATGACCACACACTCAACACGCACACACTGGAATATATCCTGATCAGGTCACCTCCCCTTTTCCTAGTTAGTTCAGTATACATGCGGTTGCGGTTGCGGGCAATGCTGCTATTGGTCACTAGGCACTTGCCAGTGTGCTAAGATGCAAGGTTGACCCACCGGCGGTGGGGGAGGGTCTTCGCTCACACTCGCCGGTGGGAGCATGAACGGGGTCCAGCTGCCCCATGGGGACTCCACGAGTCTTGCACATACGGGGTTCGGCCTGCGGGCAGCTTTGCGTACGAGGTATTTTAGATGGAAACCCCTTCCATGTGCCTGACTTCAACGATCTTCACGTCCTTGGTCCCCAGAGTGACTCCTTTTGTAACAGGCCCATCATGGAGGAAAGCAAAGTTGTTCCAACTCACCTCGAGCAGCAGAGCATCGATCTCTCTGACGCCGACACTCTCGACCTGATCCGCCACGCTCAGGAGAGCGATGCCGCTGACAGGCTGTTGACCGTCCGACAGGCGCTGAAAAAGTACAAGAAGGCCGTCTTCTGGGCCATGTTCCTCTCCACCAGTCTGGTCATGGAAGGATACGACTTGGTCATCGTAAGCAGTTACCTGCCTGTTTTCCAGCCCTAGTTCCAACAAGGGGGACGAATATTCTGACTTTCTCTGGCCTGAGCAGATCACTTCATTCTACGGGCAAACACAGTTTCAAAACCGTTTCGGCGTGCTGGATCCAGCGACCGGCAAAAAGGCCATCCCAGCGAGCTGGCAGTCGGGCTTGTCCAACTCGGCCCTCGTCGGCCAGCTGGCAGGCCTTTTGATCAACGCCTACACCCAGGACCGGTTCGGCTGCCGCCCGACCATGATGGTCTTCATGGTCTGGATGGCCTGTGTCCTCTTCATCCCCATCTTTGCCCCGTCGCTGTCGGTCCTGGCCTTTGGCGAGTCCATGTGCGGCATCCCATGGGGTGTCTTCCAGGTAAAACTCTGGCTCGCAGCACTGGTTGATTGATTGTCAAGCTAATTGTTTCCCCCGACCAGACTCTTTCGACGACCTACGCCTCTGAAGTCGTCCCCACGGTCCTCCGACCATATGTGACCGCGTATGTCTGCATGTGCTGGGGCGCTGGGATTCTCCTCTCGTCGGGCGTCGTTCGAGCCGTTGCCGGGATTGACGGCAACCTGGGCTGGAGGTTACCCTTCGCGCTGCAATTCGTCTGGCCTCTTCCTCTCTTCATCGGCGCCTACTTCGCCCCCGAGTCGCCCTGGAATGCGGTCCGTCGCGGCAAGTTCGACCTCGCGAGGCGGAGCTTGATGAGTCTAAGACAAGACACCTCGGACAAGGAGAGGGAAGTGGATGCCACTTTGGCCTATATCAAATACACCACGGAACTCGAGCGAGCCGAGACTCAGGACGCCAGTTTCCTCGAGTGCTTCAAGGGAACCAATCTACGCCGGACAGAGATTGTAAGTTGTTGTTTGTAATGTCCTGTCTTGAGACTATTGCCGCTCTAATCTGTTTTTTTTTGGTTTCAATCAGAACTGCGTTGTCTGGGCCGCCCAGATCCTTTGCGGAAACGCCATTCTCGGCTACTCTGTCGTCTTCCTCGAAGCCGCCGGCTTCTCCGAACTGCAGGCCTTCGACGTCAACATCTCGCTCTCGGCTTGCTACATCATCGGCGGCATTATATGCTGGTTGATGTTCCCCTACGTGGGCAGGGCGACCATCTACATGGGAGGTCTGACGTTTATGTTCTTCTGCCTTCTGGCCATTGGCGGCCTCGGATGGTCGCATTCCAAGGACGCGCAACTCGCCATCGGGATCTTGCTGGTGATTTCCACGCTCTGCAACATGATCACCATCGGGCCGGCCTGCTATCCTATCGTTGCAGAGACCCCGTCGGGCAGACTGAGGTACAAGACCATCGTGATCGGGAGGTTCGTCTACAATCTGACCGGGATCTTTTCCAACTCGGTCACACCTCGAATGATCTCTGCCCTCTGTAAGTCTAGCCCCTCAACTATCTTTCCCGCGGGTTTCCACACGAAAGGATACGCAGTTCGCTGACCCCGGGACACAGCCTGGAATTGGGGCGCCAAGAGTGCGCTGTTCTATGCGGGGACGAACCTGCTCTGCAACATCTGGTGCTGGTTCCGTCTGCCAGAGACCAAGGATCGCACCTTTGGCGAGATCGACCTGATGTTTGAGAACCACGTCCCAGCGCGGAAATTCAAGCACAAACGAGTGGACCGTAAGTTGCTTTGCTCCCCCAAAGGAGAGGTACTGGCTTGGCTAACGAGAGAATCGACAGAATTTGCCGTGGGGTCCCATGAGCAGAGCACGGAAGTGGTGGTGGACGACCACAAGATGGAGACGGCGTGAAGACCGAGTTTATTGATGATTCGCTTTGGTGTTCCAGCCTTGTTGCCCAACCAACTGATTTTCGATGTGAGTGCGAGACTGCCCAAGCACGTATTTGTTGGATACCTCTCGCAATTCTCAATACGTGATGCATTCACGAATGCTCGCTGGTTTCCGAAGAAGGAAGCATAACGGGGAAAAGAGTTGCCAGACTTGGAAATAGAGCCAATGTCGGCTCCACTTCGGTGCTTAAGCGGCTCTTCGTCGTATACTAATACCTCGTATTCAGCGGCGAATCTTGAACCTCTCCAAAATCCATTTCCGTTTCCAGACCCGAGCATCTCGCCATTGATTTCTGTTACGCGCAGACAGCTTGCACGCCTTACACCTTGCCCGCTAGTCCGTTTCTGCCTGATGAGGTGGATACTTCAAAGTCGGCTAGGTAAGGTAGATGTGTACTCGGTACAATCGCGGCTGTAAGTCACCATTCGGCACAAGAAGGCTGAAATGATGGACTCTGTCAACTATAGTCACTTAGTCATCCGCAAATAGAGCGATCTAATTAGTAGAACTAGGCTGGTGCTCCGACCTAATATAGACCTTAATTACCAACTCATTTTAGCAGGCCAGGATAGTGCACGAGGCAAGGAAGGTTGTCCGAGAAAAAGGAGGTATACCAGCCTTGGCGGACATGTGTAATATATCGCAGGCACAACAGGCCACGAATCTCCTATATAGTCGGAACGTCTAGAACTGACCGCATGTGGGAGACAATGCTTTTGGAAGGTCAAGGGATGAAAAATTATCATGTTACTGCCTGCACAAAAGCCCAATAGATTGAGATGGTGATCGATCTTATTCCCATTTCAAGCCATCATCCCCAATCTCCGCGAGTTTGCCAGTGTCCGCGTCACCCTCAGCGGCCTCATCCATCTCTTCTTCCACCCGCTCGACCGTTGCTTCCCCCAATGTCTCGGGGTCAGCAGTATCATTGTCGGCTGGTGTATCATTGTCCCCTGTGGTGTTTTCATTGGCCGCCGCATCTCCATTAGGTTGAGAATCACCGGCTGTTGCTCCTCCACCGGCGGTCGTCATCCCCTCAGCTGGTGTCACCACGTCTCCCGCCACGGTCCCATTCGCAGGTCCTTCCGAGCTGGCGTCTGGTACGGTATCTTCCATTGCAATCTCAGCCGACGGGACTTGCTCCGCCATCAGGGCCACCGGAGCTTGTTGTGCCATCATCGAGCTCGGTGTTGCTCCCCAGACGAGGGAGTCTGGGAATTTGTACTGTGGACGGTCCATAGTGAGACCTGCGACAAAATTGTCCCTAACGCAGAAATACATCGGCAGGAGCGTGCAGAGAACTCCGTGAGGATCCCGGATCTGGCCCCATACCGGCTCGGTGTTGTCTCGCCATATAAGTTGCATCGTCATGGGCGACGGTGTGTCAGGCTTAGGCAACAGAGTCGAAAAGCCGACGTTGAACGCACGTTGTTGCTTCTTGAAATAATCTGGTCGACCCCCGCGTCTAGCTTCATCGTCGATCATGATGGTTATCTTGTTTTCACGCGGTCTCGCTGCACCAGCTTGGGCTTTCTGCAACGGCCATGGCAGGATGTTGCATTCTAATGAGCGAGAATTAGATATCAGTATGTGGTTAGGAATGGAAGATTCATGGCAAAGAGCTCTGCCTCATACCTAGAAGGCGTCCCTCAATCTCATTGAGCACAATGTCCTTGTTCGTTGAAGGATCAAAAACATATCCCAAAAACTCGGGCTTCTGTACATCCGCAGCTCCTAGCAGAGGTGGTTTGTAAGGATTAGCGGTGGCCCTCTTTTGCTTCTCTGCGGCGAGATCTAGAGAATTGTAATGCACTGCCAAAACACCACGCCATGCATTTTGGTGGTCTCGACTGAAATTTTGGTCGTGGAGAGCCAATATCAAGGTTGTAGGTTGGGACGGCATGATGTGCTTGAGTCTTTGGATTGGGAAGAAGAATTAAAGAGTTGAAAGTATACATGCGACCACGTCGGCTCACAGGAGACTTTATACCTGAGTTAGTATCCCCCTCCCTTGGAGAACCCCCTTTCTTGATAGAGTAGTTGAAGTTCAGCAATGAATTTGAATTGTCCAGAACTTTCACAAACTTCATGGCGTCAATGCAAGGTGGTCTCGTGCATAGGATCTAGACCGCGCAGCCCTTTTCAGCTGATGCGAATTGTGAAATGGGATTGAAAAACCCATCATGCATCTTGCCCTAGTCGTCGTTCAGGCAGCCACTTTGCGGCAAAGAATTCTGCTCATTCGCTGTCTTAGCTGCGTAGAGAGGGAGAGATACACGTTGGGCTGCATCTCGGCCGAATCTAGAACAACTCGTTTGTAAGTGCTGGTCCGGATGTCCAATAGAACGTAGGCGCAAAGTACAGACAGTCTGCATTTCCCGCTCGTATTCGTGTACTGGGCAGAGCTGAAGCTTCTCTGCATAGTTCGCTTGATCCAGCCCGCAACCAGTCGTTTCACCACGAGGCTGATATCATTCCCATCCTGCTGACCGCGATAATGAGATTCAAACTCGATGACAAAGGGAGATTGGTTGCGTGAAAAGCTTCTTGCCTACGTTGTGGAGACGGTCCTTTGGCTAGTCCCAGGGTTTGAAAAACGGCTGAACGACCAGGCCTACGCAACCGCAAAAATCGAGATTCGGTAGCGGTATAGTGTTAGACCCACGGAATGTCGTGACAATGAGGATAGCTGAGCCTGTTGCACGTAGCAATCCCCCGGCGTGGCCGAGAACATGGTCAATGGTATATGACAGCGGGTGAAGCCGATGCCTGTTTGCTGGCTTCGAGGGTGTTTGGTATTCCGACGACGCGGCTCGAATGAAAGAATCGTGTCAGCAGCTATGTGTCGACGAAGTTCAGCTAAGCCACCTGCAGTTTGTCTCGAGCTTCCTGTCTTTTGGTGCGTTCTCGATCGTGGGCTCCTGCAGCCACGAATGCGGCATTGACGAATGAGAAGATGCCTTCCAGCTTCCCCTCATCAGCCAGCCACACGATGAGGTGAGAGCCAACGGTTGAACTTGCAAGCATCCTACCTCCAGCCTACAACCCGCACGTCGCAAGGCTAGGGTTTGGGTGCCCAGAAAGAGCAGATCGAGCAGTTTCGTGATACGCTGCGGCGGTTGTATGGAATGTGTTTGAGCAGTTGGCGAAGGCCCCTGCATTCCATCAATGCATTTCCTTCAATCGCAACCTGTGGCGAAGCCTTGAAGAACTCACGCGAGAAGACAGCTCTTATGGGCCTTTTCACCGCCCAGTCTCGATTCTGCCAATTCAGTCCCAAAGACCTTTCACTAGGCCTCTCTGGCTCCGTCTCTCAGTATTGATAGCTCCCGGTGGAAAAGAAACCGGCTATTCCGCTAGCTCCCGCAGAAGGCAGAGACAATTCCTTCCGGGTCCACGTGTAGCAAGAGCATCTTACTGCCTTAGTTCGCCTTGCGAGCCAAGCAGCGACACAGGCTGGAAAGGAGTGCGAAGGAGATCGTTCGCTGGCGGCTCCGTGATCAGACTGACATCGACTCCAAATGCGATTGGTTTTAGATCCTCATATCGGCACCATGATCGTTGGCATCAATTGGCCTGCCCTGTTGCCTCTTGGCCTTCGACCGCTCTAGTTAGGTCTTAAGACTGGCGAGTTGTTCATCCTTCTACCCAGTCTCCCATTGGAAACGCTCGAGTGAAGACCTTTGAGGGCGTTTCTAGCTTGTGGCCCTCTGAACTGAATTGCCAGAGATTCGCCTATTGATTGGCCTGTGATAGATATCGCTGTCGAGGGCGTTTCGCTTGTGAGATGGTGGTGTTCGTAGTGTGATCTAGTCGATCGCGGCGCCAGGAAGAACCTGACCAGATCGAATAGCCTTCGGCGGATTCCACGGATAGATCCAGAGGTTTTCGAGCCAGACTTGATATTGGTGGCATTGAAACCGTGGTGGCTAGCCTTCTGGTATATTCGGGGTAACAGGGTCTTCTTGCATAGGCTTGCATCCTCGAATCTAGCCAGATCAGCGATTTGTACGCGTTCAACATAGATATACCTGCCTACCTTTGAACGGATCTCAGGATGGCGCTGGATAAACCGTGGTAGCCAGTTGTGTCCGACCTGACTAGGGCCGCCAGACGACTCGCTAACTATCCCAGCGAGAACTCGCACAGTAGGATAGCTAGGCGCGTGTCCTTGAGCCTCCAGATCAAGTATCCATCTCTTTAATAGTTCCTCCTGTATATTCGACAATAACTGCTGTGGTTCGTGGGCGAGCGTGGCCGATTGAGTGCCTCTTAGTCTGCGACTTAACGTGGCGTAGTTGACATCGTTCGCGGCCGCGGCCGCGCGAATCGAGGGATATTTGCGCGTTTGATAGTCTTGAATGGCCTGTTGGATTCTGGCCTCTCGCTTCGAGGTCATTTACGCGTGATGAATCCAACGGACAGAGGTGGATGAGTTGGTTGTTGAAGAACAGGGTGGTTGCAAGACTTGGTGGTGGGACTGACTTCGAGATTTCTGGAAAGGCGATTAATTAGCGAGCGATGATGCCTACAGTGGTTGCATCGCCCACCACGGACAAGGCGTGAGTATAACCTACCCCACCACGCAACGGCATTGCAACGCTGAGTTGTTCATGTCCACAGCATTGAAAACAATCATGGGCTGAAAGATGCTGCCAAACATGGAGTAACCAAGTCCTCATCTGCAGAAGCGGCGTCGTGCTCTGCAACTCTCTCTCCCAATGTCTTCATCGCAGCCCTTTGTTCCATCGTCGCCCATCTCCCGCGCCGGCGCCAGGAAGAAGTCGCGTTTTACATTCAAACATCTCCATCTCCTCAGCCAGTCTTCTACATCTTGTCCCTTGAGATGCATCGCACTGATCGACTACGACGCCTTTTATGCCCAGTGTGAGATGATCAGACTGGGTGTGCCCGAGACCCAACCACTGGCTGTTCAGCAATGGCAGGGTCTCATCGCTATCAACTATCCCGCCCGGGACTTTGGCTTGAATAGGCACGTCACCATCACCGAGGCAAAGACCAAGTGTCCGCAGATTGTGGTCCAGCACGTCGCAACGTGGCGCGAAGGCGACGACAAGTGGGCATACCGGGACGATGCCGCAAAGCACATCCAAACGGACAAGGTATCGCTAGATCCGTATCGTTTGGAGTCCAGGAAGAGTTTGGCCCTTATCAAGGAGATCTTGCCCCCGCCACCGATACAACGCGTCGAGAAAGCTAGCATCGACGAGGTCTTTCTCGACCTGTCCGCCCAGATCCACCAGATCCTGCTGGAAAGGTATCCGGAACTACAACACGCGCCCTACGACGATCCTACCGAGAACCTCCCCTTGCCGCCGTCGACGGCTCTGAACTGGGAGGCGGATGCTCTGGTGGATCTTGATTCCACCGAAACTGAAGACGACGACCCCGACTGGGACGACGTGGTCATGAACATAGGCTCCGAAATCGTCCGGGGCGTGCGCAAGACTATCCGCGAGAGGCTGAAGTACACTTGCTCGGCCGGCATCGCGCGTAACAAGATGATGGCCAAGCTCGGTGCTGGATACAAAAAACCCAACCAGCAGACCATTGTCCGGAACCGGGCGGTCCAACACTTCTTGTCCGGCTTCAAATTCACCAAGATACGCAATCTGGGCGGTAAACTCGGGGACCATGTCGTCGACACGTTCAATATCGACGACGTCACAGATCTATTGAAAATTCCTCTCGAACAACTCAAGGCCAAGCTGGGCGCTGACACGGGGACGTGGCTCTATGGGACCATTCGTGGCGAGGACAACAGCGAAGTCAGTTCGCGTACGCAGATCAAATCAATGCTATCTGCCAAATCCTTCAGACCTTCTATCAATACAACGGAGCAGGCAAATAAATGGCTAACAATCTTTGTAGCAGACATCTATGCTCGCTTGGTCGAGGAAGGCGTGCTCGAGAACAAGAGAAGACCCAAGACCATCACTCTGCATCACCGGCAAGGCGGACAGACGAGGTCAAAACAGCTACCGATCCCAGGAGGCAAGAAGATCGACGAGATGATGCTTTTCGAACTCGCAAAAACCTTGCTTGGACAGGTCATTGTTGATGGGCGAGCCTGGCCGTGCGCAAACCTATCGCTCAGTGTTGGAGGATTCGAAGAGGGTCTGTCAGGTAATAAAGGTATTGATATGTTCCTGCTGAGGGGAGACGAGGCCAGGGCTGCCATGGATGTCCCACACCGAAGTAACACTGCAACACCGGATTTCGACGAAGGGCGGCCTGAGAAGCGGCGAAGGTTGAACGAAGGTCCCCCTAGCATTGCTCGCTTCTTTCCCAAAGGTGAGAGCACCGAGGAAGGCGAAGACGAATCCCCAGCTCATCTCCAAGACGAGGATATGGGCGGAGGAGGCGGCGATGATGAGAAGGACCACCGAGGGAACAGCCATCCCCCACCTCAATTGCACCAACAAGACATCGCCACTTATTTCTGTCAGACGTGCCAGAAATCGATCAATGAAACCGAGCGAGGTGAGCATGAAGACTGGCACTTTGCCAAAGATCTTCAAGCTCAAGATACGCTCTCTGTGACTGGCCCAACGAATAGTCGTCCCCCTGGTCCGCCCAATCCCAAGTCGAAGCGCGGCGCTTCGAGTAGTTCTCGAGGGCGTGGCTCAAAGGTCGAGAAGGGCCAGAGTCGCCTTGCTTTTGGATAGCTAGTGGTGGTCTTTTTGGATGAATGATCCCACCGCCCTGAAAAGATAATGTGATCTTGAAAGGCCTCAAATGCTTTGGTCAGCATACTCCTTGTTGAACGCCCTTCCGATGACCATCCTCCTGATCTCGCTGGTGCCGGCACCGATCTCATATAGTTTCGCATCCCTCAACAACCTCCCAGCCGGGATTTCGTTGACGTAGCCATTCCCGCCCATCAACTGAATCGCGTCCAGCCCGCATTCGCTAGCTCTTTCGGCGGCGTAAAGAATCGCGCCTGCACAGTCCTGCGTACGGATCTCGCCTTCCTCGTCAACCTTCTTCGCCGTGGTGTAGGTATACGCTCTCGCGGCTTGAAGCTTGGTATACATATCTGCCAGTTTGCCCTGGACCAGTTGATTGTGGGCAATGGGGGTGTCGAATTGCTTCCTCTGGTGTGTGTACGGCAGAACCAGGTCCAGGCAGGCCTGCATGATCCCCAACGGTCCCGCGCTGAGGACCAGTCTCTCGAGGTCCAGCCCTTCCATCAGCACCGTGACGCCCTTGTTGACCTCGCCCAGGACGTTCTCCTTGGGCACGAAGACGTTGTCAAAGACGAGTTCGCCGGTGTTGGAGCCGCGCATGCCCAGCTTGTCCAGCTTCCTGGCGACCGAGAAGCCCTCAAAGGCCCTTTCCACGATGAAGGCCGTAATGCCCCTGCTCTTCTTCTCGGGCTCCGTTTTGGCGTACACGACGATGTAGTCCGCCTCGGGCCCGTTGGTGATCCACATCTTGGTCCCGTTCAGGCGGTAGCCCCCGTCCACGGCCTTGGCCGTGGTCTTCATGCTCACGACGTCGCTGCCCGCCGAGTGTTCCGACATAGCCAGCGCGCCCACCTTGTCCCCGCTGATCAGGCCGGGCAGGACCCGTTCCTTTTGCTCCTTGTTCCCGTTCAGCGAGAGCTGGTTCACGCACAGCTGCGAGTGAGCCGCGTAGCTCAGCCCGATGGACCCCGACGCCCGCGAGATCTCCTCCATGATCACACTGTGTGCCTGATACCCCATGCCCAGACCGCCGTACTCCTCGTCGGCCGTCGGGCCCAGGAAGCCGGCCTCGCCCAGCTTCTTCCACATGAAGTGCGGGAAGTCATTTTCTCGGTCCGTCCGTGCGGCCAATTCTTCGGGGATCTCGCGACGGGTGAATTCCTGGACGCGCTCCCGCAGTTCGTACAGGTCTTCGGTGGTGGGAGGGGTGAAGTTGGCAGGATGTTTCGAGGTCGTCGACGCCGCTCGTATCGCGACTCGAGAGGGATTGGGCAGAGGAGCGGTTCGGGAAATACGGACGCCTGAGCGGGCAATTCTTGGGATGAGAGTGGACATCATGACGGCTGATACTTGGGCAAAAGAGAATGAGAAGGAGCGTCTTCCACAGAAACTGGCTGATATAGTGAAATACTGTTGTTTCGTTGAGACAGTCGAGACAATCGAGTGAGCGAGGTCAAGGCTTAAAATTCCCCTGCTCCGCAGTTTGGCAATGCCGCTTCTAACCGTCGCCGTCTCACCGTGTTGCCGAGGGAGGCTTTAGTCGCTGCGGGGACAGTGCGAGAGCATAGCCACGTACGCGGTACTGCCACCGTATTTTCTGCAAATATCTCCGTTGGGCTAATGCTAGTTCACCATCTGCTCTTACAGCGAGATCCAGCCATTGGACAATTGCCCTTGTCTTCAGACTTCAGCGAGTGACATACACTTGAGCAAATTCACCATAGACGTAACCCTCGACCCTAGATCGCCGGGTTCGACTTCTGACATGAATTTCAGCCATTTCTTCATTGACGTCCACGTCAATCTCACGCATACCGGACTTCACAACGTGACGTGATGCCACCAGCACCAGTGAATTGTTACAGAGCCCAAGACTCGAAGATACATAGTAGCCTCTTCGTCAAGGATCTGGTGTGTCTTCTGAATGTAGACCCCATACTCGGTATCGCCGACGCAGCAGCCCTAGGAGTGAAATGCGAGTATCTGCACTTAGACTCTGTACATCGGTGGCTGAATGATCCCGCCAGGAAGTACCGAAGGAGCCGTGGCGCTGGTTGACTTGCCTTGAACCGGAAGACAGACCTCGCTAGGACACACTGTCGTCAGTACAGGCCCATGGGAAAGTGGGAGGTGTTTGCTCACCTGCGATAGCACGGCATTCCGCAGCTGGTACAAGCATGTGCAGAACGAGAAATTCTCTCAATGACTGCTCTTCTGTAGTTGTCACCATCCATCTTGATGATTTCGCCCGCAGGACCTTTGCTGATGACGCCGACAAACTTCCTGAGAATCGGTTAAGATGAGCCATTCCAGAATTCAGTGCGAACGATTACCATTCGTCGGTTGTTGACATGAGAGATATGATCTTGGACATCTCGGCGATCACTCCGGGTCTACAGTGCGCTGGCCGGACAAATTCATAGTCGTTGACACTGTCGTAGAACGGCAGGCCGGGGGGATTGGTGATTCGCCAGAGTTGCTTGTTGTTATCTTTTGTGTAGTAGGACTCGAGCAGAATGAGTCTGCGTTCAGCCATCTTTGCTTGGGATTAGGAATGCGATTAGAAGAGATGAACCGATTTGAAGAGATGAGGTGTTGTCAGCGGCAAAACACTTGAGAAAGGTTCAGAGACCGGCGCAAGTCTGCTGTCGCTTAGAAAAAGCAGGTGACCGCGCCTGCTGTCCTGCCGCGTGCTGCTTGCTCTGCGTGAAAGACAACATAGCCACCTGCAACATCCTCCTTTTCTGCTCGTTCACAACAACAGCTGCAACATTCACACAACACAGAGAGGAGCTGAGGCGATGCCATGGCAACAGATGCGAAGGTCCCCGGGCATCATTATGTGCCTTCACCGGTGTGTTCGCGTCTGCGTCATGTTCTGCGACCTCTTCCTGTCTTACATCAGCTTCAACAGTCCCTGCGCAAGTCTTTTGGATAGACACGAGGGTACAGAGCCCAGTCCGAGCAGTATCATGACGAGAAAGCAAGGCTGCGATGATCGCCCTATGGCTGCAAATCGGTCGCCGATCGAAGGGACAAGAGATGAGGGTGCAAGATCCAAGAATGCCATCCTCTGACACAGTCAATCTGTCGATCTTCGGAACAACTGACGGTGCCAGGGTTTTTCCGATCCGCCCATCTATTATCTCGCTATCGACTGCGGTGCCATCAGTGAGTTGCAGCTGTCTCGCTTTTGACAACTTCCTCTCCTGCCTCTCCTCCACAATGGACTTCAGCAACTCCCATGTTTGCTCGCTTCCTTGTTTCTGGCCTGGTTGTCTTGGACGATGTCATGGCATTATCCCCCACAACACTCTGGGCCTTGCATATCGGTGCCACCAGCGCTGACCGCTTCTCCTTCGTCACCTTCTCACCAGCCACGGCTAGCCTGCTCCCACGTTCTGCGCAGCCGGCCAATCGCGCGGTGAGATAGCGTCATCGTACATATCAAAATGCCACTTTCATCGGGAGTCCTCATCGTACCAGCCGAGCCTCTTCGAGCTAAGCATGTGCGTTTTCTGCACGCTGCCGCTGTGGAACACAAGCTAGCAGGTCTACAAGTACACAATGTGCAAATGATATGGTCAAACGGTTTTGCCACTTAATGTTTTCGCATTATTTGGATCCTTTTCCGGTATCCACACCACATTCTTTGGCCACTGCCATGGCGTTGCCCACTTGATCATGGCGTCAACATGCATCTGTTGCGCCTCTGCAGCCAACCACGCATACGGTTTTGAAGATGCAGAGGATACCAAGGTTGTGATGTCCACCATGTAATTGACACAGAGAGCGCCACGGGATGACATCTATATCCAGGCTCTTGAGACTACAGCTGGTAATTCTGCAGGGCTCTACGTCGAAGGCCTAATGCAGCCACTGGCGCCTCCTACGTATATCCTCAGGCTTTGGAGTCTACTGAACACAATGCTGTTTAGGCAGATATAAGAAGACCTTGACCCCTTTTCATAAAGGTCCCATTCTTCAGGCACACTACCGAGAAAGCCCACCCGATCACAGACTCTCGAAACCATGGCACCCATTGCTATCACTCCTCCACCAGTCGAGCCTAAGCAGGCCCGACCTGGTGTGCAACGCGCCAACACTGCCAACATGGGTACGAAGCGAAAGATCATCTGCTTCTCAGGTATGCCATCGCGTATTGCAAGACTTGACTTGATCTAACAACCGAATCCAGACTTTGACGGCACCATTTTCATGCAAGATACCGGTCACACCCTCTTTGATAACTTCGGTTGTGGTCCGGAAAGAAGGAAGATTTTGGCGCATCAGCTAGAGTCTGGAGAACGGTCATTTCGCGAAATCTCAGACGAGCTGTACGCCTCACTAGATGTCCCTTTCGAGGATGGCTTCGAGGTCATGAAAACTGCCTTGGACATCGACCCTGACTTCCAGACCTTCCACGAGTTCTGCGTCAACAACAACATTCCTTTTAATGTCATCTCGGCCGGCCTAAAGCCTGTGTTGCGGAGGGTCCTCGATCACTTCATCGGAGAGGAGATGAGCAAACACATTGAAATTGTGGCCAATGATGCCAAAATTGCCGGTGATGGTAGCAAATGGGAAGCCGTTTGGAGACATGACACCGAGCTTGGTCACGACAAAGCCCGATCAATAAACGAGTACAGGGCAGCTGCGCAGCTGGAGAGCGAGAATGGCACAATACCGATGATCGTTTTCATTGGTGATGGCGTCTCTGACCTGCCAGCAGCACGTGAAGCCGACGTGCTTTTCGCTCGCCGAGGATTGAGGTTAGAGGAGTACTGCATCGAGCACGGCCTCTCATACATTCCCTTCGACACATTTGCCGACATCCAGCGGGAAGTTATCAAGATCGCCAAGGTCGATGACGAAAAGACACATGGCAAAGGCTTGCCGTCCAACTTCAACCCTCGCGCGAACATGTGGAGAAGGGTTAGCAGCCGGGCTGCAGTGCCTGTGTTCGCCGCACTCAGTCCGCGCAAGGAGGAGAAGGCTTTCTTGTGGCCAGAAACCTTCACCCAGCCAGCCACGGTTCCAAACAAAGAGCAAGCGAAAGCTGCCCTTGCAGCGCCTGTTGCCTAAAGTTGGGTTTGTCGAGCTATAGTTTGGTTTTAAGCTTACTACTTCCTGATCGTTTTTACGGTTTGTTCACATCTATCTTTACAGCGGGAAGCGATGGGTAATGACTGGCTTCGAAAGATTGGTTAGAAACCAGACACAACACAAGAGAAATAGATCTGTGTAGACAGACTGATATCCTGTAGCAGGTCGACATCCGGTGGAATAGAACATTACAAGAAATGTAGCGGAATTGAGTGAGAAATGTCTTCCACAAAAGAAACCCGCTTCTTGACGACTCGACATTTTCCGCCTTCGCCAACCCAGCCAATGGCCGCTACAAGCCGCTCTCTTCCCACAACCAGGCAAAATCTCGATATACCTACGTCCTCTATCCACGCGCCTATTCCGACTTAACTATCAACATCATCAAATGAGAAACAGCGCTGCTGCTTCTGCCGCCGCTCAGCCGTCCGTGCCCGCGTCCTTCGCGGCAAAAAAGTCGCAGATCCTCGCGCACCTCGACCAACCCGCAGGCGAGTACACAGACAATTCCCCCAAGGGGACGGTGGACGCGCAGATCCGCGATCTGATCGACGAGATCAATCAGTATGAGGGGCTCGTGACGACGAGCAGTTGCGCGGGCAGGGTCGCTGTGTTTGTCGAGGGCCCGAGAGCGGGCGGGCGAGGTGACGGCGCGAGGAAGCGCGGAGGGGCCGCTCAGGACGGTCAGGGTGGTCAGGATGGTGAAGATGCCGCGGAGCCGTGGGATTTACAGGACAGAGATGGAGAGCGAGAGCGAGAGGGGGGAACAGATGGTTTGAGCGTAGGGGCTACCGGCAAGGGAAGAGGAGAGAAGACGACGACCTCGACCTCGACCTCGACGTCGCCTGGTGGCAAAGGTGGAGGGCGCTGGCTCTACGTCTCGCATGATCCTATCCCCATGCCCGCGTCCGCGTCCACCGCCAGCGCCGGCGTCAAGAATACGTCCGAAGCAACGAAATCAGCACAGGCGCCGGAGCAAGAGTACTTTTCCACGCTGTTCCGCCTGGGCGACCCGTCGTCGTCGTCCCTATCCCCGTCCCCTCTGACACTCTCATTCCATCCTCCACCGTCTCGAACCTCGTCGCCACTCACATTCTCCGCGCCGCAGCCGCCCCAGCTGATCCACCTGTCCTTCTCGCCACTGATCCTGCACATCCACTGCGCGACCCTCCGCCACGCGCGCCCTCTGCTGGCAGCGGCGGTGAACGCCGGCTTCCGGGAGAGCGGGGTGCAGAGTCTTCGGGCGCTGGACGATGCCGAGCACGGGGTGATGGTTGCCGTGAGGACGGCGGGGCTGGCCTTTGAGACCCTCGTGGGCGTGGCGCGCACACCACCGCCACCACCACCGGACCCATCCCCCTCGTCACCCTCCGATGGTGGTGGTGGTGAGCAGCGCCGGGTGCTGATTGACACGGGAGAATCCCACCGCCAAGGTCAAGGCGAGGGAGCAACGCACAGGGTCGTAAGCGAGGAGTACCTCGCCCTGTGCGCCGGGGTGGTCAACGAGCGGTTCGCGTGGAACGACGAGCGCAGGGAACGGTTTCGGCGCGAGCTGAAGAGGGCGATGGAGCGGGACGGACTGGGGTTTGGGACGGCAGGCAAGGAGGAAGAACCCGAGACGCGATCACTTGCGTGGGAAGATAAAGATGAACGAAGGAGGCGGAAACGAGAGGAGGGGCTCGAGAGGCAGAGGCTCAGAAAGGCAGATGCGGCGAGGAGCGAGGCGAGGCAAGCAAATGAGCTGGAGGCGCTGGATCAGGATCAGGATCAGGATCAGGATCAGGATCAGGATCAGGATCAGGATCTCACAGCGCTCGGCTTTGATTGATTGATGCGTAAATTCTTCAGCTACACATCTCCTCTGGGCTTCATCAAAGACACAACCGTACGGCAACTCTAAAGCTTCTGACCTCTGGCAAGGAACGGCCTCCTCTTCGCTTCCCCCCTAATCAGCACCTCGTCGTCCATCTTCACGACCGCAAAGGCCGTCAGTCCGGCGTTCGCGAAATAGCGCTTCAGCTCCTCCTCGCTGAACCCAGCGTGGGCCACTGTGTGCGCGACACCCTGCTTCGCGGGATCCGGACTCTCCTCCATGGCGTGCGTGACAAAGTCGAGGATCAGAAAGACTCCGCCCGGCCGCAGCCGCTCCACCAGCCGTTGCGTGGCAAGCTGGATGTCTTGGAAATGGTGGAAGCCGAGGCCCACGGCCACGAGGTCGAAGTTGAAGAATTCGGGAGCCGAGAGGTGCGGCGGAGACGGGTCCTTGGGGTCAAGAAGGTTGCCGACGACGGCGCGGGCGGTCAGCGTCTCGTCGAGTCGGTCGTCCAGTCCGGCCGCTCCGTCCGCGGATGAAGAGGTGGTGACAGTGCTGGGACGGTCGGGATTAAAACGCACGTTGTAGGCCTTGACCATGTTCTCGCTCAGGTCGATACCCACGTATTCCGTTGCACGAGCTCCGAGGGCATGCGTGATGGTTCCTGGTCCACAGGCGTAGTCCAGGACGCGAACCTGTCGTTTAGAGTCGGATGCAGGTGATGGGGTCTCGAAGGTGGTTGAGGGGTCGACGAAGTCCACGCCAATCCAGTTGACGTGCTGGTGAATGAACGCCGTCACCTTATTGAGGAGATCTCGTTGCCACGGTTCCGATGTGTATCGCGAGGCGAAGTCACTGTTGATCAAACGAGTCAGCTTTGCGTTGGTAGTGGAAGCTGTCCTGACAAGCAGGCTATATCACCTGGTGGCGAGGCTGTGCAAAATAGTGTAACAATGCAGTTGACGTACTTCCAGTGTGTACGGTTTAGTTCAGTGAACGCCTCATTGTCCGGATGGTGGCTATGAGTTGCGCCATGGCCATGGGGTTGGTGGTGGTGATGATGGTGAGAGCCTTCGGCCATTGTAGCGATGAGCTCGACTTGCGAAGATCTGATAGAACGGGAGTCTAGAGTGGTAGAACGCTTGACGTTCGACAGTGCAGCGCTCCCACGACAACTTTATAGGACTAAAGTTGTTCAAAATGTATCCGATGGTGCAACAAAGCGCACAAGGCTGAGACTGAGATTGACCGGAGAGTTTCTCTGGTCACGGAGACATATCGGCGCCAAACCGTGAGTACGTCCCTGGTGAATGCACGTCGAAACTACTTGGGTCGATATGTGAATGACTTGCTAAGGGGGAACTGTTGTCCAAATTTCCAGGAAAAGGTACGAACTGGGCTCGGAAAGAGTTGGCAGCGTCAGGCACAGTGGTTGAACAGTGCTTAGGATGTGGTCGCTGGATCAGGACATAAAAGTCGCCGAGGGACGTGCTCCAATCCTGTGGAATATCCTCTTCACAGGGCCGATGCTTGAGACGCTTGAAATCCTGCTGAGATGGGTCCAACCTTGAAGACTGCGGAGGTCGACGTACAAGACAATGGTGCGGATATTAAGCAGAGGGACAGACTGACCACTCCGCTCTCAGAAGGGGCGCATACCCAGGCAACCAGGCAGCCAGGTACGTCTTTCCACCTAAAGAAGGGTTCAAAGCTGGATTCGTTCTCAATTGGTCCGGTGTATCTCTCGGGAGGAGTCAGGCTTGGTGAGATGGGAACAGGCATCAACAACGACGAAACGCCCATCAAACAGTTCTAGAAACAAGCTCTGTAAATCCCTATGACGTCCATAAAGCTTCAAAGCGGGTCGCTGTTTCTATTCCTCCGCATTTCTTAGCTCTTTCAACGGGTTTCACTTTAACACATACAATCTCAAAAATTGCTGGAAAACTCGATAAAATGAAGCCGTCGACGATCATACAGTCTTGCGGCGACGTTCACGCCTTTGTGGCGCAGTGGTAACGCGTCGCACTTGTACTGCTAAAATTGCAATCAATGCGAAGATCACAAGTTCAATTCTTGTCGGAGGCATGTGAAGCTTTTTTTTGTTCTTTTCTTTCGTAGTGAGTCTTCACCCGAGCTTTCAGACCATTCCTCTTTTTGCATTGACTCTAGCTCTAGGTCCGCCAAAGTGCCGATCTGTCTGTTCAACCGCAAAAGTAGAATACAATAAAGAACCCTCAGGAGAAAGGGGAGAAACCCCTGTAATACGATCTGACCCATACCTCGTAGACTTTACTTAGCTCGGGCTCTAGATCTACTCGGTATATCTATGTACCTAAGATAAAGATCGATAATACAACTAGATTATAAAGAAAAGAGTAGTAAGAGTAGGAGTAAGAAGTAAGAGAAACTAGTACCGGCGGATCTGGACCTAGTAATTTATAGATATACGCCTTTCCGCGGAATATCGCTAAGTATACTCTTGTTAGGGATCCCTCCCAAACACAACAAACTGGCCAAGTAAGGGCTCCAAGGTCGCACAACATATAAGGGGGCATGCTACGCGCACCCTACTCAAACCCCCTTCCAGGCTTTAAGTCTCTGTACATAGGGCTAGAGCTATCAATACTAGGCGTCATCACTTCTATTAACCTGCCTATCCATCGCTTCCCTTACAGATACGTGCCTAAAGCCGCGTAGATTCTCGGCCGCGAGAATATACGACACGAGGACTTCGTCGCTAGCCGATCTAGCCCGGTACTAGGCGATTATTAGCGCGTTATAGAGGGAGAGCACACCTCACGGGTATTGGGGCTAAATCTATCTAGTCCGATAGAGGGACCGACAACGGAGAGTTGGGTTTGTGATGGTGATGTGGTCTTGAGGAGCGAATCTTGTCTTGGATAGTTGTACTGGCACATCAGTCTTTTCCCCTTTGCCGGATCTCCTTGGTCTGCCCAAATCCCACCCAACAATGCCGGCTCGGAAATCAGGGGCATCGAAAAGGGCAACTCCCGCCTCCCGAAAATCCCACAAGCGTCAATTATCCCAAGTCACTCCATTGGCGTCGCCTGGGAGCAGGACTTCGAAGAGGTTGAAGGAGTCTGCCGAGAAGGGTCAAAGTCGCGGCAAGGCCACTCCCACGAAAAGCAAGTACTTTCAGGAGCCAGACAGCGAGGATGACGACGACCTGGACACCATGGAGGACGAGGACGAGGACGAAGAGTCGGGCTATGAAGACCACGACGCATCCGGAACAGATCAGCCCTCGACCGAGGAGCCTGACACAGAAGACGACGACGACGACGACGACGACGACGACTCTGACGAGCAGACCAAAAGGAAGAGAAAGCCGGTGAGCAAGAATAGGAGTGGCATCGTCGGCGGCGTCCAGGCCGTGGCCAATGCGGTGCTGGAAAAGGGCAAAGAACTCTGGAGACCCGGAGTGAAGACGGGCTTGGGACCGGGCAAGCAGGTCTTCATCGAGAAACCCAAACCCAGAGGTGATGGAGGCATCAAGTATGTTGCTGAGAAGATCCATCCGAATACAATGGCTTTCTTGAAAGATTTGAAGGCGAACAATGACAGAGAATGGCTGAAGAGTAGGTCGTCCCGTTGCTCGGTGCTTCTTGCGCTGTTTCTGGCACTATACCAGTGCGCGTGCACAGATCCAACCTCACCAATACTGACATCGAGTTGTACAGTGCACGAAGTTGACTACAGAGTCTCTTGGAAGGACTGGGAAGGTTTTGTAGAAACCTTGACCGAGAGGATTACAGAGATTGATGAAACCATCCCTGAGTTGCCGCCAAAGGACCTGGTTCGTGCAGAGAGCAAGGCATTTTGCTATTCCTCACTCTAACCCATCTGATATCAGGTCTTCAGAATCTATCGAGACATCCGATTCTCTTCTGATCCCACTCCTTACAAAGTATGTTCTCCTCCGACCCGCTTCTGAGGTACAATATCCACGTTACTGACTCTTTCCCAAGCCTCACTTCGCTGCTGCATGGTAAAGGCTTCCGGTTGTCTGCATCTGTGTCTTGTGTTGACCGCCATCAGGTCTCGAACGGGCCGTAAAGGACCGTATGCATGTTACTATGTACAAATTCAGCCTGGAGGCAGAAGTTTCGTTGGTATGACACACCCCCATTGTCAAACCGTCCACAAAACACTCAACGTGACAGGTTCTGGTTTGTGGATGCCAGAGTCCCAACCACTGGCCCTCCTGAGAGCGAATATCGACCGCAAACCGACGAAACTGAGAAGGGTCCTCTCGGAGACTCAATTGCGGAAAGAGGTTTTGGGTATCGCGTCGAACGACGAGAAGAAGGCCATCAAGGCCTTTGCCGACCAGAACAAGGAAAATGCGCTGAAGACAAAGCCGAAGGTATGTTTTTCATCTTGTTTTTGTATAAAATGCGCCCGTGCACACACGAGAAAGGGGGGACAGCGACTCGTGAGGGTCTGCTCAACCGCTGCTCCCAAGTTAGCGACATCAAAGACCTGCATGCAAAGTAATACCATGGTAAACCCTGCGAAGATGAAAGCACAGACGTGCTTGAGCGACGAAATTGTAGACTGGAGGTACCTGCTTGAGCCGCCGTTCATCGACTCAACATCACAGTCTGCTTGACGCGTCTGCAGCATCCCTGGATGCCCCCTGAGGCCACGGCTCGCATTCTCGACCGCAGTCAATGCATGCAGCTAGGGCTAAACACGCTGGCCAGGGGCCTGAGGATGCAGCCTCCGGGACCCTCGCGCAGCTGAGGCCAGTGATGCATGTGCGCACAATCTTAACAAATGAACATGCGTTGCGGTCGCAATTTGAGCCCAAAAGAACTAAAGATGGGAGCTGCCGGGCTTCTGGAGCGGAAGGGCCTACAATTGCCCCTCCTGGCAACCATATTTCCCGGGTCCTTCCATGTTGGCGGCAGGGTGCGCGCAATTCTCATCACCACTGCAGCCACCCTCGCTGCCCAAGGAGTCACTCCTGCATGGGCTGCAGCTGGAGTCCCAAGTGTCGGTGCTGAACATTGCATGATCTAGACTGGGCTGACGCTTTGTCTTGACAGGGCTACGAAGCAGACAACCCAAATATCGAACTCCTTCGGCTGCGAAATTTCACCCTAGGGAAGAGAATCCCAGACGAAAAGGTGATGGGGGAGCAGGGACTGCAGACCATCATCGAGTTAATTCGCGTCATGGTACCTTTTGTGAGTCCACCTCTTTGCCTCCCATTCGTGCGCGTCGTGAACCTGGGCTGCCTGCGGGATGCTACTCATGAGGAAATTCTGCCACGACTGGCACTGCGACTGGACAGGGCTTCTGCGTAGACTTTGCAATTGTTTGGGTGCCCAATCATACGTCAATCACCTCCGGCTCAAGACAATCAACAGGCATGGCGAGATGCCCGGGCCGCCGTGAGCCCAGGCGGTACCTACATGGTCTTGCGCTGCTCCCCACCTGAGCCGTTGGGCACAAACTCTGAGTTTCTTTGACCAGAACACCTACAGAGAGAGATCTTTTTGCTGACTTTCGGCACAAATAGGTCACATACCTCAATAGTGTCGTAATGCCAGACGATGACGAATCTAGCAACGATGAGGCAACTGAGTGAGGAGGCAGTAGGATGGAGGTTGATCATGCGAATCCTCGCCACATTCTTTCGGACAAAGGTTTGTGGTGGAGGCAAGGACTTGGGAGTCCGCGGCCTTTGTGTGAATTGTAGAGTGGCTCATGCATGGACACAACTCTGAAGAAGTTCAACGCCCTGTAACATCTGATCACTTGCCTTTTGCTCCATCCAGAATTCCTCTGTGACATTCAGGTCTCTCACCAGGAATGAGCAGCACAACCAATAGCGGAATGATGGATGTTCGTAGCCGCCCAGTGCCTCGAGGGCCAATATCATTGGGCAGCGACATCCTCCACGCCTGTTTCTATACGGCAGTGGTCGCATCTGGACTGCTGTCGCCTCGGGTCAAATGGTGACATTGTTGTGGTAGCAGAAGCCCACAAAGGGCAGCTTGCCCCGTACGCTGGAGTAAAACGTGGTGGTGGCGGTCACTCTGACGTGGCAAGGGAGTGACTGGGGACTTGGGTCTTCGAGTATTAGTTCGATGCTTTCCGTATCGGACTTGGTGGCTATTGTGCTGTCTCAGGTCTTCAGCTGAGCAGTCCACTTTTTGCCTGTGGGCGCGGCCAGTCATGGCTGGACAGAGCGGGGACCGGTGACGGGGGGCGTTGGGCCAGATCAAGCATGAGAGGACAAATTGCTGCTGGCTCCCCTGGACAGAAGATGGAGTGGTGGGTGAGTAGTGGGAGTAATTTTCTGACTGTCAGGAGGAGAAATGGCGGTGGGCTGGTCGAGAGGTGGACCAGGCGTACCAGTCGCAGGCGAGCGACTCCATCTCTTTTCCGCCGTGTCAAGAGCCGAGCCGCTGCGTCAAACCAAAGTCATGTGAAGGGCTTCGGGCGTCGCAAATGTCCAGCTGTCAGACCGAACGCGAGACCATTCGAACGAATACCAGACGGGTACAGGACGGATACAGAACGTACCAAGACCCTCCAGCAAAACCTTCCAGCCTCTCGACTCTGGCTTCGAGCCTGCGCACCAGGTACTTCCCCAACTCGAATGACCGCCGACTTCCCACCCTCGGCCAGCGAGATCAATATTGGTGACTTTTCGGATGGACTGACAAGATTCCGGTCTTCTCACTCACTCAATCGTCTCTTTTCATGCAGTTGTCCAAAGCTTACGCATGAATTTCAGGAAGGATGTCCATCCACTTGCCACATCGTTCCGAGGGGAGCCCGTAGGCGAAAAGAGCAAAAGAATACCAGTGACACCCCCAACAAGGACAAGAGAAGGGAACGAAAAGGAAATTAACCGCACCAGGCCGGGGTGGTCGACTTCTTTACGTGGGACGATCAGGGCTTGACCGCCCGGGGCCCTCATCGAGCCATCGACGGGTCAGGCGGGCAGACGCATGAAGTTGCTTGCAATCTGGTTTGCCTACGCTGCTGGCACGATGGCAGGGTTGAAGGCGGCCCGTCTGCGAATGCGTTCCGATTGCTCGGCTACGCCAACTCCTCGCTCTACCCTTGCAGGCGTGCGTGTCTCCTGCATCCTCCATTCGCTTCCAGCACGTCGGTTGCACCACCGAGGGAGCGCCCGCAGCTCTTGCAGGGCGATTCATCCAACCTTGGGGACCCGGGACCGTCCAAAGGCGCCAGCAAGCTCTCATCGGGACCAACCCCCGTTGATCGACCACTGGTGCATAGCAGAGAAACTACCGAGTACTTTCTTACTGAGTTTTTCACTTGTTGTCCTGCTCGGCCGCACGCCAGGCATTCCTTGTTTTGCTGGGCAGGTTGGTCCTCGACACCGTTCGAGTCTGGACCCATTCACCTTGGTGGGGACTGTCGCTCTTCGTGGCACCGTCTCGCTGGCTGGAAGCCAGTCAGTTCAGCTGTAGCCTTCAAAAGCGAAGGTCCCGTCCAAACCTCCGAGGGACAATATCGTGACCTCTATCCGGAGTGTCCCTCTACCTCCTGCGTGATCTCTTCGGTACGACAAGCAGATCATCAATCCTCTCCAATAAACTAATCTTTTTGCTTCGATAATGGCATTTCGATATCGTGGGACTTGCCAGGTTCGAGTACTGGAAGATTTATTTGATCTTGTCTCAAACTAAAAGCGACTCTCAGGGTGATGGACTTGAGGTGAGACCAGCTCGACGCATGCATAGTCTTCAGGTACGCCGGCACCCTGCCGTCGACCCAGCAGTCCAAATGGAGAATTTGTTTGCAGAGAGATAAGCAAAGCTGCGGCGTCGATCCGAAACATTGCATGATCTGTCGCAGAGGAGGGAAAATTGGGAGGCTTTTCAGCAAGGGCGGGCCCTAGGGCAGAGCCGAGCCTGGTGGCCTTCGCCTTCGCCCTTGGGCCTTGAGACGCCCCCTGTCGCGTTTCGATTTTACTCGGTATTGTGCGCCCTCCGTGCCGCTCCAGCGCTTTCCTTCCGCGCTCACCGGCCACCAATCTTGGACGCTAATGCTGTTTATCTGGAATTTGGATCTACTCTCCACCGGCCTGCTTCATGACCTGGGGAAGCCTAGTTCGCCAACGGTCTCTCTTTTGGTGCTACGTCACCGCATAGTCTGTCGCACTATTCCAACAGCGTCATGCACGCATGGAAAAGAATTGAACTTGCTGGACTTTGCTTTCAGGGCTTCGCTAAGTCAGAAGCGAGGTCAGCAGCGACACACGGATCCCCGGGCTTACCCTCTGCAGCTCAACCGGTGTAGCCTTGGTCCCCAGTATCGAATGATGAGTCGTAACTGGACCAGTAGGTCGCAGGATGCTGGACTCTTCATTCGCCCTTGCCTTAAGCACCACCACCACTAGGGTTACGCTCGCTATACTATTGCGATGGAGGGAGCCCGTCGAGCGCACAATGGAGGCCAGAAGGTGAGGAGGGTCCGGACCATTACGGCAAGGGAGCAGGCACACAACGACACATTGCTAGATCAACCACTTAGCATATACCCAACGAGTCCCTAGTCATGCATCATGCAGCAATACACAGCCTGGACAAGGTCAGATGATCAGATGACAGGAAGCTGCGTGATTTAGTTGCTGCCCACAAATCCTCCGTCAAGATATTTTTGAATATGGCTGGGAGACTCAAGCGGCGGGTAGCGCCGTCAATCACACCGCTTTATTGGAGAAGAATCGAGATGCACTCTCAGGCCCGTCTGGTATGGTCCTTTACTCTAGCCGTAATGGCACGCCGGGTACCTCCCAAGTTTAGTCTGGGCAAACCGAAGGGCCAAACCAGATACACGTTGATAGTTTAAGAATCCCGTCACGGATTTGGTGTCACCCGAGAACCCCTTGGAGCAAACATTGGACGGGGCAAGGCAGCGGAAAGCAGCCAACCGGACGAGACTCGACTAGGATCGGAGGGTGATGCAAATCCCCAAAGATGCATGCTTTGGGGTGTTGTCATATTCTACCCGTTGACTTTAATGTTGCACAGCAGGCGGCATCTTCGATGCCTTCCACAGTGCGCATGCTAGACGAAAGTTTGTCGCCGCAGTTGGAATCCTTTTCCTCAGATCCTCCAACCTCAACCGAATCCCCAAAGTCGAGGGTTTTTCTCAGGCCTGTGGTACGTACCTAGGTACCCAAGGAATCTCGTCCTCTGTTGGGCGGTCAAGGACCTAGAACTCCGAGCACGCACTCGCACACAGCTAAGGTTTGCTCCTAGCCCCTACAAATGGACGGACTATGGGGGTTTGGATATATTTCTTCTGAGAATGGGGAGCGTTGGGTGATACGGGAGAGTCCGTCACAACCCCGTACGATACTAGCCGATACGTCAAACGAAGTTGTCCGGGACAAGGCCAGTACCGTCTTCTCAGCAGGTCGGCTGGCCGCTCCCAGGGAAAGGGGATGTGCATCGTGCATGGGGCTGGCACTGCACTTACGCCTGCATCGACGGCGCCTAGCATAGGCGTGCTCTAGTCTCCCTTAACTTCCCTTCTGCATTGCATGATGCTGCATGCTTCCTGGAGGGGCCGCTCCTCGAATTACGAAAATCTAGGGTTGAAAGGGTGCTGTCCGCCTGGCCATGTATGGTCCGTCGCCTGGTATTAGGGCCTTGTCCAACACACGAAGCCACGAGTCAGCGTCTGCTGGAATGCTGGTCCAGCAAGGATTGTAGCAGACCGGGTTCAACTCTGATTGCAAAAAGGGAGACGGGAGCTTCTGCAGCGATTCGCAGCCGGGGCAAAGCTTTGTCTCGTTCCAGCATCAGCATCAAGGCGAGAAGCAACGGCCCGATCGACAGATAAGAGGGTTCGATAGACCTGGTCCGTCGAAAGATTAGAACATCGATCTTCCACTTTTCTGTTACATCCAGAGTCCTTTTCCCAGGCTCTTTGTTTCTTTGTATGGAGGTGCTTCTCCTGGGCTCCATATCCCTCTGACCACAAATATCAACCGGAGGACCACCACCACCCCCCTCCCCCCTCCACACCCAGACCTCGTATTCACGCCCTTACTGTCTCCCGGCTGCTGATCCGCACACGAACCCATCTGACGCAGCACCCAGCTTTGCTCACCCACACCTCGTTGTCTTCCCTTTGAGTCTGGAGTGGCCTTTGTCGAGGGCTTGCCTTTGCCAGCTCGCACGGCGTCAAACGGTAATTGTCGGGTTTTGCGCATGTTTTTCCCCTCCCAGGGAACCATCCTCTCCACAAAAAGAATTTCACATCACGAGTCGAACCTTTTTCGACCTGCGGCGAACGACTCGGATTACTACAACCTCCACAACCCAAGGGCCACCCAGGATTTACAGTTTGGTGGCCACGCGCAGCAAGTCATCCAAAAGAACTCATGCGAACCAATCGAGCCATCTAATCGATTGTTGTATTGCAAGCTCTCGGATGCCCCTCAGCCACGAGTCTGAGACTAGCGAGTGAGTCGAGTGATCACAGCGGCCAATTATTCATCGCGGCTGGTTGCGGCAACCCTATCCCTGCCCTGAAATCCCTCCCATCCCACCAACGCCTGGGAACCTCTCAAGAACTTACTCACCCCCAAGAGAGGGGACCCCGTCGCTGGATCCCAGCGAGAGGCACGTACCTAGCGGCGTCACCATCGCACTTGGTCACGGCGGAGGTCATCCTTAGCCTGACGCATCTGGCATATGTTGACGGGGTCGACGGAACAGCCCTCCCATCTCCAGCGAACGAGACCAAGGTTACAGGCTTTCCCGGCCCTTCCTGCCCTTCCTGCCCTTTTTTCCCCTCTGTTCTGACAAGCTGACTGGCATTTGGCCTCGCTTGGCTCCCAACTTTCCACGGCTGTGACTTGCGGAACCAGCCTCTGGTCAGGGTATTCTGGGAGTCCATCTCTTCCTCCCTCCTCTTTTTTTTTTTGCCGCCCGCATCTGCATCTGTCCCCGTCCGCACCATTGCGCTCGCCATCATCCGAGGAGTGGAGCCTGCATTGGCGGCCGGTGACGAGCGCTGCAGAACATCGAGGGGGCGTTCGTCTTATTCGACTTCCAGCTGCGACTGGCTGACGCTCTGTCCAATAAAGACCGACAAGGGCTTGATATCTTGTGGAACATTCGGATCGAACTCGCCGTAACGCACAAACTGCAACCCTCCCCCAAGCGTGCCTTTGCTGCAACAAATCCTGCAGAACAGATTTCATTTATCTCGGATCAGTGCTAGTAGGTTGCTGTCAAGCTTGCTAGCGAGAGCCGATCGATTTGGTGACGGCGAGGCCAACACAATATTCAGGCGGACGTTACTCACCCCATCCCACTCCACCTAGAGCGCTAATAGCCGTGTGTGCAACAAAGCAAGGAGAGAGGGGAGGGGCAAAGCAGCAAGGCATCCCGAAAGGTGTAACCCCGCCATACGCAGGACGCCCGTCACCTGGAAGTTGACAGGTCACACCAGCAGGAAGGGAGGTTTCCGTCTTTGTCTCTTTTCGGCCTGGCAAGCCCACCTTGGACTGCATTTTTGCAAGGTATATTTCAGTCCCTCCACAAGCACCGAGACCAGTGGCCGGAGTTCCCCTTGCAGCAGTTTGCAGCAACTTTTAACCTTCAACTCTCGACATCACCTACGGATCTATCTTGGACAAAGTCCGCCCAAAAACCACTGGGAACTGGCGGGGAAGCCCTCAGCTCCCAAGGTTGCGCACCCAGCACACACCCACTCCCGCATCCAACCAGCGATTTCCGTCAGGCAGCCGAACAGGCCGAGCCACAAGGCACTTGCCGAGCACCAGGTCAGGTTCCCAAAACTGCGGGAGGGCCAGGAGGCTCGGATTACGAGCAGCGGCGCTACTTGTCACTACCCACGCCGACCATTTTTTTGAAAAGGTGGCAGCAGACCCAGCCCAAGGATCGTGAGAGGACCACGGGCCACCCACCCACCCCAAAGCCTAACTAGCCGGGCTCCATCCCAAGGAACCCCACCTGGCGCCTGGCAGCTGATGATCCCTGTCCTGGAGCGCTAGTAGCCTCAATACCGCTTCTCCGGACCGCCTCCTTGGGTCATTCCCTTAGTGCCCTTTGGCCTTGGGGTGCCCTTTAGGGGCTTCCAGAAAATCGACAGGCAGCGCCCACCAGGCCTACATACATTTACCTTGGCTGCTCTCCCGCCCGAAGCCCTAGTTCCCATCCCAAAATCTCTCCCTCCTTCGGTTGTGCCTGCAGCGGTCGAGAGCCTATAGCGCCGGCTTGCCACTCTGTTCCAAGCAGCCCTTGGAGCCCTTGGGACACCACTCTCCACCCCCATCACATCCACCACGTCTCCAATCATTCTTCATCAACCGCCTCTTCCTTCCCAGCATCGTCATCTCAGCTCGTCACGTCCTCACCGACCTGTCCACTCTCACAACGTCTCTCACCCTTTCTCACCTCTTCTCACCATCTCTTGGATCGCCTTCCTTTCGACGGCCTCTGACGCAGCCCTTCCGTCCGAACGCCCGCCCGCCTGTCTGCGAACACCTGATCCTCTTTTTTGGCCCAGGGCCCCGACTACTTCGTACCATCTCACAAAGTTTTTTTTGCGTTGCCCGTACGCCTTCTAAGCAACTTAATACCTCAGCCCGGTCACCTCGCACACCCTTGCAGGAACTCATCCCTCTATTTACTTCTTCCCCCCCTTCCCTTCGCAGTGCAGTGCTTGCGACTGCGCCCGCGCCCGACAACCAAACCCTCCCTCCCGCCGTTCGACCTCGAGCTGGTTCTGAGGTCGACGTCTTCATCCCCTTTGGATTCCTCGTACGCTCTGCGAGCAAAGTCTCTCTGTTTGCTTTCCATCGACGCCTCGACGGTCCTCTCCTTGCCCGTTTTCCGTTAGCCTCGGTTGTTTCCTGGTCTGCGTCAACCCCCTTCGCTGGACCTGTGTCACCCACCCACGATCTTTGGATACCTCATGGCGGCGCAAATGGCGGATCCCCGGGATGCTCAACGTCCTCAGTACCCTCCTCCGGATGATCCAATCCAGAGTGGCTACTATTCACAACAGTCTCCTCAGCGTCCTGCCGCGAGAGACGACCGCAGCCCATATCCTCCCCCAGAACCAGTGAGGCAGCAGTATCCGGACCCAAGGGCAGCTCATCCATATCCTCCTCCCCAGGCATGGCCAGGTCAGCATGGTGCTTATCCTCATTATCCAGTAAGTCGCCCGTTTCAAGTCGAGTCAATACATCCAGATGACAGTTACAAAAAAAGGATCCTGCGCATCCAGCATATGCATATCCTCCGAGGCCTGAGATGGGACAACCCCCACCACCCATGCAACCGGATGCGTACCGCCTTCCCCCAATGTATGCGCATCCCCACGCAGGGTACTATGCTTCTCCCTACCCTCCGCCTGCTCCTGCTGCTGCACCACGACAACGTACGGCTATAGCCTGCAAATATTGCCGGAAGAGAAAGGTACGCATGATATCCATCCCCCACCACGGCGGAGGCAGTCGAAGAGTGTCGAAGAGTGTACACTAACGTCCAGAATAGATTCGGTGCTCAGGCTATGACAGTTCTCCCGATGGCCGTTGTCAAAACTGCGTGCGGTTCAACCAGCAGTGCCTGTTCCATCCCGTCTCATCGCAAGCTGCTTTTGTTCCCGCCAACGCAGTGTATGGACCCAATGCTGCGCGGGCACCCATTGCTGGTCAGGGTGATGGCCGAGCTGGCCAAAATGGACACCACTATCCTCGGGAAGGCGACCAGCCGCCAATGCTCTATGGTGCCCACGGTCAACCTCTAGGACCCGCAGGACCTCATGGACAACCCCAGTACAGCTATCCCCCGCCACCACCCCATGGTTATCCCCCTGCGCCTTATCCCTACTCGTACCCTCCTGCTGGACCACCGTATGACGCACATGGGCAGGCTCAAGCTGCTCAGCATGATGGACGTGTCAGTCTCAAACGTCCCCCTCCTGATGATGACCCCCACAATGAGAATTCTCATGCGTCCCAGTCTCCCCATCCCAGCTCGCGTGCGCGCAATAGTACATATGACTCGCGCCAAAACAGCAGTGGCAGCTATGATTATGCGGATCATACGAGCGGCGCGCCCACCTCGCCCGCTACGTCGACCATGAGCTATCAGTCCTTTCCTCAACAGCAGGCTCGCTGTCCCAACGGCAACCAGTTTCAGAAGGGCAACGTGTCACCGTCCGGTCTCACACCACAATCGGCGCAAAGCTACAACTCTCCCCGTCAGGCGCCAGCCTACGATGACGGGAGGACTCCGCCCCCCAATCAACCCGGCTCGGCAGGGTCCTCGACAAACGGCAGAAGTGGCATGAAGGTGCACGAGATGATTGAGCATACCCGGACTACAGCTCCGGACCTACGGGGCAAGAACGATAACGACATGTTGAGCAAGCTCGACGGCAAGAAATAGCGAAAGTTCGCTCGTGCACTGGCGCCCTTCTCGACCTCTCCTCAAAGACCCTGCTTACCCCTCGACAAGAATCCAGCAGAGGCTGCTCTCCTCCCCAGGAGCTGGCTCGTGGAGCACTCTCATCATCAAATGTTATCAACTCGACGTGCATGTGTGCATGCATGCGTGCACATTTGCTTTCAGGGCGTTGTCGCGTCTCGGCGACATCATGGATGGACTACATGACTTTTTCTTGTTTTCAAAAGGATACACAACCTGGGGCAACCCAAATCTCTTTATTTTCATCATTATCGGTCTTTACTGGAATTTCGCCAGTGAATCGGACGAAAAGGGCTAAAATGGGATAAGATAAACCATTGGGTGGCTGTTTGATCAAGTTCTCTTTCTCTCGGAAGACCGCAAAGCTGTTTACGACGTTTTTGCCCGATGGTCCTCGGCTATCAGAGCCCGATTCACCGCTTTGCGAATGTTGAACGAAATGCACACTTGGGTGGCTATCTGAATTGTTTGTTTTTTCTGTTTCGAATGCACTACTGTACCTGGGAAGGCTGTCTGAATCCTTTTTGTTGTTTTTCACGCAGAAAAGAAACCAAACGCGGCGTTGCAATCTTGTGTACTCATAGTACCAGTTACCACCTTCTCGGGTCATTGGGCAGCGGTTCTGTTTTGTTTGAAGCTGTTCCATCTCAAGCTCTCCCATCAATACGGGATTCTCAACGGATTTTATGAGATCAAACGAGGGTGGAAAGAGTGGGCGGCAGAACAAAGCCACTGGCTGAAGGCGCGAGATGGGCGTTTGGAGATACTGGAGTTGTTAATGGGGCGAAGACAAGAGGCGAGAACAATCTCGTTGGAGCTTGGGCTCTCCGCGAAGCGGCCGCAACGACTGGCGCCACGACACCCAACACCGGCAGCCAGAGGGAGATGTTCGAGCTCGGCGGGATTCTTGCTCTGCCGGCACCTTGGGAAAAGGAGGGGATGGATCAATGGAGGCTTGTTCGAGCTTGTCTGCTAGTTTCTGAATGCGTACAACCTTTATTTAGTTTCTGGTGCCATGAGTGTATTTTTGTCAGCGCGTAATCTGTTGGAGTCGTACGCCCTCATATGATAGACCGTTTCTCATCGTCATAAGATCTGCCCAATCGCATTTCTCGCAGCGCTGATCTGGTTTGCTTTCTTCACGGTCAGCTGGAGCCAATCCCCAACGGAGACTCGCTCCCGCCACAAGGCGTCTGAAACCGTGACGCTCGATGGCTGCCTGAGCTGGGCTGAATGGCGAGGCGGGGATGGCAAAAGGACACCGGACGCGCCGTTGCTCCCGTCGCTTCTCACCCACGAGGACGAGTAGAGATGGCAGAGGCGCGACATTGGCGGAGCGAACCACATGCACGACATTTTGTTTTGTTTTTCTCCTTGAAACCTTTTTTTTTTCTTTTTTCCTTTTTACCCGTTTTCCGAAGTTTCCGCGTTCCACGGGAGGGAGGGAGGGAGGGAGGCGGTATGCGCATGCGATGCAATGGATATGCAGGGCTGGGGCGGGACGAGAACTTTTGGCCGCAGGCTGGCCGCAGACTGGCCGCATGGCCGCATGGCCGCCCGCGCGGTGCCTCCCGCCGCCTTCCTGCTGCCCTGCATTTGCATTTGCATTTTGCCCTGCCAAGTTTGGGGGGGGGGGGGGGATTTGAACCCAGATTAAGAGGTAGAGCGCGGGGTGGTGGAGGAGGAGGGGGGCGAGTCGTCCGCCCGGAGTCCCGAATAAAAGGGCAATGATGAAAAGTGAGAGAGAGGAAACAAAATGATCGGGCGTGGTTGGTGGTTGGTGATGGTGGTGGTGGTGTGTGGCGGGAGGTTGATGCGCTGGCACCATACAAGAACAAGAGCTAGCAGCCGAAACATGGGAACATCAAATCATTAATGCTGATGACGATGACAAGTGACGGGTGCCAATACGGCTTTTACCTGCAGAGATACCTGGCTCATAGATAGCTTGTGGCCTATACTGTAGCTTAGCTGGCCTAGGGACCTACCTCCCTTAGGGTTACTGTGTACCTACGAGGTACTACTACTCCGGGCACCTATGCCGCACATGGCCACCAGGCCTGGCACAAGGCTGACATATCAACCCCGAGGTACACACTGCACCCCCTTCAACGACGAGAAAGACAACACCAAGGACCTCGATAAGAGAACCCTTCATCTCTGCTGAAGATCGTTGAGCTATCGCTATTGCTATTGCGTGTCATTGCTATTGAAGCCCTGCACCACCCTTGATTGCCCCCCAGCTGGAGGAAGGAGTCAGTCAACTCGGCCACTCTTTGCACAGCGCCATGCCAACTTCTCTTCTCTCTCTGTGTTGTTGTGTGCAATGTGACGATTTTCTTGCCCTTTTTTTTTTCTCAATGGGGAACACTTTTTTTTTCCTTTCCCGCCTGTTGCTTTTAGAACAGGGACGAGGGGGTCTTTTTCTGGTAATCTTGCAGCTCTGAACAGGTCTTCCGCTCGCTCATGGCATGGGCGTAGCGTTTTGTTTGAGAGTTTTTCTCTTCTGGATCTTCCAATTGAGCACTCGTTCACCATGATTCATCCATCGTTGCCAGTCCCAAAGCTCTCGTCGCATTGTATTTGCATTTGCATCGCATCGAGTGCCCATCATTGCATGACTGTCATGATTCGTTTCCATTGACCACAAGTCCAGCGCATTGCACCTGCTCACTGCACCTCGATCCAACTGCAGTGAATTGGCTTTGACGCTCCTGCGGATCTCCAGTCATTCTTATCCAGGGAAAGTCGCAGCCCAATTTTCTCACCTCCATTTCACCTCGGCCTCAAAAATGCAGGTCACGGATCCAAAAGTCTCAAGACTCGGACTCGGCCTCGCCCTCGCCCTCATACTCGGCCCCCTCGTCAATCGTGTCTTCAATGTGGACCTGGCGGTATTGTTGATGCATGCGGTAACCGCGCTCTTCAGCAGTGGTTTCGCTGTTGGTCATGCGCTGAGCATACGAGGTGCCAACAAGAGCAGTCCCAAAGCCCGGGGTCGTGAGAAGGCGAAGGCCTCGCTTGGGAGAGTAGTCCTCCTGCGGGATCGCCGTATAGCCTTCCCAGCCAGAGCCGGGCCCACGATCCTCGGGAGGGCCATGGTTTGTCGGAGGGGTGCGATAGGGAGGAGAACTGTCGGTCGCGAAGTCCGAGTTGGAAGACACGTCAGAGTAATTGATGTAGCTTGGAGAAGAGCTAGGCATGACCGGCGTGCTGACCACCTCGCTATCCTCGAAATCGTCTTCGATAGGACCAATACCGGCGGAAGGCACACGCCCGGGCATGCGTCGCAGGGGGCTGCCCCGCGGAGTGGTGGCTGGAGTCATCACAGGAGTACGCATGGCCACACGATCAGCCTGGCTTGTGGTTTCGCCAAAAAGGTCATCCAAGAATTCGTCGATGCCATCGGCCTTGTTAGGGTCCTGGTCCGATCCGGGAGACAGCGTCAACCCCCCAGGACCGCCAACAGCGATACTTCCGGTCTCGCGAACAGGAGTGGATTGCAGGGTGGCAAAGGGATTTCCATCATCCGGAGACCGAATTGTAATACCGCGATGCTCACGATTCTTGGGCCCTTGAAATAAGTTTGGCTGGGCAGCAGCGGCATCAGCTCGACCAAAGGCAGCATTGAGAGGCGGGCCGAAGATTGGTGCAGCAGGCTGAAGGCGGATACCGGCAGCGGTAGCGGTAGCTGGAGCGCCACTACCAACGGCAGCAGCAGGGTCTTTGCCTTTGCCTTTGTTATTGCTGCGAGCGGTGCTGATTCTCTGCGGAGAAGTAAAGTCGCCATTTCCCAACCCGGAGCCACCAAAGACAGTGCCGGTGCCAGTGCCCAAGGTAGAGTCAGAGTTGCTGGGGGTATGACGACGACGCTGTTTCCAGCCTGGCGGTGGTTCAAACGCCGGAGTCTCTGGATTGAAGGGGTGACCGAGGACAGTGCCGGAGCGGACGGGACGGTGTTGAGGGAGCTGTCCGACGATAGTCGGTCCAGGCCCGTCGTTGCTGGCTGCCAACCCGATGTTCTGCAGGCCGGCTCCCAATCCCTCAGTTTCGGTGTCATAGACGCTCTGTTTAAGCATGGAGGCTTGCTGTCTCGCCGGCGGAGCCTCGCTGACTTGTCTGAGCACTTCGCGCATGGCTTTCTCTGCCTTCTCGGGGTCGTCGACATTGTCACCGTATCCTCCTCCTTCAAAGTCATCCTCATCGTCGAAATGGTCATACTCATTCAAGGTGTCAGGATTCTGATCTTGACCGGTCTGGTAATTGGTGGTGTGGACGCCAGCACCTGATCCTTGACCGTTGTTGTTGAGCGGACCACCAGGACGGGTGTTGCTGCTTCCAGCGCCGGTGAGAGGGTCGCCATGATTAACATGAGCGGCACCGACGGTAAAGTCGTTGTTGAAGTGATGCTGTACGTGGGTAGGTGTCCCAACGCCCATCTGACCCATGTAAGCATCCCAACCAAGCTTCATCATGTCATTCATGAAACGCTTTTCCAAGATGGAGAACTGTCCACGCTTCAAGTTGAGGCCAGTCTCAGTAGGCATGAACAAGACATGGCCGTCGGGGTCACGGATGACTTCGAGATATGGCTCGATGCCGATGAGTTTGCGGTTCTGAGACTCCATGATGCCCATGCCGATGTTCAAAATTTCAAACCACATGCCAATATCTTGATCGGACAGATGCGCCGGGTGCGCAGTCAAGGTCTGGAACGGCCAGTACCGCGCATGCTTGCTGATGCGGAACCCACACGCCAGCGCCTGAGAGGCCTCGACAATGTCTGCGCGCTCACGCTCAGAGAAGCCCGGAGTATTGAGACCGGCAAAGACGAAATCCATCAGGAGTTTGTTGTCAAGGCCCACTTCACGAGGATTGCCCGTGGAAGAGTCGACTTTGACAATCAAGACGTCAAGCTGCTTCTTATAGGCGTCGAACATGGCCTGAATCTGACGAATGGTGTAAAGTTTGACGGAAAACCAAGGGAACTGGAGCTCAGGAGTCAGACAGGTTTCTTCCAGAAGGCGAGAAGGGGAGTGGACAGCTTACCTTGTACAATGTACTGATCATGCTCTCAAAGGTACGTTGCATACTCCGGTTCGCAAACTGGGACTGAACCAAGGGCAAAGGATGTCAGTTCGAATGTCGACGGCGCAGTTGGGGACAGGGGAACAAGAGGCTTACGCGCTGGGGATATTCAGCATGGCGGACCATGCAGGTGAGTTCCTCATTGGTCATGAATCCTTTATAGCCCGACGAGAAGATATCGCGGTTCGGCACCAACCTTGGGGCCCCAAACTGTTCACTGTCAAAGTGAATGCACTTGGCACGAGGGAACATGTCTTTCATCAGCTCGCCTTGGTTGCTGAGCCACACTTCGACGTTGCGCTGGCCGATCTTGGGGATTCGCATGAGCTTGAGCCCAAAGCCTTGTTCCCAGTCTTGAGCGGCGGTGCGTGGGGCGATGATCTCGACATAGCAATCCATCGTCTTCCCGGTCGAGCGTTCCATGATGATGTGGATGGGGTAGCCGGCCACATGGGGCTCGATCAGGTGGTTCTGAGGGATGTACTTGCAGACAAACTGCTGCATTTCGGGGATGCTGATGGTGTATGGGATCTGGCCGAGTTTGGCATTGTTAGCAGGAGTCTCTTGGGGCAACGAAATCAAAGATCAAGAATGAGGCTTTTGGAGGGGCATGAAGAATAACAACATCAACAAAGACTTTGTGAGCTCGCAACAGATTGCTGCCAGTTGATCTGAAGTGTGAGATGGGATCTCCCATTCAACTCAAAGTGGCAGCATGACACAAAAGTGACAGGCAGGTGACGCGTTGCTCAAAAGATGTTGCAAAATGCCAGTCCCACAAGAGATCTCGGAATGACAAGGGAGCCGGAACTTACATTCGTGATCTTGAGGACGCCATGACGTCTGGGGAACTGCATCTGAGCCCGATCGGCGAATGGCGGCGGCGTGCTTGGATCAAAGGGCACTGGAGCATCTGCCATGACGCGAACAGGCGGAGCAGGAGTGTACACAACACCTGCGGCAGCAGCAGCAGCGAAGGGATCGTTGTTGGGGAGGTAGAAGTTGGGGACTGAAGGTGCCGGCATGGGCAAGAGTGGCGCTGTTGGCATGACTCCGTTCATGGCAGCCATCGCCGGACCGTTCAGGTTGATCCCGCCGACAGGTTGCTGGGGAGGAAGATGATGAATGCCTGGGTGGAAGTTGACGGGGGGAGGCGGAGGCGGCGCAAGTGGTCCTATCGAGGGATAGGGAATCCGCACATGGCCGGAGGAGGATGGGAGGTAGCCCTGTTGCTCGTCACTCGGCACAGAGCTGAACCCCGGCTGGCCTTCCATGGTGACAGACAATCCTCAAAGTAACGTCAAACACATCAAGAGAGAGAGATGAAGGAAGGAAAGGAAGAAAGGTGGAAGTGATGAAAGAGGAAACAACAACAACAGCAACGCGAGGGAGAAGAGGAGGCAGTTTAAGTAGAAGGAGACGAGGCAGAGACCGAGAAATCCTTGGGCACGCAAAACACCAGTCGAACGCAAAAGTGAGAGATCAGACGCTGCACTCAAAAAAACCAGAACGACAGCCCTGTTTCCCGTGCGCCGCCAGATTCGGTGAATAGTCGAAGGCGGCGAGTCCGTGATATTGATTCAGGGCATCCAAAAGGCCAAATTCTGGCCTCACTTGTCTGTCTCCCCATACAATTGAGAGAACTAGCTTGGCGTCCGCCAGACCGCCCGGGGGAAATCTGGAGATAGTGCCGGTCGTATGTGGACCGCGTTGTTGACTCGGGTGGTCGCCAGCGGGGGTTTCGCCGTCTGTTGTAGCGCTCCATCTTCAATGCAGAGATGGCGAGGGGGCGAACGAGCTGGCGTTCCTCAGAGTCCGACCTGTATTTCTGGGGGGACTGTCTCAGTCTAATGATCACAAAACATTTTGAATGGCCCTAATAGAACGTTGGCACGTGAGACAAGATGACTGCCGAACAATGGACTTTGCATTCAACCTCTGTAGAGAACAGAATGATGGGAGCCATGACATTTGCCACCGGTCCATTGTCCATCATTCGACATGGCCCATCGTCAACCCCATGCTGCTCCAAGTATTCTGCGTGATTGGCATGTCGTTGGCTCGTAGTCACATGATCTCAGGGGTCGTGATTTATCCGCAGCCTTGTGTAGGCTCAGCCAAAATGACTGGACCTGTAGTGAGGCCCGCCAATACCACCACTCGAGCATGATCTGCGGCTCTTGTACTTTTATGTTGTCAAACACCTCAAATCTAGTCGAACTGCATTGTGTCAACATTGGCTACGGCCTGGCAACTTCAGGGGCTTACCGGAGTCAAGAATGATTCAGCCACAAAGCGAGCTCTGGCGTTCAGCTACAGACTGGATCAGTAGACGCCCATAAAGTAAGCCCAGGCGTCTATAACTTACGAAGAGCTTCATCTCCGAGATTTCCTTGTCGACTTCCTCCATGAACTGGATGATGAAATCCACCAACTTATGCTTGAGCATTTCTTCCGTGTGAGTGTTTGTGATCAAAAACGAGATATCGTAACCCTGCAGCTTGTCAGAATCCAACCATTGGCGATACTGATACTACCCACTTTGACTGGCTTCCGTCGTAGAATGAAGAAGGACTCGGCACGCTGAGTAAGGAAACGCGTGAACTTGTGGACAAGGATATTCTCAATCTCGTCTGCCTGCTTTATTCTGATGCTCACTCGCACACTGTTCACGCTGGGTTCTAATAGAACCTTCTCGTTCTCATTTCGGGCGATTGTGAGAGGGTTCAGCAGGACTTCTGGCGAACTAGCTGCCTCGATCTCGGGGACATTGTGTCTTTCTGAGGCTTGAGAAGCGAAGTTTGAGAGAGAAAGAGCAGCCGTCAGAGAGGAGCGCACACATTGAAGATAAGGGCGCAATGATTGGGACTGGGCTCAGCCGTCAGCAAATTGTACAGGCCAGATACGGAGTGAGGATAGCAGCAGGCATACCATCTTCAATGCGCTCACTCAGCTGGGATGGGGAGGAGAGCAAAGGGTTCACCGGCACATGGACACTAGAATGGATTTGAAATCAAGACTGGTATCCAGCGTGCTCTTTAGTTCTTCGCTATGCAATTGTAGAAGAGAGGTTGTCGCTTTCGACTCAGGTTGAATGACTGAAGATTCTCTGTGGAGGGGAACTGCCCGCAAGATCCGTCATCCGCAGTCGCGGCGGGTGTCCCTGCGCTCTCCTGCGCTCACCTGCGGCAGCCAGGCTTGGCATGGGCTTGTTTGGCGGGGATCGGGTGACGTGCTGTTTTGTGCCTGTCGAGCCTTGCATATTTCGCCGCCTTCTAACAATTTCCAAGCATTTGTTTTCCTCTACTTGTCCTCCCATTCTCTTGCACAAGACTCCTCGTGTCACTCTTGTCCGTTGTCTCGCAGAACAGATCAACACTATGGCGACCATTCCTGGTAAGTTTTCTCTGACATTCCTGCAAAAGAGACGCAGTTGCTAACAACATCCAGTTGTCATCAAGCACCAGGGCAAGAAGTACAATGTCGACCTCGACCCCTCGGCAAATGGCGAGATGCTCAAATTCCAACTCTTCTCTCTCACCGGTGTCGAACCTGAGCGACAGTCCGTTCTGATCAAGGGAGGAAAGCTAAAGGATGACACCGAGCTATCTAAGCTCAATGCAAAACCTGGCCAGATCTTCACAATGCTCGGCACTGCTTCTGGCGAAAGTAGTGCAGTCACTGCTCCCGCGGAAAAGCCAAAATTCGTCGAGGACATGACTGAAGCTGAAGCTGCCGCTCAAGAAGGTGCCACTCCAGCTGGACTTCAGAATCTCGGCAACACGTGCTATTTGAACTCCACTCTGCAAGTTCTCCGGAGCATACCTGAAATGCAAGACTCGTTGAAGATCTACAAGGCCGATACGGGCGCGGGTACGAGTCTCCAAGATCTCAGCCGACTCGGTCTTGGTGGACTCAGCTCCGCCAACGACCTGACTGCTCAGCTGCGAGATCTATACAAACACATGTCGGAGACACAGGAAGGATTTCCCCCCATGATGTTTTTGAACGCTCTGCGTAATGTTTATCCTCAGTTTGCCCAGAAAGCAAAGAACGGACAGGGCTACGCCCAGCAAGATGCTGAGGAGGCTTGGTCACAAATTGTTCACCAGTTGAGACAGAAGCTCAAGATTACGGACAAAAGCACTCAAGAACAGAAAGACATCGCATTCATTGATCGATACATGGCCGGTTCTTTCCATTCCTCGCTCGCACCTCCTCCAGAAGTTGGAGACAGCGAGCCTGTCGTGGAGTCTGATGACCCTTTCCTGAAACTAGACTGTCATATTGACCAATCGATAAATCATCTTCGGGACGGCATCCTCGCCGCTTTGACAGAAGATATCGAGAAACACTCACCAACACTTGATCGGGATGCAAAATACATCAAGACTTCCCGAATCTCCCGGCTTCCTAAGTACCTGACGGTACACTTTGTGCGATTCTTCTGGAGAAGAGACATACAGAAGAAAACCAAAATCATGAGAAAAGTCACCTTTCCAGAAGAACTTGACATCGTGGAGTTTTGCACAGAGGATCTGAGGAAGCGACTGATTCCGGTTCGTGACAAGGTTCGCGACATCCGCAAGGACGAGCAGGACGTCGAGCGGGCCAGAAAGCGACAGAAGCTGGCTCACAAGCAGGAAGAAGATCGAAAGCATGATGAAGCGATGAAGGGTGTAGAGGCTGCTCCAATTGCAAAGCTCCGCGAACAAAAGGAGAAGGAGGAAGGAAAGAAAAAGGAGCAAGAGGGTGGCGAAATGGATGTGTACAAGACGGATGCAGAGTACGAGGCCGAACGAGCTGCATCCATCAAGCAAGCCAAGAAAGAACTGTTTACTCTCATTGATCCAGAGCTTGCAGCAGATGAAGGGTCGAACAAATCGGGCTTGTACGAGCTCAGGGGTGTCATTACTCACCAAGGCGCAAGCGCTGACAGCGGCCACTACACCAGTTTTGTCAAGAAGCAAGGCAGGCTGGTAGACGATCCCAAAGCACCTGGGGGCAAGCGCAGAGAAGAGGATGGCAAATGGTGGTGGTTCAACGACGACAAAGTCAGCGAGGTCGAGTCGGATAGGATCATGACTCTTTCAGGTGGCGGCGAAAGCGCTTCTGCCCTGATTTTGCTCTACCGAGCTATTGACCTACCGACCAAGGATGAGATCGAGGATGAGTCGTGAGCGTTTCGGACTCTTGACATTTTCTGATAATGAGCATCAGCAGCGTGTTGGGCTTAAAGACAACAGAGCATACTTAGACATAGACTGCCAGCGCCGAGAGACATTGAACGAATCACCGAGGACATTCCCCTCCGTGGCACAATAGTATAGCACGATCCGAAGACTGATTCATAATTATGCTTCTCAAGGCAGCGGATGGCCCATTCGAAATACTTCGACATTTCTGACTCACGTGCTGGAAAGTTGCCTCTTGCCTGTTTGGGCGAATTCTTGGCGCCCACCAGTTGGAAACTTCAAATCCACCACCACGGAACTGCACTTTGCCATCATCCCATCAACGTCCATCTTGTAACCTGCGCCCGAAATCCAGCAATTCATCCATCAACTCGACTGAAATCGACTCGCAATCATGGGTAAAGTTCACGGATCCCTTGCCCGTGCCGGCAAAGTCAAGTCTCAAACTCCCAAGGTGAGTGGGATCGAGAAACAATTTCACAAGCACCGCAATGTCACCATCGGCCACTGTTATGATCCATGAAGCTTTTCGTCAGGCAGCAAATGATGGATCTCGGACTCACACTCTTCTGTACAGGTTGAGAAGCAAGAAAAGAAGAAGACGCCCAAGGGCCGCGCGAAGAAGAGAATTACATACACCAGACGGTTCGTCAACGTGACGATGACAGGTGGCAAGAGAAAGGTATGGATACATTACAATAGGAATCGCTTGGGAATAGTAAAATGCTGATGATTCTTCAGATGAACCCCAACCCGACATCATAAACGCCAGTCTCTCTGCGATGCAGTGATAGTCAAAGCAGTTGCCGAACGATGAAGGACGACCATGGTGCCATGTACAGCGCAGAAGTGATACTGAAAACGGAGGTACCAATCGCGGTGGGATGGCACAAATGAAGGCATACTGTCACGCGGAAGTTTTGAGTTGCATTACACGTGGATCAATGCATAGATTCCCTAGAGCCGGGAGAAAACAAATGCTCCGGCTTGAAGATGGGATAGTTGGCCATGGTGATGATCAATAAGAGGCGTTTTTGAGATGGGCTGGTACATTTCGACAAACTATCAAAATACTTGTCATGAACCCGCGCTCCTTGCTCTTACTTTCCGGTCTTTCAAATTGTCGTCGCGCATGATGGGCGCATTCTCGCATCAACGGTCCCCCGAATCCGAGCCCGGAAGATGCGATATGGCGACCCCTGTAGTGAATCCTTTCGTTTGAAACGGAACGCTTCCAAGTAGATTATCTTTGGTGGCCACGGCTATAAATGGACATCCTGAGTCTCGCCAAAGAACTGCCTTTTACCTTGAGATAGATGAGTGGGACTGGCAGCATGGTCAGTTGGACATTGTCGCTGGCACGAGAATCCTCGCCGCCAAGGACGAAGGCGCAACTTGCGAATGCGCAACACCCAATGTTTCCCCTGCAGTTGACTTTTCCGCAGCCTTCTCCAAAGCTGCGATATAAAGTTCTGGGTTCCAATCTCGTCAATTAGTAAATTGTCGTTTTTTGCCCTAATCTCTACTCGCTCCAGCTCCTCGCGGGCGTAAGCTCACTACAAATCCTCTCGATGCAGGCGCTTCGGCCTGTCCTGCTTCGCCGAGTACAGCGCGCGGTCACCAAGGACAAGCTCTCCCAGCTCTCTCGCTCAGGCTCGTTGAATAGCTGGCGAGCCCAGCACGACCACCATGGCCCTCACAAAGAATACTTCCAGACTCCTGGCCAAATGCCCGTTCCCGACTCGACACCCTACACACATGGCCAACCATACATACCGAGCATACAGAATGTCCCTCCCACATCGAGAACCGGTGGCATCTCGCTCTTAAGGAGCTTTAGCCGATCCGTCTTTTGGGCTGTCCTTTTCGCATCTTTGGGTGTCACCGCCGGGACGGCGCTGATAACATGGGAGTACCTACAGCCCCCCTTCGAGCCTGGTTCTCCCGCGGAACAAGAACTCTACGACGAGATCCTCGACGCGATGGAACTCCACCCGTTGGTCGATTCGCTGCGACAGGCAAATTGGATAGAAGAGAACTACTACGCTGCTCACAGCGGGGCGGGCAACGAGCTGGAGAATAGAGGGCTACACCTCGTGGCGGAGACACTTCAGGGAACGCAAGGAGTGAGCGTGAAGACATTCAAGCACCCGACTCAGGAATTTACCATCATGGTTTGTTTTCTGGGTTTTGGCATCGAGGGTTGGCCGGACACAATCCACGGCGGCATGATTGTAACTCTGATTGAGGAGGGAATTCAACGACAGATTCACAACTTCTACAAAAAGTTCGGAAGCCGGGACCAGCAGACGATTTCCATTGATTTCAAGAGACCTATGCGGCCTGGAGAGATATATGCTGTGATTGTCCCGCCTGCGCAGTTGGAATCGAATCCAGCTCCAGAGACGACGCATCTGCAGATATTGCCCATGGTTGTGAGGATCGAGGCTCCTCCCAGGATTACGCCTGAGTTGCTCACGATCGAATTGCCGTCTATTGATGAGTTGCATGCGGTGGCCAACGTACAGGTTCGACTCGTGCAGTCCAAGAGTGAAGAGGGAATGGCAGAGCCCGAGGGGCACGTAGCCTCGAAAAAGATCGACTGAGCGCAAATGACTGAGGCGCATCATCTCCCGGGTATCAAAGTTGTGGACCGTCTTCCGCCTTCGTCGACCGACAACTCAAGTCTCACGGCGAAAATTGGACACTAGGAACGCAGGTAAGCACTTGCTGTCTACGACCACATTATTCGATATCTTGGCTTATTGTTGGAACAGTCTTTTCCCGCCCTCTACGGTCAACGAAGTCGTCCAGAGTTTCCGAACTACTTTCATTCACACCACCAAAATATGTTTCACGGAGTGTCGGTTGTCCAGCGATCCGAGCAAGCATAAAGTTGGGGCAATTATTCCCTGTGCTATTGCTTGCGAGTCATGACAAGGTCCCCTTGCCCAGAATGGCAGACTAAAGCCCTGTTCATTTTCGATCACCGCCATCGGTTGCAGCAGGCGATGGTGCAAGGGACGATTCGATGATGTCGACACGTGGGATGGCCAGACTAGGGACCAAGAAAGCAGCCACAATACGCCTAACCCGTCAATCACTGTCGCTCCCTGCATTTTGAATAAGGCTAGAAGTGCCAACGGAATTTGGATCGTGCAAAGGAGCGTGGCGAACGACCGGACTGGTGCCCAGATTAGGCGATCGCACGGCGAGAGTTTCGGCTATCCCCTCAAATGGGTGAAAAGTGTCGACGTGCATGCAAAATACCGAGGCGCGCTGAGAGTCGGCAACTGAGATTCTTTGACCATTTTACGAATAGGACAAAGGATTCATGCTTGTTGGTGGGGTGAGGAAGAGGTACAGGTGTTTTTGAGAGCGTCCGTAATGATCAACGACGAGCAGAAACAAGCAGTCATCGTTTCAAGGGAGGTATTGTGAGGGCATGTCGAGAGGTTGACCAGGACTCTGGAGTGTTGTTCAAGCGCGCAATCGGGCGCCATTGCATCCTCTACGACGCATGTTCGTCTCGTACAGGAGGAGCCTCGGTATCTGGCCGGCTATCTCCTGGCAGTGTCAGGTATGGCTTTACCGACTTTTGAACCAATTTGGATGTTTGTCCGTGATGCAGGTCGGGAGCAGGCCACTGCTTGCCACCTTTTGTCACCTCCAGACTCAATTTTTGCGGAGAAGTGGGCCAGTGGCTCGTTTTTGGCCCGTAGTGTCCCACTCTCGTGAATCCTTCGAGTTGTGCTCGCCTACCAATCCTCCATACCCCAGCATTCTTTTTCACGATGTCGGGGTGGTTTGTGGAGGGTGACCGAGTCGATGATACATGGATTGCGGTCCGCGAAAGACACCGAGTGGGCTGGGTAGGACGAGTTTGATGCGATCCGACAGCTGCGAAGGGTTGCCATTTCCGAGGCCAGGGGCTGCATGCCAACTATCCAAGCGCCACCTCCATCTCTTGCTCTGGCACACCCCCGCGTCCCGCACGACTGGCGGCGCAAACAACTGCCTTTGGTGTGTCTTAGTTAGCTCCAATGCTTGCAGCCCGACTTTGGGGGCCCCGAAAAAAACGAGGACTTGCCCTCGTATTCTCCCCCTCGGTGCCTGTGAAATGGATTGTGCACACGCATTCCTGAGAAAGCCTAAACGGACCACACCGATTGCCGATGGATGCTCACGATCCTCCCGACATGTCAGAGAGAGCGCGATGAAGCAGCGAGCTGGGCTAGTCGACCTTCTCCGGGGGGAACCGAGTCCAGGTGTTGGGAGATAACAGAACGCAGGCTGGGGGAACGAGGGTGACATGATGGGGAAGAGAGAAACGAAATGGGACCTTTTTTTCCCTTCCACGGAAGAATGCCTAGAGCCACTCATCGAATCGCTCCCTGCGCACACTCACTCTCTCGTTCTCTCTCTTGAGAACAATAATACAGTACAGAAGAAAATTGCCTTTTTTCCTCCTTTGTCTTTTCGCTCTGGCCATTCATACTTCCCTACCCGGGGTGCCCATCAATTCTCGGTGTCGACTCCTGGCCCTTTGATTCCTGTTCCATCTGATTCATCCTGCGTCAACAACTAAGCTACCGCTAGTCTTGCAGTAACGCCTTGTGACTAACGATCCTCCTTTCCTCTTTCTTCCGCTGCTTGGGTGTGACCTTTTCTTGTCACGCCCTGGGATGGATAAAGTGGCAAACGCCTCCCATCGGATTTGGCGTCTCCGTCGAGTTAGGAAGCCAAAGTCAAGTCGAATCAAGGCGACCCAGGTCTCGTCGTTCTCACCATTCGACCAACTGCCAATCTTGCCGGCACTGCGCCCCATCGCGTATCATCATCCCATCAATAATGGATGCGTGTTCCGCATGTCCTCGCATTGTTCCACCCTCCCACCGGCCCACCTCTAGGTACGGAGGACACTCCATTCCACGAGCCCTCCACACCCCCCCACCGTCCTTTCTAGTGTTGAGATTGGTAACCTCCCCGGTCACTCACCACAGTTAGCCACAGGACTTTGACCTGACTCAAATGTTTCTGCTCCATACTCCATGCTGTGGCCACCCACTCTCCCCCGGTCCCCGCAGGGGTCTCGCCCACGGCAGCCAACCCCCCAACCATCAATCTCCTACCACCTCGAGATAAGTGAAAATAGGTCGTCGGAGAAGCGCATGAAGCATCAGTGTGAAAGAGCCCCCGTGGTGAACACATGTTCCGAGTCGACCGTCCTGATCCATCTCTCGCTCGCCGACTACATCAATCCTTCTCTTCCCCATCTCCTCTCTTAACCCCCGGCTTCTTTTCACCTCCCTGTCTGGTGTTTCCCGCCCTGCGCAATCCCTCATTGCCTTCTACCTCGCCTGCCTCTTTACGTTGCCCATCATGACTGCTCAGGAAGACAGCTCAAGCGACAACGTGCCTTCGCCCATCAACGACAAGGACCCCTCCTCCCATGTCGAGCAAATCCATACCAACGAGAAAGTACCAGGCCATCCTGGGTACTATGAGAAAGATGGTCTGCGGACGTATGGTGACGATGAAGACCATGACCACGAGCCGCCGGTGAGTGCATTTCCATCTTCGCATCGCGGCAACAACCTTTGTCAATACTGACGGGCCCTGCTTTATTTAGATGACCGTTCCGAGAGCCCTCAGCTTGGTCGCCATGGCTTTCTTGTGGACTGGCTCCCAAATCCCTGTGTACATCCTCGGTGGTGTCCCGCCATACATCTATGCCGATATTGGTGGTGTCGACCGATGGATTTGGTTCGTCCTGGCTTACCTTCTGGCTTTGGCCGCCATCTGCCCCTTCGTTGGGTCGATTTCCGATCTCGTTGGAAGACGTTGGGTGGCACTGGGAGGTTCGGGGTTGCTCATCGTTGCCATGATCATTTGCGGTACAGCGCACAGCATGGGCGTGTTCATCAGTAAGTATCATCGTCCACAAACCATACCAGAATTCTGACCATGGATCCTCCTCTCAGTGGGCATGACTTTCTCCGGAATCGGGGCTGGTATCTGTGAGCTTACCTCCCTCGCCGTCACGGCCGAGCTCGCTCCAACCCGCAAACGAGGAAAATATGTCTCCATCCTCGTCTTCACCATCATCCCCTTCTGCCCATCCGTCCTCTGGGGTCAGTTGATCGCCTCGCACGCTGGCTGGCGATATTGCACCCTTCTCTGCGGCCTCTGGGCATGTGTCGGCTTCGTCGGCACCTTGGTCTTCTATTTCCCTCCGGCTCGACCAAACTCCCGCGGTCTCACCAAGAAGGAGATTATTGACGAGATCGATTTCGTGGGTGGGTTCCTCTCCATCACCGGGATGATCCTGTTCCTGGCCGGTCTGCAATGGGGCGGCTACCAATACCCATGGCACTCCGCGCACGTCCTGGCACCTCTGATTATCGGCGGATTTTTCCTGCTGATTGCGTTCCCGATCTGGGAGATCAAGTTCGCCAAATTCCCAATGTTCCCGTCAAGAATGAAGAAAGAAGCCAGAATCCTCACGCTCACCTTGATCATCACCGCCATCTCGGGAGCCAACTTCTTCTCCGTCATCATGTTCTGGCCCACCCAGGCCTTCAATGTCTACGGTCACGATCCGGTGGGAGTTGGTGTTCGAGGAATCCCGATCGGCTTCAGCATTCTCACTGGCGCCTGCGTCGTGCTATGGCTGCTTTCCGTCTTCCGAGGCCACAATCGCGAGTTGATGATCATCTCGTCAGTGCTTATGACAGCCGGTTGCGGTGCGCTTGCCGTCGCCACTCGAGACAACCTGAACACCCTCTGGGGCCTACTGATTCTGGCCGGTCTCGGCATCGGCGGTATCGTTGTTCCTGCATCGATCATAACCACGATCATCTGCCCGGACGACATCATCGCCACGGTTGCCGCTCTTACCCTGTCAATCCGTGTGATTGGTGGCTGCATCGGCTACACCGTGTACTATAACGTCTTCCTCAACAAGTTTGTCCCCAACGCCACAAAGTACATCGGTGGCACCATGGCTCTCGAGCTCGGCATCACCAACACGAGCTACATCGGCGAGGCCATCGAATACACTGCAGCCAGTCTGTTGCCTCTCCTCAAGACAATCCCTGGAATTGCCGGCAACGACACTGCCTATGAAATGGTCGTGGTGGCCGGCCAAGTCGCCTATGCGGAGTCGTACAAGTACGTATATTTGACGAGTATCGCCTTCGGGTCGATTTCGATCTTGGCCAGTGTCTTCTTGGGAAATATCGACAAGTATATGGACGACCACGTCGCCGTCGTCATGCACTAAGCTGCGATGTAGCTTTGTCGTCGACGAGGAGAATGGTCGCCAGGAGATCTGCTGTCGGTGAAAGAGCTCCAGCAATGATCCTGGAGGGAGCCGAGAACGTTTTGATGCGCTCGTTTGGCATTGCCGCGAGAGCGCCACCACCACTTCCAGCTCTTGGCCTCTTACCCGGGCTGGGGATCATCGTGTGACCCTTCGAAGGTCAGACTGTCAGTGGGTAGACATAGACTGGCATAAATATATAAGAACATCCACCAATGGATCAATGTCTCGTTCAGCTGTGTCCTTCAGTATTCCCGTGAAGCTGGCCACCTTTGGGAGAAAGTAGAGAAAGTTGGAAGAAACGAGCGGGGGGGACAGTAAAAGAGGACCAGCTTTTCTAGACCGCCCCGTGTCCTTGACCCCAGACTACTAGCCTTGGCTGCAGAGAGTCCAGCCGTGTCAAGAGGAGAGGCCCAGAAGCGTTCGGTAGGTTTCGAGCTGGTTTGCTCGTATTCATCCCGCCCAGCTTAGACTCGCTCGTGTCTTGGTTGGGATTCCCCCGCAATCTTTTTGGCAGGCCCCTGCTGCCGAGCGCCTCGGGGTTTCTGTTTTTGGAAAAGAGAACATTTTATTAGTATTGTTGTACCGAGTATACGCGAACCTTGCAGGGGAAGAGATAGGTGGCAATATGTGAACAGGGGCAGGGAACGGGGCGATTTTGTCCCCATATACCTCGTGGGTGGACCTACAGAACTCACCGGATCTGCACCAGAGGAACAGGCTCCATCCTCTCTACGAGGTGTGTACTATCCCCCGCATTTTCCTCTCTCTTCGCTTGTCCAACTCCATCGAGATAGGGCTGGACCGCGCTGGCTGGCTGGCAGTCTGGCTGGCTGGCCGGGTCCTTGCCACGGGTCACTACTAGGCTGAGAGCGAACAACCCGAGGCATGCGTCATGATTGGTTCGGGGCCCGGCGGTGAAAAATGCCACATGCCTCGCGCCGAGGGCATTGGTTAATAAGTCCGGGGAGAGGATACCCGGTGGGAGAGAACAGACGTATTCGCATTTTCGCATTCGCGTGGACCGCGTTGAGCGGGAGGTCGATGGCCGCGGTGGTTGTTGCGTGGTTTCGCCTGTGCCGTGGTTCTTGAGGTCTTGGGCCGCGGGTGCACTGTGTCTGCTCCCGCTGTCGTTCTCTGTGCTTTGATCTGTCGTGCTGGTGTTTTTCGACTTCAACTTCAGACTGTGCCAGAGGTTGAGCGGGCAAGGAGATAGTCAAGCAAATAAGCAAGGGGGGATTCGATTCTGCTCCGAATGTACTGTACTTCAGTCGCCGGAGTGGTGATCCATCGCTGCATTCACCGGGACGAGGCTATGAGCTTGGATTCGCGTCAGGAAATAGGGGGGCATTCGTCGTTTCTTTGGTCTCGGGCTAGAGGTGAGGCTCAAGAGAACGGAATGGAAAGAGAGGTCAGCAAGTACCGAAGAGAAGAAATGTCAGACGCCAGGAGACGAAGATGGGCCAGCTTGCAGGACGGGAAGGGGAGGTGAATGAAGACAGGAGAATTCGTGGAGAAGGAACAAAAAAAAAGAGCAGCAATAGTAAAACATTGCCTAGTAACAGCGCGCCATGCAGGAGCAGATAGAATGAAGCTGCGAAGAGGTGGATTGTTAACTAATCAGGTGGTCGATTGAAAAGGCAGTGCGTTGTCAAATACCCTCTTGGGATGATGGTACTACTACTAGATACCCGTGTCCCGCCCCCAAGCCGCAGTCAGACATTGCCGAGGGATGTCGTTTTGTTTAGGGTCTCTCGATCTGGAGGTCGTTGAGTCAGTGATTGAGCGGTGCTGGTCGTTGGCGCTGGTTGTATTGGGTCCGGCCCCAAGTATTCCGAGGCTATTCATCTGTGAAGATTAATAGCGCCCGACCTCCGAGACAGGTTTGGCTGTGGCACGTTTTTCCGCTGGCGAGCACTGCGCAACTGTGAAAAGCCGGGACAAAAGGACAGGAGGGAATGTCCCCAAGCGGGCCACGCGGAGGGAATGTTGGTCCGCCGGATAAACCAAGATAACGTTAGGGACACACAGTAAGATCTGAATCAGGCTGACCCCCCCTCCCCCCAATAAACGGACCAAGGGCGCCGTTGACTTTTGTGAGGGGCGGAAGCCAGATCTTAGTACCACGTGGCTCTAGCTTTCGTCTTCCTCAGCCGACTGTCGTTGTCTGAGCTGGACGGCGATGTGTTGTTCATGGTTCCGCGAAAGTCTCCTTGCTGAGGGATGGTCGGTCGATAGCCGACTTGGTAGTACGGTTTCGTCTCGAGATGGTGGGACATAGCGGGATCCTCGTGCGGCGGTAATGGGATTGAATCCTCACCATCGTGCAGCATGCCACCTCGGGTAGGGTTTTCAGTTGCCTCAGACGTCCCTCCTCTGTGATGATGACTGGTTCAAAAGCCTAGAGATCCATCTTCCCCAAACCGCTCAACTCCAATTCAGCCAGTGTCTCACCTCCGGTGTCGTTCTCGTCAACTCCGATATCTTCGCCGTTGGCGTTGGCATCCACATCCTCGAACCAGAGCCGCACGCTTCCGTACGAGATGCACAGTTCCTCTCCGGCCTTGATATCACGGAGTGCAATGTAGACAATGACTTCGGTCTCAGTGTTACGCTTCCAGCCCACGTTTTGATCCCGCGTTGAGTGGTTGAACATCGATCCAAGTCCCAGCGCAAGGGCTTGGGTCATGGTACGGCCTGATTCAGACGGCCAGTAGCTGCGAATGAGTGACTACAATAAGTATACCGCTTGGCCACATATGAACAAGGGGTCCAGACGGTCGGTGTATCGCTGACAGCATGGCTGAAGGATCGAGGCTTACTAGGTATAGTGCTGAAGGCAGGTGTGTTGCGTGTGTTTCTCAACCTCCTCCTCTGTGAATATCAGTACCGGGCTGACCTCCACTACTGTACCACGTGGGATATCCTGGGTCGCGAAGACGCCTCGGCCTAGGAATAACAAGAAGGAGATATGTTAGGATCAACTCGAGGTGGCTTTTTGGGAGGTTGGGGGGTGTTCGCAATGTGCTCCGTAGACCCTCGTTTGCACGGAGAGCGGGTCGTGGAGACCGATATGGGGAAGCAAACTCGTGATTCACTTACACGAGTGGCCGAGCCACGCAATTGATTTTCTATTGAGACCTACCCTTTGCTGTGTTCATGACAAGCACAAGGCCAGTCGTCCTGAGGAGGGGCTGATCTCCCTGGAGAACGGCGCCGTTGTCCGACATCTGCAGAGGCTCACACACGAGAGGGGCCCAACAGAGGTGCGCCCTAAGACAAGAGAACTGAATAAGGGACCGAAATGGGCTAGATGTAAGTGGGAAGAATGTGTGAAGCCATACTCTCCGGCCGAGGGAAAAGTTGAGTGCTTCCGAAATAGGTAAAGCGCCAGATAGGGCATCAGGGCGGCGACAATAAATGACGTCAAAGAGCGGCATTACTTTTGTGCTCGGCCGCTTCAGACTCGAGCCTCGCTTCGTTCGACATCCTGGACCCCCAGACAGCACGAGTCCACCAAGGATGACGGTCAGTGCGCGACTTTTATGCTGCTGCCTAAGTCATCGTCTCCAACATTGCCGCCCCATGGATTACGCCAGACTTGCTGACGATAACAACCACCAGCGGTGTGTGTTGGAGCTGAATGCCTGACACCGTGTGAACCTTCGAGATGACATTTGCAAACCCCTCAATCTTGGGCCGCAAGTGAGAGTAGACACTCTACAACAGCCTGAATGCCAGACACAGAAAAGAGATGGACACTTGAGCAACAGAGGTGCTGCGGGATTTAGCTCGCCTTCGTATTGTGTCGCATCGCACCGTTATAGCATAAGCTGGACATTCCAAGCAGCGTTTATCCTTCCGACCACTTCCGCTGCGCTTAAGGCCCCAGCACCAAGCCACCGACCACGCGATGAGACAGACAAATGGGAGCGCCCTCGGGCCGCAGCCTTGCCCAACAGCCTCATACGCTGATCTTCGTGGCAACCCGACTGGTCCGTTCCCTCGGGTGCTGACGCTTCCCCAGACTCTGAGTCTACGCAGTCGCGGCAACGAAATCGTCCGCGGCTGAAGTAAGTGAGCGATTTGACTATCCATCCAAGGAATAAAGACGTCATTGCGATATTCCTTGGGTGTGAGCTCGTGCATGATGGCCGTCAGCATGAGTGCATAAGTAGAGGGTGGTTGTTCGCCTGAAACGGCCTGCCATTCCGGCATTTCAGTGTTCACATCTACCTCCAACAGAACTCCATCTAGTCGATCCTCATAAGAGCCCATAAGAGAAGCGGTGTGCCACATCAAACCCGCCTTCTACACCCACATCTCTACCACGAGAACCCTGCAAAGAATCAAAAGGGAAAAAAGCTTAATCAATCACAATGGCCGAAGGATTCAACGGACAAGTGCTTATGGACCAGCCCGCCGGCACTGGCAATCGCCCTTACGCTGCCGAATCCTGGCTTGAACCATGGCTCATCAAGCACTCGGAATTTTATCGCAAGCACTTCACTCGCGACGGACGTCGGGAGAGCAAATCTACCAGACGCCACAGCGTTGTCACTGAAGGACTCGAGTCCAGGAAAAACTCGGTGGCTGCGCCCGAAGCCGACGCTGCTGCTACCACTACCCCAGAGACAGAAGGTACCTACGCCACCCCCGCTCCGGTTGAGCAACCAAGAGAAAGCGTCGACGTTGAAACTGCTGCCGAAGCTGTCGCCAAGAAGGACAGATTCAGCTCCTTGCGCCGGAGCGTTGGCTGGCTTCCACATCCATGAATGAAGGGAACACAGAACGTGTCAGGCATATGTGGCTAGTTAATATCAGTCTCGAAGGATGATGGTGGATTGGCATATGGAGGGAGGAGCGGGAGCCTCAGGATGTACGATTGATACCCCAACTGAATTATTTGTGTACGTTTAAATGGTGCAGCACTTGCTTCGTTCCAAAGCTTCAACCCTAGAGATCTTGCTGTTGTCATGTTTGCAAGACTCCTTTCACCTCTTCTTTGTCCACTGGTCGAAAGAGCTTCTGTTGCGGTAGTGTGAGGTGGTTTCTTGTGCACCTACAATCGAAAGCATAGTATTTATTCGACAGCATGGTATTGGTCATCTAATGACGGACACATCAATCCTCTTCTAGCTTGAACCTTTTTGCCTGGTGATAATTTGGATCTGAACAACAATCGCTGGCCTCACTGATTGGTCGCGGGCTTACTCTATCAACCTAATACTCATTTGGTGTTCTTGATTCATTCATCGCAAAGTTCGGCAGTTCTCGTAGTCCCTATGAGTGGTGCGAGGTACTCTGCCATCCCAGGCTTGAAGAGGCCTGAGAGTAGCTGAACTATAAACGAAGCCATTGTTCTTGCATGACAAAAGCTTGCAACGCCGCCGATGCCGTTCACGGTACTCAAGTCCCGTCGGTGGGCTGGGGGGTGTTTTCTCGACCGAGAGCCTTGAGGCTTTTCGAGGGTGGGCTGCAATCCCGAAGGCGGATGACATTTGCAGTTGCTGGGCGGCTCCAAGCGCCTTAACCACTCGACCGAGAGAGACTTTCACGTGCCTCGAAGCACTGAAAACACAAGCACGGCCAAATCAAGCCTCAGCCATGATGGGGAATGGGACACCGTGGCCAATCAGACGCCCGGGCCTGGCGATCGCGTCTTGCAAGCCACGCGTGGCATGTTTGGTGTGTGTGATAAAGCCAATGGGTAAAATTGCAGAAATGATCGAACTCAAGGCCAGACATTTTGTCAGCCGGTGATGGTGGAAAGGCGCCGGACGTCGACCTGGTAGAGGCTGACGATGCATACGAGTCCTCCAGCCTGCCGGGCTCGACTACATATACTCCGTCCAAGACCACGGCGTCATCCTGGTGGCCCTCACTCACCGGCAAACTATTGTCTTACATCTCATCTCGCACCCAGCCCGGGGCCCAATTGCACCATTCAGCCTCCAACAAACCCCTGACTCCACCACCATCTCATAGTCCGACTGCGCTTCTCCGGGCGGGCGACTGACTTTTTTTTATATTTATCAACCATCCCTCCAGCCTGTCCTCACCGTCGGCACCACCTCGTCTTATCGTCCTCCCTCGACTCCCTTGACAGGTCTCAACCGACACCATGTCCACTCACACCATCGTCATTATCGGCGCGTCCTTCGCGGGGCTCAACGTTGCCCATAGCCTGCTGAAGACTGTCCTTCCTCAACTGGCTACCAGTGAGAAAAAGGCCTACAAGGTCGTCCAGATCGCCCCAAACGACGAGTTCTACTGGAAGATCGGTGCCCCTCGAGTCATCGGAAACCCACAGTCGCTGCCGCTTGAGAAGGCCCTCATCCCCATTGCCCCCGGCTTCAAGGCCTACTCGAAAGAGCAATACGAATTCATCCAAGCCCATGCCACCTCGATCGACCCTTCGAGCCAAACTGTTCACACAAGTACTTCGAATGCTGTTCACTACGACTCCCTCGTCATTGCTTCCGGCACCAGCTTTGCCACCAGCCTGTGGTCTGTTTCGGACGGTTCTGAGCCTCTGAAGGCCGCAATCGCCGAGATTCACAAAAAGCTCCCAGATGCACAATCCATCCTGATTGCCGGCGGAGGCGCTGCAGGTGTGGAGACTGCAGGCGAGTTGGGAGAGGTGTACGGAAAGAAGAAGGAAATCACACTTTTGTCTGGAAGCACCTCCCTGCTTCCCAGACTTCACAACAAGAAAATGGGTCAGGATGCCCAGTCCCGGCTCGAGAAGATGGGAGTCAAGGTTGTCAACGACAGCGTCCGAGTTGTGGAGCACACCACACAAGATGGAAAGGAAGTCTTGAAGTTGAGCAATGGAGAAACCAAGACGGTCGACATCTATATCGAGGCTACTGGCGACAAGCCAAACAGCAAATTTGTCCCCCAGGAGTGGTTGGACGATGCGCAAAGGGTCAAGACGGACCCTCATACTCTCCGTTTGGATGTTCCCGGTGTCACAGGCGTTTACTGTATTGGAAGCGTCGCCAGCTATGCGGATGGCTCTATCCTCGACATCAAGTTCGCAGCACCGGCCGTCTTGGAAAGCATCAAGTTGGATCTTCAAGGCAAAGGTGAGTTGTCCTGGATTTTCCCCCTCATGCTTACTTCTGCTGACAAGTCTTCAAAAGGTGGCCCTCGTACCAACAAAATCTACAAGAAAATCACCAGCGACATGCAATTCGTCCCCATTGGTTCTCAAGGAGGCGTTGGCGTCGTCTTCGGCTTCAAGCTTCCCAGCTTCCTGGTCAAGATGGCCAAAGCCAAGGACTTCATGATCGGCCAAGCTCTCAAGACCGTCGAAGGCACTGCTTGATTGCTGAGAGGCATCGGTAGACCCTTGCGGCATCGTGTTTTTGTGTTGTTTGAGTTTCAATAGAGATACCCGGTCTTACTGTCAAGCGGCTGCGCAACAGGGCGTCTGCTTGAGTTAGGATGAATTTGCATAGAAGACAGCGAGACTACATAGTAATTATTGCATCAACCAGCAATTGGACAAACCGAGTATCAGCAATCTCGATCGTAGTCTATGGAGCCAAAGCGCAATGGATCGGAAAGATTAGGATGTGGAAATTCCCCAGCGCTGGCTCGATGGCGAGATTTCCCGGTGCTCTACTTTGAGAACACTTCCGATGAATTTGCCGTCTTCCACCAATGATCGCCTTCCCGACGATTTCCCAGCCAATTGCTCTCCCAGTGCTGAGTACAATTGCTTCCGCGAGGTCGAGGCGGCGTTTTGATTGCGGTGCGCTTTTCTACTTATTTAATAGATCACAGACCGGATCTTGCCTCTGTCTCAATTGAAGTGGCCATTCTCTCTTCGCCTGTCTGGTTGTTGCAAACGGCAAAATGCTGGGGCGGGTGTCTGTAGCTGCGAAACCCTCAGCATCAGTAACCAAGCTCTTTCCCTGCGTTACTGTGCGGAGTAGTTGCTTGAAAGCTGCTTCCCAACGAAACTTCTCTTCCTCCCTCTCTCAGACTTCACGAAGGACAACTCCCATATCCCCTCGAGCTTCCTCAGACTGTTACCGAGCGTTCAGCAGCACAGCAAGAATGTCCGCATCCACAAGAACCGAAACGGATGCGTTCGGACCCATCGAGGTCCCCTCAGACAAGTACTGGGGTGCTCAGACGCAAAGATCGTTGGGCAATTTCAAGATCAACCAGCCTCAAGATCGAATGCCGGAAGGCGTTGTGCGAGCGTTTGGTATCCTGAAAGGGGCTGCTGCGACGGTGAACATGAGATATGGCCTTGGTATACACTCCCGACAAGCCTGCAGCAAAGCATAGCGTTGACCAAGAGACAGATCCCAAGGTTGGAGAGGCCATCCAGCAAGCTGCTGCCGAAGTCGCTTCCCTGAAGCTGATCGACCACTTCCCTCTCGTCGTCTGGCAAACCGGTTCTGGCACACAGTCCAACATGAACGCAAATGAGGTCATCTCCAACCGTGCAATCGAGATTCTGGGGGGCCAGATGGGTAGCAAGAAGCCTGTCCATCCCAACGATCATGTCAATATGTCTGCTAGCTCCAATGACTCCTTCCCTACGGTCATGCACATTGCAGCTGTTCTTGACTTTGAGCAGAGACTCATTCCTGCTCTCAACAACCTGCGGGAGGCACTCCAGAAGAAGGTGGAAGCATTCGACAAGATCATTAAGATTGGCAGGACACATCTGCAAGACGCTACACCCTTGACGCTTGGCCAAGAGTTCAGCGGATACGTGGCTCAGCTTGATCGAAACCTTGAGAGGATCCAAGCATCCCTCCCCCATCTACGGCAATTGGCCCAGGGCGGTACCGCTGTTGGTACCGGTCTCAACACATTCAAGGGCTTCGCGGAGGGGGTTGCTGAAGAGGTGACCAAAATGACCGGAACGGAATTTGTGACTGCTCCCAATAAATTCGAGGTTTTGGCTGCCCACGATAGCATCGTCGAAGCTTCAGGGACACTGAACACCCTTGCCTGCAGTCTCTTCAAGATTGCGCAGGATATAAGATACCTTGGCTCAGGACCTCGCTGTGGCCTAGGAGAGTTGGTCCTCCCAGAAAATGAACCCGGCAGCAGCATTATGCCCGGAAAAGTCAACCCCACTCAATGCGAGGCTATGACTATGGTTGCTGCCCAGGTCATGGGAAATCACACTGCTGCAACAATTGGCGGCATGAACGGTCAATTCGAACTGAACGTGTTCAAACCCCTGTTGATCCGAAATCTCCTCCACAGCAGCAGGATTCTGTCGGATGCAATGAATGGATTTGTCGAGCATCTCGTCGATGGTCTGAAGGCCGACGAAAAGAGAATTGCCACACTTCTCCACGAAAGGTATGTGTCATGGTTTCTCCCTTGCGAGTACAAACTGTCCCGTTACTTACTTCTGCTCAGTCTCATGCTCGTTACCTGCCTCAACCCCGTCATTGGTTACGACATGGCCTCCAAGGTCGCGAAGAACGCGCATAAGAAGGGCTTAACTCTGAAACAGTCGGCTATGGAATTGAAGGCTCTCTCCGAGGAGGACTTTGATAAATACGTCCGACCCGAGCTCATGCTTGCACCGAAGGAGAAGAAGTGATCCGACCCTTTCCACAAATCTGGAGCATCGCATCGGTGATGCACTGGTCGGTGGTACAGATGGTCCCTTTGAGCATCTTAATGTCTCAAGATTCATGTTTGTACAGTTAGCGGTCCAGGATTCTCTGCACATCAAGCTCGCCCTGGTTCGAGTGTGTTGTACAAAATTCACGAAATTTCTTCCAAGACCTCGATCTACATGAATGTCGAAGAGAAAGCTGCTTGAACTGCTTTAAATTTGACATTTTGAATCCACCCAATGAGCCATGATCCTACCCAGCCCTGCCCTTCGCCTCTGTGGATATAAATCCGTGCTTGGTCTTCCTCCATCGCCTCAAATTCCTTCTCTCAATTAGGCATCATTCCCTTACATAGTCTAGATATGCTGTGCACCTCAGCTTTTTGTGTCTTAGCTAGAAGTGGTAGAGAGCTTGTCAGGTCTCCTTGTCGTGGCCACTCTATATTTGTATCACAATTCGCGAAAAAACACGGGAGACCTGTCGCTTTCATGGCAAGAGAGCCCTGGCTATCAAGGTAGAGGTCAGTTTAGGAAGACAACAAGCCTTTGCAAGCAGATAACCGGACATGCCTTCAGCAGTACCGAGTATGGTCGGTAAAGAGCGGGATATAGCCGATAAACGCCAAGAGATTTCCCGGATAATAGAGTTTTTCCGGGTGGCTAAGCCATTCCTGGACTGTCGCGCTTATCCCATCTTCGGCATTTGCGGTTGAACTGCTTCCCACGGTGGCTGGCAGCTCGAGTCGCTTCTCCGCTTTCCACCAAAGTCGTCTCCCGGCCGACTTCATCTTCCCCTCTCTCTCCATGAGGGGCTCCATCTCCACACCTAGCATCAGAGCCAGAAAGACACGAGGCTTCAGGAAGCTATGGACACAACACAGTCAACTGGCGGCGGTGGCAGAGTCAAAAGGAAGCAGTCGGGCAACAAGACCAAGACGCTGCCGTGCCCGCACTGCCAGCGACTCTTTGCTCGTCTAGTAAGTCATCCCCCATCTACCACCTTCAGCTCGCATGGAGATCAATGGGCAGTCGAACCGCAGAGGGCTGACGAGAAAATTTGTCGCAACTAGGAACACCTTCAACGGCACATTCGCACCCATACCAAAGAGAAACCCTTCGTCTGCGAGATTTGCTCCAAGACCTTTGCGCGCAGTGACCTGCTGGTGCGTCACGAGAGACTCGTCCATCCAGGCGAGGAAGAGCAGCATACCACGCGGAAGTCACACAAACACCATCTTCAAAATGCCAACGCGGCAAAGGAGGCCGCAGCCCGGGTGCAGGCACAGCATGGGGCTGCGAATCATTCCGACCCCATGGACATCGCGCCACAACAGAATCAGGCCTTGCTGTCACCTCAGGCTCCGCACGAAGGGAGAGGGATGATGGATATGCTGGATCCGCAGCTGATGCAACCCGCCAACGGGATCAACTCGGTCGATGGGCTGTCTGCGCATCAGTCATCCGTCATCAACGCGCCTTCGCTCGATCCGTCCTGGGGCTACGACTTGAATCTGCTGTCTCACGCCGCGAGCCATGTCGCGTCTAGTGGTCAGGATCACTACATGTCTGGCTTGCCACAAGTCACGCAAGAACAGCTCCACGAGCCCTTGCAACAGATAATGCCGGCGGTGACAGAAGGGCAATACCAGCCTAGAATGCTGACCGAGGGATATGGGCAGTCGACTTCGATGTTCGAACCTCCCGACCTCGGCGATCCAATGCAAGACTTCACCGTCTTCCTCGATAGTGTTGGCCTTTCATCCGAATGGTACGCGAATATGTTTGGTAATGATCAGGTTGATACTTACAACTCACCCGCCGAGTTGAGAGGCGATCACTTGAACATATCAAGGCCTCAATTGAACGGTGAGCATCCCGCCGATAGCAAACTTGGTATTCCTCAAGAAGAGACGAGTACATTTTCGCGATTTGGATCAAGACTGCCGTCCCTTCAACCAGAATCCAGAGATTCTGACTTCACTCGGCCAGACCCTCCACGAAGTACGGTCGAAGAAGCCGAGGCCAAAGTGGTCAGGACAACCTGGGACGTCTCCGACTCGGACCGATCCATCTTTGCCTCTAAACTTGCCGCGTTCGACAATGTCATGCCCAAAGGTTTTATTCCTCCGTCAAGGCATTCCCTCTCGAGATATCTGGCAGGTTATGTCAATGGCTTCCACGAACACCTTCCCTTCATCCATGTGCCAACTCTGCAAGTCGCAGGTAGTGCTCCAGAGCTTGTTCTGGCACTGGCCGCCGTGGGAGCGCAGTATCGATTTGAGAATAGCCGGGGAATAGAACTGTTCTATGCCGCAAAAGCCGTCGTGTTAGAACAGATAAGGCGCCGTGATGAGTCCTCGACGACCCACTTGTGGAACAGACCTCGAACAGGATCAATGGCTCAGTCGCCCGGAGGGGGTTTCACAAATCAAAGTCATTCGAGCAGTCCATTCCAACAAATATCTCCCGAAGACGCACCTCCTGCAGATAGCAGAGAGCAAATGGACTCGATACAAGCGCTTCTACTGCTGACTGCCTTTGCCACGTGGGAGAGGCACACCGAACTGCTGCGTGAGGCACTGGCATTCCAAAGCATTCTAGCACGGCTTGTGCGAGAAGCCGGCCTTACAAGCCCGGAAATCATGCAGTCGCCGGAGGAGCTGACTTGGGAGGACTGGATCAAGATCGAGGGCGAAAAGCGGACCAAGCTAATTGTTTATTGCTTCTTCAATCTGCATTCAATCACGTGGAACGTCCCTCCGCTCATCCTCAACTCCGAAATCAAGCTCAACTTGCCCGACCCTGCCAACGAGTGGAAAGCCACCAGCGCCGAACAGTGGAAGAAATTGCGACAAGTGAATGCGGCACCGCAGATGCCCTTCCAGACTGCATTCTCTCGGCTGTTTACCAAGCAGAATCAAGCCACTGCGACTCCAATCTCCCCGCTGGGCAACTACATCCTTGTCCACGCACTCATTCAGCAGATCTTCTTTGCACGACAACTCTCGCTGGCTTGGCCCGGCGTAGCAGGATCGAGTTTGCGCATGGAAGACATTACCGTCCTCGACATGGGCCTCTCGTCTTGGAAAGCAGGTTGGAAACGCGCTCCCGAGTCCAGTCTGGATCCTCAGAATCCGAACGGACCAGTTGCCTTTACCTCGACCGCGCTTTTGGGGCTTGCTTACATTCGTCTACACGTCGACATGGGCCCGCTCCGCCATCTTGAGACTCGCGATGCTACACAGATTGCCACATCTCTGCTCAATACGCCTGACATCCGCCGCGACCCTCGACTGACGCCCGCCCTCCTACACTCTGCTCATGCGCTCTCCATCCCTGTCCGATTGGGGATAGACTTTGTTGCACGCACACAGACCTTCTTCTGGTCAATTCAACATTCGTTGTGCAGTCTGGAATGTGCCTTCCTTCTCAGCAAATGGCTCTACGTTCTCTCCGATCTCAAGAGCTCCGGCGGTGCCCCCGTCACCGAGCACGAAAGAAAGCTTTTGCTCTGGGTCCGGTCTCTCCTTGACGAAACGGAAATGACCGTCCCATTGAACGGAGACGCGAATGACCATACCGTCTTGAACGAGTCGAGGGAGTTGTTGGATGACACCCAGAAGATGCGGCAGTTGAGTGTCGCGGTGGTAAGGGTCTGGAGTAAGACGTTCAAGGGGAACACGAGCTGGGCCATTGTGGATATGATTGGAAGCGCATTGGAGATTTACGCCGACATGTTAGAGGGTGAAATGGCACGGTAGGGGGTGTTTCATCAGTTCGGGCCTGGGCCTGGGGATCAAGGGGAGAATGGAAATACATGGCTCAACAGTGAGAAGGGGGGCCGGGGGAGGGGGGGGAGGGAACAGCATGCAACCGGCAGGAAATGTGTCCGAAGGGGCCATGCTTTTTACCGTGTGTACGAGTCTCGAATGCGGTCTTTTTTCCAATAACTTTATTTGCGAGCTCGGATGATCGAGCTACACTTTCTCACCACTGCACTGCCTTCTCTGTTTCGGAACCTACACGAAGGGTGTGGACGGGATGGGAGAAAAGAAAGGGAGCAGAAAAAGCAACGCAGCCCCCCTAAAGGACACAGGACGGAACTGGCTACCTATCTACTCGAGATGGTTTCTTTCGAAGAAAGAGGATTGATTTTGGGGGGGTTTCCTCCTTCTCAGTTATTCATTCATCCGTCCGTCCGTCCATAGAACACAACAGTTAAAGCGAGTGCGTACATGAAGAATGAAGATTGAGGAATGAGGAATGTCGAATTGCGGCGTGATATTCTTCGGTGCAGTGCAGTACACGCAGTAGATGTTCATCCCCATCGACCTGTGTATCTGTCCTTTTGCCTGAGCTGTCTGTCCTGCGTGTGGTCCAAGATCTCATCCATCTCGTCGGCGCGTCGGCGCGTCTGTCACGACCGAGCCGTCCCTCTTCTTAACCGTGTCGCTGTCACTTCTCCGTGTTGGCTGGCACATGTATGGTACTGAAGGCGAAGTTTGATCCCGCGGACTCCCTGGCTGGCGATCACTGGTGCCTTCCCCTTCCCCTCTTGTCTGCGCTGCGCTGGACGCGCTCCAAGCATAGAAGAGTCGAATAGACCCAAGCTCCTGCTTCTCCTGCTCCCGCCACCGTCCATCGTCCATTGTCCATCGTCCATCCCATCGCCGTGCTTCTCAATGTCCTGTCCATTTTCCCAGACCAGCTCGTTTTCACCTGCTTCGTCCTGGTGAGCTAGGGTTCCGTCGTTTGGTGTGGCTGGCCGCTGGCGTGGATGCTCTCAGGGCTCTCTCTCCCCCCTCCCCCTGTTTCTCTCCCTCCCTCTACCTGCTTCCGCTGAGTCTTCCCGGCTGGATGAACCCAAGGGTCCGACACGCCTTCGGAAATCCCCTCTCCGCCGCATTCCCGAGTTCCTGTCTCTCACACGTCCCCAGTCATGGATATCAGATCCGTTCTTCCAGGGAAGGTGGTCATAAGGGTATTCGGACAGGTCTCCGTTCATCAACACCAACATGAAACCTCCACACGTACACGCACACGCACACGCAGAGAGTCATTGAGGATGCCAGCTTAACACTCTGCACCAACGAGAAGGTGCCTCTCCAACGCAGAGCAAAAAGGTGGTAAAAATTTGTATCACAAAGACAAGAGGCCACATCTTCCAAGGACATCTCATTCAGAACCCCATTCCGCTTTCTCGAGAGAAAATCCGATCCGAACTCCTCAATCCCAATCGCCAACGCCAACAGTAGCCGTCTTGTGATGAGTTTGATCTGTGTATGAAGGGATGCTCAAGATGATAAGGGGAGAGATCATCTGAACCGGGTGCACAAAAAGTGCAATGTATCACCGAGAACCATCCGAGGTATTCAGAACCCTGTTTCAGCACAAAGTGCTCTATCTGAACCCTGCGGTTGAATGGACATGTGTGACTCTTCTTTTGATGAATCCTCCAAGTGACGGTCAATTCCTCGTTGCGCAACCATCAAGCTGAGCACAGAGTGGTGTAAAACAAAAGCGAAAAGCAACTATTTAATTTGAGTATGATTTTTTTGATTTTCGAGTTTTTTTGGTGGTTCATGAGCGTCCTCAATCACCGTTTTTCTTTTCTTTATGGTGCAGTTGACTGTGAAAACAACTGTGCTCGGTTGCCAACGAGGTCGTCACATACCTGCTTCGGCGCATTCCGCAACAAGTCAGCCAACCCCAAGCAATCAAAGGTGAGAAGCCTCCAGCGTCCCGGGCGACCTCCACGACTGAACAGACAGCATCATCAATCAGTGATAGCCCCACCGAACGCCTCAAACTGTCTGCAGCCATTGCATGAAATCCCTCAGAGCCCACAGAGCCAACAAGACAACGGTCTAAAGCGGGTGTGAAATGAACGACGTGTAAATGGAATCTGAAATTCCCAGGCCAGTAAGACGCCCACGTCAAAGTTCATAACACTCTTGGAGGCAACTCAAGTCTCAAAAACTCCATAGATCCGTGGGAGCATGAGAACCGTGCTTGCTGAGATAACCTCCTGAATGCTTCAAGTAGTCGTAGCCTCGGATCAGTTGATCTTTCAGCCAGACATCAGAAGCCTGCAACCCTAACTTCGCGCCCACAAGTTCACGACACCACGACAAATGCCCACAGCTATCACACTGGCGACAACGCCACTCAGGAACAATGTCCCTTGGCCAACAACGGGCCGGTGTGATTAACAGCGACGGGGCAAACGTCACACTCTTCTTCTGAACCGGGTCAGCGGATATCACTCCATGGCCGGCCGAAGTCGGTGGACAAGTAGTCCGCTCAGTCTCCTCAGAGGGCTCAACACGGTGCTTCAGGATCGACTTGACCTGGCGGTCCGATCGATGACTCCTGATTGGCTCCGGGTTTATGCAACTCTGGATCGACATCGCTTCTGGTCGTCGAACAAAATGGCGGAAACCACCACATCCCACAGTCTCTCTCTTTTTGCCGGCCTCTTTGTCAATCGGGTTCCCAGCGTAAGCAACAAGGGTGCTGTCAAGTCGTACCTGCTCAAGAGCAGGCCGGGGCCCGACAAGCGAAGCCTTGAGGCGAACCGGGATCCGCAACGCCGAGGCTGTCTCCCCTTTGACGGTAGGAGACGTGGCGGTTGTCTTGTCCTTTCCCAAATCGCCTTCCTTGCCAGGTGTGGTGGATCCACAAAGCCGAGACGACGTGCCATTAAGGGCCGGTGTAACCGGCACGGGAATCAGAGATCCCATGACCGTTGCTTTGGCTTGGGCTTTGACCGAAGTCGCAGCTCTCGCCTCAGCGGCAGTGTTGTCCGACGATTGCTTCTCCGATTCACTTGACACAGTAGCGGTTGGCGCAGGGTCGGAGACAAGTGTCACAGTGGTGGCCGCGGACGATGAAGGGGCATCCCCACCGGCCTTGACACCAGCGGCCGTTGACCGTCCACAAAGGACGCTGTTGACCAACCAAGGACGAGCCCTGGCAGCCCTCAGAGACCTCCTCAGGTCGAAACGGCCGGCAATCGAAGATGGCTCAGAGACGAACTCCTTTGCCATGATGAAATCTGAAATCTGTAAACTGTAAGCCTTTCTGTGTACTGATGCAATGGGGGGAGGTTACCTGGAGAGAAGAGAAGAGAGAAGTTGAGCATGGCGGGATGCTGAAAGACTTATATACAACTGCCTCTGACAAGCTCCATGACGGTGTCAACACTGTGGACAACAACACAACAGCGGTTCCAGTGGTTCAGAAGGGGGAACGATACGAATCTTCAACGGTATGCTCCTGCTTTTCAATGGAGATGACCAGACATTCGTTTCTGTGGAGCCAGCCTGATCCATTTTTGCAAACAAGCCAGCTTTTCAGCATTGTCCGTAGTGGTGATCCGCGAAAGGCGTCCATCTCGAAGAATTCTCTGCGGTGGAGTTCACCTCTGTTCAAAATTTGTAGTGGTTACCGATTGGAAAGGTGCCGGTTCAAAGGGGATAGTATTGTTTTGGTGGCAAATGTACTCCACCGGTGTAACTCCCTCTTCTTGCTGGGTTCGTACACAAGCACAAGCTGACAGAACCGCCGAAGGCAAGTCTATATGGAGGAGAGTGGCGGTAAAATCGCAGAGTTCAGAAGAAGCTGCAGGAATGTATCTTGCTGGGCTGTTCGGGTCGGTACAAGGGGATGGCCATCGTACGCATTCTCAACATGGGACCGGAGGAGCCGCCAACAAGGTCATTCACGACGTTCCAGGAGCGATACAGTGTACCGCGACGCAGCTTGAGATGTGGAGCTCGTAACAAAGACACGGCAGGAAGCTTCGAATCTGAACAGAACGACGCCAGATATCAAATGAGAAGGCTGTTGATGGTACGGTAAACAAGTGGGTCAACAGCGAGACAAACTTCATGAGTAAAATACATCAGACTAGCAAGACCACACGATGTGTTTGAAACGCGAAAATATCGTGGTCCACAAGGTGAAAAATACAGCCAAATAAATGTTTGTTGTTAGGAGGGATGCGTGAGGTGAACGCAAGTCGAGGGCAAGCGAGGCTGCGGTTTCCGCACCACGTCACGTGACGCGCTGCTGTGGTCTTCGCTTCCTGCCCGCAAACCGTGTATAATCAGAGTTGATATATGCAACATTGCAGAAAACATGGGCCAGCCGATGCATAGGACATGCTCAAGTTCCAATTCCTCTTCAGATGGTCATGGTTGCGGGTTCACGAATACCCGGGCCACGAGGCTGACGAGCCTTGTAAATACTCGGGCCGTCTCGACTCTAGTGAGATATCGACAGTTCTTGCAACCCTTCTATTTCTGATTTCGGTTGCTTCTAGAGCTCGATTCAATGCTGGATGCTATCACGCTGGGACCGCTAGCGAGTGGGTTGACGCAAAACGCTTGTGGCAGCCTCTAAACAATGCTGCTCTGACTGAAGCCAACTATGCCGTGCTGGTGGTCTAGATAAATGCAGGACTTCCCTCGCCCAAGATATGTTCACCTGCACTTGTACTTCTTTCTCCTCGTCGGCTCCTCAAAAAGTTGCTGACCATTCTCTTGCTACCCAGGAGCCCCAGCACTTTGGCGGCACTCTTCCCCACAGAGTAAGATCGAGACGGTAATGCTGTCGCCCCGTCGTCCCCAACTCCCAGATCGGTCTGCATGTCCATCCCGCCTCCATCTAATGTGGTTCGAGGTGCCACGCTCAATCTGTTGCTCCCAAACGTGTCTGGATGACCAGGCGTTCTTTTACCCAAATACATGCTGTCAAACGGACGGTTGTGCGGTGGCACATCCATATTGAACGGCCGGCTGAGTCGGGCTACCAAATGGTCCTTGGCATTCTCGCTGGGACTTTCATGCGATCTGCTGGGCGTGGTCGAGATAGAACCATGAGGGGTGGAATAGAGATTTCCGGAATAAAACACAGTTTCACTAGCCCTCTTGCGTAGGCGCCCGCTAGTGGTACCATTTCGGAACTGCAGGTGTAGTCTTCCAGGTGTACTCACTGGCGGAGAATCTGGTTGAATCGGCGGACTGTTTTCTTTGCCAGCACTTTGAGGCCCAAGTGATCGTTGGCTCCTCTTCTCTTTGAAAAGCTTTGCAATATTTCCAGGGCTCAGCTTTCGTAGGCTTCCGCTACCTTTGCTGCCATCCTCAGCTTTATTGGAAATGCTGCTCAAGGCGTCGGCGCTGGCCCTCTTCAGCAGACCGGCGTGAGTTTTAACGGTAGCGGTAGCACTTTGCACATTCGAGGTGCTGGGTCCTGAAGTTGCGCCGAAAGTGGCCTGGGCATACCGACTCGGCGCTATACGGGGACCCGCCGACCCTGCCAATGTCTGAGTGGCTATCTCCTCGTCTTCTCCGACTTCACCTTCGGAGTGGACCTGAGCTCTTTCTCGCGTATGCGAGCCTGAATTGCTGCCCGGCGCACGATCGTGTCGTTTCACAGTGTCTGACCAAGGGTTCCATTGACTATTCATTGGGGAAGCAAATGAATTTGCCAGGATGGTTGTCATACCTGTCGCTTCCGAGTCCGCAAAACCAGTTGTACGCAACTCGTCCGAGCTGTCGAGTGGCTGTTGGTATTGTTCATTGGAACCGCCGTTCGTTGTTCGTGAATATATACTGGCGCTGCTCAGACCGAATTGAGGACGGCCCATCACGGGATTGCTCGACTGGCGATTGACAATAACGCTGCCGCTGTCCAAGTCTGCCCGATTGCTCCGACCGCTGCTGCTTCGGCTGCGGCGACGCCTCTCATTCAGGAACCTCTTGAAAGGGCTTGGAGTGTTCGGATTCTTCTCGCTCGAGAAGGGAAAGAAGGTTGACTGCGACTCTTGTTCCGCCAACCTCTCCCATCTCTTGTCAGCATTCTCCTTATGTTGCTCGTCCGCCCATGTACTGGCAGACTGATGCCGCGAGCCAGACTGACTGCTAGATCGCCGATTCGGATGAGGCCCGGTCATTGTGGTCAGCGAAGAATCACTCTGAACAGCTCTGATAGTGGGCTTCGCTTCCGAGACTTCGGTTCGAGTCGCCTCGCGCTCTTGATTGATGGTTTCTAGAGCAATCCGCGTCCTCTCGACCTCAATCTCTTCCTGGTTGATTCGTTTGATCAATGCTGAGTAGATTCGCTGACTGTCCACTGCCGGTAAAGTCCGGCCCTCATTCGTGACTGAGTGCAATGGCTCATGCAAAACCTCAACCCCGCCAATGTGTTTCCCGGCAGATGACGATGGCTGGTGCGGGCCGCCATCTTCTTTGATGATCGATAGCCGATTGCGCTCTATAGGACCAGACCGCAAACCAATGGAGCTTGTTATGCTGGAGTTGGTCCAGCTGGTGACTCGAGACCGGGCGTTGGAGTGGAGGCTTTCACGACTTGCAGCCGAGTGTACAGTGTACGGCACCTTGTCAAGATCTTCGAGCGGATCATGTTCGAGGATGGGCTGAGGACACCCACTTTGACGTGAAGTGAGACCGTCGTCGGTAATTTGATAGGCGTCGAACCCGCTGACAAGCGTGGACTCCTTGTCAAAGTCGGAGAAGTGGTTGCGCTGAGCCTCCAGCTGTTGTGGAGGCAGGCCGTCTTTTCTACTCAGGGACTTGCCGAGCACCCTGCGGACTCGATCGCGGAAAGTGAGCGAGAGCGATCTGGTGGTTGTGATATTTGGCTGGTCAGTCTCAAGGTACGCGCTGGCGCGAACAGTCTTTCGGAACTTGTGCGTTCTCCTCTTCCCTTTCCGAGGCATGTGCGGTTCTGTCTCTTGCGGATCTCCATGACCAGATCCATCGAGGAACTGTGCTCGGGCGATCTGGACTGCTTCCTCGTGTCTCTCCCAAGCACCCTCTGAGCCTTTGTAGAACGTGGTGGTGGTGCTCTGGCGTCGCAGGAAAGGAAGGGAACGTTGAAGGCGCACACGAAGGTTGCTGCTGGGAAATGCCACAAGGGATTTCGACTTGCGGACTCGGCGATACGATGATGGTAGAGCTCCATAGTTTTCCGATCCAACTTCCGAAGAGGTCATCGCGTGCCTCGCAGCAACCATGGCAAAAGCATCGCCCCCGTTTCTATTGCGATAGGGGCAGTCGGTCATACTGGATATATCCAAAATTGCAGGCTGGGAGATATGGTATGAGGATGGGACGAGGACGAAGGCCGACTGCAGAAATAGGCCGCGGCCATTTTCAGGAAGGAGCAGTTGTATGGTGCAGTCGAATCACGCCTCAGTCGCGAGGAAGGTGCAGCCATTACGTCCAACATCTTCTATAGCATCAAGCCGACCTTCGTTTCAGCCACCTGAAGGTCCCTTCCTGGGATTTCCCTCTGGGGATTGAGGCTGGAACAATCCTGTCTGTCGTGACGGTGACCAGGCTGCTCGAGATATGAAGACATAGCTTCACAGCGAGACATGTTCCAATCCCCTCAAGCTACCGAATCGAGCCCCGAGAGGCGAGAATAGAGGTCAGCGGCCATACCATCTGCGTTCAAGCATCGAGCCGCAGATGTGAGCACCAAGAATCCGAATGGTATAACATACGGGCAGTCGACATGGTGATCAGATCGCTCTGCCGGCAGCAAACGCCGTCGACGAACCGCGTGCGCGTCGACGGCGCGGGGCAGAACTTCTAGTGATAGACGGGGAGGAATCATTCTCCGAACAGTTGATTGAGGTTGCAAGGCTGTTGACAATTGAACGAGAGGTGAGGCTGACCTGACCAATGTGAGCCGACACTGAGAGACGCCCCAGCCTTGGGCAGGCTACCAATCATGCCACAAGCCTAATGCTGGCAAGCTAGCAAAGCCCAGGGTGAAGCGTGAAATGCCAGCGAGTCGGTCATGCGGAAAACGCGGAAAAAGCGGAGAGAGCCGGCAACTTGGTCGCTTTTTCTTTTCGCTGCTTCAAGGCGATTGCTGCAGGCCTAGTGGTAGTGAGCCAGAAAGCACTGCCCGCTTGTTGTCTCACCAGCCCCTGTGCCTACTGGCAATGGAGGCCCAAAATTAGAAGACGACCTACTCCTTGCTTCTCGAACTACTGCGCGACGGCCGAAAAAGAAAAGACCAACAATGCCACTGCTTATCCTCGGTCCACGTTACCACGTTCGCCATCAGCTGCAGAAGCGCCATTAATCTCAATACGAGAGAGATGACCCGAGGCTCCCTCTCCATGCGAGGTGGTGGCATGGGATCGAGTGAATGATAGTGCCGAGCCCGGAACGGACTGGAAAGTCTTTCGTGTACGCGGACCTGGTGGGGAAGAAGAGCTGAGGCATTTTCCCACACGTGCCCTGGGCGGCGGGCTGCCCTGTGTACTCGGTAGAGAAAGTGATGCGAAGATGCGTATGTGTGTGTGTGTGTGCAGCCACCGCTGTCGGGTTCATCTCAGCATCTAGTTCGTGATATGCACGACCAAGTCAGGCGTATCAGTCAGTGCTTGCATTGGCATTGTGCAGGTAAGGGGCTAAAAACTGATCAGCGGGTGCAGTGTCATTGGGTGTCATTGGTGCAGGAGGGACAGGACAGCACATGGAGCGAAGCTAGAGATGAAATTGTTCAACTTTTTTTTGTTTTGGTTCGTTTGCCTAGGTCACTCTCCGTGTTTGGGAATGAGTTGGACCCGGAATAATGATAATAATATAGCTTGTCACTGTCTTGTAAGGTACAGGCCAGCTTGCGTGTGAGACATTGCCGACGCAAACCAATGTTGGTACATGAGAGCAGGAAAACCAGTTGCTGGCTCACTACCGATTAACGTGGACGCCCGGTCTCCGTTCGCTTTTGTGCTATTCCCCCCTCCCACCCAACCCCTTTCCATTGATGTGTGCTTTTTGGCCCAAGCCGGCGCAGAAAAGGATCGACAAACCCCGCCTCAACTTTGTCACAAGGACTCTTCCACCTGCAGCTGCCAGCTGCAAGGCCTGTCGTCACTCGTGTCCAAATCTGGCGTCACTGAACATAGCGTTGATACACTGGGGCCGCAGACCGACAACAACGCGGTGTGTCGGGCCCCAATCAAACAGTGGAAAAATATTGCAGATGAAATGCATGGTCGTATTGCTGCCTCCGGATGCAGGAAAAGTCGCTAAAAATCCATGCTGATGGCAAGGTGTACCCCCCCTGAAGACGCCGACGCTGAAACCCAACAAAGACAAGAAATTCGAGTGGTGAAATTGCTAAAAAGCGGTGATGGCCGGATAAAAGAAGCCAAACTCCAATCGGAGGCGGCGGTCGTCAATGGTCGTAGCTCGTGGGGTATCAAGGTTTCATGAGGGGCCCAATCCTGGCGTGTGGTTTCGCCGTGGCCTGGGATGTCGCCAAGGTTGGGCGAAGGGCAAAAGGCAAAGGCATGAGTTGCCGAAGGATGAATGTGTGAGATTGGTGCGAGGGTGGTGATTGGGTTTGAAAGCTCGCAGTGGGCAATTATCTGGCCTCATCTGCAGGGCACCGCGGCATGGTGACATCAGCCTCGAATGACGTAGTCAGCAGACCCGACCGGACGTTGAGCGGCTGTGTGAGAACGGATCGAAAAGGTCGGCTAGGTCGACTGCGGAAGTTGTACATCTGCAAGGAGAAACACGAGTTAGAAATAAGCGCGTAGGGGCAGATGTGATGTGGGAGAGGGCCAAAACGTACTCGGCACTCTGCGCACTTGCCGCCAGCAGTGTCGCATCGCCCGCGGCATCCCCGAGGTTGATTTGAGCACGAGAACATGGTGTATTTTCTTTTTGCTTGTTCTGTTCTTTTCGGTGTTGGTGACAGCGCAGGAGGAGAAGAGGAATCTCGAACTGGACAGGCTGTCGGTGGATGATATGTAAACGCAGGTCGAGTGTTGAGTTGCCAATAAAAGTGATGACGTTTGTGTACGTTTCAGATCGATGATCGTTTTGGGCCAAGGGGTCTCGCAAAGGTGTTGGGTTGTTGAGGGTGACGGTGGTTGTACCGCACAACGGAGTCGCAGTCTATACACAAGAGTGGTCGACGAGGCGAGGTCTTGGTTCGGTCAATGGGGTGTTTGTTGTTCAGAAGAAAAGGAGATCGAAGGCCTCGAAGAAGGCGGATGGAAGGAGAGTGATATAGTGCCCAGTCTGCGCAGTGGTGATGGTTGCAGTGGGTTATGGTTTAGCGGATCGGTGATCAGCAAGTGAGTGCATGCCCAGCGATGCAAAAAGATGTCACGCCCCGAGCTCCGAAACCATCGGGCAAAAGTTAATGGGTCAGCCCAGCTCGGGGCTGGCCTGACACATCCACGGCTAGCACCAAGGCATCAGGGCATCAGGGCACCCAGTGCACCAAGGCCCCAAGGTCCCAGGCGGGCAAGGGACCCAGCACCACAGGCCATGGACCCCCGTCGTACTCGTCCACTTGTCCACTCGTCCTACAGGGGGCACCGCCTGACTGTTCTTCCGCTCAGTCGCGGCCTCATCACGTTATGGTTCCCCACCCCACCCTGCAGTCCCTGCACATTACGGGAGCAGAACGTACGACTTCCTTTGTTGGTCTGGTCAGTGGTCACCACATCACCGAATTGTTTTTCCCAATGGCGCCTGCACCTGCACCTGCACCTGCGCTTGTGCCTGTGCCCCCCCGTGGTCGGTGCCTGTGCCTGCGCCTGCGCCCTCGCCCTGGATCCTCGGCACCACACAACTCCCTTTCTCGCCCGCAAAAAGAGCCGTTTCCAGATACGCAGCTCATACTCCGTACATTGCTCCGTGCTCCGTACTCGGTACTTACGCGCACACAACACGCAAGCACGTCTCCGCCGCCATCGTGCCCTCGTATAGGTATACAGAAAACGAGTCGTGCGAGTCCTCCGTCCTCCTCCCTCCCTCCTCCGGCCTCCGTTACGTACCTCCATACGAGTACTTCTCTCCGTGTTCCTTTGATCGGACCACTCAGCCCTCGTTCACCTCAGCAAATCAATAATCGAGACTGCAGGGGGAAAATTAGCCAAAGTTCCGGAAAATATCGTCCACAGCGCAGACACGAGGTTTCGCCAACTGGTTACCTTGCATGGTGTTGTGTTGTTACGTTGCGTTCTTGCCTGTGTTCCCGTGGTCCTGTCCAGCGCTTGTGGGAGTACGCTTACCCCTTTCCACCATCCACCAGGCTCTCTGCCAGCTGAATACTCCTGGTGCCCTGCAAGTTGCACTTTCCTTACTCGGTAGGCCCCTCACTCCTTAGTCAGGCTGGCATGCTACCTGGTTGCTCCAGGTGCCAGGCTCTCTCGGCGCCTATCGCCGCCCATAACTCTCTGCCTAAGGAAAACTCCCTTTTCCCTACGACGGATCCATGCGGGCTGATTCCACATCCTTATGCCATTATGTACTCCAAGTCTTCACAATGCGTCTGCCTGTCATCAAATTATCCTCTTTGTGCGATCAAGTCCGCAACGCACTCGATACGCTCCTTGTTGGGTGGGCTAAGGTGACTCACAGCACACTCTCGATTCATACCACTCGGTGGGACGAGCATCCACATGCTCCCAAGGCACTCACACCACGAAATATTTTACCCTTGGGGGGAAGAAAAAATCATTTTTTATTATTCGGAGCACAAAGAGTGTTCTCGGGGTTGGAAAACAGAGACAATCTCCGCAATTCATTTGTTGTCCCCGTACTTGGGCCGCTAGATCACAAGCAATTCCGGACGCCGCATCTGAAACGCGTTGCCAGCGCCTATGAATCAGCTGATGGTTTGAGGTCCAGACCACAAGCTCGCCCAGCTGGTCTAGATTCATCTCCGGATCTGATAAACGCCTGGTAAATGGCATGATTGGCATTGCGGGGTTGCACAAAGGTCGTCTGCTAGACACCTTTTCTCTTTCTGTTCCCATGGAAATAGAGGTCGTACAATCCTCGGACCGGACCACAGTCTTCAATAGTAGTCATCACACCACTTCCACCAGTCAACCCACACCACCTCCTTTGCGTCTCGGTCCGTGGGCCAATGAAGGACCTTGCGGTTTGGATCCAAAGGCTGACAAGAGCCCACGGGAGCCCGAGCTCCCATCATACCGCTGCGTCTTGTTATGTCAGCTGCACCGTCGGAACAGTCGCTGCCCATACGCTGGACTCTGCTCCCATGGACAAGCGTATGCAGAGAACTTGAGGAAGGTACTCAGAACTCCAAAAATGAGGGGCATGGCCATCCTAGCTGTCGTTGACCAGCTTTTACAAGCGGTCCATGGCCCGAGGCCTTTGATGTTCGCGCATGTCCACAAAGATGATGCACCGGCAATGCCCTCGACCTGGAGATGGTGTCGAGCCTTTCAGGAAGTCGCCCATTTGGGGAGCCTTGGGCTTGGGGCCAGATTACTGTCGTCAACGTGATCCAGTAGCTTAGAGCATGTCGTTTCATTGCATCCAGGCCATTCCCCGCGCCTTCCTCTTGCGTCCACTGGGTCCGAAGCACAGGTCAAAGATCAACAGGGGAAATGTCCCAACTGAGAATCCTTCCACGGCGGCGCTAGAATGCCTATCGAAGCGTGTCAACCTTCGAGAAGCACTCGCGTAATCCTTGCTCCTTGGAGCGCTATCCCCCCACACTTGGTGAATCAGCAGGCCAACACCCACCCTTGATGCCTCTATACTCTTCTTAGTCACTTTCAATTCCCTCCTTTGGACAAGCCGTGGAATCCTGACTGTCGGCACTGCGAAGCTCTGTCACTCGTTGCCGATCATCCGGCTGCCTCTTCCCGCTCTTTGACCTATTCAACCCATGAGCAGAGATCTGATAATCAACCATCCACCCACAACGCCAATTGTCGTTGCAACCAGCAACCCGTTCCCTTCCCACGTCAACGCCAGATAAGCCATGATCCCCACGGCCAGCTCCTTCCTACGTGCCTGGACCCTCTTGCTCCTCCACTCCGGGTCGATGCCGAATGGTGCTGTCGGGCCCCTCTCACCCTCCACCTGCCCTGCATTGGATACCGCCCTCAAGGGCACTGAGGCTGCCAGTGCTACGGGACGGTGATCTGAGGTTGCAAAGAGCGGCAGACACGTGTATCTCTGCGGAGTCACTTTGACGTCACCTCCCTGGGGGCTCGAGAAGAATATTCGGTCGCACCAACTGGGCCAGCGATGACGTGCCCAGCTCCAGTGTTGTCGGTCTTCTCCAGTGACCAGGAGGACAGCCTTGCTTCCGTCAGTGTTGTACTTGTAGGTGGGTGGGAACGTGATTGGCGCTTCTGTCAACCCGTGTAGAGTCTTGCCAGCCTTGACCTGCTGAGTAAGTTGGTCTTCAGCGAGCAGATCGCGGAAGTGTATGGGATCGTCTCTGTTCGCGCTGGGCTGCGGGAATTTGTCCTCGACGTCCTGTGGAGACGGTTGTAGCAGTGACGTGCGATAGTTGAGGTCACCAGCGAAGAAGAAATATGATGATGCTGAGTACATCCCTCTTTCTTCAGCAAGGGTCTCATGCTCTTGCCAAGCGAGTTCTCCCTGCAGCAGAGGCGCATCTTCCCCTTCTTCGCCCCCAGGCAACGGAGCCTTGAGCCTCTGATCCGGGAGGAATACTAATCTCCGCATAATGTTCTTGTAATCCTCATTTCGCCTCTCGAGAGCATCTTCCATGGGCGCCAGATGGGCCGAAACAAAGGTGAATTCAACTTCTCCGCCCTCGTCATCGACCTCGCCATCTGCTGGGGAACCACCTCGTGTGGTTCGATATCCCAGCTGGACGCCCACGGCGCCTTTGTTACCCATTTCGCTCACGCCCACGCCCGCTCCGGCCGTCCTTACCCACGTGAGGTGATTGACGACGTCATCCCTCAGAAAGACCATGATGGCGGTCATGCCCAGGTTCCTGCTCACCACGTTCACGTATCCGTGGTCCTTGGAGGCGAGCCTGACGACCTCCCGGAACGCCTTGAAATACGGCGTCAAGAACGAGCCCCCGAGGAAAGCATAGCTGATGGGCGCGAGCTCCTGCAGGCAGAGGACGAGAAGCTCTGGGGGGTCGCTGCGTGGCGGGAGGGCGTGGAAGAGATACGGCGCAAAATTTGCTGGGTCGACGAGGGTTCGGGCGCAGTTGTATGTCAAGATGTAGACGCTGAGGGAGTCTCCGTCGTCGGATGCAGTTTGATTGGCCATTCTGTCTAGGGCAGAAATGGGAGTGTGTGTGTGGTGAGTGATGAATTCAGTTTAATTGTTTGTCTTTCAGGAGATGGTGGGTATGTGAGAATGGCAGCTGCAAACAGCCTGGGAAGACCATTGAGCTAGGCCCGACCTGATGGTATTAGACACCTGGATGGAGATCAATCTTGCAGAAAAGAGAGGCAACGTAGGCACCGTGGAAGAGGTGGCATGGTCGAAGTTGTCGTGTGGTTGTTTCTTGCACTTGGTGTCTTCCAAGGACGATGCCGTCATTTGCCCGGTGAGGGATCCAGATGTGGTTTAGCTCGCGGCTAACTTGTTCTAGGTAATCTTCAGCCTCGTGAGCTCAGCCTGGTGGCCCTCGTACAAGCCGATCTACTTGCCTTTGTCTTCTCTATCAAGACAGTCTGCATGGGTTAGCCAAGAGATCCAGAAAAAGGACGGGCCAAGACTTGGTCTCAATGTTGTGACAGTTTCTCCGATGGGCGCATGCCGCTTGCAATGAACACGCACACATTACGCAGCCAGCTGCCACTTACACCTTTGTTGTCCCCCTGGCATTCATCCATACGAGTAAGCAGTCGAAGTAATCTCCTGCGCCTTTTCGATAAACTTCACCCATCACGGCTATCTATCTAAGCGCGTATCAGTTCCCGCGAAGATTGCGACTGAGCAGGGTTCCGGCATCTTGGGCTGACAAGGACCGCCCTCTGCCGGGGGGAAGGCATGCACAGGAACCATGGATCCCCAGTTCGTCTGTGCCATGTGGCTCTCGACTGCTTCCGCTCCCAGCGTGCTAGTCGTTTTACATCAGACCTGTCAGCGGAGGGGCGTGCGAAGGGGCCTGGAAACTGAAACGGCCTGTGGGGGAAATTCAGTGGTTCAAAGACCCTCTTTGGAGAACGGCGCAAGCTCCATCGACCCCAAAGAATCCTTCCGATTAGAAAGGTACGTGGATTTAGATTCGAGTATGAAACACGAGGTCTTCTGAGGAGAATTAGAATTTGCCGCATTCATTTGAGCCCTGCCATCATAAAGTGTATTTTCATACATGGTGAAAAGTCTTGATTAAAACCCCAATAATACAGTGCAAAATCTTTGGCCGGGCTGGCGGCGTATGACACAACAGACGGTCGCTGAACATGAATCCCATGACTGTTAATACGTGAAATCCGAAACAAAAGCCAAACCACATAAACAGAACGCTTTCCGAAACCCCGATAATGCAGTTTTCCGCCGTTAAAACTACATGCCACTTCTCCCAGGCACACGAGGGCAGCTCTACGGGCCAGTAGGGCTGGGCGGTCCAGCCAGCTTGAAGTACCCCGGCTGCAGCGTCTGGAACACGCCCCTGGGATCGTACTCGGCGGCAATGCTCTGCAGCCGGGCCTGGTTGGCCGAGCCGTAGCCGGCAATGACGTCCTGGAACTGGCTGGCGTAGTTCATGTAGATGTAGTCCTCGCACAGCCCCATCGACTGGGCCAGGGCCACGGTGCGGTCGATGATGCGCTGGTTGGCCTGGAGGATCCGGGTGTCGTCGGCGGCGTCGGTCCACATCATGTTCGTGTTGAGCAGCAGGAACGGGCCCGCGGAGGCGGAGAGGCCCAGCGGGTTCCCGCCGTTCTTGGTCATGCCCGCTAGCTGGCCCTCGGTGATGACCTGCAGAGTCGCGGCCGGCACCAGACCGGCGGCATCCTTGATCGAGTCGAGCTCCTCAAAGAAGATGTCTCGGACCGAGGCCGTGTGGTTCTTGTTGAGCTTGTACGTGGCTGCCCAGTAGGTCTCCCGCAGTCCGTCGGGGTTGCTGGCGTTGAATTCCTGAGTCAGGTCTGCCAATGTGCGGACTTTGGTGGTGTCGGAAATGGCGGGGATGGACAAGTATTCGTCGAAGATGGATGCGTTGGCAACGGGTTTTGCGTATTGCAGGTCGGCAGCGGCGATGTTGAGATCGGCAGATTGTGCATAGGCGAACGACAGGATTTGCGCGGCGTTGGGGTCCTGAGGCGAGTTGACTCCGACGTTGTAGAAGGCGTCGATGAGAGCGTCGAACTGGTCTTCCGTGGACACGCGGCCGCCACCCCACATCAAGCCGCCAGGGAGAGGAATGGCGTTCAGCGTGAATTTGGTCACGATGCCGAAGTTGTTGCCACCTCCTCGCAGGGCAAAGTACAGGTCACTGTTCTGGGTGGCGCTGGCAGTGACAATGGTACCGCGCGCAGTGACCACTTCATAGCTGACGACATTGTCGCAGGCCCAGCCGTAGATGTTGGAGAAGAAAGAAATACCGCCGCCAGTGGTGAGGCCACCCACTCCAATGGCTGAAACACGGCCGCCAATCACCGTCACACCGGCAGGCTGTAGAGTGGTGTACACGGTGAACCACGTATTACCAGGGCCAATGGCGGCGGTCTTCTTGTCAGGTGAGAGTTGGATTGCGTTGATCTTCTCGAGTGACATGGTGATACCGCCCTGGATGTTGGAGGCGCCGGCGAAGGCTGCATGCCCACCGGACTTGGCTGCAAAGGGACATTGGGTGAGTCGGGAGAGCAAGATTGCTATCGATACTTGGGTCGCACTGGTCGGTTTGAAGATACAGTAAGGGTCAACACTTTCTTGCTGAATAGACCAGTACGCGTCGGTAAAGGCATTGTAGGCTTGACTGCCTTGCGCAATCACGTTTGATGACCTAAAGAGGAGCCTCAGAGTGTCACACTGGAGGAAGCTGTCAGTGGGTAAACCAGGGAGGCTGTCTGACGGATCTTGGGGACTTCGACGATGCTTTGGGGGTGGATGAAAACTCACTGCAATCGAGCATGCAGAGATAGACGATCTCTTGGTGAGGGAACCCAGCTCTGGCAGGCCCGACACATTGACGCCTTGATCAATGAGTGCCTGGGTGACGTTGAAATCAGGTGGCTCAAAGGTGCTGTCCTGGGCGGCGATGCACGCCGCAAACCCCAGGCCGAGGGCAGCCACGTGCAGGGAGAAGAGCATAATGGGCGGAGAAGAGTAGGAGAGAAGCGAGGAAACAAAGGCTTCTAGAAGACTTCTGCGACCGTGTGGATTCAACGATTGATGCTCGCTTTACACTTTCCAAGGCGCAAAAGCAGACTTAGCCTGGGCCTAACGACTGCGAGCTGGACGTTCCACAAAGCCGAAAGGTTGAGATGCAGAAGATGAAGCGAGAGAGCTGGGATTGAAGAGAATAGGCCGGCTACTTACGTTGGCCAGGGTCAGTCTTCTGGTGGTGTCCACACCTCCGAGATGTCAGATCAAATTTCGTCGACCACGCAATTATGCCCTGTTGGGTGTACCTCGTTTGCGACGTTGTAGAAGGGCAGGATGATAGTGGTGTGGGCCTGTCGCGTGGCCAAATGACGCTTCGACAGTCGCTAGACATTCTCATGTCTTTGTGTCGACAATCAGACAAAGTGGACTGGACAGAAAGAAGTGGGTGTTCCCTTTCAATGGTTCAATATGAGATCCAAAACCATCCGAATTTGGAGTCTGGCGTCTGCCATGTTTGGAGACACTGGCGCTGCCTAGCTTTTCAGGCGGAGAATCAGGAATAAGAATAATCCCTCGCACCCCGTGTTCAACATAGAAGACGGTTGCTGTCCCTGGAGCTAACGTTGAAGTCGCAGCAACATCCTGGCTCGTGGGTTGCTTGAACTCGCCGTTGTGCAGCGTAATGCAGCCAAGGGAATCTGGCCAGGACGAGTGAGACTTAGCTCCAATGGAGATGGTCCAGAGACTGGAGAGCTCGGAACGTATGCCGACATCTTGGGTCTTATCTTTCGTTGCCACGAGGCACTCCTGGCGAGGCTGGCGGGGGGCCCGCGAAAGGTGCAAAGGGAATTAACGAGAGTGGTCGTACTCACTCCATCGAGCTGGAAATGCGAAGCCCTAGCGGTAGTAGGGAGGAGTTGACAAGCTACATCGTGGCATCTCGCCTCCTGTTGTGTTGCACCCCTAGGCCCAGATGTTAGATTGTGTCATGGATTGCCGAGGGATCAGCCTTTGATATAACCCTGAATCCCGATCCAAGCGGGATATCCACATAGGTAGAATTCTAACCTGATTAAGGATAGTGTCATCACCTGATCCAGACTGCGCTTGCGGCAGACGTTTCCCAACTGCTCTCCATCACCCAATCTTGCAATCACTAATTGACCCTAATGCCCGACCCATGACCCATTCTGCAGGTACCCTACCTCTGGCTCAACGCTCAGCTCATTAATAATGGCCCCATCTATCCAACCTTCGCTCGCCGATCCCACGCGGACGGAGGCGAGAGGACTCTGGGCCAAGACCAAACTCAGGCCACCTCTACCATCTAGCAAGTGCAAATCACCAAGCGTCGGTCCTCCAGAGGGACTCTGCTGGTACCGGAGGACTGGCGCTCATGCAATTATGGAGCTTTCCACTCGTACTTGTCATGCAACTTGCAGGGAACACATGAAAAAGCTGTCGACGTTGCCACAACCAACTTGTATCGAAGCTACCTTGCTCGTCCGATGCTCTGGTTCCCCGGACTTCGGCTCGGCGCACTAGACACTTCAAGCTTTGTGCCGACACCTCTAATGCAAAATTCTGCCTTGAACCAAGTGGGTTTTTGTTTTCCTTCATCGACATTCGATCGACAGTCTGGTTAGCGCCAACAACGGCCATGCTGGGAAGCGGGCAACTGTTGACCTTCGAGGAGGCCTAGCCCCGGAGGCACCATGAGCAGGTTGCGTTTGCTCGGCCTCGATAGTACTAAGCCGTCTTCGTCTGGCGTGCTCGTTCCGACCACATGCATTGAGTACGGACCTATCTCAATGGTACTTGGTGCATGCAGCCCCTCTTCTGGTTCAGATTTCATGCTTCAGGCACTACAGAGTACATCCATTCAATTCCCGTCGCCCCCTCACCCGCAGATCCAAGGCGATCGTGGCAACCCGGAGTCGTCCGTCTTTTAGCAGAGCTCAAGGGCCAGCCTCGGCCTCGTTCGCTTTCTATCTAGTGTTCCCTTAGCACCACACCGCCGTCGGACCTCCTGAGACTTCTCCCATGCCAAAGTCCAATACCCACACTAGTGGTGGTGACCTAGGATTCCTCAACTGCACCTTGTGGAACTTTTTTTGCCAAAACATGGTAAATTCCAAGTTCCCATGCGGTCTCGGGCTGGAGTCGACCTCGCTTGTCCCATCGTGCGTCGCACCAGAACCGTTTCGTGGTAGAGGGACGTTCATGGACGTTTGCAAGGAGAGAAGATGTCCTCCTGCCAAGGTGTCGGGCGGTGGGCAGACCCGGCGGTGGAAGGACAAAATGAGCAGCGTCACCAAACACGTTGTGGGCCAACGACAGCTCGAGCCAAGAGGAGCTCAACACCAACAACCAGATCTTCGTGAGCACGAGCATTGAGATTAAAGACGAGGACGAGGCCGACCGCGCCGCCAGTCGAAGGGAAGCCGGTTACCACTACCCCAGGAGCCCAGTTTGAAACCCTCTACCACAAACCCCCTCCGCGCGAAGGAAGTGGCGCAGACGGATTTGCATAGCCAGAACCTACAGCTGTATCTCACACTTGCCCCTCGAGGGACAGAATGGCGATAACGAGCAGACAAGGAGTTGACGATTCGAAGAATGCCACAGAGTTTGTTTGTCATGGTGTCTGGGCCTAGACCTACCTGTCTTTGTCTTTTGGCCATCATCTACCTCTGAGACAAGCTTGGCCTTGCTGTGGAAATGGGAAACAGGCCGCCGTCCCTGTCGGAGCATTTGGCGTCGTGGGCTTTGGCGCGAGACAACAGTGGCAAGTGTATGGGTAGACTGACGATACGCAGCACACACACACACACGACATGTTTTAGGAGTTGTTGCAATGCAAAATGGGCGCTCGGGTCCCCGTTCTGAATAATGAGCGCCGTACCTAACAATCCCCTGAATGATGGCTGACTCGAGTAGCCCGTACGTACGGAGTACTAGTATGAGGCAGTCGTAGTAAAGGGTTAAGTGGCTGGCCGGCCGGCTGGCTGATAGACGACGCAACGCCACGTCCCTCCTTTTGGTCCAGCCTCCTCCATCTTCGGAGCGACTTTAGCCTTTCGGGGCGACGCCACGACCCTTCCGTCCCTTCCTCCCTTGCGGACCGAAGGCTCCTCCCGGAGAATAACGCTCGTAAGGGCTCCTTGATTTCCCTCTCTTGTGGCGTCGTCTCTAACTACGAGTAGCACACTTCCTGTGACGTCTGAAGGCGTACGGGTGACGACGATACACGCGACTTCACTCACACGGCACAACGCCATGAGAAGCACTTACGAGGCACCGAGTACTCGGTACTCAAAGGGAGCTTCGAATTAGTTAGTTAGTGACACCAGGTAGTGGCATACCTAGGTAGCTACTCGCACAGACTGAAGGAGTAGATAAGATAGCAACCTGGCAAGGCTGGATGAAAGCCGGCACTCGTCAAAGATTGTAAAGTCACGCAGGTGATATACCAACAACTACTTGGGTAACAGAGGCCGTCAACCATCCCGTCACGGACATTATCGTCATGTATCATCATATCACATCGCGCAGACCAACACAGCACGCTGTGCGGAGGGGCACACTCCGCGACATGGAGGCTCGGTGTGCTCCTCACGACAAGCGTTCATCGTCAGACCATCACAACTTTCTTCGAGGGGCCGTTATCATATCTTGACCATCGTACCAGGTGAAAAAGAAAACAGGCACCATATTCCAGAACGTCCACCTGGCCACAAGCACGATCGTCCCGCTTCAACCCAGTCTGAGATCGGAGAGTCATGATACCGGTATGAAGCATTCCTCTTATATTTTCTTTCTTTAGCTGTCAAGGAAACTCACGCTTGCTAAAACGCTAACCACCACAAACCAAGGAAATTCGTATCCATTCGATTCGTTGCGAGAGGCATCTCGGACATCATTTCTCATCCAAGTCTAGATTGCTGGCTGCTCAAATTCAACGCCTCCATCCCGGCGGTGGAGGTGGCCGACCCCCTCGGTAGACCACTTCCCGCTCAATGAATCGCTCTTCTTCTCGATCCCAATCCGGCCGGTGCCGAGGCGGGGGAGGTTCGATGGCCAGCGGGCGTGGCAGCGGTTCTTCGACAGGAGGGAGGACTCGGTTTTCCCATTCAATCTCCTTGATCCGCTTACGGCGCTCTTTGCGAATATCATCCGACAGACCAACGAGACGAGCAATATCTTCCTAGGAAACGGTTAGCAGCTGTGCAACCAACAGATTTCGGGCGGGCCAGCACTCACGTAACGCAGGTACGCGATGATATAGTAGAAGTCATCGGTCTCCTCATACTCATATCCCATCTCTTGAATAGCTTCCTTGACAACGAGATCCTTGGTCACCTCGGTCCATAAGCCATCCTTGGGGTCCCGCTCCTTTCCATAACGACGACCAATCTCGCCATTGGCTGATGGCAGCGGAGCTGGGGGATGAACTGGAATTGGTGCAGGTAGCGGCGCAGGCAGCGGAGGTGCTGGCGCTGGAAGGGGTCTCGCAACCGCACTGTCGTAACGTTCATCCACTCCGTCAGGCATGAACTTGCTTCTTCGCACGCCATTATACCTTTGCCAGGTAATCTCCTGACTTGCCCCGCCAGCGCCGTCCATTTTCACACGACGAGTACCCGGAGGAACATCGACAATTTCCCAGTCCCGGGTGGCTCCTTGGTAAGCTTCGCCGATATAAGCCCGATCCATGGCACGAGCGTTGTAGTACTCTGCTTCTTCCTGCACGTCCCGTTCATAACCCCGGTACACCTCACGACGAGCCGGGGGATCGTAATAGGGATCACGTGCCGGTGGAGGCGTATACGGCGCCACGCTTTTCGGGCTGGCTGGGCCGTCCCTGCGATCGATCACAATATCCTCGTTCTCCGTACGACCATTCCGAGTTTGGGTCCTGCTAATCTCAATCCGCTCCTCTGATCGAGCTCGTACAGGTGGTGGTGGAGGAGGCAGGGGCGGGCTTGGCGGCGATGGCGGTCGTGAGATCACTCGTGGTCGGGTTGGAATGGCAACTTCAAAGCCATGGTCGATATGGCGATGATGCGTTATGACCTCCTGATGGATGGTAGGAGCATTGATGATCGGAGGCTCTAGCGGAGGCAGAGGCGCAAGGGCAGTGCGAGCCGAGGTCACCGACGTAGCAGGAGACCGAGACCGAGAGCTCTTGCGAATGATAATTTCCTGTTGGTTGCGCGTGCCACTGCGGCCTTCTCGCTCCTGTTGCCGGATGATGATTTCATCGTTCGAAGCACTACTGGAGCGCCGTACTCTCGATCTCGCTCGTTCATGAGATTTGGGACGGGTCAACGCATAGTCTTCGTATCGGCGGGCGTCGAGATTCTGTTCGTCGCGGCGGATGATGATCTCTTGCCGGTCGACGTCGCCTCGGACTGACTTGCGGTCGAAATCCCCTCGACGGGAGACTACATCGTCATAGTCGTCATAGCGGGATCGTCGGTCACTCTCGTCGCGACGAATAACAATTTCCTCCCTCGAGGAGTTGATCTCCCTCGGCGGCGGTGGCCGCACCTCGCGCTCTCTCTCATCACGGCGAATGACGATTTCCTCTCTGGAAGAATTCATTTCCCTGGGCGGCGGGGGTCGTACCTCTCGTTCTCGCTCATCTCGTCGAATGATAATTTCTTCCCGGTCTCGGTCACGTTGGGGAGGTGGCAGTCTGCGCTCGGGCTCCCGCTCGTCTCGGCGGATGATGATCTCTTCACGATCGACGTCTCGCTCCCGCTCTCTTATCCGGGGCGGCGGCGGTCTTGACTCGGACTCGTCTCTCCTGATGATAATCTCCTCCTTTTCGACCTTTCTCTCCGGTTGCGGGGAAGGGGATCGCCGACGAGGCCGAGCAGCGAACTCGAAGTCTTCTTGTTCTCGCTTTCGAAGGACCACGGGTCCAGCCGTGGTTCGGCCATAACCCTCTTGTAGGAAAGCAGGAGTAGACCCTGGCCGCTCACGGATCTCTTCTCGCACAATGGTTTCTCTTTCGCGTTCACGGACAGGCACAGGCGTGGGGCGGCGATAGTCTACCTCTTCTTCCACGTAGCGGTCGTCGTAGTATCGTCGACCATTCCGTGAGGCATAACTCTCTCGACGGTCTTCGTAAACCACGTCATCGTAACGGCGTCCTGCCATGACAGGGCGTGGCTACGGATTTGAAGTAGACTGGGAGGGCGCTGGCGGTCAGGTGGATGCGGCTCGCTGAGTTGGCAACTTGGTCCGTGAGAGGGGTGCGGGCAAAGTCTTTCCCGAATAAATGACTGGTCAGAGATGAAGGCCGTAAAACGTACTGCTACAAAGAAGAGCTGCTACGTCCCACAGGAGCAACACGAAGAACAAAAAGCACAAATGCAGGCTGCCAACGATGAAAGAGAAGTGAGAGAGAGCAGAGAGCAGAGGACGAAGGGGGTGGTTGAGTTATTACGAAGGTGGTGAGGTGAGCGCAGCCAGCTGGGGAGTTGAGCCTAGCTTTTAGGTGGGACTTGGACTGCAACTCGACCGACTGACTGATTGCGGCTGCGCCAACTGGGACATGTGCATGTGTGAGAACGTGTGTGTGCTTGTGCAGAGGCGCATGCCCACCAACACAGCACTGGGCTTTTCTGGCAGCAAGGAGAAGCCCACAATCTTCTCATCGACCCAATTATCCCACTCACGACCCGCTGCCAGTCCCAAATTGCATTGCAGGCGACGAGACAGACAGCCAGTCACACACCAAAGGGCAGAGGCCCGCGGCGACGTGACGGCACAGAAAAGCAGCACCACCAAGGGGGCGATGACGGGCACCGACTAGCCAGTGACTGGCGACAGGGCAGGTGACGTAGTGCTATGCACGCGAGCCCAATGACTTGCGAGGGACCAGAGGGCATTTTGGTGTCGAGGGAGTGTCTTTGGGGGAAAAAACCAGGAAGAACACCAGACTTGACTGAGGGGCCGCGGGCGGCGCGGGGGGCATCAACCTGCGGCGGCTAGGCTATGGACTGAGCCTAGTGAGCCTATTTGTGCGTTGCAGTTGGTCACTGGTTAGTTGAGGTACCAGTAATACGAGTAGGTTGGGGGATCCAAGTGGTAGGCAGGTACCAATGTACCTACTTGTTAGGTAGGTAGCCTTGGGCAGTGACGCGAACCGAACTCGACTCTCTCTCAACAACCCACATGGCCGTCCTTTGTCTTCTGGAATTTTCGGTGCAAGAGAGGCTGTTGCTTCGCCCCGTCAATAGTCGCAGTAAATACCGAGGACACCTAACGACCAACCTGGAGCCCACGTTCGGCTTCCCTGTATTACGAGAACCACGGATTCGACTTCTGGGTTACGGGCTGGGCCGAAGCCCGACGAGCCAAACTTCAGCCTGAAAGATGCTTCGTGTGCATACATACTAGGTGGAAAGTCTGCGTCCATGACTGCCACCACAGTGGGCACAGCCTTGCCGATTCTTACGTGGGCTTTGGGCATCAAGACCAACAGCCCCGTCAGCCTAACGACACATTGCTACCTGAGCGCCCCAGTTCGCCACCTGTCTCTACCCACCGCCTCAACACGGAGAAATGAAAAAGGGGAGCCAACTTTTGTCTTCATCTATATAGACCCATATGCCTTCCTCGGCCCAAACCTACAAGTAGACCTGGCGAAAAAAGAACTCAGACCAGGTCCTGTACAGATCGACGTGGTCGCCCAATGTTCCCGCCCGTGGACATGATACAAAAATGCTTCGACGCTCAAGATGGGCGCCATGGGCGTCAACCGGCGTCCCGCTCAAGGTGCCCTCTCCCATATATCGAACGCCTGGTCTGAATGCGTACATGTCCTCACTGCGTATCCCGTGGCTATGCGCCATCTTTTGCTATGCTAAAATGTACAATGCGCCCACACAACGCCTCCAATTCCGATTCAGGGATAGCGTGTACCAACTGTTGCAGGTCGCCAAAGCGACAGCTCGTCTCGTCGTAGAATTCATTTCCTTGGGGCGCACATCCCTCTCCTTTTGTTCACTGTGCGGATTCTCATTAAAGATTAGTTGTACCTAACCGGATGTCGACCATGATATTGGTGTTTCAAGGGTCTGGATTGGCGACCTATGTCCAAATCAGTAAGACGGAGGGTTTGCAGGGGTAAGAGACTTACCCGTAACTGCCTGGAATAATCCTGGTTGTCTTGAAGAGACACATTGCTAAGGCGACTCTCGTCATGGATGTACAACGCATAAGGGTTCAGTCTCTGGTCGGTGCCTAGGCTACGACGATCGAAGCCCGTCGAGCTAGTGTCGGCGCTCCGCAGGTCGTTGCCCAGAGTCACTCCAGACGTGTTGATTCGGGGAATCTTACTCCCCAATAGGCCTGACGACGACAACTGACTAACTTGCCGCGACGGAACGTTGTTGGATGGCGAACTATCACCTGTGCGAGGAAGGTAAGCTGTTTCCGATCCGTGTTCTTGCTGCAACTTCTTGTGGCGCCTGCGAAACCAGAGGTACACTGCAGTGCCGATCACACCGCCAATGCCCAAAGCAACGCCTAGTACTATGCCGACCACTTTGCCCGTACTGACGCCGCCACCGCCAGTCGAACTCTGACCAAGTGTGGCATCCGAGGTGGCAGCTGAAGATGGTGTCACAACCACAGTGCGAACTTCGCCCGTTACAGTGGTGACGCTGGTGTATATTTCAGTCGGGGTTGGACTGCTTGAGGTTGATGGCGGATCTGTCGTCGACGGCGGAGGGGTCGTGGGAGTCTGTGATGGTTGTCAGCTTTGCACTAGAGCGCCGTGCAGGGGTCTCAATGAAAGAGGGCTCATGATCATGATTTCAGGACGACAGAGGAATTGGGTTGTCATACAGTGGAGCTCACTAAGCTCATCGAGGTGTCGCTTGACCAAGTCACAACGCCAGCCCCATCAGAACTCTGAGACGATCCATATGTTACCACGGATGAGGCAGTTTTCCAGGTATCAGAAGCAGGGGAAGAAGTGGGGGATCCAGTATCCAAGGAGTACGTGGATGCAGATGCGGGCTTGGAAGTGAGGGTGGAGGTGGAGGCATCAATACTAACCGACGATGATGGACTGGAGGAAGGGGAGGATGTCGTGGAGGGGGTGTTGGATGTCGAACCCGAGGTTCCTAGAGGGACTCCTGCACTCAAGAGGTAATATCCATAAAGACCAGAGTCGGTGTTGCCACACCATTCCGAGGTAAAGCCAGGACATTGCTGGTTGCAGTTATACGTGCTTTCCTGGGGAGTAGGGACGTAGTTGGAGCACCAGCAGTAGTAGCCTTGGAGGACGGCAAAGGCAAAAGAACCTTGACATTGCTGTTGACAGGCTCCATTTGATTGGAACTCGTTGTAGTCTGGAGGTGGACATCAGCGATTGGTGCATCTTCGCACGGATTTGGGGGGTGAGCGACTCACGGCCTTGGTAGCTGCCGGCGTTGTTGTCCGGAGAGCAGTAAGAAATGTCGAGGCCTTGAGATGGTGTAACCCACAGCGAGACAAAGCCTGTGCATAAGAACAGGACGGTCCAAAGTGAGCCCATTGTGAAGGATTGGCTTGAGCCTTTAGCGATGGGGAGTCTTCCACCTCTTACTGCATCGCAATGCTTTTCCTCAGTCACGCATCAAGGAGTCGCCCACGGAATCGTACAGTCAGGCGTGACAGCGGTTCGAATGGATGTCTATTGCATTAGAGGTTCGTTGATTAAGGGTGCTGTTGTGTGGAAGGTATCACCCGAGACGCCGGACACCCCAACTCGACTCAGTGAAGACCTGGCGGGGCTTGTAGAGCTGAGGAAGATCTCTTGGTTTTATCTTCGGTCGATTGTTTGTGCTTGAGAGCAGAGTTCGACGTGAAAGAGCGATGACCGGTCGGTGTTGGAATAGATGGACAGAGTGACAAGCGCAGGTGCGCGTACGGACATGGACGTGGATCGACTGGAGCGGCAGAGATGCGACGAGGGAGCTCTAGGGGGGTTCGAGAGTCTATCCGACCATATGAGAACTATGCGTACAGGGTGCAGATATTGTTGCAACGGTGAATGGGAGGTGGAAACAAAAACCTGAAAGGAACGGGGTTGCCGCGCAGATGTTGGCAGCGCAGCAGCAGCAGTACTGGGTCGTAGACTAGCGAAGGTTGAAGGAAGAGAGGAAGAGCGGATGCTAGCGAGTGAATTGGCCCATTAAGACCAGATGGGAAAGCGGCCAAGGGCAGGGCAGGTCAGGGCAGAGGCAGAGGCAAAGGCAAAGGGCAAAAGGCAAGGGTATCGCAAAAGAAGTCGCAGCAGCAGCACGCAGGTTGCAGGAGAGACTGACCAGCAAGTTAGAGCGAGTGATAGACGAAGGTCTTATTTCCGGGGTGGAGCCGCAGTTGGACGTATCTGGTGACGGCCTGGCGTGGTGGGATCCCGTCAAACAAGTCAAACAACAACGAGTGGGTTCTTCAGGTGAGGGCGTGAAGCCGATCAACGATCAACGATCAACATGACAAGCAGCAGCTGTGGGTGAGCGAGTGGGTGGGTGAGTGGGTGAGTGAGTGAGTGAGTGAGTGAGTGAGTAAGTGAGTGCGTGCGTGAGAAGCTGGAGGCCGTCGTTCTTTTATCAATTTGTTACAGGCGCGGAGTCTGGTGCTGGTGCTCGTGCTGGCCTGGCGCTGGCGGACCTTTGTCGACCAACTCAGACGCTGATTGATCCGGAGCGCAGCAAACACTTGGTATTTTTGATAGTAGTGACGCCCACGACTCGACCGCCTGGGCAGAGGGACGAGGGACGAGGGACGAGGGACGAGGGACGAGGGACGAGGGACGAGGGACGAGGGACAAAGACCACCGCCACCACCACCACTACCACCACCACCACTACCACCACCACCAAAGCCACCCCTCGATGCGCCCCGGTTAAAATGTCACAATTGTCACAATGGCCTGTTATTACTCGTCCTGACATCCTCACACGTTCCCTTCCCGCCCCTCGCATCCCTGGTCCAAATCAATCCTGCCGCCCGCCTGCATCTATCTATACTCGAATGACTGGGGAATCTTGGTGGACCCTGGTCTCGTCGGGAAGGTAAACACCCTCTCCCGTATCTATCTCTGTAGCTGTCCGCAGTCAGGTTTGTTTTGATACAAGTCCCCCCCGTCCACTCCGTACAGAGAATAACATCCCGCACCATTTAATCATGTTGACTGCTGAGCAGATTTCCTCGTGTGTCTTCCCGCCCAAAACGGCTTTTAGCTCAGATATATCAAATTGCTTCTGCTTGTCGTGGTAAACCCCCCAGAAACTTACTCTTTGTTCTTGTTGTCCCCGCGGACCGTGCGGTTCATTGGTTGCCCCGTGGCCAATGCGTGGTCGGCTCAAGCATTGACCCTCGATGAACTGAATTCATCCATCTTCTTGTCTTGCAGGTTAGAGTCAAGCACCGACCCCTTCCTGCACACTGCAAGGCTCGTCGATCTTTGAATTCAGATCTTTCCGGCCCCGGATACCTCACCCAAACGCCCCTCGATTTGTTCGTCTCCCAAAGTCGCTGCACGTCAAGCAGAATGGTTTGCCATTGTGCAGCTGTGTACCGAGAAACTCGTGCCACCCTGAGCTCCACATTGGCCCTGCTTGGCCCTACCGAAGTTGACATGTCTGGATGCCGATATTTCCGGCCTGTTGGGAAGCTGCTGGCACACAAGAGGTACAACTGCGAGGAGATCCTCAAGACTGTCCAAAAATCTTGGAAAACCATATGCTCCATGTGCGACACCGTCTTCAGAACCCGATGGTCGGCCACTGGCTGTCCACTCATTGGCCTGATTCCGGGTATTGGTTGCCGCTGCTGCATGATGCAGTGCTTCCTTCGCGATGTGGCGCCTGCAGTAGCAGTGGTGCTAGGGCCCGGCGCGCAATCACCTGAAGAATGCACAGCATGCCGAGCTCACACTTTGTCCAAGAAATCTGGTTGTCTAGAGGACTTGCCCTCTGCTGTCTGTTCAGCACCGAGACTCCACCGCCGGGGTCCCAAGGGCATTGTAGCACAGCGCAGGGCGAATAGGCAATCGTCTCTTTTACACCGTCTACTTAGACCCCACCGGTTTGTGATTTCCCAGGTGGGTGCCGCGCGCACAATGCCACTTGGGAGCTTGTGGCAAAAACATGTGTAAGAACCGTCTGGGAGTAGTCTTGATCGCCGTCTCACTCCAGCTTTGCAGATAGGCGGGACTGGTTCGCTTACGGGCAATCTGCACGGCCAAGTGCGTGTTCACTGGCCATGTCTCATCTCCAACTTGCCGCCACCGCGGCAGCTCGTATCTAAAGAACGAGGACGTGCCAGTGCGCGATGCAGCTAGTGGTCCCTCTTCCCAACATGAAACCTTGCGAGTTTTTCTGAGTACCTACTTGTACTTGGTCACTACCTGCAAAGTGCGGGGGCGGGGATGATTTGCTGTCCCTGGCCCTGTACGTCAAAGCCCGATGGCACGCTCCAGCAAAACCTTGAGGAAAGCATAGACAAGTCCTGCCGACCGCTGGTGCTTCTCTGATGCTCGCTGGTCAGCCGCTTCTGGGCCAGCCACCTCTTGACAGGAGCAGGGGGATGGCGAGGTGAGCTTCCTTCTTGTTCGGGAGATCGCTCAGTCATGCGCCATGGAAAAAGCCATGAGGTGGTACATTTTGACGTGCATTGCAGCACGGTCTTGCGTTTCCGAAGCCCTAATCAAAACTTTGACGACCGTCAGCGGAAGTCTGGATGACAACTGATTGGCGTCTGGTCAGGTCTAGATGGAGGAGAGCATGCATGTGTCCAGACTCGGTAAACCAGCCTCTCGATTTCTTTGTTTGAGATCTCTTTGTGAGGGACTTTGAAATCCTCCGTCTGGAGGAGGAACTAACAACGGACTCGCTCCCGGTGTCTTCCGGCAGATGTCCGCAGGTGCCCAGGTACCGGCATCTGCAAGCTGCATGGCGTGATTTGGACGCTCCAGGCTCAGGACAACAGGACAACAGGACAATTTTGTGACGATCCCAAGCCGTGCAAGTTGACTGAGAAGCGAGAAGAACATTGTGGCTCACGAGGTACACAGGATCCAGGAAAATGGCTGGTCTTGGTGAGAGGGGCTGAGGTCAATCATCTTATCACGAGAACATGCCACAAAACCTTGGGAGTTGCCAGGCACGGGGTATACGAGGTCCTCGATATGATAACAGTTGCAAGGGTCCCCATGAGCATAGTCCCCAAGGGCTTCCGGTGCACACCGTTTCACATGGTTTCTTTCGACCAACCTCTCTCGCCCTTAGATGCCGGTAAACATGTTCGGAATACTCGTATGAGGACGTCCCCGTGATGTCGAAACGGTCATTTCAATGCCAAACGTTTCTGGGGAGTGGCAGGAATGTGAAGCGGCCTCCCAAACCACGTGAGAGCCACTGTGTTTCACAACAAGACATGTTTAATTTGCGGGAAACGAGGTTGTGGGAAATGAGGCGGCTGAGTTTCTGTTTGATCAGCCCAAACCTACGTCATTCTTCTCTATGGCTCAGCTTTTCGAGATGATTGCTTGTGTCCACACCTCAATCTCTTGGATTTTGCGTGGATATTACAAGATGCCATGTCCATGACCGCGCGGCTGGGATGTGCAACAAGATCCCCGGCGTGATCGTCGCATCAATCTCTGAAGGAAGTCGAGCTGGGACGGGACAGCGGTCATGGATTCTTCGCCTCTGTCATTCATCCCGGTTGATGGGGAGATGGATGTTTAGCGACCCCTGTGCCAGACTTGAACGGTTGCACCGAATGACGAAATCCGGGGATTCTGAAACGCCATCTTTGCGATCTCAGCCTTGCCGAGCAGAATAGGGGTCCGAAGGCTCTCGTCTCGTCGCGAAGCTGGAGGGAAGCTCGATGGGTTTTGCACGGGTCAAATCGGTCCAGCAATCAACTATGCAAGAGCGGGTCTTCTTCTCCTTGGTGTCTTCGTTGCAAAGCGTCCTAATAGTGACTCTAGAAACTGACAAATACTTACCACGTGACAAGAAATTTATCACTCCAGCTGCCGAACTCATTCATTTGCATCTGTCCTCCCTGTCTTGTAGTTCCACAGGAATGGAATACAGTGCAGTGATGGACGCGAATGTGAGCTCAAGCAGACAGTTCGTCTCCTCCGCCGAGTTCTGGCATGATCCATGCTCGCCATGCTAATATCCATCCCACCCACAACCCATTCTCCGACGGACATGTCAACAAGGTTGATTATTGGTTCCTCGCCAGTTCCTGGCAGCTTCCGGGGTAGCACAAGCTGCAGAGTTGACCAGGTCTAACGCAACGGAAACGCGATTCCGAGTTGTTTATCATTTTACTCGTAAGGGGCCGTGCGTAGGCTTATTTCTATAAAGAGAGGAGAGCGCCCTCGAACGATGGTTTTTTCCCCTGCTCGTACGGTTTACAAGGCACGATCCAGATGCAGCGGAACCAGTATTGCCTGTGGTGGCCGCCAAGACGGTGACAACGACCAGAGATTTCGCCTGGGAGATTCATTTGCCGACTTCCCCGCACTCGGACAACGGGCAACTTTGATTCCCTGCTTTTTAGTTATTCTTAGGGGAGGAAGTACTGACAAAATCATCGTTGGGGGGGCGCCCGCACGGGGCCACCGGGCTCCCACCGGGCGTCCACCGGGCTCCTTGGGACTCGGAACACGCACCCACGACCGCCCCAAGCTATCACCGCCCACGAAGCAACTTGAGTGCCCGGCAAAGCTGCGGCAACGCCTAGACCGGCCAACGATGGGGGAGATTTGGGTGCTAGCTCTGGGGTAAGAGGGCGTCTGGACCACTCACCACCACCCCTACTGGGCAAGGGGGGAGCTGTACATGAACCTCGGGTAAAGCAAAGCTGACTGTCCCTATCGCATTCCCAATCCCATGGAGCTTTCTCGGCCGAAGGTAATTCCGCTTGCCCATTCATTGATCTTTGCGTGTTGGGTGTTTTTGTTTGAAATCTAGCCCTTGCTTTCAATCCATCGGACTTTCTTTACCTAAAGCCCTGCACCGAAAGAGGAGAGAGGGAAAGAGAGAGAGAGAAAAAAGACAGGGCACAGTGTCATTGAACTCCTCTCCACAGGTGCAACGGGCAGCGCATCACTTTATCTCTCTTTCTGAAGAACCCTGTCGCCGGAATCGGTCTCGACAACACCGCAACCATGGTCTTCTATCCTATGAAATGGATCCCCCCGTTGCCCGAAATTCCCGACACCGTGCCCATATGCGAATTCATGCTCGATGAGCAGTACGGCCGGGTCCCTTACGCCGAGTCCAAGGAAGCATACACCTGCGGTCTGACGGGGAAGAGTATCTCTGCGCGGCGACAGAAAGAGGATGTCGACAGCCTGTCTCGCGCGCTGGCCAAGGAGTTTGGCTGGGGAGTTAATGAGGGCACGGAATATGACAAAGTCGTGGGCATCTTCGCCCTCAACACGGTACATCGGGCCCTTTCTCTTGGAGATGCTGTGGGAAGAAAAAGTGCTGACGGGAGACAATAGATAGACATCATGACGCTGAACTGGGCCATCCACAGACTCAATGGCATCTCCGCGCCTGCCAACGCCGCCTTCAACGCCGACGAGCTGAGCTACCAACTCACCAATTCCGGGTCCAAGGTTCTCTTCACCGTGATGCCCCTGCTGCAGACTGCCCTGGACGCCGCGGCCAAGTCGAACATCCCCAGAAAAAACGTCTACATCTGCGAAATGCCCAACGACCCCCCCATCCCCAAGGAATTCAAGACCCTATCTCAATTGACCAAGCAAGGCAAATCCCTACCCGAGCTGGAACCGATCAAATGGGAGAAGGGTCAGGGTGCACGGCAGACCGCATTCCTGTGCTACTCCAGCGGGACCTCCGGACTGCCTGTAAGTTGGCTATTCCTTCTGGAACACGAGACGGTCCTGACATGAAACGCAGAAAGGGGTCATGATTTCCCACCAGAACGTCATCGCCAACACCGTCCAGATCTCCGTCTATGACCAGCCCGCCCGCGACGCAATTGCCCCTCGCTATCGTGATGTTGCCCTAGGTCTACTGCCTCAATCGCATATCTATGGGTTGATTGTCATCTGCCACGCTTCGACGTACCGCGGCGACCAAGTCATCATTCTTCCAAAGTTCGACCTGAACAACTTCCTCAATGGGATCCAGAAATTCAAAATCAACACGCTCTACATTGTACCCCCGATCATCATTGCCATGGTCAAGAACCGGGATCTGACCCGCAAATACGACCTATCGAGCGTAACCTCCATCTTCACGGGTGCTGCTCCACTGGGCAAAGAGACCGCCGAGGAATTGGCCGCCCAGTTTCCCTCGTGGAAGGTTCGACAAGGCTACGGTCTCACAGAGACGTGCACCGTCGTGTGCTCGACATCTCCAACCGATATCTGGTTTGGCTCCTCGGGATGTCTGATCCCCGGATACGAGGCCAAAGTCATGAGCGCGGAAGGGAACGAAATCACCGGGTACAACCAACCCGGTGAGCTCCTCGTCAAGTCTCCCAGCGTCGTGCTTGGGTACTTGAAGAACCAAAAGGCCACAATGGAAACCTTTGTGGACATGCCCGAAGGCCGATTTATGCGGACTGGAGACGAGGTGGAGTTTAGAGTGTCGCCCAAGGGCAATGAGCACATCTGGGTTGTGGACCGCATAAAGGAGCTGATCAAGGTCAAGGTGAGTAAACCCTCGCGAGGACAGGCTCTGCGTGTATCAATGCTAACAGCCCACAGGGTCACCAAGTAGCCCCGGCAGAGCTCGAGGCGTGCCTGCTCAACCACCGCGCCGTGGCCGACTGCGCCGTCATCCCCGTCCCCGATGACCGCGCCGGCGAGGTGCCCAAGGCCTTTGTCGTCAAGGCCAAGTCGATAGGCCTGGAGGAGAGCGACAGCCTCCTCAGACGGGACATCATCAAACACGTCGAGAAGGAGAAGGCCCGCCACAAATGGCTCGCCGGCGGCGTCGAGTTCATCGACGTCATCCCCAAGAGCGCCAGCGGCAAGATCCTCCGGAGGCTGCTGAGGGATAGAGAGAGGGAAGCGAGGAGGAAGGCTGGCGCCAGGCTATAAAAGAGCTCCCCCCTGTCTGTAATCGATCAGCCTGTGAGCATCAACTTGGAGGTCGGGAGTCTTGTATTGGGTGCCTGGGGGGAAGGCTGTAGATGTCAAAGATTGCATAGTTGCCCTTCGAGTTTTGACTTGACGACAATACATTTATTCCTTTGGTTTGCAAGACATGTTACTCTTCCTGACACACATTTGAGAGGAAAGGTTGCTAGGTACTATTAGAGCCCGCCGAGAGTATCAGATTGTAATTCTTTGCTCTCGAGGCAAAAGAGAAAGAGACTGCCGATCTCCAACAGTTCCTCGGACGAGGTATAGAGATGTACCTCCGTATTTGTACTGTCAATCCCTACGTAGGACGTCAAGAGCGGAAGCCCTTCCAGCTCCGTCTGACAGCTTTGGGCAGTGCCAAGCATGCACCCACCCGCACACACTCAGCGACCAATACGAAAAACAAAAAGGCACAAAAAGAAAAAAGAAAAAAAAGAAAAAGAAGGACAAGAAGGACAAAAAATAAATTGTGTGCTTTGTCTGCACTGGCCGTGAATCGAACACGGGGCCCATCGATGGCAACGATGGATTTTACCACTAAACCACCAGTGCTGTTATTGTTGGGAGAAAGTAGGAACTTGTAATATATGAATAACATTTCTTTCTAGCGCTGACAGCTTCATAGAAGTGGAGGTGAATTGTCGGAAGAAATGCTCTTGCCAAGGGTCCTTGGCAACCTTATTTCCGAAAACCCACTCGAGTCACAGACTCGGGAATGCCTCAGGGCGGCGAATTCGTACGACGGCGAATTCGCTTGATGCTTGGCAGAAGGTTACCACACCTAATTTGGCTAGTGTCTATTTTTCCTTGTCATGAATCTATTTCCTGTTGCTATTCCAGACCTCGCCGCCGCCTGACCTAGTCTGTGCAATGGCCGATATTCCTCCTCTCTGGTGTGCTAGGCAAGGCTATCCTGACCACCTCCATCGACCACTTGAGAAGGCTGTGAATGGCTACTTCGCCTGATGACTCTCCTGAACTAGTCCGCGAGCGACTACCTCCGTCAACGGCGCCTTCTGGCATTGGCAGTGGCAGTGACAGTGGCAGGCTTAAACGAGTGCGCAAACGGACTACTAGGCTAGTCGAGGCCAGGCAACAAGGCTTTCTGCCTAATTCACAGGATAGTTGAGAGATCAACACCAAGGTTGGCTATACAAACAGGCGGCGACTAGGTCAGGCGGCGGCGAGGTCTGGAATAGCAACAGGAAATAGATTCATGACAAGGAAAAATAGACACTAGCCAAATTAGGTGTGGTAACCTTCTGCCAAGCATCAAGCGAATTCGCGGTGGTACGAAATCGCCGTCGAATTCGCCGCCCTGAGGCATTCCCAGAGAGAGAGAGAGAGAGAGAGAGAGATCTCTCTGGAATCTGGAATCTGGATTACCACCATCCTGGCCTTCGCGGCCTGGATATGACAATTTGGTAGCAGCGCTTCCAGAATAAGATAGCCTAGGATCCTCGAGAAAATACTTCATGTTCTTGTCTGTGACGGCTGATGAAGGCAAAGATTTCAAGTTAGCAGTAGTGTGTTTACACTTGTGGAAGTAAATCCGGTAGGTAGATCAATGGTAGCAGGCCATGAACAGTCAGAGGTAGACTAGACGCACTTCCGCCCATTGTATTTATTGGAAAGGAATGCTACTCCTGGTACGAACCATGCCTTATATTTACCGGCCCGGGATCAGTGTTGCTCAATGTCGGTTTATTCGGGCGGCAAACCAAACTCATGTCATATTCAGATTTGGTCCTCTGATGCTATGCTCAATGCTACGATGTCCAGTGGTGTTGTACCTTTAAGCTCTGTGCTGTAGTTCGTTCATGATCATCTCGTGTCCGCCAGCGCTTCGCGATCCGTCAGCCATCATTATGGTTCACCCCCTCTGTGGATAACCAGATGTCGATTATCCTTCGCACTTTTAAGAAACCAGCTCTCCCCGACAACCCTGACCCAATACTGGAAGCCTTTTCGAAGACAGTATGCATTCCCATCGCGTAGGTCGCTCGTCTCATGTGGTTCAGACAGCAGGTCGCCTCCTCTTGGTCTTGTTCTCCGGTACGAGCCCGGCTTCTCTCATCAGTTCCTTTGCATTCGCGGCTGAGCGTTCCCATCGCCCACACAACTTTTCGCGGCGAGCTTCCCCTGGACGGATTTCTCTTCAGCAGCTTTCTCTTCAGCAGCTTTCTCTTCAGCAGCTTTCTCTTCAGCAGCTTTCTCTTCAGCAGCTTTCTCTTCTCCGGCTATCTTTTGCCCTCTTTCTCTTCTTTAGGCTTCTTGTTGTGAGCCGTCGTGTAATTTGTGGCTTTGTCTTTGGCCTTCGCTCCCGATCTCGCCCCGCCTCTGGCCCTAGGCGCTCCTTTCTTACCTCGCGGCATGCTAAAGGCTTTACTCGCAAGCTATTCGGCGAGACCCCTATCGCAAAGCAAAGCCTGGTTGCTCAAAGTGTAAAAGGAGTGGTTTTTAGCTTGCGAAGTAGGCGTAGGAGAACAACGAGCTACTTTTAGAACTTCAATGGACTAGACGAAAGAGTATCCAATGAAGGTCGGATGGCGCAAAGATGTATAATATTCCAACTTCGACGAGGACCATCTACTAGATCTTTAGACTGAAGGAATCAGACTTATTCAGCTTGCCATTACAGGCTTGGAAAGCCTGCACGTCTGTGTAGCAGATAGTATAGGTCCGTTGGGCAGATACTCTCCTGTCCTGGGTCTTCCTTTCAATACCGTCTCCTACAGATGGCGGGTAGCTCCAGAGGCCTCAGCTCGCTCGGCCCATGGAACGTATCAGTTGTCAGGATTAAAACCCACCTCCTGTAAGGATTCTCTGAATTCTCGTACTAAGGGCTCGCGCTTATTCTCCAGACTGGGGTGGCCACGTTCTGTTTTGTAGTATGCTGGTGCTGGTGTGGCTTGTCATTCCCGTAATCAAGATCGAGTATTGGTGCTTTAGGGCTCACGCGGAAAGGAATGTGGCTCTGGTTTTAGTTGGATCTGTCTCTCTGAATGTTGCGGGTTGGTTATCACTGATGTTTCAACTTACTCTTCATACTTGCGTAGCTCCCTACCTTTTGGAGCACTTATCCTGAATCCCAACTTACGTGTTTGACATTCTCCGTGCTATCTAAGTGGTAGCATTAAGTCTCTCTTATTCCTAGCGCGAGGAAATCTAGCCAGCGCTTCTTCGGTGAGAACTGCTCACTGAGGAGCATAGAGTTCGTCAGGTTCCTTCCCTAACTTTACGATCGATCTGTCGACCTCCTCGAACCTCGACCGCTACGAACACGATTCTCAACTACGGATACGGATTTGGATTCCAAGGCCCTTAGAAATTTCAACCTACCTGGCGTGCCGCGGCACGTTTTAAGACAAAATTTTCTAAGTATGAGCGGAAACACTTGGGAATGCCTCCGGGCGGGAGCCGCAGGCGTAGAGACGAAACCGTTGTCGGTGGTGTTAGCACGTGTGTAGAAATCTCCGTCTTCTCCAGCACCGGCCCCTTCTGCTTGTTGTTCTTCGTCAAGCGTGGTACCACCGATAGTGGTCACTAGCATTGAGAGACGTATCCTAACGTGCATCCAAACCTTTATCATTGCTGGTCACCAAGAGAGTCAAGGCTAGCTGTTGTGAAGACTGAACAATATTGCGAGGCTTAGTGACAGCCTTGTCTCGCCTTGGCGAGAACTTTGTTGTCTTCGAAAATCACTTTCCATTCGATCTCTTCTCTCCATCATTGCAAACTCTTTCAAATCACCAACACTTTTCCTTGTACAGCGTCTGCTTCATTGCTTCGTCTTCTTTGTCTTGCTACTCTCTTCTCATCCAATCCCTATACCTCCCGCGTGGGGCCACCTCTTCGTGGTGCGGGAGACGAGTAGTCAGTTGCTCCCAGCAACTGGTGAAACCAACGGCCCCTCTCGTTGCCCGCTTGATATGTGTATCTGTAACACGGTTGCCGCGAGGCAGACTCCGCGCCTGCGCAGGCTCATCGGCCTGTCTTCAATTCGGCCTTCATCTCAGAATACCTTCTCTACCGATAAAAAACCTACCTTGGTCGTGCCGCCTATCTAACGATCAAGCCGAACCCGACCTCCTCTTTCACCCTCCCCCTCTTTATCGACCCGGTCCGCAGTCGATATCGTACAAGCGGCGGAATCCGATAGGTGACCCTGGCGGGCCCTGTTGTGGCGGGACTTCGATCCCAGCGTTTATTCATTCAACATCAACAACACACATTTCAACTCAGAGGCACTGGACTTCCCTCTCTTCAACGTGCTAGCTGGGACATGACAGCGCCCATGCTGCGAGAGACGAGGAGTCAGTTGCTTCCAGCAAATTGCAAACCCAATACCACCTTCAAGCGAGCACCTGACTTCTTTACGACCTCGAATCCAACAAAGATTCCGCTATTCTTTTGCCGTGCCTGCCAGTTTTGAGCCACCTGCACTCTTCACTCAAGTAAAGCTGCCACAGATGCACCTTCCGTACCAACTACGGAACCGTCCTTCACCCAAGCAAAAGCTGCCTGAGCTGCACCTTCCATGGGGAAACATGCCTCACTTTTCTTCCTGTCAACACTGGCATTCCTCTCTCTCCCCCTCTTGTTCAAAGGTCGGGACGGTTATCGCACACATTACCAGTTCTACATGATCATGATGGCTCGCCAGCTTGCCCTGCATTGAACTTCAAGACCACACACCAACCAGATACTTTGTGCAGACAACTTTCAGCCGCTCTCTGAAGAAGTCGTTCCGCCCAATTTCTGCCATCAAGATGTCCTCGATCGACAGGACTACCAGTCCCCTCGTCGACTCTGCCTCCTCCGCCAGACAGTCTAGCGAGACCACAAAACCGGTCAGCAAATCTGCGTCGGAACTCCTAGAGATAGCAAAGCAACATGGTCGACCAAGAGGAGGTCCTCGGCCAGAGACTGTCCAATGTCCCTCACGTCCAAAGAAGTTCAGCAAGAGAGAGCACATGAGGCAGCATCATGTCGTGGTTCAGAAAACGGTTCTTCCAACAATCTCTGGGATGAAAAAGTTCAACAAACACAAACTTGAAGCCATGTCGAACGAAGAAGCTCCCACATTGTTCCTTCGTGCGATTATTGCAATCTCACGGAAAAATAGCACTGTCGATTCGAAGCAGGTCCAAGAACTTCACAAACGCAATGACGATCTATACGGATTTGTGCAGAAAGTCATCCACAGCCAGCTTCATGTTGAACAGGCGGCGTCATCGTCATGCAATCAAAGCTGTCCAGCAGAAAATTCTCCTTCGTTCTCAATGGTGTCTCTTCAAATACAGATATGAGTTCAACCCGACAGACAGAAGTGTCGACACTCCGAAACATTCTTCGCCGCCTGGATATCGAAACTCAAGCAAATCCAACCTGATTGTCATTGTGTTCTGCAGCTTCGACGGGTTCTGTACCAATATTGAAGGGTTCGAACATCGCGAGCAACTCGAGAGATCTGCGTCAGATCATGCCTGAACGTCGGAACATGTTTGATATCGACGGTGGCTCTCCGGATGGCCGTGAATTCAACCAAAGCGAACTCGTCACATACACTGAAGCTGATGTTCTTGCCAACGAGCCCTCTCTCAACTCCGAATTCCTACATTCTTTTGGTTCTCGTGTCGACTCCCACGGCATGTTTGATACGCCTCTAGCGTGTCAAGAGTCTTCCTTGTGCAGACGGGCCTTTGAGCTTAGCATTACAATCAACTCGGCTATTCAAGTCTCGATCCTGAAGCGGTCTTCAACGCCTCCCAAATCCTTACCGATCGAAACACACTCCCGGGCACTCCCTTTCTATCGCCCTCTCAGACTCCCATTCCGAAATCTCGCTACTTCACTACCCCAGTTGAAAAGCTCAAACTCGCCCTTCAATCACCATTTTATCAGCTTGAAGAACCTGTTTGCCACTCCCGGATCATTCCCACGACAGCCAAAGAAACCCAGCGCTACGCTTGTCCCTAAATCATTGTCTCCATCTCACTCTTCCCATAATCCATCTATTCAGCCACTCGAGAGGGTCAAAAAACCAAACAAAGCTGGATCCTTCAGGCACCTTCGTAATAATCATAATCATCTTGACTTCAACTGGCCCTCACCCTTCTTTCAGCTATCAATCTCACGTGGCTCTCAACTTTCAGTGCGTGCACTTCAAGTAACTTGAAGAAAGTTCGGCGCCAGTGAATTTCCAAGGTGAGTTCACTCACCCTCTTAACCTACGGTGGCTTTGACGTCTCTTTGACTTTGAGAAGTAGCCCTCTTTCAGAAAACACATTCATCCAGAGAACCACACGTCACTACATTCCTCTTCAAACTCTCTGAGAGTCACCACTACCAGCGTTGATCATTGCTTCACGATTTTGCTTGTTGGATTTGAAGTCACTCCAAGGAACACTTCCGGCGCACAGCAAGAACATAATTTTGATCGCTCTTCAGATCATTCAAGAGTCACCACCACGAGAGTTGGCCAGCGGTTCCCAACTTCAATCTTCGCAGTTGAAAAGATTCCGAGGAACACTTCCAGCACACAGCAAGATGTCACAGACTACAAAATATTGGGTGGAGTTCTTCAATAAATTTATTGATGCTGATCGTCGTCGTCGTATCAAACGTGAGGATGTCCCTGAAACCCCAGAACCGTCAAGAGTGGCTTTTGCCAGCTGGGACGAGTACCTCGGTACGCTGGGGTCTGGTGCGCTTATCGAGTCGGCTTTGGCAGACAGAGAGAAGAACCGAGAATTCCACACGCGCATCAGGCTGTTAGAACACAAAGAAGGAAACCGAACCCAGTTTATCTGTCTTTTCAAGGTCCCGAGAAGATGCCAAGAAAACTTCACTGAGAGAGACAAAGCATCTGCCCATCTGACTAAGAACGCTTCCCGAGTAACCCTGACTGATGATTCCTCAGCGGTGATGACTACAGTCCAAAACCTTGGCGCGGACCTTGGGACATCAATATCCTACCAACTGTTCCGACTGGGCCACCAGAAGTAGCCTGGGCTACAATTGAGCGCCACCACTACGCCAGCAAAGATGAATACCGCGACCGGCAGCATTATCCTGTCACTTCCTTCTCTGAGTTCAACAAGATAAAACAGAGTCGTGGAATGCAAGCCGCGATATGGTACCTTCTTGACAACTCGACTGTCTATGCCACCATTATCCCGGAAGACCGCCACAGCATCTTTGTGTACGTTATCAGCGCCTTGATTAACCTGAAAAAGAAGGTAGCGCAATCACTAGATGGCGGGATTTCAAAGCTACTACTTGCAGCTCGTCCAGACAAGGTCCCCCAACTTAACATTTACCGATCCCTCAGTGACCCTTCTCTTGCACACGAGGACGGGCTGTACCTCAATGAGAGCCAAAAGGAAGCAATCCGTTTCGGACACCATGCTCCAGCGGGGTTCGTCCTTTGTCATGGAGGGCCTGGAACGGGCAAGACGCATTTCATCATCCAGGCTGTTCGACCTTTTCTCCTAGATAGCGCCAAGCAGCACCGAGTGCTAGTCACAGCAGCTTCCAACACAAGCGTCGACTCCGTGGCAAGAGCTTTGGATGGACAGCTGAGGCAAGTGGTTGCTGAAAGAGGAGGCTCAAACAAGCAATATGTGATTCGTCTGCACAGCATCAAGACAGAGAAGTCAGTGGCTCTTCGAGAAGCGAGGCTCGCAAGACAAGCCAGTCTAGCCGCCAAAAAGCACAACCCTTCACCCAAAAACTCTGACGCCCGTCCGCCGATATCGGGGCAGGCTGATACGATTCTCGCACATTGTCAAGCCTTCATGGAGCGCAAGTATGAAGGTGTCAGCGACGAGCGGGTGAATGCCATTGAGCTGTCTGCAGGCGAGAGGATGCTTGAGATCGCCGGACTACGTAAAGAGAGCCTACTCAATACCGCAAGCCGGTTCACGAAATTCGCAGACTTGTATCAGCGGTTCGTCGACGGTGACGAGTTCAACTACGAGAAATGGGAAACTCTTGGTGAAGAGATAGAGGAGCTCTTAGCTTATACCATCAATCACGCTTCAGTCATTTGTGCAACTGTTGGCGGAGCTGCCGACGGCTTTTTCTGCAAGCACTACGCTGATGCAGAGTTGATTGTCGTCGATGAGGCTGCCCGAGTCCCTGAATACCAAATGTGGCCGTTACTTGCCTGCTATCCCAACGCGGTCGGCAAGGTCTTGGTTGGAGATCCCAACCAGCTAGGTCCTATGATCAGAGGCGATGATACAAAGGACGACGCGAAGAGCATAATCAACCCTTTTCAGAGGCAGTTGGAAATGTCACTTCAACAACGCCTTCAGTCCGCAGGTTTCACGTCGGCCTTCTTCAATGTGCAATACCGGGCCGTGGAGAAGATTGCCCGGATTTACAGCAACGTCTGCTACGGGGGTCTCTTGCAACATGGTCGAACCTCGGAACTGGAAGACGATCAGCTTGCCAAAGACATCATCGAACATAACCGGCAAACATATGGTATCCCCGAACCCGTGGTGTTCTACGACATACCAGACGCTGCACAAGGACGGAACTACCATCGGTCCAGATTCTGCAAGGAATATGTCATATTGGTGCTGAAGATTTTGAGGGGTCTCTTCAACGCCGGATTCGGAACTCGTGAGAAGTCTTGCTCTATCGCCATCTTGACACCGTATATCGAGCAAAAACGACTCCTCAAGGTATCAAAAGCGCAAATGGAAAAACTCTATCCAGCAGCCAAGGACGTCGTCTTGCAGACCGTCGACAGCGTCCAAGGCATGGAGTACGATGTGGTCATTGTGGATCCCACCGTCGTGCGCAGCCCCGGGTTCCTTGATGCAAATCGACTGAACGTGATGTTCTCGCGCGCCAGATATGGCCTCTACGTCGTTGGCGATTACATGTCGTGGATTTCCATGAGGAAGGATGATTCGGCGCCCTTGAGAAAGTTTGCAGCAGAGTTCAAAGCGACCTACCGGATAAAATGGGATAGGGGGCAAAAAGATCAAACTTTGTCCTCGCCATTCTTTGACGAGGAGATGATTGCAGGCTATGAGTCGGAATGATTGCATGGTCTGGTCACTTCGAGGAGGCGATTGTTGAAACAAAAAGTCATAGCTCCGAATCACTAGGCGCGGAAATGAGATATCGAAGGAGACACAAGCTGCTCACGGCACGAGGGCAGGAGGATAACTTGGGACCGTTCAGGAGGTGGATGTCCGATGTTGAGGTCAAGGCTTGCTTGGATGAGGTTGATCATGATGAGATTAGGTATCCGGAAGGGCCTAACTTGGATCAGTCCGACACAGTTGTGAGGGTTGAAGTGTGATCGACACGGTAAAGCGTCTTCAAGTCGACTTCGTGTTTTCAGGGCCGGTGGCAGGATTTCGTGAACGAGGGACAAGAGTATCTGCTCCAGCTTTCAGCCTCGTGTGTTCAATGCAGCCTTGCGGTAGACATAGAGAACCCTGATTGGTCTATTTGGCCGTGAAAATGAATGTCAGTCTGTCAGACACACCATTTTTGTCTTGGCCCATTTGTCATGGAGGACGCCTGATCTGAGCATCGGAACGTTGTTTTCTTCCTGTCTTTCGAGTAGACCTCCGATTCTTCATGAATCGGCGCATTCAAGCAGCGGCCAGAAACACAGTCGGGGCAGATCTCGGAAGGTGCGAAACCTCCGGCGGTCCTTGCAATTGGCGCACCAGATTTGTCCTTGAGATGGCATTCCTCACCGCCAGAAAGCATGCAGACGTTTCACCCCCCTAATGATGGCAAAGGCAACGGCCGTTCTGCCTGCGACCGCTGCAGGCGCCACAAGCTCCGATGCGAGCGCCCTTCAGACTCGGCACAGTGCCGTCGATGCTGGAAAGCCAATGTCGAATGTGTCACCGGAGCCGCTCTCAAGTCCGGTCGTCCGTCCTCGAGGCGACAACCCTCCGATGCTTTGGAGAACTGGCCTCTCCATCAGACGCTTCAGACACCAAGCGATACCCCCGAGACCGACTCTAGCACTGGCAGGGAAATGCAGTTACCACCAGCACCAATTACTGTCGATGGTCTCGAAAACGGGTGGCCAGACGGCTTGCAGCAGGATATCGATGCATCGCAAACATTCCAGCCTCTATCAGACACCTATCAGCCGGTATATTCCCAAATTGACCCCCAGGGTGACTGTCTGAAGCGACTCGGAGACCTGCAGAGGGAGATACATGTGGACCTGGAGCTTGTCAAGGCGTGCAAAAAAGCGACGGACTGCGCTCAATTGTCGCTACCTCCTGAGCTGGCGTATAATTCTTCCTTCCTCGTCGGTCGAATGCTTGAACATTCAAAGACTCTACTCGGTATCTTGGCTTCCTTTGGATCGATCTCGCCGGCGCCCAATTGTTCCACGAACGTGGACTACTTCCCAGCTGTACCGACCTGTCCCGGAGGCTTACACTGCGACGTTCCCACCATGTTCTCTCTTTTCTCATGCTACATCTGCCTCATCCGCATCTACCGCACCATCTTTTCGTGCATCCATGACTCGATGCCTGTTCTGCTGTCGCTGCAACCAACCCTGCCCCAGCTATTTCCAGGCATCAATTTGGCAGGTTTCACTCTCGAAACGCGCCTCGACCTGCAAGTCCAGATCCTTGTCCAAGTGAGCGAAGATATGCTTGCGAAGCTCGAAGCCAGGCTTGGTGTGCCAGAGGGCGCCACCGCTGGGCAAGGAATCTTGGAGCCCACGAGAGCCGCTAGAATGCTCAGCATGATGTTGGAGGAGGAGGCCCATGAGCAGCCTCCGCTGTATGAACCTCGCGGCCCTTGCAAATCACTCAGGGACATCCTTGCCGACTTGAAGCGAATGATCAACGCCGAAAATACAAACCGAAGAGACATTGGAGTCTGAGCTTCGGAGCATTTATCATCTCTTTGTGGATCCGCGACAGCCTTGTCAAAACGTTCCGATCCGACTTCATGTAGCTCCGAGAAGCAATAAAACCAACTGCGAGGCCCATGATGTCCGGTGTCAAAACTGACACAACCTGCGTCCTTCTAGCAGCTCGATTCTTCACCCTGCCGCCATGCCGTCATCTCCCCCCGACCACCAAGGCCTCTCTGCTATGTGGTGGAGTGCGCGGGTAAGATTTCCCTCCTGAATGCGGCAGCCTCGCGCTACAGCTGGCACGCAAAGCGACTGACCAATGCTAGAATCCACCAGAGAACCCTCGAACTTCCTTCTCAGGCAAGACCGTCCTCATCACCGGCGCCAACGTCGGCCTGGGCCTCGAAGCCGCAGTCAAATTCGCCGCACTGGGTGCCTCGCGTCTCATTCTCGGCGTGCGGTCCATCCAACGCGGTGAAGAGGCCAGAGAACAAATCTGCCGACGATCCGGTTACAAGAGCGCAGACGTGCAGCTATACCAGCTCGACATGAGCAGCTTTGCATCCGTCAAGTCTTTCGCCAAGCAAGTCCGCGCGGACGAAGCTCGAGTCGACGTCGCCGTCCTCAACGCGGGCATGGCGGCGTCTTCGTACCAGCGCTCGGCCGAAGGGTTCGAGATGTCCCTGCAAGTCAACGCGCTCTCAACCGCCCTCCTGGCCGTGCTACTATATCCGAAGCTCCAGAAATCGGCCGAGGTGTCGGGCGAGCCATCACACCTCGAGTTCGTGGGCAGTGTCGGCCATCGCATGGTCAAGCCTGGTGCACTCGACGCGGCGCTCGAGAGCGGGTCGCGCGTGCTGGACCTGGTCAACGACGAGACATTCTTCGACGTCGAACGCCAATACTGCACCACCAAGCTCTTGCTGATGTACGTCATGGACGGACTCGTCGCAGCAGCAGCGTCGTCCTCGTCCTCGTCATTTGCAGACCCCAAAGGCCCCGACGTGGTCATCACGACTTGCTGCCCGAACCTGTGCCGCACGAACCTCGGCCGCGACTTTTCGTTCCTGCTCAAGCTGCCGACGTCCCTGTTCCAACTCGTCTTCGCCCGCTCCGCCGAGGAAGGGAGCCGGATTCTTGTCAGCGGAACGGCCTTGGGAAGGGAGGCGCAGGGCCAGTTCTGGAGCCACGACGTCTTTGACCAGTAAGTGGGAGATTCATCCTGATGGGCTCCGAGCCTTTTGTAGGGAGTCTGTGCTGATTTGGCGATGCAGGAAGGGTGAGCTGGCGACGAGTTCGAAGGGGAAGGCTCTGCAGAAGAAAGCATGGGCCGAGATCGTGCAGATTCTTGAGGAGCACGTTCCGCAGAGCGAGGGATATCTCCTCCGCTGTTAGCCGCAAGCATGCACGGCGTTGGGATGGCGCGGAGAAACGCTCAGGGTTCCAATGTAATAAGGCGTTATGTTCGGATAGAATCTTTCCATCTCATACATCCTACACACCCTACGCATTCTACTTCCCGCCCACAACGGTCTAGTCCAAGATGGTTCCATGTTCAATGTCGTTCAGAGGATGTCACCAACACCCCTCAAATGTTACTGTTGTAACACTGAACACAGGCGGCGCAGTTATGGACAGCCTAGGCACAAACTCCTCACCATAATGTCGACAGACGCCCTTGCAGCCTGTCCCAGTCTATACTGTGTTGCTATGAAACCGTCTGAAGAGATAGCGCGGAGAAAGAGCCCCGATGCGGAGAAGAGGATGGCGGAAACCATCCGATGCTTGCTGGACCACCACGCAGCTTCTGACCTGTAAGCGAGCCGGGAAGAAAGCTTGGTCTCTTCGCTATCACACTTCTTGGTGGCATGCCGGGTTGTTCGTCAATCGACACACATACCAAAGATCCGTTGAAAGGCACCGAGATAGAACGACGGCGATGGCGAGTTTACAACGCCTGCGCGCCTTTACCACATGCGACGTGAGTTGAAAAGCCCACCCGTCGCCCTCAGAAGTGTTCCCTGAGTCGTTGCTGAACCGCGGGCGCTGTACCCGTCCACAGATCGGCGACGCGCTGGTGAAGCTGAAATACCCGTTCGGCGGCTTCCTGGACGGCATCAAGATGTACTCGCCAGACGACGCGGCGGCCACCAAGACCGTCTTCGGCGCCGCCGTGACCGTCAAGATGGTCGAGATGAGCGACCGGCACGCCCCGCGCCCGCCGCGGCACTTTGCCGACTGCAATGAGGCCGGCAAGGTCATGTACATCCAGCAGCCCAAGGGCCTGTACTCGGCGTGCTGGGGCGGGCTGATGTCGACGCGGGCCAAGCACCTGGGCGCCGCGGGGGTGGTGATCGATGGACGCATGCGCGATGTCCGCGAGCATCGAGAGATGGGGTTCCCGGTGAGGGCGAACCAACAGACTTTTCCTCCTCTTTTTGTTGCACATGCCTTCATCATAAATGTCTCCGTTATCGTCGTCGTCGTCGTGGCTGGAAGCTGACAATCCTCCCCCTCCCCAAGGTCTTCGCCCGCGATACCTCCATCCTGGGCTCCAACACCTTCACCCGCGCCTCCGAGGTCAACACCCCCTTACAGTTCCAGGGCGACCTGTGGATCCACCCGGGCGACATCCTGGCGGGCGACTCTGACGGGGTCGTCGTGGTGCCGCCCTCGCTGGTGGACCAGGTCGTCGCCCTGTGCCAGGAACGCGCCGAGATCGACGAGAAGACGTTTGCGGCGCTGCGGGCCGGCGAGGAGATGGGCCCGACCATCAAACGACTTCGGAAGGAGTGAGGGGGGGAGAGGATCCCGCGGGACGTAGGTGGCTGTAGTAGTTGTCGATGGATTTCAGCGTATCGGACGAATGTGATCTAGTTTTCTGTTTCCTAGCGCCAGGAAGTGTTCGAAAAGTTGTGGATGGTGTGTCATCTCCCTAGACTCGCAGGGGCAAGTGTAGGTAGGTTGGTCGAATTGGTATGTCGCATATGATCGAGAAAGCAGTCAAAAGAAGAGGTTTGGATAGGTGCCCAAGGTAGATGGACTTGAATTGATAGGGTGCTTTAGGGGGTCTTAGGGGGTCTTAGGGGGTCTTTGGGGTTCACTAGGCTCTGCTGAGGAGTCATTCTAGGCGTTGTCTAACTATCCAAGCAGTGGTGTTGACTACCCTGACGCCTAAGACTAGCTGGTAAGACCCAGCTAAGCATTCCCCAAGCCAATTAACCAGGCACAGCTATGGACCTATAGCTAAGGAGGCATCAGCAAGATTTTACGCGAACAACAGCAACAAGAATATAGTGTGTATCCATCCGCCCTCACATAGACTGACGACCTTGTTGACAGCTAATCAGCCCATCAAGTCCGTCGCCAGGATCGAGCAGCAGAACCAAGGACCTTCACCAACGCCTACAGGCGCATAAACCTCCCAGACATCGTTCATCTCGCCCTTTAGTCCTGCAAGAAGCAGTCAAGGGTGTTCGGCGGCTTGATCTAATCTTATCAAGGCGATTCCAGAAAATATCACCATCATAGCCGAGGCAATTCCCCCATGTGGTGGATATCCGATGCTTTGCCCACCAACTAACCGGTGGGATATGCTCATAAGTAATCAGCACGCCTCAAAGATGACCCAGCGAGATCACTATTCGACTGGAAAGAACTCATAACGTCTTCGAGCGGCGCGAAACGAGACCGTAGATCAACTCGTCTCGTCCCATCGTGTCTCCTTCAAGGTCTGAGGTGTCGAGTATTCTCCCGACGCTGCGCTTCTCGGGTATAACGACGACACGATCGAAGAACGACGCGGAGTGAAGCAAGAACTCGGAGAGCCAACGGAGAGGCTGTGCTGTAGAGAAAAGCTCAAAAAGAAAGAGAAGCTTACCTCGACCGACTCAATATGGCAACCGACAACAAGCCATTCGCGTTGGTGGCCTTGGTTCACCCCAAGAGCACCGAGAACCGGGACAAGGTATCATAGGCTCCTCCATTCCCCCACCGCATCTTCCGCGAGGCTTTGATGTGGGCTGAAACCCCGTCGAACTCGACCCCAAAATCTCCTAGGCGGAGGAATCGCCGAAGGATGGCAGGGAGAGAATGTCCAGTCTAGCCCAGGGCTCCGAGAAATTGGATCATGGCTCAGAGTCCATGTCTCCCAGACGAGCAGACAACACCTATCCCATCCACACACGGCCCACAGCAAAAGACTAACATTTTGTCTCCCTCCCTCTAGGCTCTCAAGCTCAATGCCGCCGTGACGCCCTTCTTCCGGCGCCCCAGCACGCAATGCACGACACGCAGCATCTTCACGCCGGCGACGCGCCCCAAGGCGAACATGGGGATGGTCCCCGCGGCCGAGAAGGGGAGCATGTTCGGGGTGGTTGAGATCTGGACGTCTCGCGCCGCGCTCGACGCCGTCAAAGCCGGCCCGGCGCCCGAGTACAAGCAGTACCACTCGACGGTGGCGCGCGAGGGCCTGTATAGCGTCGAAACGGACATGGACATCTCCGAGTGGACGCCCTGTGCCGGGTTCGTGGCGCGCAAGGGCGAGAAGGAGACACCCCGGGCCGGCATCGTCATGCTGGCCAAGTTCGTGTGCAAGGACGGCGAGGCCATGAAGGACGGGTTGGTCGGTGTGATTGGGTGCGTTCGCGATGTTTCCAGCCTGATCTTGCAGATCAGTATCCCTCTCTCTCCCCTTGTCTTCCGTTGCTTCTTTGAAACAACCCTCTGGAGCGAAAGCGAATTCGGACCGACACACCGCTAACACAACGACCACCGCCAGGAAATTCTGCGACTGGGTCGAAGCCAACGAGTTCGGCACCCTGACATACTGCGTGATGGCCAGCAACACAGCGCCCAACGAGATCCTCCTGTTCGAGCGGTACAAGGACCTCGCCGCGCTGGGCGTGCACGGCAAGACCGCCGAGTTTCGAGCGATGTTGTAAGTCGAATCTTCTCCTCTCGCTGTATCAACAGCACATGCATGATCCTCTGGGAGTGGTGCTCTCTCTCTCTCTCTTTTTCATGCCTCCCTACGTCCCCTCCCTGCCAGCCTACCAGTCGCCACATGTACTTCGCGAGCACGACACTGACTAACGCGATGTTCACACCATAGCAAAGGAACAGGCCGTTTCATCCAGGTGAAGAAGACGGTGCTGAACGAGTGGGAAGAGCTGGATGGGTCTTTCGTCTCGAACCAGCCCGGCGGCGCTGGTGCCGGAGGACAGGCGAAGCTGTGAGGTCTGAGGAGCTGTAGGTCAACGCCACGAGGGCTCTAAGCGCCGGGCCGGGGTGAATTTTTGAGAGACGCGGTGTCCTGTATAAGCGGCCAGCCGAACGAGTCAGTCAACTGGGGATGCAGCGACACATACCACGCTTTTCTTGGCTCATTATGTTGTGATGTGAGTTGAAAAGAAAGGACGAAAATTGCATATACGGACTGGCACTAGCATTAAGGAAGCTCTACACGTGCTGGAGGACGATGAAGGAGAATGAAGAGCGAGCGGACTGTTTTGAGTCTCAAAAGTCGTGTGCTCCCGACGTGTCTACAACCAGCACCTCATAGCACAAGTCGCAGTCTCAAGCCACAATCATCCAGTGCAATAAGATCAAGCCCAAATTCTTCTTAACTGGTTATATTCACAGCGAAGGATTGTATACATCCTACAGCACTTGCCCTATGCACAAAATTCCCATTCCTCCTCATGGGACAAGATTCTGCACTCCATAGTTCCCACACCTCTTCCCATATTATACTGTCATTATGGTGTATCAGATAGGTTGCACATCCCCTTCGTGCACCTCAATACCCAAATCCTTCCTGGCACAAGATTGTTGCCGGCCCATTCAGACAGTCCGATCACCCCTTGCGGGTAACAAGCGCCTCCCTCCGTCACGTATTGAAAACGCCAGGACAGCCGTGTATGTCTATGTCGGAGGTTCAACCCTCCACGATGTATGTACAAGATCCACTCAGCTGCTTCCTTTCGGTGTGGATGTGTTTAGCTCCGCTTCCATTAATCCAGTTTTGGACTGTCGCAACCTGAAACCGACAGTCATGGACATGCTCGTTGCATCATTAATTTTGTTGTTTTCGGTCTCAATAAAAGAATGCCGCCACAAACACTAACGCCGTGAAAGCTGTGGTGACGGAGTATTCCAGTTCGAAGAACACGCTTTGTGGAGCAAATGCAATCTTCTTCGCCTCTGGCGTCGGGTGGGCGACATTGGTTTTGGGATCGCGCACCAAGAGCTCTTCTCGATCTGGGCAGTTGGGAGGGTCGCAAGCATAGGTGAAGGGAATCCAAAAGGACGAGCATACGATTAACCACGCCAGCGGGGGCTGTGTCCGGGGTCAGTAACGATAGAAAAGGGCCAGAGATAAACTTACCCAGAATGCGTGGGTCAGGAGACCAACAAGCTTGCCCCTCAGAGTATGTTGGGTCAGGAACGTCCGGTAGGACGACAGGGTGACCGCGACGAGGACGAAATAGACATATGCCACATGGAAGCCGGCCATGTAATTGACACAAATCGTCCAGATCCGGCGCCACATCGGGGCTCGTCGTTTTGGATCTCGCTCATTCAGCGCAGACTGGATCGAACCGGTCGCTTTGAAAGCCTGTCGTTGCCCACCCAACCAGGTCGGAAGAACAAATGATCGGATGATGGTGAGGGAAATGTACGGAGCCATCCAAAGCTGATACCGGCTACCTCTTTGTCCCGTGGCATATCCCGCTGGTATAAAGAGTACAAACTCGCACAGCCGGTTGAAGACCATATTGGCAAAACAAGCGCGGATCAACCACCGAAGTTGCGTGTCGTTTGCGTATGCCACGAGGGGCTTGTTGGCGATGAGGACAATCGGCATGGCAAAGATGGAGAGGGTGAGGAAGATGTTGAACAAGCTGAGGAAGGCGTAGATGAAGCTGGACGATCGCTGGGCAAAGGTCATATGTCTGACCTTGTCACCCCAGAGGCAGAATCGAAGTTTGAATGCGGTATCGACCGTGCCGATAGCCCACCGGGTACGTTGCTTGAGATGACCGCCGTAGTCTTCTGGTACAGTACCAAACTGCAACGCCTCGTGAACAAAAGCCGTCTTCCAGCCAGAGCCAAGCAGCAGAGTGCTGGTTGCAACATCTTCTGCCAGCGATCCGCAGGGGAAATTGCCAATCTGGGCTAGAGCGACAGTTCGAGCGACATATCCAGACCCTGTGCACCATGCCACTCCCAGCGCATCTTTGACTGGTTCCGAGACGTGGACGAAGAAATCCAGGCTTTGGCAGAGAGGGTCGTCTTTGGGGACGTTGTAAAAGAGTTGCGGGGGACACGCGAGACCCATCTTCTCATCCATCAACAAATGAGGGAGCACCGCTCTCAACCATTGTTGTTCAGGTATCATATCAGCATCTAAAGCGGCCATGAATTCCGAGGCTCCGCCCGGTAAGCTGTGAACCGCGTCCAGCCCGTAGTTCAGATTGCCGGCCTTGAAATGGTGGGGAACACCTGGAAATTTCGGGCGACGGATGTAGTAGACGTTTGGAAAGGTCTCCCGCATCTCTTCCAGGACGTTTTTGAGCGCGTCTGACTTGCCGTCGTCGAGGAGGAGGACGCGATATCGGTCTTGCGGGTAGTCCAAGTCACAGGCTGCACGAACAGTGTCGAGGACCAGATCGTCATCCTCGCCACAACATGTTATAAAGACGTCAACGGTAGGCACGTCGTTGCCGACGAGTCTCAGTTTTGGTCGGTGTCGCTTCTTGAGAATGAATAGGGACCACAAGGTCTGCATGAAGATCGGCACCGCAATGGAGATTTCGATGGCGACGAAGACCCAAGCCAAAGGAAAAGGGGCCTTGTAGTGATGCTGGGCGTCGATGATAAAGGCGATACGCAGGCCAAAGTAGAACCAATACAAGGACAGAGAAATCAAGCACAGGAGCGGCGCTACCCAGCGGAACAGCCATCTCTTTTTGCCCGAGAGGAACTCTTTGTCGTCCCTCGAATGCAGCTGGGCAATTGATCCCTCCTTCACCCAATCTTTCTTGAAGTATGTCGAAGGGTTGTCGGGAACCAGGGGCTTTAATGTTTCTTGACTTCGCTGAGGACTGTCAGTGGCCATGATCTCTGGAACAGAGGCTCGGACTTACGAAAGGTGACGGTACCGGATATGGAGATGAGCTACGCGTCTGCGACTCGGAATAGGTCGAGCCTGCACCCGGAGCAAAGGGGGGAAATCCTCCATTAGGCGGCTCCAAAGAGCTGTCCGCGATGCTCTCAGTCATGAGGTCTGAGAGGGTTCTGTTGTGGAGGTCTGATAAACCCGGTCTCCGCGACAGCCTGGGCTGATCGAGGGACTCGCTCTCTCTGTAGCTCCCATATACCGGGTGGACTGTTGTGGGCTTTTCAATGAACGACTCTTGACTTTGTCGGAGTGTGGACTGCATCGATACCGTCGACATCTCAGTCATGGGTGGTTGGTCGGATCTCCTGCGGTCCGATTTACGTAGAGGAGGCATTTGGGAAAACGAGGGCGGTGGATGAGGGGGAAGATACAAGGGTGAAAGCTTTGAGCAGACCGTGGCCCGGGATGCGTATGTCGTGTCACTGAACGAGCGTCTTCATCGTCCGCGTTCCCAAGACGTGATCTGGTGTGCTGGCTGATCCCCTTTGTTTTTATTAGGCGTGGTTGAATAAATAACGAATGTCTGAGCGAGAGTGTTCGAGGGGAGTCGAGGCCTCTAACGACTGTAGGGATGGTGAATACACAAAAACGAGGGATAGATAGAGTGAGAGAGTCGAGGCAGATTGCACAGGAAGAGTGAAGGGTGAGGGCGGCAGAGTTTGACAGGTGAAGGACTGGGCCTTGTCCGAGAAGAGGCGTTGGTTGTTTTCTGCGCTACAGTAGGTGCGCATTGAACGACCTTATCATGTCATTGTGGAGTGGTTGGGGGCGCCCAAGTGGGAAACAGTAACAAGCCGTAGATCACCAGTGTGACATGGCCGATGGCCGATGGCAGAGGGCAGCGCTCAGTGCCCGGGAAAGGCTGGGGGGGGGGAGGGAGCAGTGATTGTTACTGGGGAATACAGGGTTCCGGAGACCAGTTCTGACAAGGCTTTTGACGACGATAACGGGGCGGTACGGATTACGGAGTACCTGCCTACTCGTGCCTGGACGGAGTCGCTAAAACGCATCTTGACCACCTTCTTCCGGCGCTGGGCAAACAAGGCAATTTGGGAGAAAATGCAAATTGGCAAGCCGTGGGTGCAAGTGACGAGGCTAGCAGCAGGGGCAGGGGGGGAGGGACGGGGGCATGAAAATTAAAAACAAGACCAACCACAAGCAGCCTAAGCAGGCCTAAGCAAGCGAGAGTGGGCTGGGAGGCGCTAGGACCTGATCTGGGCTAGGGGAGATGCAGCCGGTGGGCCACATACGCCACTGGTGCCTTGGGGTGGCACTGGTGCGCCAAGGGCTGCAAATCTCCTGGGCCGGCGCCCCTGTCAACACAGGACTCCCCCCAGTTCTCAGGCCGACAGGCACGGCACACGCACCCACAGGCACCCAACAGGCACTTGTCTTTGCGGACAAGCCCAGATTTGCTGAAACGGGCTCCATCCCGCCGGCCGATGCTCGCCCATGAATGGCCACGCCAGCAACTGGCACATCGAACCAACTTCTTTTTTAAAATCTCGCCCGAGACTGAAACAAAATTACCATCACTCGCCACATTGTTCCCATCAACAACCAGCTCTTCGTCGCTTGCACTTGCACTTGCACTCACCAGCTGTGTCTGTATCAGCTGCACTGCCCCGGCTCTTTCCAGCCGCTCCTCCGGCTTCTGCTCTCCGGGAAGCACGCGTCTCTTCTCCCTTACGGTCTCCCTCACCCTCAACCCCAACCATCATCCCCTTCACCCATCAGCGTCATCGCCATCTTTTTTTTTTTATTTCTCAAGTCGAGGCATCTCCGTCTTGAAGGCCATTCACTCGTTTTCCAGCATCGACTCGTCCTGTCGCTTTCCGCAGTGCTCCGTACAACCACTTAATTCCCCCCATTGACCACCAAAGCAACCGACTCGAGTTCTCGTCAACATGGGTGTCAGGTCCCTCGTCTCCTTCGGCTTTGTCCTCATCCCTATTGCGGTCACTATCAGCGTGCTGCTGGGCATACAGGCATATCGCGAATCCAAAGGACTCCCCTCCAACCCGTTTGTGGACAACCGGATCAAATCATCGCTATACTGTCAAAAGGCTTTCGGTGTCACTCCGTACACAAATGGCCAGCAATATACATTGTGAGTATCCCATGATCTCCCCAAGGTCTCAATGGGGCACGAGTGTCTCGTATCCAGCTGCGCAATTATCAGTACCCCTGTCATGTTTGACAACTTTAAGTTGTCAAGGTTTTTGGTGTTCCTGGACTATCACCCAGTTGGGCCTGGCTCGAGTCAGCGTGGCAAGCATCCGCTACCTGCAGGGATGTTTGTCCGGTTCTGCCAACTTGGAATGTTTGTGGATATGCATATGCCTTCCGACCGCCGACTGTATCGGCCAAACTGACGCCGCCACCAATCACCGTTGAGACAATGTGATCGCTGACAATGCCCTTCCCTCACAGAAACCCGAACCAATGGGCTCTTCCAGACGACTATACTGGACCGGGAGGATTGTGTATGAATGTAAGCAGATCACCTGGAATACATGACGAGAATGTCGCTGACGATATTGCTAGGTCACTACTTTTGACGTAAGTCTCTTGAGAAGCCCGCCGCAGGATCTTCATCTCTAGCTGTCTTGTCACGTGATGCTAATGATGTGCAGAATGGTTCTTACCCGACAAAGACCTCAGCCGCAGAGTGGTCGATCACTGTAAGTCATGTCCTTGTTTGATTGGGCTATTTTGGGAATTGCCATCCCCTGGCCTCGGGAGCAGCACACTGACAGTGATTTGCAGTGGCAGTTTCCTCGCGGCCCACCGACTCAGCCCGTTCACGCATTCCCCAATATCAAAATGGACTCGAGTGTCTTTCCGATCGAGATTTCGCAGGTCTCGGCAATCAACTTCGAGACTGAATGGTACTATGGAGTTGGGAATGACAGGCCGGACGTCATGGACATCGCTGCCCTGACTGCTGCCGCACTTGACGCCAATGTGGCTGTCGACATGTTCTTGGATTCCGATCCCGACAAAGCTACAGACACCGTACAAGCCAAGTACGAAGTCATGATCTGGCTTGGCCAATTTGGGGCGTCGACGCAACAGATTGGTTTGCCAGAAGGCGCAATCGCAACCCAAGTCGTGAACGGAACCACCTTCTCCTTGTACTCCGGTGTCAATGGTCTTGGCCAAAGTGTCCTCACATGGGTGGCCAGCACTGCTGCAACCGGAGTGCAAAGTTTCAATGCGGATATAGGTCCCTTGCTTCAGGGTCTGACCGGGTTGGGAGGGCCTACTGTGAATGGTAAGCATTGCCGATTCCTGCCACACTCTTCTCGATGCAGCATTTCGTGGCTAACAATGTCTCTTAAAGACTATCTCGGCTACATTGCGTTCGGCTCCGAGACTCTTGATTCGGGGTCCAACGTCACTTTTTACAACAAGGTCCTCTCCATGGATGTGATTCCCGCGTGATGATTCTACCCGATGCGATCCAGCGTGTAATATGGTAACGAAGCAATGACAAAGATCAGTTCATGTCGACCATATTCTACAGGTCCAATGTGGGCCCCATGCCTGGAAGAGTACAATGTGGCAACAAGAATGGCCTCCGGCCATCAACTTCCATGCATTCAGAAACGACTGACACGACAATACGGTTAGCTGCAGTCTAATCGATACGAACTTAGCAACAACATTCGGAATAATATCGCAGCTGTGTTCAGGATCTGTGTCCCCCAAAACTACTGCGACAGGTACGCGCACGCCCCCGCGTCGCTGCCGGTTTATCTTCTGCGAGAGCAACAATACAGACTCTCGGTGCAGAGACAGGATTATTAGGGTGAAGGTTGTCGACAAGCAATCTGGGCATCTACAGAACGTGCGCCATGTTGAGGCACGGTGGCAATCCCTGGATAAATTTTTTTGGCAGCCCAGGATGCAGCCATTGTGAATGCCACAGCTTGTACGTCACAGTGAGACATGCCAGAATCAAGATCTCAACCCTGGCTGCTACGGTGGACCATATTTGCTGTGGACCCAGCACAGCTCCGAGGATGTTGTCCCAGGCACAGGAACATACCCAACAACGTAACCCTGTCAAGAACTTGGTGGGGCCAATCGAATCCTCCGCCGGAAAAGCTCCTCAGTCGGTCTTTCGCGTGCCTGTGGCAGAGCCGGGCTTGATATGGGATGACGTGGCCGGTCTTCCAATCAACATCTGTATATAGACGATTGCGCCATTGTGAAATGCTTTTGGCAACGGACGGCGCTTGCCTTGGGAGAGCACAGCGGAATGGTGTCAGCTCCATAATACACCCCAATGGCAGGCGGCTCCGATTGTTCGCGAAGAGCTCGCCCAGCGGCCCTACGAGTAAATCCTTGGACAGGAATAACAAGCTTATCGGAAACCCATTTCGTACAGGCTGGGGGGGAATCTGCACCAGGCGACCATCCCCAGAGTCCCAGACTCGCAGTATCAGGCGTCCATTCTCTTATCAAGAAACCTTTTTGTTCCTGTTTATAAGCCCTTGGACTTGGTCCAGGTTGGTGCCAGCCTCCCCGGATTTCCTAGCCTTATCGCTACCCGCGCCAACACGAGTCTATCACGCGACCTCTCCACGAGTAACGAAGGAACAAACCACCGACTAAACTTGGGAGGCTGCATTTCGCTGTTGCCAAGCAGAAGCGGAAAGCTTCACGGTCAAAGGCTCGTCCTCTCTCGTATCAAGTGGAGCGAAACTGCCCAACGTTGTGTAAGACGGACTACGGAAATCCGACGGCGGAGTGCCCGGGGCTGGTTGGCTGGGCGGTCAAAAGTTAGGCACATAATCATATGCCTAGAGACGTGTGAGTATCCCCAAAGCACTAACTACAGTACGTACATCGACGTCTGAGAGGGCGAGGCGGTAGATGGCTAACCAGAATCGGTTCCTATCGTTCCCAGACCCTCCGGTTGTTATCGCTGAGCAGGTACTCGTCCAGCCCAACTCGGCCCAGCCCAACTCAGCTCAGTCGAGTCGAATCCAGCATTTCGATTCCCATGCTGAAGACTGAAGGAGGTAAGTCTCCTAAGAGGTCGGACAGTCGGACAGTCGGATAAAATCCCCTCCTCTCCGTCCACGAACCATCTAGCCATGGCGACAAGCGCGCACAGTTTTAGAGGACTATCGCCATTTTTGCGGCGGGAGCGCCAGGATTTACCAGTCCGTCTCCTACGAAGCATGTGTGAACACGCGGCCAGCTACAGCCCTGGCCGCCGATACCTCTATACTCACGAGGGAAAGACATATTTGCCAAGTCGGTTCGATTCTAGTGTGCAAGAGAAGGCCACTCTACCCCGAGCTGTAACTAGGCATTACTGAGCACCGCCCGGGCCGGAGGCTAAGTAGAGGGATGTTTCTGCCGCATTGAAGTCGGCTTCTCCTGCCACTCAGCTGGGCGTTGTCTTTGGGGAAAGTCCTCACTGCGCCTGGCAAGTCCCCTCCCCATTCCCTCCCGCCTGATATTCCTTGCGGGTGGCCTGGCCCTCTCGCATCCTGCTACCGACGAGGCAAGGATTCAATACCTTTGCACGGCTCTACGGTATTCACAAATATCTCTTCAGCATCATCCCAACGCTGCAAGGCTCTCGGGCGCATTTTGAGAGGGGATGACCTGATGATTTGATTTGGTAGGTGCGAGGCTTCGAAAGTGTCCAAAGGGACTCGAGGTGAGCTTTCGCTCCACTTACGTCGCGGCTGCAGCAGACAGAGACTGCATCCCCATACATATCCGTCAGCCTTGGTGGATGTCGAGAGTCAACCCTGCTTGGAGCAAGCTTAGCAGTCGAGACAAACTCTAGCCATGATCCGAGATCAATAATAAATCTCGGTGCTAGCTCCGACACTGGAGATCGAGCAGGACTGTCAAGAACTGCGCCATCCACTTTGTGATCGCTCTGTCGGCAATGCCTGTCCACCATGCAAAGGCCTCTTCAGTGCACATCACAACGCTGGAAGCCATGTCTCCCACCAGTGTTTTCCGTTCGCCTTTCATATAACTGCCTTTTTTTCTACCGCAGTGGACAGAGTGACAGAGCCTCTTCAGTCCTTTCGCTTGGGTTCATCCTTCCTTGGGAGGCGAGCCTATGAGGCCTAATTGCGCACGTTTCGAAAATGGACCAATCGCAAAGGGACACTGGCTGCAACCATTGGCAAGGCGCAGCGCGCCAAAGGACAACTCGAGCTGCAGAACCAGGTGGCTGTGAATTCTCACCAGTGAGAAGAGGTGGCTGAGACCTCGCAGCAGTTCCTGCGGCCCAGACGGCTCACAGAAGGCCATGTTGCGAGTCACAGAGAAGCTTTCACCCCAAACCGGTTGAGGGACACGATCAACTTTCGTTCCCTCCAAATCGGTCGAGACGCATCTTCACTGCCTTTCCAGCTGAACTGATGCCCGGCTCTTGATTGGAGAAAGCACTGGAGGATTCATCACCCTTCCCTAGGAGGTGAAGTGGCAGTTCCCGTGTGTGGTCGGCAGGCTGCGATAGGTAACCCAATTGGGGACGAGGCTCCTCCCCTCGCGCTGTCGTGTCCCGTTTGGTCAAAGATGAAGCAAGTGCTACAGTGGTCCTCCTTGACCGGTCAGGCAAGTATATTTGTATTGGGCAGACTCCAGTTCTCAGTGCGTGTACATCCTTGATTTGCAGATATATTTCTGTACGTACAGACCTCGCACTCTTGCCGGATAGCGTGGCAGGTACTCGGGGTGTGCGACTATATGTACATGCCTTGACGGCAGCGAAGCGGTCTCGGTCTTGAAACTGCGGATGACCTCTGTTCCGATCCATCTCTACCGTTTTGTTTGAGAGACAACGTTGGCCTCATCATTCTGGCAAACTGCTACATTGTTCTGGTTGTAGTTTGCTTTCAGTCCCGATTCATACCCAAAGGTTATTCTTACCAAGGTTAGTCTTTCGAGCCCATATTCGTCGTCCCATCCCTCACCCGCCATTTCCATTGCCATTGAATTCAACGGTAGTTCAGCTTTCTTCCGGCGAAGGCTGCTAAGGTGATATCAAACCTAGCTACCACAGCAATACAGGCTTTGCACCTTCCAGATGGCACCGCTGAATACATCCGCCGAGCCCAGCTCCGTCCCCATACCTCCACATACTACCATTATCGAGTTAGTCGACCAGAGTGCGGCCGAGGGCGGTGCGAAGGACAAGAATGGCGGCACGGAATCCATCGTGGCAACCGAGGCCGGTGATGCTACAACTATACAGGTGGTCGCTAAACCAGGAGCCCAAGTCATCGTGAAGGATAACAGGGGAGCGACGAAGCAAGTCCCTGTTGCTGCTGCTGCTGCTGCCGCTGCAACTGGACATAGTATGGTTGTTCAGGTGCAAGAAGCCGCCGCCAATGTGAAAGATAAGAGTCAATCAACACGACCAATTCCGACACCTGCGCCGCCTAGCCACACAACAATCATTCAAGTATCGGGCCAGAAGGCTGATACTAATGCGACGGACAAGACTACATCGCCAACCCCGACTCAAGCAGCCCCTGGACACACAACTATTGTTCAGCTACCCAGTCAGAAGGCAGGTGATGTCAGTGTGAAGGACACGAATGCGTCATCGAAGTCAGCTCCGGCACCTACACCTGGACATACAACAATCATCCAGATACCCGGTCAGAAGCCGGCGGACGCGAATACAAAGGATAAGAGGGGACCGGCAGCACCGGCTACAGCAGTCCCTGGACACACTACAATTGTTGAAGTGCACGGAGCCGATGCCAGTGCGGGAGACCATAGTAGATCAACGGGAAAAGCCCCAGCAACAGCTCCTGGACACACAACGATTGTTCAAGTACCGGGCCAGAAGCTTGCCGACGTCAATGTTAAGGACGCTCTTGGATATACGTCGCTACATCGGGCGATCGAGAACGGTGACGTGACACGAATTCAGGTGCTGCTCGACGAGGGGGCCGATATCAATGTGAAGCAAGACTCATGGGCTGGAAAGACGGCATTGACAGAAGCTGTTGCGGAGGGTCACCACACAGTCGTTAAACTACTACTAGACAAGGGCCATAACATTGATGCGAAAGATACCACCGGATACACGGCGCTACACTGGGCGGTTGAGAAAGGGCAGATCGAAGTCATCAAGGTGCTGCTTGAGAAGAGGGCCAATCTCGAGGTGAAGGAAAGCCAAGGAAGCTCGCCGAGAGGCGCGACGGCGTTGCATCTGGCAGCCGATGGAGGTAATGAAACGATCGTCAGGCTACTGGTCGAGAAGGGAGCCGACATGCATGCAACAGACTCTCGTCTCGGCTTGACGGCACTACAAATGGCAGTGGAGAAGGGGCGCGAAGCCGTCGTCAAGGCTCTGCTCGAGAAAGGGGCGGATTTTAGAGCCAAATACCAGAACGGATATCCCCCAAGAGGCGCGACCGTGTTGCATTCAGCGGCGGAGAACGGATATCTTGAGGTCATCAGACTGCTCGTCAAGAGAGGAGCCGACATCCATGCAAGCGACGATCTTGGGTTTTCTCCATTGGCGCGAGCCATGAAAGCAAAGAGACTCGACGTTGTGAGATTGCTGCTCGAGAGCGGGGTCGACGCTGGGGGCGAGGATGCTCGTCTCGCGATGCACATAGCCGTCACTGCTGGAAACGAGTCGCTTGTTAGGCTGTTCATCGACCGAGGAGCCAACGTCAACGATCGGGATTCAACCACTGGATTCAGTCTGCTGCAACAAGCGGCCCATCTCAAACATGACGCCGTCGTCAAGCTGCTTCTCGAGAAGGGTGCCGATGTCGAGGCTAAGGATGATCCAGCCAAGGAGAAGAAGAAGACGCCATTGTGGCTGGCGGCTGAAGCTGGAAGTGTCACCATTGTCCAGATGTTGCTTCAAAGGGGCGCCGTCATTGATCAAAGATGCTCCGAGGGGGGGCAGACGGCGCTCATCGTAGCAGCCAAGAATGGGTTCGAGTTTGTCGTCAGAGCCCTGCTTGAAAAGGGCGCCAATGTGAATGTTGGCGACGACGAGAGCTTCACTGCGCTCTTTCGCGCCGCTGAATCGGGCCAGACCGCGGTGGTCAGGACGCTCATCGAGAAAGGGGCCAATATCAATGCACAACTTACCGGCTGGCCCAGCGGGGGTCACTCACAGGGAAACACGGCGCTGTCAGCGGCTTGCTATCGAGGCCACATCGAGGTCGTTAAACTGCTGCTTGAGAAGAAAGCCAATATGCATCTGGCAAATTCCACCCCGTTAGTCTATGCATGTTTAAACAGCCACTTGGCAATTGTCCAGCTGTTGCTCGAGCATGGAGCCACCGTGAAAGAGATGTCGGATTCGATCAACCACGCGGCCAGGGACGGATCCGTGGAGATCGTCAAGCTGTTCCTCGACAGGGGGGTCAGTGTCAAGAACATGGACGATGGAGATTTTCCGCTCATGGAAGCGGCATGGAGGGGGCATAACGAGGTGGTCCAGCTCCTGCTTGAGAGAGGCGCTGATCTTGAGCAGAGGACGGTCGTCACGGGAGGCTACAATGGCCCCTTGGACCAGGGCACCGCGTTGTGGCATGCGGCATATTGGGGCGAGAACGCGGCGACCGTCAAGCTGCTCCTCGACAAGGGCGCGAAGATCGAGACCAGGAGCACTCGCGACAATCGGACGCCGCTCCACGGGGCGGCGGCCGAAGGCAAGGAAGCAGTCGTCCAGGTGCTGCTCGACAAGGGCGCCAACGTCAGGGCCACGGACGGCAAGGGCCAGACGCCGCTGCAACTGGCTCAGGCTGCAAACCAAGCCGGCGTCGTCAAGCTGCTCTCGGGACGCTCCTAGTCGGGCTGTCTTCCTGCAGGTGCAACCAATATCTCTCTTTACTCGTTGTGCTGTATGGCTTGGACCTCATCTGGGCTGAACCAGGCAAGGGGCTGGTTCATAAGAGCTTCTTCTATTCTTGTGCTGTATCACTTATTTTGAAGGTGTCGAGATAACTATACTATAGTCGTTGCATAGATGATAACGAATACAGCATACTGACAGCTCGGGACAAACAGAACACAAAGAAGCCGGACACCTGCAGAATATAAATGTGCCATCTCCCTGCCTGACTCGCGTTCAGTTCGCTTTGACAGGCTCCAATCTCCCCTCTGTGCGACCGTCGATCCTCACATCGAATCTGACCGTGCCGTCCTGCGACGCAACGGCCTCCTTGCCCATCAAGCTGTACTTCTCGCCGGGCACGCACCCCTTAAACCCCAAGCCAAACACCCCCGGCTCGCGCCCGTGGTACAGGACGAGATCCACACTCTCGCCGTCGCGACTGTAGCACTTGGCCACCAGCACGTCCGGGAACGCGACCTCCTCGAGGACCGGGGCGCGCGAGACCTGCTGGGGCGGCCCGCGCTGGATCATGGCGGTCCAGTCCTGGAACCGGCCCAGGCGGGCCCGCAGCGTGGTGCCTTGCCAGAGGGTGCTGAGGCCGCGGTTCTTGAGCGCACCCGTCCCCGTGGCGATCGCCGGGTGGTACTCGTCGTCGATCTGGCGCAGGAGCTCGCGGCGCAGCGCCTCGTCGCCGTACTCGGCCGCCGCGGCCGCGCAGATGCACCGGATCGCCCCCTCGCCGGACTTGTAGTTGCCCGCGTCCAGCATGTCGGCGCCCAGCAGGTTGCGCACCTCCAGGCGGCCATTCTCGTCGTACTGGAGCGTTTCTCTCTTGGCGAATGCTGGACAAACGTCAATACCAAACGTTATTCATTACACTTTTGGGGGTCTGGGAGGGGGTTATATATGTATCAGAGGGCAAGCAGAGGGAGAGAAGGAGAGAGGCTTACCCCAGTTCCGGTGCGCGATGTGAGGCAGATACGACGCGCAGAGCAGCGAGTTGACCATGTCGGACATGGCACCCGCGAGGCCTGGAATCTGGACGCAGTTTCTGTCAGTGGCCGCTCCATGAAAGCCCTCGCGCGCAAAGACTTACCGTGAAGCCGGTTAGTTCGCTGCGGATCGGCAGGATGGTCCCATCTGGCTCGCTGAACTCGGTCTCGAGGGCGTGCTCGAATCGCCCGCGCAAGTCCTCGCCGTACTTGTTCCCCAGGAGACGATCGGTGAGGAGGATGCCGCCAATGCCAACCAGGCTGAGAAGAACCAAACTGTTAGTCTGACACCGAACCATCGACCGGTCGAGCCCGCCCCGGCGAAATGAGAGATCATCGAGAAAACTTACTTGCAGGGCGTGTAGAGCCAGTTGGGCTCGCAGGGGTAGAGGCAGTAGGCCGCCTCGTTCATGTTTCTGTAGACCGCGTCGGCAACGCCCTGGACGTCGTAGGGGAACTTGAGCGTGTCGGTGATCTCAAAGGTCATGCTGCCCGGCTTGGTGTACCGGTCGTCGCCCGTGTTGGACTGGTAGATGCCCACGGCCTGGAGGATGTATCCCGTCACCATGATGTTGTCTTTCTTGCACGGGTCCCAGTCGTGGGCGTTGAATTTGCCGGCCATAGACTCCCATTTCCAGAATCTGCAAGCATGGGAGATGTATGTCAGCAGGGAGAACTCAACTGCATACCCCTCGAGGGTCGACGCTTACTCCATCACCTTCTTCGTGAAGCTAGAGACGAAATGTCAGCACTGGCCATGTCAAATTGCTGGGGTGGGAAAATAACCCACCTCTTGTCAATGGCGTTGCGCTGTGCCTGAGACAGATAGCCGTGGAAATTGGGGCAGTACACGTTCTGATACAGGCCCAGGCAGTTGACGGCCTCGTACAGCTGATACCGGATGGCCGACGTCTGGAACTGGTCGATCACGTCGTGGTAGGAGAAGTCGTCCTTGGGCGTCAGGCCGAGCTCCAGGTACCATTGCACGAAGCGCAGCGTCTTCTCGTCGACCTCGCGCGTGCCGGGCTCGGGCGCCGCGACCGCTTCCGTTTGGTTCTTTTGGACTTCCTCGACCAGGTAGTTGTTGCGGGCAGCTCGCTTCTTCCGTGCCTCGGCGTTGGCTCGCTTGCAGGCGAAGGCGAGGTAGATGATCCCGCCGACGCACACCGCGGACATCAGGGGACCGGCGAGTTCCAGGACGGATTCTTTGGCCAGCGCGGCTGAGAGCGCGGCGGTACCGACCCAGAGCAGAATTGGGAATATCAACCCGCCCATCCCGAACCAAGCAAAGAGAACCAATGGGATCAAAGCACAGGAGACGACAAACGACAGGATCGATGGGATGGTGCAGACGGCCACGAGACCCGCCCCCGGGAAGAGAAGACCCAGTCCAGCCGCGCGCAGAGCTGGGGACTGGAACTTGTAGAAAGAGGTGAGCCCTGCGGCGAACAAGCAGGCATATTGCACGAGGGTTCGACGTTGATAATGCCATTTCGTGAGACCGGCTCCCGCGTTGTCGGGCACGAGCACATCTGAAGAGAGAACAGTGAGCCAACACGGTCGAAGCGAGGGAGATTGCACCAGCCGCAACCGTACCATGCCAGTTGAAATCGCCCACGAGGGATTTCTCAGACGCCTTGCTAGAGCTGGATTTGGTCTGCTCTCGGGCAGGAGCTGTAGCCGTCTGCATGGAGTTGAGTATCTGTGCGTTTTCTCTATGGCGGCACCACGCTTACCATAGTCGCCATTGCGAGGACACCAGGTTGCCTGAAACTTGCAATAGTACCCCTATACTTGATAGACACTGCGAAGAAAAAGAAGAGAAAGACGACCGTAGAACGGCCACACCACGTAAGGCCTGGGATCGGACTCTTATGCCTGGACTGGACCCTCACCTATCAAGTCGACCTTACCAAGGCATCTTACCTAGGTAGCCACACTGAATGTGTTTTCCTGGTATCCATGTCTGCTGCGTAGGCCAGTCTCTGGCTTGCCTCGTCTAACCCCGCAGTATTGCATTCGAGAAGCAGATTTGCGGGGAGCTGCTCGATAGGTGTGTGGTGCCTATGGTTCGCTTATGCAAATCGCACGAATCATTGCCAATGACTCGAGTGACATCCGGGAGTTTGGTAATAAAAGTCCCAGTCACCCCCCGGGTCTGAGAGTTTGCGAGCGAAGGGGGAAACAAGCTATATGTTCGCTGCGAGAGGATGTGACGAGGGTCCGCCTTCCGGCCTGGATCGATGCATCTCTGGCCCCTCCTGGGGCCTCCGATTCCTCACCTAGCCTCCGTCTGATCATATCTCGATGCTGTCGATTCGATCCAAGGCTCGCCCAAGGCACGAGTCGTGCTTTCTGACTCGGAGCTGAGAGGGGGAGCAATGAGCTCCGAAAGGCGAGCAGCCTTCTCCTTCTCGATCACTAATGCGTTCTGGAAGGAGTCAGAAAAGCTGAGAACTTCGTCTCTGCCATGAGGCTTCCATTGGCTGATCTGGGGCTCCCTCGACCACGCGGCTAACCTCGGTCAGGAAGGTTGCTGCTTGTAGGTCGAGGAGTGGCCATCCGAGGTACTTTGCCAGCCGCCATGGCAACTCTAGCCGTGTAGATCGCGTCTTGAGGACCCAGACGTTGTTGGATGTGCCCAAACGGATCATGGCATGGCGTCGATGCCTCTAGAAACCCATTTGTGCATCCCGAGGTGATTAACCGGTCTCGACCTGCCCCGCGCTTCGATTGCCCCTCGTCTTGTAAATATCGACGCCGGTGTCATAAAGCAAGTTTGTTTTCCGTTGCCGTGGTATTTTCTGCTATCCTTGGCCTCTCGAGTTGCCAAAAAGTCTTTCTGAAAGAAACTGTTCATACCGCAAGTGACGCCTTCAAGATGGGTTCGATCTCAGGTCCAGGATTTGACGTTTTCAACGGGTTTTACAACACCATCAATGGGAAGTTGTCCAGCACAGAGAAAACCAGACACGGCATCAATCCCGCCACAGGCAAGCCAAACCCAGAAGTCCCAGTATCTACCCCTAAGGACGTCGACGATGCTGTAGCCGCTGCCAAGGAAGCATTCAAGACGTGGTCGCAGACTCCATACGAGAAGCGACGGGACGCCGTCTTGGCCTTTGCCGATGGCCTTGAGAAATATGCCAATGACTTTGGAAAGCTCCTGACCCAAGAGCAAGGAAAACCGGTAAGGACGTGCCAGGACGACCAAGTAGTCGCTGTGCTAAATCGCCATAACCACAGATTCAATTCGCCATTGGCGAGGCCAACACAGGTGTCCACTGGATGCGGGCTTTGTCCAAGCTGGAACTCAAGGAAGAGGTCGTTGAAGAGAACGAGGAGAAAAAAACCATTGTCCGATATACACCTCTCGGGGTCACCGTGGGCATCGTACCTTGGAACTTTCCCATTCATCTGGCTTGCGGCAAGATTGCTCCTTCTGTCCTCACCGGTAACCCGATCATCATTAAGCCATCGCCCTTTACACCGTACTGCGACTTGAAGCTCGGTGAACTCGCTCAACAATACTTCCCTCCTGGTGTTGTTCAGGTCCTGAGCGGCGACGACAATCTGGGTCCTTGGCTCACCGCGCATCCTGGCCCTGATAAGATCAGCTTTACCGGATCGACGGTGACTGGCAAGAAGGTTATGGAGAGCGCGGCCAAGACACTGAAGCGAGTGACCTTGGAGCTGTAAGTGTGGTTTTCCGATTATCCGTGCCTCTCACTCACATTTATAGGGGTGGCAAAGATCCCGCTATTATCTGCAAGAACGTTGACATCAACGCCGTTGCCCAAAAGGTATAAGTTGTCCTTGACCCGAGCTCGTCCGATGGCGGTCACTAATACTGACGGCAGATTGCTACCCTTGCCTTCCTTAACTCAGGTCAGATTTGCTTGGCCATCAAGCGTATCTATGTCCACGAGTCCATCCACGACAAGTTTAGAGATGCCATGGTCGAGTTCACCAAGACATTAAAGGTTGGCGACGGTAGTGAGGAGGGAGTCTTCCTTGGACCTATCCAAAACAAGATGCAGTATGAGAAAGTCAAGGTATGTTTTGCGCCCGTCGTGTGCAGTGCGTCTGCCCTTGGTTCTTATTTCTCTGACGCTATTGTAGACCTTCTTCAACGACATCGAAAAGGAGAAATGGACCGTCGCAGTTGGTGGCAAGAATGAGGACAAGCCTGGTTACTTCATCACACCCACCATCATCGATAAGCCTGCAGATAACTCGAGAATCGCCACAGAGGAACCATTTGGCCCCATTGTCCCTCTCATGACCTGGACCGATGAAGACGATGTCATTGCTCGTGCCAACAACACCAAGATGGGTCTTGGAGCTTCTGTGTGGTCTGATGACTTGGATGAGGCTGCTCGCATTGCTCGACAGCTTGACGCTGGTAGCGTCTGGGTGAACACCCATCTTGAGGTTGACCCCAACGCGCCTTTTGGTGGCCACAAGGAGAGCGGTATTGGTTTCGAATGGGGCATTGGCGGCCTCAAGTCGTTCTGCAATGTCCAGAGCTTGTTCTTGAAGAAGAAGACTTCGGCATAAGTTGGCAGCTAGGAACAATGACTGTACTTTATGCACACCCCGATCTTGCGCGTCAGAAACCTTCGTTCTCTGGATGATTGCTGTTGTGAGGCATCGAAATGACAATCAAGAGCATCAAGGTAGATTCGACGGAGTTATTCAAATGTCCCGTCTACCAAACACGGCTTGAAAGTCCATATTGCTATGGGCTCACCTACCTCGTATGAAGTAACAGATGGTCGCATACTGAAGCTGTTCGTCCACTGAATCTTCCAGTTCGTTGGCTTCTGCCTCATGCGAATAGGGCTGAAGCCCCTTTTACTCTCACAATCTCTCTCTAATACTCCACCGTATTAAGATTGCCAAGCGTACGGTGGGCTATATACCCGTACTAGCGCAGAGGAATAATTGCGCGACGGAATTGGCAAGTAAACGAATGAGGACAGACATGCACTTTGCAGGCTGAAGTTGCGGCACACGATCAACGGAGGGTTGAGCGTCCGTCGTACCTTGCATATATGACTTTGCACGGATACCACAGCGTTCGTCCATCGAGGACGTTCGCACCTCTCACATCCTCCCCAAATGGCGACGCCTTCTGCCGCTCCCGCTCCGCAATCTGCGCCTGCGGTCAACGGCACCTCGAACCTTGAACTCGACGTATCCAAGCTGCACACCCTGCCGACCGAGCAGCAAGACTTGTACCTGTTGACCTTCGTCTCCGATTTCCAGCGCCATGTCGAACAACTGTCCGCAGAGGCTCTGCCTTCCTATCAAGCTTCGATCAAGAAGGAAGTTATCAAGATCGTTGGACTGGGTTCTCCGGTCCCATCCCGTGTGATTCGAAACGGCCTCGGAAGGATTCTAGCAGATGCGTTCGGTCGTGGCAGCCACAGTCTCCTCTACGAAACCATCAACGATCTCTTAGCCATATTGAATGCGGGAAAGACGGACAAGGAGTTGGGTTCAAAACATGCGGCGGTGGTTTGTCTAGGGGCCCTTTTCCGCGCCGCCGGAGACAGTGCTATTAGTCTCTCTGGCCTCACGGTCGCGACAGTTCTTAAGCTCTTGAAGTCTTCCCATGCCGGAGTCAGGGGGTGTGTCTTCAGAGCGCTCGGCGGACTGATCATTGGCATAAAACGAAGCTTGGATGAGCATGTTGCTCGGGATATCTGGAAACAAGCCCGGCATGCTGCAACAAGCGAAAAATCAACCTTTGTTCAGAGATGTGCATGTTCGTGTCTTCGCAGTCTGGCCAGTGAGACCGGGTACTTCAACAATTCGAATGACTTTGACAGCCTCAAAACAACCATCTGGAAAGCATTCGACGGTTCCACACCATCTGTCAGGCATGCCGCCGCCGCCGCCATGGCGGCTGCACTGAACCAAGCTTATTCTGCGAACGGCAACGCCGAGGTGCCGGTGCTACGGAAACCGAAAAAGTCCAAGAAGCCGGGCGACGATCTGGATGAGGAAGTCGACGCTGAACGACCTGGCTCGCCTTCACTTGGACAAGTCAAAGCTTCTATGCGACTGACGTTTTCTTTGAACGAAGTGCTTCGGGTCCTGTCGCAGCAGTATTGCCGGGCGTCGACAACAAACAGATCTCGTGCTGGCATTGCGGTTTGTTACAAATATCTGCTTCACTTGCTACCTCGGAAAGCCTTGGAGGAAAACTATGCCTCGATAGCGGTGCATACGTATGCAGACTTGCTGAACCATCCAACCATTTCATTCAACCGACATCGATTGCTCCTTACCCGCAAACTGGTCCAATGGATCCTTGCCGATGTGACGTTCTTGTTGACGGAGAACGCTCAAGTCAATGCGGCGCGCTACCTCATTAATGACGTTGTCAAGAACTACCCTCAAGTGCTTCCAGAAAGACGCGAACCATCAAAGCGGATCCTGGCTGGAGCCTTGACTACTCTGACAGACTTGTTGTTGCGCTTAGGACCGGCTGCCAGCGTATTCCAGGATTCGTGTCGAGAAGCATTATTCCAAGTCATCCAGCACCCGAGCCACACGGTACAGAGCCATGCCGCTCAATGCCTCAGGGCTTTTATCCTCGCGTCTCCCACCCAGCTCATGCGTACCATCGAGCACGCTATGGCGCAATTGCAAAAAGAATTTCAGCCGTCCGAGGCCAAGCAACCACACCGAAAGTCAATCGGGTTTGCCGCAGCCATTGCAGTCGCTGTGAGTTGTGCGCGCCAGAGACCGCTATATGGCTCCGTCCAGACATATTCTGCCATCTTCATCTTTGCCACGGACTTACTGAAGTCAAGTGCAGCCGCCGAACTACGGCTTTCGGCAATGCAAGTGCAGGTCGCTTGGACCTTGATTGGGGGTCTGATGAGCTTGGGACCAAGCTTTGTTAAAGTACACCTGAATCAGCTCATGTTACTCTGGCGAAATGCACTGCCTCCTCCGCTGACCCACGAAAATGCCGGGAAAAGAGGCCATTTGGAGCTCAGCTTTTTGTCCCACGTCCGCGAATGTGCTCTGAGCGCTCTGCTCATGTTTCTCTCCTCTTGCAGTGGGCTGGTCACGACGGATGGGTCGAAGCGAATCTCAACCATGCTGCATAACACTATACTTTTCCTCGACAGCTTGCCACCTGCTCGAGAGTCAGAGGACGTATCCCACCGATTATTACCGGCTCTTCAGTTGCAGGACTTTGCGATATTGCTCCGCCGACGTGTGCTCCAATGCTTCATTTCTTTGGTCAGCCTGAAGCACCTCGAACAAGGCGACGTTGTGTCTCACTCGGATTTGATTGGCCTTACAATGAGGACGTTCACCGACCCGGAACGCCCGGTCCTGAAGAGCTTGGAAGCATCATTGGCAAATACGGCGAGCAATTTTGAGGGATTGTGGGCCACCGAGGACAACTGGAGCTTCGGCGTCAGCAATTTGGCAGACAGTTTCGACACCTATCTGCCCTTCGAGAATCACATTGAACCGAGCACTGACATATACACTGAACAGGAGGTGTCTGTACCAGACATCTTGGTCCGGTGTCCTGCCTTGCCAGCAATTGAACACGATCCCGCCTTACTCTCAAGGCCAGATAACCGACTGGACGAAGCGGAGATCAGTTCACCCGCAACATCTTGTGTGAATCTGGCAATCAAGCTCTTCGCCATATCGTTGCCCCTTCAGTCTCCCCGAATTCAAGAGAGCACCGTGGAGCAGCTGATCACTGCTGTCTCTCAGCCTCTGCAACGTGAACCGGGCAGAAAAGCAGCAATGCAGATCAACACCGCCCTCGCTTTTCTATGCGCGCTCGCTGTTGCTAACAACGAAACCCCATACAATTCTGGGAAAATGCATGTCGGCGCGGTGGGACAAGTCATCACTGAACTCTTGGACAGATACCTGTGCAACTCCGATCCAATTCTGCGGCATATAGCTGCTCGTGCCATAGGCCGCATATGCAATCTGGCTGGAACCCAATTCACCAACAGGGAAGTCAAGGTCCTCATTGACACAATCGTGGCAAATCGAGATCCTAGCGCTCGTGCTGGGTGTGCGCTTGCCCTCGGGTACATACACTCAGAAGTAGGCGCCATGGCAGCCAGTCTTCATATCAAATCTATCGTCGGCGTTCTCCTGTCATTGTGCAGTGATAGCCACACAACCGTCCATTACTGGGCTCTCAAAGGATTGCTCCTGGTGGCCGAATCCGCTGGACTGGCATTTTCCACATACGCCACAAGCACCCTGGGCCTCCTTGCACAACTGTACTCAAGTGACAATCACAACGAGGAAGCTGCGTCGCTGGCGACATCTAATCTTGAGCTTGAGCTTTTTACACCTTTGGCTATTGCACAATGCGTAGACAGCATAGTCAACGTCTTGGGCCCTGACCTGCAAGATGTTTCCAAGGCTCGCAATTTGATCCTGGTACTGATCGGCTACTTGCAGAAAGAGCCTTCGGCACGACTGCGCAGTGCAAGTTATCAATGCCTCCGTCATCTGTGCATGTATGCGCCTGCACATCTTCAATTTGCCAAATACGTCTTGGATCTGCAAGCCAATCTTTCGTCTGATGAGGATCTCCTGCAGTCCGCTGCGATGAAAGGCCTGGGAGAATTGATGAAAAGGAATTCGTCTGAAGTTGCGCGCGTGGCGACTTCTAAGCTGAGCGATGATCTGTGGACACGCTTGGATGACAACCCAGACAATAAATCCTTACAGGGGATGCTGCAGAATTGGATGCAGCAAACCATTCTTGTTGACACGGCCGCATGGATCGACAAATGCCAAAGCATACTGTCCAGGACGAGAACAAAGGCTTCGGCACCCTCCCGAGTCGCCACGGCGAAGACAGCCATGCCGGACTTGGCAGATGAAGAAGTTGCGGGCTTCGCTGCTGCAGCGGCAGCTGCACAAGGTGAAGGTCCCGATGCTGCGCCTGAAGGTCAAGAGTTTCTTCGCTGGCAGACAAGAGACTTTGCTATGCGGTTGCTCAGCGAATCAATGGATATCATCCAAGTGGCCATGTCCCCGGATCGAGTCATTCCTGCCGAAGAAGTGTTACAGGGCAAAGTCGCGGATGTGATTCGCGTAGCCTTTTCGGCCTCGACCGCCAACGTGGTCGAGCTTCGCATCTGGGGTCTTCGAATAATTGATCAGATCCTGAAATTATTTGGCAAGACTCCGGATCCTGATTTCTTGGAAGCCTCGCTTCTCGAGCAGTATCAAGCACAGATCAGCTCGGCTCTGACACCGGCCTTCGCCGCGGACTCGTCTCCAGAACTAGCGGCCGAAGCCATCGGCGTATGCGCTACCTTTGTTGCTACAGGGATAGTCACGAACGCGGAACGCATGGGCCGTATATTCAAGGTTCTTGCCGTGGGGGTGGACAATCTTACACAACCGGTTCCAGAAGCCGCGATTGGTGATCTGAAAAACCTCAGCCCAAATGCACAGGCCATGCTTAAGATGGGGATCCTGTCTGGCTGGGCACAGCTGCAGCTGGCGAGTTCTGACCAACCGTTTTTGGAAGAGATTCTGCAGCCATTCATTCCCAAACTCGCGCCGCTTTGGCTGACATCGCTACAAGAGTTTGCCGGCTTGCGATTTGAACCAGAGATCTCAGATACCTTAGGAGGCGAGATTGCTGGCGGAAACTTGGACGAACGATACGCTTCCTTCAACAGAGAAGTACGGCTGAGGTTCTACCAGAGGAATTGGCTGAGTATTGTAGATGCCATTGCTGTACTTGTGGAAAAAGACAGCGAATCTGTGTTCGACGCACTCGATAACAAACGCAATTCCGCAGTTGACGGCCCCGCAGACGAAGCTGCTGCCCCTGGAAGAGATATGAGCTTCCGTGAGGAACCCGTTGCGTTCTTTTTCATCCTATTCGGACTGGCTTTCGAGGCCTTGGTGACCCAGGCTAGGGAAGATCCTTCCCAGGCGCTATCAATTCTGCAAGCTCTAAGGAAGATACTGACTCCTGAGGTCTGTGGCAATGCGATCTACGAAGAGGCCGTGTTTAATGAAACAACGGATACCTTGGACCGTCTCGCTCTGACGAGCACGAGAGAGACGCAGAGCGTTTTAGTTGAAATAGCCCGGAATTTGTCACTGGATCACATCGCGGCGAAGAATCAAGATCGTGATGAGAAGCTCTCAGATGACATTGAACAACTCTTTGAGCTGACGAGAATCATCATTCTGGTCTTGACAGGTCTGATACCGACCCTCGAAGATCCACCTGGCCCTGCGTTTCGAAGGCTTGGGGACGATGGCATTGCTCTCGTGCAACTCTGCTTCCAGGCGCTAGTGGACGTGGCGTCAATATTTCCGGCCATCATTCGGGCGGATCTACACGCCTGTATCATTCACAGCTACTGTACCCTTCTTGCGACGGGCGTGTGCCAGGATGAAGTGCTGCCACAGATCATGCCCATATTCAAAGCGTTCCTCCAGGATGTTGTCCAGTCCGGCTCTGATGAGGTTAATTCAAGGCTAGTCCGCGGGTGCCTGTATCGCATGCTGTCAATCTTGGCTGTCGCTCAGCGCCGAGAAAACGAACATGCCATCACCTGTGCAAAGAATACTTTGCTGTCCATGACGATCTTGCTCACCACAGCCAGCTCAGTCGTTCCAGCCAACGACGAGCTGATCATAAGATCACTTTCGGAGCTACTCGACTGTCTTCAGGACGTGGGCCTTGCAAAGATCGCTGCTGGCTGTATGCGGTCGTTGCTTGTCACAAATCCCAAAACACCTTGCGATGACGCAGTGGGCAGGATTCTATGGACTCGACTGATTCCATACGTGAGCGATCCTGAGGCAGAGGATCCAGAGAGTGTCAAGACAGCATTGACACAAGCTCTCGTCGCGGCTGTGGTGTCTATCAAAGCCGCTGGCCGATTTGCCGCCATGTCCATATTGGTGCCATTACTCCTGCTTCGTGCTAAACAGATCCCCAAAGGAAGTAGCTTGGAGGCGATGCGGAAAGAGAGCGCCGCGAGACTGCTCGAGCTTGTGGCGACGGACCAGATAGCATTCAGAATGACAGTCGCTCTGCTGGATGAAGAACAGCGCTCAGATTTGGAAAGCCTACTGCGTGCCGCCGGAGTTGGGAGAAAACAGGAGGCGACTTCAGAGGAAAGTGTGCAAGCGAGGCCGGCAATTGAACTGCGCATGGATTTTGGATGAAAGTAAAGTAGCATAGCCCATATATAGAACTCAAGAAGATGGTGGAATGACAATAGACCCTTGCACTCTCATAGAACCGCGTCGAGCTCTTCGTGAACAGTGGCTGCTCTGGGCGTAGAGTCCTCAGCCTGTTCGAGGTGCTCCCGCTCTCATTGGTGCTTGGCATGAGCCCATATGGTAACTTTGGACGAGGCTCGCTCAACCAAAACTTTAATCCGTGCATGGCCTTTTCATCAAGTCCCTATATCACTCAGTTTCTACTCCAATTTCTGTTTGCATAGAAGGAAATAAAGAGAAAGGACATCGACTTTGATCCTTGCAGCGTCTCTCCGCCGGCAAAGACAGAATGGAGTACGATCCCAAAGTCCCGACCTACCAGACGTCGGACCCCACATCCTTTGCTCACAAGTCTGCACGGGAGCGATGGCCGGCCATAATCACAGGCGCCATAGACGACGTTCACCGGACCGTCTCCAAGCTGCCCGACTCGGACAAGGATGCCTTGGCAGAGGGCAAATCCATCATCTCGACGCTCGGGTCGCTAAAGTACGAGTTACAACATAATCGGAAATTGTCGCCGATCCCGGACGACGGGTACCCGGACGTGGAAGGATACAACCAGGAGCTGGCGGCGCGGGGGCCCCCGACGTGGCACAACGTCGAGTGGCTGTTCGCGGAATGCTACCTGTACCGCCGAGTGGCGACGCTGTTCTCGACGGCCCAGACCCGGTTCTGGCGCGACTACGACCCGTTCTACCGGCAGAAGATGGAGACGTTCAAGTCGTCGCGGCCGGCGGTGCTGGAGCTCGCGGCCGAGTACCGCGCGATCATGGCGCGGATCCAGTCCTCCAAGGCGCACGCGCCGGTGGCGGCCGGGGTGACGGACGCGCGGCAGATCGAGGACGCCGAGAGGCTGCTGTTCGTCGAGATGGCCGAGATCTGCCTGTGGGGCAACGCCACGGACCTGTCGCTCCTCACCAGCCTGACGTACGAGGACATCCAGAAGCTGCAGGGCAGCGGCGCGCGCAAGGAGGCGGAGAAGAACGTCCTGGTCAACGACCTGGGGCGGGCGTTCCAGGTGCTTCACGCCGCGCACCGCGCCGGCAAGGGGCGGCGCCGCGTCGACATCGTGCTGGACAACGCCGGCTTCGAGCTCTTCGTCGACCTCGTGCTGGCCGGGTACTTGCTCGCCACGGGCCTGGCCACCGAGGTCGTCCTGCACCCAAAGGACATCCCCTGGTTCGTCAGCGACGTCGTGCCCAAGGACTTCCAGGCCCTGCTCCAGGCCATGGCCGACCCGAAGGCGTTCTACGAGAAGAAGAATAATCCCGATGACGACGACAACGCCGGGAAGACATCGTCGCCGCCACCAGCACCGCTGTCGGACGAAGAGGCCGCCAACATCCAATTCCTCTTCGACCACTGGAGCCACCTGCACAGCGAGGGCAAATTGATCCTCCGGCCGAACCGGTTCTGGACCCACGCCGGCAGCTTCTGGCGCATGCCGCACGTCGCGCCGGGCCTGGTGGAGGATCTGAAGGAGAGCGAGCTGGTGATTTTCAAGGGGGACTTGAACTACAGGAAGTTGACTGGCGATGTACGTTTTTCCCTCACCCCATTTCCCCAATTCTTTCCCGCTCGCGCGCTTGAAGCTGTACACACATCGCTACACATCCCTTTCTGCCATGACACGGAAACCCCAGAGTCGGCGCTAACACGGAACCTCGACTCCTGCAGGCTGCCTGGCCCGCCACCACACCCTTCACGGAAGCCATCGGTCCACTCGGCCCGTCATCAGGCATCAGAGTGCTCGCGCTGCGCACATGCAAGGCAGACGTCGTAGTCGGGCTACCCGAAGGCAAGGACGAAGAGACCCGCGGAATGGAAGGCGGCGGCGGCGACTCGGGGGCGAGAATGTGGGCGTGGAGCGGCAAGTGGGCCGTCGTGCAGTTCTCTGATGGCAAGGCTTGAGGACTCACTGGGCTAGAAGAAGCTCTCCGTTTCTTTGTGGTTGTTTCTCCTCAACACAAGCGATCTTTGAGCGCTAGAGCAGCAGGTAGACCAGAGCCTGGACAGGGACAGTTTTAGAAAATAGATGGATGGAGAACAGAGAACTGGTAACAAGTTCCGGGGTCGACAGACAATAGCCAGTGAGGTTCGACGTGATTGATATATTCCACTGGACAGATGAGCATTGACGAGGCTGTAATGGTTATGTGACTAACGTGACCACACCAGATTCACCTGTATCTCGCAGGAGAATGGATCTACTTCCTCACCCACCAAGGGGAGATGGACATATTGTTCTCGGGCAGCCCAATCTCCCTCTTATCATTGCTCGAATAGTGAAAGGATGATGCCCCTTTTCAGCCTTGTTCGGCCAAGGCTGGAACCTTGATGTAAGGCTGTGGAATTGTCGTAGAGTCCGACGAACTCGGGCTTGTAGTCGAATCACTGTGAAATGGTTAGTAGATCAAGTTTGCATGGTACACACTTTCACCATTAGAACTTCTGTATGACACGGCAACTTGGCTTTGGGATCCAGTCAACTGCTTCCTGCGCGTGCCGTCCACAAACCAGTCGCCTCCACGAAAGGATTTCTCCCGCCTCAGAGACGAAACCCCGTTGTTCATCATCAATTCCACAAGCTCCAACCCGAACTCCTTACTGCATTCAATGGTGTGATGCAGAATATGCACCTGGCTAGACACCCAATGAAGGACCCAAACCCGGACGTCGCCGGATAGGTCTTAGACAGAGTGGATCAGTCAGCGAGGCAGTGCAAAATGGACACCCCTTCTTGCATGGGAAACATCTGTTCAGGCAAGCCGGCGAGTCGAGGAGCATGGAAATGCTGAGGCCTGAAGCTAAGAAAGCGATGAGATAGCCATGATGACTCCCGTTCCGAGCCGCAGAGGCACATTTTCTTGCACAAGATCCCCGGCACGGCCTCGGTAGAGAAGAGAGGTCATCGGCGGTCCTCTGAGAAAATCATCTCCGTGCCGAGATGCGATGTTGACGGGCAGATATACGGGGGGAAGAAATAAGCTTGAGCTTGAAAGGAGATCTCGCAAGGGGCGGTTTGGCGGACCGAGATGAGCACCAGGGTGGGCCATCCGGAGGCGGTATGATGTCTGTATTGTGCGGCTTGGAGAGAGTGGATGAGAGGTTGGCGTCAGCGGCAGCAGCTGGCCTTTGGGAGAGGTGGTGTGGTGGGTGTTGTGTTGTGATTGAAGCTGAATCGTAGTAGAGATAGATACGTTGGGTGTGCAGTTGGGTAATTGCATCTTGGTCACCCTTTTACCCGCTGAGGAAGGCTACCAGGCTAGCAATAGGCATACCTGCCCTAGAGAGCTCCCTATTAGGTAGTCCTTAGCAGCGGGAGCCCCCCCTGGCGCCCCTACACTACTAGCTAATCACCTACCCAGCTCCTGTAGCCCGCGAATTCCATGCTCACGCCACGGCGAAAGCCACCTCTGAGTGGGGGCCTCCTAGTGAGCTCGCCGCTAAGCATTACTGGTGCCACTCACCCACGCCTCCACCATGCTCCCTGTGCAGTCTCGGTGCCCCCCCTTGGCCCCCCCTTTGGCTTCAACGCGTTATTGCTTGCTTTCTTGCAGGCGCCGCCAAACAAAGGCGCGATTGTTGGCGTCACTTGCCAGAAATCTTTCCATCCCACGGGCCTCTTTCGCTCCTTCGCACTTCGCAACACCGACATCTCCCTTCAACTCTCTTGTAAAACTAATCCTCTTCGCTCGCTTGCCTGGCTGTTGCTCGATCCAATACCTGACCCTTCGACAATCTATCCTTGCTACCTCCTTCGCCCTAGCCCTTTTTCTCACTCAGCGGCATGCGTTGCTGAGTTTTCTGGCTGAGCCTCCTTTTTCGCCCACCGCCAACCTCGCCCTCACCCTGACCCTCGTTTACCATTCGCCGCGCTCGTTCCTAATTACCTACCACGATATTTTCAATCAGAGACCCCGTGTCCCCATTGGATTACTCTTGCCTCCGCTCGGGACTTTCAGAAACCCCATCAGAACCGCCGAGAGACAAAGTACTTGGTCCTCCATATATCCTCGATCACCGCAAACCGCACTTTTCAAGCCCTTTGTGACTGCGCCCCTCGAACCTCATGCCGATGCCTATTCTTACCTTCGCGATGCCCGTTCCCGACTATGCCAAAGTCGCCAAGGAGGGTAAAAGATCACAGTTGTCGTCCTTCCTTCACTGGGTGCAACTGAAGAAGTACCAATACGAAGTCACTTTCTCCCTCTATATGCTAACCCCGACCGAGAAATTCATTTTCAGTACGTTTTCTGCTGCGCGCTCTCTCATTTGTCCCGCCAGATGACTGATCTCGCCTTCTAGATTTGATCCTATTCCTGCTGGTCTCGATGCTGGTCACCGCCGCGACGCTCTACCTCCCCAACCACCTTGTCGTCATTTATCACCGCATCTGCTACTATATTTCCGGTGAATTCGCCTACAAGACCTCGACAAACGTGTCAGAGAACGCAATTGCTCTCTCGGCGGACGGGCTGCGGATTACTTCAGAGGCGATACAGTCGGTTGTGAACCCAACCTTGCGCGTGGTGGAATCAGCCAGGGAAACCTTAAAAGAACTTTGATACTTTGATGATACCCCCCATGTGCTTTATTGGAGCAGGCGTACGCATGGTCAGGGTTTCCGGGGTTAAACATTCAGGGTGAGGAAATTTTTAATGTACGCGGTGTACTGCTGCTGGATATGGTCACAACTGAGAATCTATCTTGACACGGCGCCCGCGCTGCTTGCTTCAGATATTCAATCACAAGGTCGCTGGATTTCGGAGGAACGAACTTGTTGTGGAGCGCGTTTTGGATTGAGTGGACTGTTTCCCCTGTATTGACACAGACTCCAACAATCAACCGCCACACCTTGCTGTACAGTTGTTCCACCACTGCTCCCGGGTCGCCATAATCCTCACCTGCCCGCTTGTCAATATGCTTTTAGCCACTTTATAATGTACCAGCCCGAGATGGTAAAAATGGACAATATGGTCTTTCGCTCCGGGGTGTTCAATGACGCCATGTTTTTTTCCATTTTGTATTTGCACAGATGCTCCAATGCATGTCCCACAATGTCCCTAGAACATATCCTCCCCGTTGCGCCATCGCCATGCAACCACAGATCCCAGATACCATGCAAATACAGATCCAGCCGAAACCTGATTTGTCGCTGCTCTTTTCAGACCGTCTCTTTCTGCTCGCCGTCCGCTCCTTCGCCCTCACCCTCGTCGCTCCGCGCCCGCCTCTGTCCCGCGAACGCCGCCTTGGCCTGCTCCAGCGCCTCGCTCCGCTGCCTGTCGCGCTGCTCGCGCATGAGGCGCTGGTGGCGCTCGATCTCGGCCCGGATCTCCTCCTTGTCGTAGGGGATCTTGTGCGACTGCTCCGCGGTGGGCCAGAAGCCCGGCACGGCGAAGCGGTTCTCCAGGTTCGTCCCGAAGTAGTACATGTACCCGATGGGGAAGGAGAGGTAGAGGCCAAACTGGATTTGGACGGGAGGTATTAGTAAATTTGGATGGGGAGAAGAGAGGTATGGAGAGGAACGGGGTAAAGAGAAGAGTGGGAAAAGGTAGAGTCTGTAGAGTGATTCAAGGGACGAAATCGGAGGGAGAGAGGGAGGAGAAGAGACGACGGGGAGGGGAGGACGATAGAGTGAGAAGAGAGTGGCGGATGGAACTATGCGGCTCGGGGAATGTTCCTGTAGATTTATGTAGATTTAGATACGTGGGATAAAGGTACCTTGAAGATTTCCAGGTTCGTCCCGCGCAGCGTGCGCTCGAGGAATTTGCGAACCATCACCGCTGTTGTCGCCGGCTCGCAGGCATGCAGCTTTCTTAGTGCTATGGGTGACCTGCGGAGGACGGAAGAGAAGGGTAGGCTCGGAGTTCAAATGCACGGGGCAGAGAACCGGGAAGGGAGGAGAAGTTGGGGGAGAATGAACAAGCACGAGGCCGGAACTGCAGCTTTGAGGAATATGTCGACGGCGAGAGGGTGTTGGGAGGTGGTAGTGGAGCTGGGAACGAGTGGCATGACCTGTTCAACGTCCCCGGTTTTTTTCTTTGGCGAACGAAGCTTCCCTTTTTCGCAGCCTCGTCGCAATCTGGCGCGGAGCAAGCAGAGCCTCGCGTGTGTTGATTGGACACTTGGCCATTTCAGCCTTGTCTGTCTGTTGCCGTTGCCAGCGCTTCTATCGGCAAGTTAACGAGGTCTATCTTTTAGAACAAACCCTAGATGTCCTCCCTATGTATGTACGTATATTCTACAGATGGGCTATATCATGCATTCTCTGCTCTCTCCTTCTCTTCATCTTCTCTCATCCGTCTCTCTTCCTTCTCCCTCCTCTTCACCCGCCATTCCATCCCGACCTTGATCATCACCACCAGCAGCGGCAGCGTCACCAACTCGACCAACCCGACCAGCGTGAGAGTCCACCCGTTGCCCATGGCCTCGATCATCGGATTCGCGACTGCGCTCGCGCCCGCCCCCAACAGGCACCGCACGAGATTCGACGCCGCGCTGGCCGTCGCGGCTCGTTTCCGGTGCAAGTCAATGATCAGCACGCTGATGGTGTTGAACCCGACCATCGTGGTGTACCCTATCGCGCCGAGCATGATGATCGGGCCTGCGATGTTGACCCGCTGCTCCAGCAGCCATCCGTAGATGATGATGAAGACCGCCCCGAAGGCGAAGAAGGGCATTCCGATCTCCAGCCTGGCGCGCTCGATCGGCATCTTGCTCAAGTCGCCTTGTTTCTTGCGGTCGACTTCCAACCCCGCCTTGAGTGCGTATTTCTTGAAGTTTCGATCGAGGAGGCGGGTGTTGGTTATCGTCGCCAAGATGGTCCCCACTACCTGCGGGATAAAGAGCAACCCTTGCAGAGTGCTGCTCAGACCGTAGATGTTGTGGAATTGGACCGTGAGACTGGTGGAGACGACGTAGAAGCCTGCGTAGATGATGCCCATGTACAGGAGCAGGATTGCGGTCTCTGGATCACCGACAATGGTGAGGGAACCGAAAACGTCCCATTTCCGCCTTCGAGGACTGGCCTTCTCCTTCTCTGGCTTGTCGTCAAGACCCGTTCCCTGCTCAGACCCGTTCTCGCCGTCCGATACCTTCTTCCGCTGCCTCGACAAGTTCGTCAGGCATCTGTTCCACTTTGGCGGTTCGATTGAGCCATCTCCAACCACCGACCTGCAGGTCTCGGGGAAGAAGAGCGCCAGCGGCACGAAATACACCCCACCAAGAATCAGCAGGAACCAGAACACCGAATGCCATCCCAGACGCTGGGCGAGCACACCGCCGATAATAGGCGCCAGACTCGGTGCCAAGATACCAGCAAGGCTGGTGATGGCAATATATTTGCCCCTCTCTGCGCTGGTGACAATATCCGCAATGGTGCCCTGCATCAGGGTCACGAGCCCAGAGCTCCCTGCACTCTGAACACACCTCAGCACCAGGAGGCCAGCGTAGGTTTTGTTAAGTGCCAGACCGAGATTCGCAGCGAGGTAAACAGTGAACCCGATCACATATGCCGGTCGGCGGCCATAGTCGTCCGCAATGGCCGAGGTGAAGGATGGTGAGATGCCTTGGAAGATCATGTACGTGGTAATGGTCAAATTGACGTCGGAGACGCTCACACCCAGGGCGTGGCTGATGGTGTCGATGGCAGGGAAGTAGATGAAAGTGCTGAACGGGCTGAAGCTTCCTCCGAGCGTGGCCACCAGGACAATGACGGCCTTTTGTCGAGTTGTGAATGATGAATACGGCCTGTCATTTGTTGTGATCCGTTCAATGGTGGTAGCGGCGGTGTCATTCTGGGTCTCAGGTTGCTTGTTTGGCACCTCGACGTCTATTTGAGCAGGGTCAGAGTCATTATATTCGACTTCTTGCGGTGTCGCGTGCGAGGTGATTTCGTTTTTGGGCGTATTTCCGTCAGACGCGTCATGGGAACCCATGCTCTCGGTGGGCTTCTCGTCGATCTCGCTATTTCAGTCCGTCCAGTGTGATTATCAATGTTCATGCCGCAAATATGCAACGAGAGCCAGCCAGATACTGTCAAAGGTCTCTCTCTCGAGGACCAACATGTCAATATATGAATTCACCAGGAAAAAAGGCGGTCGCGACTCAATCTTGACTAAAATTAGTCTTCTGTGAGCCTGGCGAGTCGTCCCTCGTCATTGGTTGTATCAAGCCAGTGGAGAGCTTCTCAGGGCCGGTAACGGGCCGGTGTCCGGCCATCGGGGCTAAGAACAGGATGACAAAAGCCTGTTGTGGACGTCTCGGAGAAGATAGTCAGTGAGTCTTCGACGATTCTCTAAGTACCGGATCTCTAAGAGAGAGACATATCATGTTGATGAAATATGCGTGGATCGATTTTGGACACTCAGCAAGATAACGCAGTCAAGCGGGCTCTCGTCTTCAGCACTACGATGTCGGCGTGAATCTCGCGACGATCCAGTTCAAGTCATTTTCATGCGGACGCGGCCATTTCGCATAGTAGAACCACTTCTGCTCGTCTCTATCCCACTTACGGTGCGGTACAAAGGCTCCGACAACGTAGTAATTATCGCGCATATAAAGTGGTTGATAGCTCGGCGGCCCCTTGCGATCCAGAAATTCATCAGTTCCTGCAGCGGCTTCTGCGTCGGTAAGATGATACAGGCGTGGCTCCGGTTTTCTGGCTTTGTCTCCTTTCTTTTCCCATTTTCCAAAACGGACGATGGTGCGGATAGTTGTGTCGAGGTGCATCTGCAAAATCCGTGCATGGGTGAGTGGACTTTTGGTCGCTTTTGCAACGATCGCCGCATGTCGATCCAGCAGCTTGACGTTCCAATCCGGGTTCCGGCCAGGCGGGATCACTGGCAAGGGTTCGCGGTTGTCTAGGTTCTTCTGCCAGTGGGCGAGGTCGAGAACGATGTTGAGGTTGTTCCAGGAAAGGACGCAGCTCATACAGGTGCATACACTCGAGGCGTCAATCTGCTTGATGTGTTGGTATTGAATCTTGTGGATTCGACCCCGGCCGTGCCGTTGCTCGTTCATAAGCGCTGGTCGAGCTACTGAAGGGACTTGATCGAGTGATACCGGTGGGGGAAAGCACTGCCTGAGGATCCAATAGCGACGGTTCATGATGTCGTCGGCAATTGCTCGCTCGTTGTTCAGAATAAACCTGTGCATAGACTGGTTAAGTCGAAGCAGGTTGAAGATATCAGTAGGTTGCAAGAAGCTCAGTATTATCGACAGCAACTCCTGCGGAAGATCTAGAAACGACTGGACGTCGGAGCGCACTTTCCGAGCTTGTTTCTTCTGCTGCCGTCTTTGGAGACGCGCTGTCTTTTTTGAATGCAATTCCAGGGCAGCCGTTTTGTCGACGAGAGGTTCGTTCTCCGTAACGACTTTCTGTCGCCTCCAAGCCACATTGTTCACATAATGTATGGGCACCTCGTTTGCCTGGTCATCTCTCTTTGCTTCAGAGGCATTGGGATGAGTGGGGATACCATTGACACTCGACAAGTTAATTGCGCCATCCACAGCGTCCAATGTTTCAGGCACATGCGATGCAACACGGTGTTTGGTAGATGGTCGCTCGAGAACATGGCTTTGTCGTTCTGGCATCACCGCTGCCTCGGAGAGTTATGCCAACCGGTACTCGACATCCGAGAGGGTTGTAGCACCACAATCTGGGTAACACAGTCCGAAATATCGTGTCTGATTGGTAAGGAGAAAAATCGATGTACATAGGCTGGAGACCAGGCTGAGTCGTCGAGTGCGAGATACTGCCAAGAATGACGTCACAGACACCTCGACAATGTTGACCTGGTTCACTTCGTTGACAGCCTGCGATGCAGAACATCCATTTTCTCCAGCATCTACTGCTTGCAATAATGGACCTGGACAGACTGAGGGGCCCTCGCTCCCATACACTAGATGGCCTACCAATATCTCGAGGCCTGACCAAAGCAAAGTTCGCGCATACGGAGACGCTCCGGTGGTCAAGGGCCCGTTGCTACCCAGTGAAGTCCAAGCTTCTGCATCTGCATATGCTGGTGAGAACAGGTGGACTATGGGGCTCGGATTCGAGTTGGGAGACACCGAAGCCATCTCCGGATAACACAGTCAGTAAACCCTGCGGGGACGAAGCATACTTATTGCGTCAAAAGGATGTGGCGGATGTTGATCGAGGCTCCCGCCGAAGCTGCGTGGCCATCGTGAGTCTAGGCGGGAAGGCAGCAACCCCAAGTGTATCTTGAAGATCAAATCCAGCCCTGATCTGAGGGTGCGGCAGTGTGTTTGCATTCAATGAAGGTGAAGTGAAGTGAAGTAACGTGATAAAATTGAGTCTCCCAAAACTGACCTACCTTTTTCACCTTTGTCTCTTCTCCTCTTCCTCTCCTCACTCATCCTCTCAGTCTCTCCATCACTTCTGGAAGGCTGCGTCTTCAAGCTCGTCTCCCAGCAGACCAGTTTCAGCAGCAGCCTCGGTGACAGCTGCATCATAAGTTCCAGAGTCATCGCTGCGAGGTATACCACAGTCCACAGCACCGTGACGCTGATGTGACTGACAGAGTGAGGAGAAAAATGTCTGCTTCACAGCCTCCCAAGATGGAAGACAAACCCCTTACTCTCGAAGCTACCTGTATCATGTGTCCACGTCGCGGTTTGAAAATCTGTCCTAACTGCAAGGACGCCCGTTACTGCTCCAAGGGTAGGGGAAGTGTGACTCAAGTTGACCGTATTCACGCTAATTGTTTCTGTAGACTGTCAGAAGCTCGATTGGAAGAATCACAAGATCATTTGCCCATCCTTCCGAGAGCCTAAGCCTGATGTGACCGAACCGAACAAGCGCATGAACGGTATTATCGATGACATCTTCCCCCTGCGTGGCTTGGTGAATTTCCGGCGCGCTCTTTTCTTCCCGGGCCGCGACCAGCCACCCCGATTTGTCTGGGTCAAAACTTGGATCGCATATCCAGGATATGAACAATGGGATAAAGAGGAATTCTTCGGCGAGAGTGAGACAGAACGAGTCTTTACTGCACACAACTCAATTCAGGCCCGGGACGCCTGCCGTGACGAGGATGATACACTTATACTCTTTTTCAGGCAGGATGCGACTAGCCACGCACCGAATCTCGCAGTACGAGCTTTCACTCGTGCAGGAACCTGCGCAAACTACTTCAGGGGCCCAATCATGCTCACGCGCGGCTTTATCGACCATTCCGGAAACGACCATATGAGAGATGTCGATATGCGCGATGCAAGAAATGCCGCAGACTACTTCAGTTCAGCATACCGTCAAGGAATCAGGGATCCTTGTCTTGCGAACGAGCGCTTTCTGGCAACAGGTGTGTCTGGCCCCGAGCTTACCACCCGCTCTGGCAGAGCAACAAAATACCTGGAGTGCGTCTTGGACGGCTGCGATTCCGTCTTCCGAGCGGAGGGCAGCGGCATTGCCAATCTCCTGGGCATTCCGATTCTGATCCGCCCCTATAACCCGCCAAAACCAAAACGCAACCAGTTCGGGTTTTGGATCCAGGAAGATAATGAGGATCGTAGCCGGGAAGAAAACACTGCCGGCCCCGAAAACGTCGATGTGAAGTTTCTGCTCCGAGACATTACCTCTACAACCACTGGCCCGCAAGGCACAACTGCAGAAATGGCCCGTTTTCGAACCGATGACAGAGACTACGCCGGCGAGAACGGCTTCGGATCATCACCGAAGCCATGGAACATCAAGGGCCCTGTGTGGATGACTCGCGCTGATGGTGTGCCGCTGATGCGCGAACATGTTGAAGCACTGGCAAGTTACATTCGTGACGAAGTGGAGCCACGCTTGTCCAAGGCATTAGCAGGAGTGGCTTCTGGTGGTGTTGTCGCTGGTCGAGAAACTGTGCTCAATTCTATCACTCCGACCGACTTCTCCAGATACTTTGATGCTTTCAGGGCCGCGAAGATGAGGCACGATTCTTGTTGGGAGAAAGCGCCGTCTCCATACGCAATGACAAAGGATGTCATGGCAGACCTAAAGGTCATGATGCACGTGATGTGGGAACATCTGAAGAAGGCAGGCTTCAAACAGCAGAGTGATATTGACCCTGGTTTGCGACCTGGGGTACTAGGGCTTAGACCGTGAGGTTATTGTACCAAGGAAGGTCCGCAACCGGCATAGTTTGATCACGGCAAGCTTGCTCCAAGGTGGCTATGCATCGTCGAGCTCGACCTCTACGATGGGGCGCGTGATGGGGTGGCTCTCTAATTGCTTTGCTGGAGGGGAAGGCAGGGGAGGTTACGGACATGAATGACGGAGCTCTTGTGCTGAGAATACGAAAGTGAGGTCGATGTTTCGCCACGTCTACGGATCATCACTGACCGTGGATGCTGGTCGCTGAAAAACACACAAGCGAGGATGTCGTCGGGGCACATGTGTCACCGGATTGAAGGTGCCCTGTCAAGAGCTGGGTTTCGAGGATGAATGGACACTGTGGCCGCGCTGATGCGATGGAGAGAACACAACATCACTCGAAACGTCGTGACGGGACATTGAAGCGTGAAGACGTGCGCTGGATGAATGACTGACTGTAGCTGTACTTGAACAAGTCTTTATGACATTGGCGACAGTGGAGAATTCAAGTCCTTGAAACAGTGTTGGACTGTCAAATTGGCGCGAACGCCTTACTCATTGCGCTTGTTGTACAGAAACTGGCCTCATGGGCACAAGTCATTACTCTTCGATCCTCTGAAGTCGCCAATCCTTCATCGTCCCAAAACATTATCTCGCTTGCTAAAAGCAAAACCGCTCATATTCCCCCCTTCTCAATCATACAAACTGATATTGTCACAACAGCATCCCCCTCGCTAGCCCTCACTTACTTAGAGGTGTAGCTTGGCCTTCAAGCCGTCAAAGGCCATGCCGGGATGCCAGCTCTCCCGCCTCGACTCATCCGCGGTGGCGGCGGAGCTTCTCCTGCGCTCGCTCACGGCGCTGTTGTTGCGGCCGGCCTCGACGCTGTCCTCGTTGCCCGGCCGGGCCTTGTGGAACAGTTCCCTGCGCAGCGGCACATCGTAGATGCGGCCGGGGTGTTGCGGATGGTCGGTGGGGAGGAGGAATGACGGGACGTATTTCTTGAGAGCAGACATTTGTATAGGCTTTAATTTAAGGGGTGATTGGCGAGGTGGATGAGTGTCGGTTTGTTTGTGCTGTTTGGATGTTTTGGATCCTTGTGAGTGGTGGTCGCGAGTGTGGAATGTCGACTGGTGTTGTTGGGCTTGATTGTTGGAATCGGGTACGTCGAGGGTGACTGTCGAGATTGCAATGTGTTGAATGCTGCACGTAGAAAACCCGTTCTCAGGACGGACTGCGAGGGATGCATATATACCTTTCAGGGCCTGATGCTTCTTTACCTACCTACCTCGCACCTACACAATAATCTCGCACGGAAAACCACCACAAGAGCCGCGTACGAAACGTTGCGTCATTGCGCGGGTCTTCTTTTGCTGTACGGCGTAGAACGCAGAAAACCGCGCAGAACAATCTTCAGGCTTCTCCGGGGCGTGGGTTACAAAAGCTGGGAGCGTAGCCGGTTCGAGTAAAGTGCGCATCTTTCAACCGAGAAAGCACAGAAGAATCACATGGGGGCTACCAGGGCTGACAAAGCGAGCGATTTTCGTTCGATGCGAGGCTGAAAGAGAGAAAATAAATATGATGGAAAGGGTGAGACTTGGGTGGATGCCAAGACATGACGTCACATACGGATTGTATCTACAGCCTCGCCATCGTTTCAACTAGTGTCGCTAGCTACATACCTACGTACAGCGCACACCTGCTCAGCCTCGTCTGATGGAAAAGCAAACTTCCAGCACGAGCCATGTCCCAGCTGAGTCTCCTGGTTGATGGAGCTTGTGCCGGCCATGTCGGTGTGGATGTAATAGTGACCCAGCTTCGTCCTGAAGGAAGGCTGAAAGTCCAAGTGCAAGAGAGAGCCGCCGCTCACCGAGTCGAAAAACTTAGCCTCACACCAGCTTCTTTTTGGTAGCAAAGTATTCACGTAAGTGACGACTTGAGCTCTTTGCTAGGCGGGGAGGAATTACTGATATTTGGAGAAGCGGGAATCCAAATTGGCACGCCTATCTGGTATCTGTAAACACGCGCATGCCGTATCCAAACGAGGTATCCGACCCCTCAGAATTGCCTTTCGCTGAGAAAAGCTTCGAGGAGTCGTCTCTTGCGAGCGTCCAACGCCTTCTTGTCTTTGCCTTTAAGCCGTGCTTCATTTTCAGCCTTGAAGACAACCGGCGCAAAGACCTCAACGTATGCATTGACAAGCTTCTTCCGTCGCTCCGCAATGGCCGCCTCCGCTTCCGCACCGGCCTCTGACGTTGCGGACGATGACGAGATGCTGTTTGTACGGCGTCGACGCAGTGCAGGGAAGAGACTTCTCTTGCTTGGTGCTTCTTGTGTGGATGTCGAAAGCCGGTGACCAGAGTCGCTGGAGACGGTCGACGCCCTCGACCGTCCAAAGGAGATCCGACTTGACGAGGTCGGCGTAGTCGGCGTGGCCGATCCGGGGGCCGGAGCACCGTTCGCCATCATCTCATTGACAATTCTGATCAACAAGAACGTGATAAACGTCAGCGACACGCTGTGAACCGCAGAAGAAGACAAGGCGTCCATGACCATATCCTGGATCTCTTGTGGTGCCAGCGGCGTCTTCCCCTTCTCCAAAGCGCTCAATCTTCTCTCGACCTCGGCCCACGGCGCAGCAGGGACTATACCGTCTCTCAAGGACTGAAGAAAGGACAAGAGGGTCTCAGCGAGCACTTCCAGTCGAACGATGCTTGGTACATCCGGGTCGAAATTAGTGTCCAACCGGTTTGCGTTGTCCAATGCTTCCCTCACCCCGATCAACAGGTCGGACCGTTCTTCGCCTTCGGCCAACGTCCAAGTCTCACGGCTGAAAGGCCAAGACGCTCCTCCGTTTTCAAATTGCCATGGCGGCGTCACCCCTTCGTGCAACATCCCCCATTCTGCTGTTGACCGCTCAATGTAGATGGGAAGGATTTCAGTGAGAGTATACAGTTCCTTAGGCGCCGAGTGATGAGCAGCTGAGTCTGTGATCCTCATGTTTTCTGTGGACCCTTTGGCCTTCTGAGGCCGAGGGAACTGCCGCACCCCGCCCTCCGGTGCCAGCACCAACTCATCGAGCGTACGGTAAAACGATGATTGAAACCATGTACCTTTGACAGGTATGAAGTGATCTCGACCATTTTTGACTCTGAGGACAAGCACGTCTTCGAGTTCTGCATTCCCGTCGTTCAAGTCGTGGACCAACTCGCCATCCGAAATGTCAATAGTCAGGTCGATAACTATGGTTTCGCCAGGAGACAGGACAATTTCATGTGTTCCTTTGTGTTCGCCCCGCTCTGATGGATGAATAGAGCCAGGTTCGACGCTGAGCTCGAGCCATCTCGGTGCCGCACAGGCATCTTGGCCCGACTCTGGTGGACGTTCCACAAAAGCAAATGTGGCAGTGATTTGTCCGGTGTTCGCTATGGTGACCATCCTCGTCTTTCTGACCCCGTAACGAACTTCACCGAAGTGTACGACATTCATGTCTGCCGCACCGTCAGCGTTCGGTATCGGCTCTTCGGAGTGATTGTCCACTACCACTGTGACCGATGGACGGCCTTCATTCTCTGCCTTATCCAGCTGTCTAGCGACATCCTGATGCACTTTTGCCTTCAGTTCTGGAATGACGGCGTCGTAAAGGATGGTAAAGACGGCGTCTAGTGGCTTGTGATCAGATGAGAGTATCCGCTGGTGTGAGTTGTAGCTATTGAGTTCAACCATGTCCCCATAGTCCTCGTGTGACTGCACGAGTTCTGCATCATGAAGCACATCCTGCGTCTCGTCGTATTCGTCGTAGTCATCGCCATATGCAAGTCCATCTGTATCGGGATCATAATCAAATAGTACGTCGTGCTCTGCACTGGCTTCGTCGATTCCGCGAGCTTTCATTGACGCATCCTTCTTGCGTGCCTCTTCGCGCTGTTTGGCCCTCTCTTCATATATGTCCCTATCGCGGCGAGTTCTGTAAAGGATTCTGTCGCACCAACTGGGACTCCTCTTCTTGTCCCCTGAGTCAAACATGCCGACACTACCCACGTCATATTTGTAAGTGGGCAAAAAGTTGATGTCTCCTTCCCGCCACCCTTCGTGGAATGCCTTGCCCAGCCTTTGCTGTGCGCGCAGTTGGTCGTGTGCCAGCAGAGACTGAAGGGTGGTGTGGAGTGAAGCAGGGTCGGACTTCGGGTCTAATTCTGGTTCGGCGGTGCTTTCTGTGGCTGGTCTTTCTGCATCTTTGTACTCGTAGTGCGGATTCGGAGCCGGCAGCTGCGAATCGCTGGTCGAGGCACAGACGTAACCTAGCTCACTGTCGATTTTGCGCTTCGACTTGTTCTGAATGTCGTACTCGTTCTGTGTGTGCAGCAATAGCAACCTCCTGACATCTTCACCGGGGACGTCGTCCAGACGATAGTTGAGGTCGCCAAACCAGAATGCAAAGTCCTCGTCCCCAATTTTTTCCTCCTTAGGTTCAATAACCTCGCTGTCTGTGACCGGAGAAAACCGGGCTTTGCCCAAGATTTGACTGGTATCCCAGATACGGCGAGCCAGTGCTGCTTGGTCTGCACCAGCAGCGAGATGACAGTTGATAAAGCAGAGTTTGGTCGCCTCTGCAACCACGAGCCTCGCGGCGACAGCACCTTTATTGCCGAAGTACCCCATCAGACCAGTTCCGACAGATGTCGTACTTACCGAACTAATGCTGGGGGCCAATTCAGGCGAGGCAAAAATGAGGAGCAGTAAACCAAAAAGTTGTTCTTCAGCCACTTTCTTATAACCCTTAGGCAAAGCTCGCCTCAAAGACTTCTTCCACTTCTTGGCAGGATTTGGGTCTGTGTAAGGTTTGATAGCTTCAGTCATGGAAGTCACGTCGATGACTTCTTGTAATCCGAGTACGTATAGGTCGATCTGCTCGTGATGGGCCTCCGCCGGAGCATCATCCAAGGGTACGGAGACACTCTTTCTTGTCCTTGCCACACGCGCCTCTTGAGCCTCGACAGATTCGATGTTTCTATCGCTGTCAGACTCGCCGTCACTGTCGTCGACTGAGATGCCCGATAAATTCTGTGAAAGGCCCTTGGCACCATATCCGCCGACAAACCAGGCTCCCAGATCCCTTTCGGTTCCACTGATGGCGGCAACATTCCAAGTGCCGACTTTGATTTTCATCGACTTCTTCCGGACGTATTCGTCCTTTCGAGCCTTGACAGCAGCCGATAGTGATTGAGGCCCGGAGCGGTCGAGTTCATGTGGTTCGGGCGATGGCGGATAAGCGCCTGGCAGCTTCGTCCCCGATCCCCAAGGATCTCCAGCTCTCCATGGTTTTGGGGAGAGATAACTCTCCTCGCTTGCCCTTGACGACATTGCTGCTGGTGACGACAGATCCGTCGGTGATTATACAATGTTGTTAACTCATGGCGGTTGCAGGTCAGTGGCCAGCTGAAGTCGACGTCGACATCACGGTCACGGGAGCCAGGGATGATGGAGATTCGGTTAGAGCTTGATTGGTGTGATGGACGGCCGTTGCGCTGCTGTTTATGACTGTCAAGGTGATTATAAGGGGGTCTCATGCGCTTTTGATCCCTCAGCCATCGAGTCGCGTGGGCAGGTCATGACATCTTGCCCAAGCTGCGGAAGAATGTTGGATGAGTTCGGATGACACAGCCACGCAACCACACCAATTGGCCGTCTTGCCTCTCTGACGGGGCTCTCAATCAGCAGTGACCCGTTGTTAGGGGCCTCCCGGGAGCCTAAGCTCGCCACACAGGCGGCAAGCTGGGGGGGAGGAGGTCTCTGTTTGGTGCGGCTAACCCACCGGTCCGCCAAGCTAAGCGAGCCCGAAACCAGATGCCCATCCACGCCCCCAGGCTCTTTCCCAGCTACACCACCCTTGCTCGATAGGCACCTAGGCCCTGGGCTCCCAGCTATCACTAGGCTCCTACATACCTAGGTAGGCTTCAGGTGCCCACCTGCGTCATCTCGTTGGGCAGTGGGCTCGTGGGTGTGTAGACACGCTTGATGATCTTGTTCTGCAACAACAACCTCCGGCGCTGCACTGCGTAACATCTTTACCAACCAACAACATGGGAATCTCCAAGAATTCCATACTGGATCTGGTCGCTACCTGATCGGCGCTCCTCACCCCCTACTCACCATGCTCGCATTGCTGTCGATCCTTGGTCTGCAGTTTCATCATGAATACCCGTCCCATCATCGATGAGTCGGCTGGGCCGATTGCGCTCTCAGCCTCGTTCAACAGCGATGCCAGCTGTTTCGCCATCGGCCTCGACACGGGCTTCTGTGGTATGTCCAAGCAAGAAACCCCTTCGATCCTGTGTAATGACCTTCTCGAGTGTTGATGTTCTCTCCAGTGTTCAATTCGGATCCCTGCGAACTTAAGGCTTCCAGAGGTACCTCACTCCTCTTACCTTGCTTCGGACCCTCGCGTTCTGATTGAAGATGCAGACTTAAATGCCGGAATTGGTACAGCTGAAATGCTCGGGCGATATAACTATCTGGCCTTGGTTGGAGGCGGGAAGAATCCTCGATGGCCTCAGACAAAAGTAGGGAGTGAGGGAACTTGATGAAGAGCACAGAAGCTGATATATTTGGCAGGTTATGATATGGGACGACGCTAAACAGAAAGTCGCCATTACACTCGAGCAAAAGACCGCTGTGCTACGCGTCTGCCTGACCAAGTCGTGGATCGCCATTGCCATCCAGAACAGCATCAACCTGTACAAGTTCTCCTCGCCTCCCGAAAGAACTGCCATTTTTGAAACGGCAGATAACCCGCTAGGTTTGTGCTGTCTAGGCTCTAGGATCGTTGCTTTTCCGGGACGGTCGCCAGGGAAAGTCCAGCTTGTGGAGCTGGGGTCGGGCAATGTGAGCATCATCCCAGCGCACACGTCTGCCCTGCGAGCAATGGACCTCAGCAGAGACGGTCAACTGTTGGCTACTGCAAGTGAGACAGGCACACTGATTCGTGTCTTCTCGACCGCAAACTGTACCAAGATCGCGGAACTGCGTCGTGGGGTGGATCCAGCCTATATCTTCAGTATCGCCATCTCCCCTGATTGCAGTATGCTCGCCGTTACCTCGGACAAGTCGACCTTACACGTCTTTGATCTGCCGCCAAACTCCTCTTCACAGTCACAACCGACCAGCCCACTCAGCCCTTCTTCCCAACAACGTCGCTCCCAATCACCACACATCCCCACCATGACTGAAGAAGAGCCATCGACAAATCAAAAATGGGGCTTCCTCTCGAAGATCCCGCTGCTGCCCCGAGTCTTCTCAGACATCTACTCGTTCGCCTCTGCTCATTTTGAGATGGGCGATGAAACCGTCGGTTTCAATCATTCGACACTATCGTACTTGCCCGCGCTTGGGTCCCTGCCGAACCGGCCACAGAAAGGAATTCTGGGTTGGATAGATCACTCCACGATTATTTGTATTGGAACAGGAAGAGATGCACGGTGGGAGAGATTTCGAGTTGGTGAGAGACCTGGAGTGACGGATGAAGGCCAAAGAAGTGTATGGAGGGATGGCTGGAGGAAGTATTTGGGTAGCTGAGGGTTGGCTACACGCTTGGCCCACAGCAAGACAATTGAAGACAACGCAGTCAAATGTCTGCTCTCCGTGCAAATAGCAGTGTCAGACTACGAATGCCGCCATAATTTCGACGGAAATCGGACGAAATGAGACATACAAGGCATTCCGCGGAGGAGATTGCTCCAGCCGCTCAAACCAGGCAAAGGACAGCCATTCGACTTCGAACAGGGAAGAATATGATGAACCACGAATCTTATACTGCGAGAAACGGCTGAAGACCTATTCATCAGGCATTTTCGGCAGACCGGCGTTGGCTTTTGGATTGCATTCGGAACAGATGGTCGCTCCAGTAGGGCGAATGGGTTTTATACACGGACTTTTTGGCTGTCATGTCTTCCTGTCACCTCTTTCCTTTTCTTTTCTCACACGATGGATCAAAGGCGATTTTATATGAGAACGTTACCAAACCAGTGCGCGCGGCACGTATTTCATGTCATGTTTTTTTTGGGGCTGGATTGCAAGAAGGACAAAAATACCCCCATGGCAAAGAAAAGAACGAACGACCTCTGATACATAGAAATGAATGATCACTGTCCTTGATGAACCTTTGTCTTTTGCTTCTGCTGTCAGTCTAGATTCAGGAACGGCAAGGAACGGGAAAGGAGAATCAGAGAGGGAGATGGGAAGACGGGACTTTCGGTGGCACTTTTCAGCCTCGGCGCGCGAGAAGGACAGGTTCTGGTGTTTAATGTGACGACAAGAGTGCTTTCAAGACACTGCTTTTTTCTATGTATCATACTTCGTCCCTGGTAGTAGCTAGAACCTCGGACTGAGGACTCGAGGACCCAGGCTTCATAGGACGGGGAGTATGTGAGGACTCGGTACACAAGACATTGAACACGGCAAGGCAAGTCGCAATAGACTGAACACGCAAAGGACGGCAAGCATGCATATTCACTTTTCTCACCTCTTTTGTCCTGTTTTTCTCCTTGTTCTCTCTCTCCATCCTGCCTCCACCTCTCCCACTCTCGCTTCCACTTCTCGAGGCTCGATTCTGAATCCAATCCCACAATCCCGTTCGCGCCCTCGCCCGTCCCATCCCATCCAACGACCGTACATTCCCGAGTGACACCAGTCCCCGGTCCCGTCCCCGTCTCAGAAGCACCAAAAGGGGGACACTAAAGCAACAAAAAAGATCAGAGAAACGCCGACTACCATTTTGATTCGATTTGATTTCCACGCCGCCAGCAGAGACAAAAACAGGGTAGGCCGAGAGAGTGAGAGGGCTCACGGAAAGTGAGATAAGTGGATAATAGGTACACACAAATCAAAGCATCTTCAACTCCCAGGGTCCCAAGGCTCCATCGGTGGAGGCGCGAAAGGATCTTGCCAACAATGAGACTGATAAAAATACAGCCCAAGGGCCGGAGGATAGTGCGTAGGCAGATGATGAAAGTGCGGCAGGTCGGGCCATTGCCAGTACTCGGTTCCAGGAGCGGGATCCAACAGACTCGGAGGCTGCTGAATTATTTCCAAAGCGGGATCGAGGCCCAGACCATGTACCAGGTCAAGACCAGAATTTGGGCCATGACCAGGACCATCACTAGTGATCCCACCCAGTCCTCTAGTACCTCCCCTGCGCCGGCGGCGACCTCGAGGAGAAGGCCCCTAACTCATCGCCTTCTGGTACTGGAAATTTCCGAATCCTCCAGGTGTCATGGACCCCATCATCCCGACACCACCAGTATGTGCAGGGACAGGCGTGTGCGAAGAAGGCCCTCCCCCACCTACCATACCGATGTTACCAGTCTGCGGTGTCGTCGGTGTTCCATTCTGGTTGTAAAAGGTCGCTCCATTCATATTTGGAGTATTGAAGTCGCGAGTCGCCCCAGGCGCCCCTCCCCCTCCACCTCCGCCACCAGTCACATTTCCACTTGTCGGCATCTGCGCATTAAGTCCCCAGACCTGAGAGCGGTACTTATCCTCCTCGATTGTGCCGTTGAAAATCTTCTCCTTCATCTTGAAGTACACCTGCCCAGTAAGCAACGAGTCCGAGCCCGCTTGGTGTGCTTGGCCGATCCTCGCCACCGCCAGCTCTTCGGCAATATCTTGAAGACCCGACTTGGTCATTATCCGCTGGACCATCATCGCCGCCTCCTGGGTGAGGGGTTGTCCGCTGTTAACTTGGCCTTTGACACCGGCGTGCTTGAGGATGAATTTGATGTCAAATAAGGAAGGGAAGAACTTCTCCAAATACTTGTGGAACGTTACTTCGTCCTCTGGCAACGGCTTGCAAATCATGAGCTTCATCAGGTAGCCAAAGTCATAGCCCGAGTGAAAAGAGATCCAATGCACATCAGGGTCCAGCACCAGACCAGAACTGATCAACAGGGCGCCAAAGTCATTGGGATCGATGCCGTGTTTCGCATGCCGGTCAAAGTCGATGCCAGCTTTTGAAAGCATCTGTGTCGACTCCCTCGCATACATGTCAGTCTCTAGAGAGAACTTGAAGTTGAATTGCCACGTGCAAGGTGTAGGTAGAACAGTTTGGTGGAATTGAGACTTCTGCGACGGAGCGGCGTCGGGCGGAGGGAGGGTTCCGTCAGGCTTGAAAAGAGTGATCCCTAGTTGGATCATCTTGAGGAGATCGACATTACACCGCAATGTTTGATAGTGATAGTCGGCCTTTGTGGTAAACTGGCCGATGGGCCGTGCGACAATACCCGGGAATTCAGTGTCCTAAACAATCCATGTGAGCGCAGTTACGAATAACCTTGAACGAAGCATTCGCCTACCATCGCAATGTACGGGTAGATGTCCACTAGCTGTCTCAATGTCGCCATCTCTTCCTTGAGGTTATGCTTCCAGACGTTGCGGATCCTGGCGTCGTCCTTGTTCTCGAGCGGAACCCCAAGCCCGTCGTACGATTGGTGACCTTGCACTGGGCCTCCTCTTGAGAATCCCATTTGGGCCATTTGACTCGGAAGAAGCCCGCCATCGAGCATACCACGCTCAAAGCCATTGTTCAAGTTGCCTGCCAGGGCGAACGGACTTGCGTTGGAGGAGCCAGCGCCGCCGAACGACGGCGTGCCCAGGTGCGTGGGAGGCGGCAGCGCACCATGCTGATGTGAGGACGCGTGGGACTGAAGGTGATTTTGTTGAATGTGATAAGGTCCGTTTATGGACTGATTTCCATAACGCGGAGGAGCCATGATGACGGGGGAGTAGGTACAGGTAGTCGAAAGTGCGGAGGAGATGTAGTAGACGATGTTATTTCAGATGTGTTCATCGCGGGAAGATGGAGAGTTGCGGTTGAGATGATTATTAGTGAACCGCTGACTGGTCCATGAGTGTAAGAGTCGAGATTGCCATTCAAGTAACCAGAGAGAAGGTTGTTAAGCAGTCAAGTGTGCTCGTAGTAGTCGTGTCGATTGCCAGCCATGCGGCGGGACAAAGTCTGGCCCAAGAGTGCGACATCTAAACATCAAATGCGCGGCCGTAGTAGGGCGAAGTATTTATCCACTTATGCTAGTCTGGAATGATTTCATGTCTGACACAATTCTTTCCTGACCCTCGGCTTACCGGAGGGGTGCATGCAGTGCTGGAACCCTCTGTTCTTCGTAAATTTCACCGTCAGACATATTTCACGAATCATAGAGCTAGCTGTTTCAGTCATCACCTGCCAATTGCTTTCCTGTGCCGAAAGACCTTTGTACCTCTATCAAGCTCTACCCTCAAGAGACCAACTCGGCCTCTCCTCTCTGCACACGACTTGCCCCCGCGAGCTTCGGAGCTCCAACATCCTGCTCCTGGACCTTAACTCTCAGAGCCGTTGATCTTAACCCACGACTCATCATGGCACCTCCGAACAACCCAACCGGGTTCAGCATGAAAGCCTTCACCGACGCAGCAACAAGCAAGGAGTGGCGGGCACGGGATCCATGGGGCAGATAGTAAGCAAGGCAAAAGAGCATGGCGAATAACCCCTGACGAGGCTTTAGTGAGGCATGGCGATACACCGGACCTTTCACGAGATGGAACCGATTCAAGGGAGCATTCCCCGGATTTGGAATTGCCGTGGTCGCGTTCACAGGTTATGTTATCTTCGAGCAACTGTTCCTGAAAGACTCGCACGGCCATGGCCATGAGGAAAAGTCGGGACACCACTAGACGATTTCGGGTGCAACAATGACTCAACCTCTGCTCACGACCAAGTGCTGGAGTGAGCTTAAGAACACACGCAACAGAAGAGCGCGGCTCGAGTGAATGGTCTTTGTACATATAAGAGACTTTTTGGGGCGGGGGGGATGTACAGAAAGCGAAGAGAGGGCGACTGAAAAAGGGTATCCCACACTGCCGCGTTGCTTGGGGACAGGGCGGCACATTCATGTTTGTTCTAGGGCTATCTATCGCACAGGTCATGCAGCCTTACATCCCATGCAGCATAGCCTTGCGCTCGGAAAAGCTTTATTCAACGACACGGACTCGTGGAAAACAGAAGGACTTGGTTCAACGTGGGAGGAGAATTCTCGGCCAGAAAGCAATTCTCCTTCATCTCTGCGCTCCTCTCCCAATGCCACTCCGGGTTGCTTCCTCCCTCATCCTCCGACATGCGTGTGTGTAATTTCAGTCACCCATTCTCGTGATCCCAAGCATTAGCTCCCCATATGTCTGTTGCTCGTGGTCACTTTCTCTTTCTGATTCCCGTGTGTGGAGTAAGATCTAAACCACAAAGGGCAAATTTTGCCAGGCCAGTCAGAAGTTGGGGATGGATTCTAATGCGGAAAAGAGGAAAGCGACCGCGAAACGGGCGAGTAGCAAGACGCTCTCGCAGACCCTTATCTCCTTATCGTCTGTGGTATAATGCAGTTGACGGCGAGGTCTGGATGCTTAGGCCTTGGTGTTGGTGTCGGCTAGAGCAAAGCATTGCCTTTTTCATCGTGAGGAGTTGGCAGTCCAGTTCGCCGCCAACGGGCACATAATACATATATATCTCTGGACTGAAGGCTCTCCCACCCTTTCTCTCCTCATCTTCTGCCTCTGTCGCTTAGTTCTGTCTGTTTCCTCTCTGTCCAGTCCGTTGATACCCTCAGACGATCAGCCATGGTTCTTGAGCGTGTGAAGCAGTTGGCCCAACAGGTGTCCAACACTGTTGCTCCTCCCCATCCTTTCGACCCCCTCTCTTCCCTTGAGATCGAGACAGCCGTTTCTCTGCTTCGATCACAGTATGGCAAGCTGTATTACAACGCCGTGACGCTGTACGAGCCACCGAAGGCTGAGATGCTGAAATGGCTGGCTGATCCCGACCACACCCCCAAGCCACACCGTGTCGCCGACATTGTGGTCATTTCGCCAGACGGCAAAGTGTTCGACGGCCATGTTGACCTCACCGAGCGCAAGGTGATCAAATGGGAACATACGCCCGGCGTGCAGCCTCTGATCACCATGGAAGATCTCCAAATCGTCGAACATGTCGTTCGCAAGGACCCCGGCGTCATTGAGCAGTGCGGTCTGATTGGCATCCCGCCCGAGGAGATGCACAAGGTCTACTGCGACCCCTGGACCATCGGATACGATGAGAGATTCGGCAATTCCGTCAGACTGCAGCAGGCCCTGATGTACTATCGTCCTCACGTCGACGACTCTCAATATTCGTTTCCCCTAGATTTCTGCCCCATCTACGACGCAAACAAGCAGAAGATCATCCACATTGATGTGCCCAAGGTTCGACGACCTCTGAGCAAGGCACCACCGAACAACTACCACGTCAAGTCGATCGAAGAGATCGGTGGCTACCGAACCGACCTCAAGCCGATCAACATCACCCAGCCCGAAGGTGTCAGTTTCAAAATCAATGGCCGCATCATCGAATGGCAAAACTGGTCCATCCATGTCGGCTTCAACTACCGAGAGGGCATCGTGCTCAGCAACATCACATATTTTGACAAGGTAGAGAACAAGGTGCGACCTATTTTCTACCGCCTTTCACTCGCCGAAATGGTTGTCCCCTACGGCAACCCTGAGCACCCCCATCAGCGCAAACACGCCTTCGACTTGGGCGAGTACGGTGGTGGGTACATGACCAACTCACTGAGCTTGGGTTGCGACTGCAAGGGCAGCATTCACTACATGGACGCCGAGTTCGTGAACAAGGCCGGCGCGGCACAAACGATCAAAAACGCAATCTGCATCCACGAAGAGGACAACGGCATCCTGTTCAAACACTCGGACTTCAGAGACGACTCGGTCATCGTGACCCGCGCCCGCAAGCTGATCGTTTCCCACATCTTCACCGCCGCAAACTACGAGTACTGCGTCTACTGGATCTTCCACCAAGATGGCACCGTCCAGCTCGAGATCAAGCTCACAGGTATCCTCAACACCTACGCGATGAACCCCGGCGAGGACACCAAAGGATGGGGCACGGAAGTCTACCCCGGCGTCAACGCCCACAACCATCAACACTTGTTCTGTCTGCGCATCGACCCCAACATCGACGGACCCAACAACACGGTATTCCAGGTCGACGCCGCCCAGGGTGCCGGGGAACCGGGCTCCGTGGAGAACTACTACGGCAACGCCTTCTATGCCAAGAGGACAAAGTACACCAACCCCACGGAGGCCATGGCGGACTACAACGGATCGAGCTCGCGGACCTGGGACATGTGCAATGAGAACAAGCTGAACCCCTACTCCAAGAAGCCCGTGTCATACAAGCTGGTGAGCAGGGAGGTGCCGGCGCTGCTGCCCAAGGAGGGATCCCTGGTGTGGAAGCGGGCCGGTTTCTCCAGGCACGCCGTGCATGTGACGAAGTGTAAGTATTCTCTCACCCACCAACTCCCGCTCCTCTTCCTCCTTTTGCCCATCCCAACTCAAGTTGAACCTCACGAGATATGCCAACGGAAAAGAGCTAACAACATCTCCCAAACCAGACTCCGACGACCAGGTGCACCCGGCCGGGCGCCACGTGCCGCAAACCTCAGGCGAGCCCTCGATGGGCCTGCCGCAGTGGATCGCGGCGAACCCGACGGCCAAGATCGACAACGAGGACATTGTGCTGTGGCACACCTTTGGCATCACCCACTTCCCGGCCCCGGAGGACTTCCCGGTCATGCCCGCGGAGCCGATGACGCTGCTGCTGCGGCCGCGCAACTTCTTCGTGCGCAACCCGGCCCTCGACGTCCCGCCCAGCTACGCCCGCACGCCCAGCGAGGTCGCCGCGGGCAGCAGCGGGTGCGCGTGCGAGAAGGACAAGGCCAGCGTGCGGGTCTAAACTTTGGGTGGGCAGGGGGTTGAGTAGTGTGCTCGTCCGGTTCATATTCTGTGGGCGAGAATGATTCTCTTAAAGTTTCCCTTAATTTATTGATATGTGAGCCGGGAAAAAAATCTTGGCGGGAATCTTGCTATCTGTTTGGACATGAGACACTCGGTACGAAGCTATCTGCGAAAAGGAAATGTTACTCCTGGTATGCAACACCTCTTTATATCTACTGGCTTGAACGACCACGGTTGTCCGAGGCCGCAATTCTATATCTTCTCATGGAATCAACAATATTTTCTATGACAAACATATCAAGTGCATCGTAGTCCGCGCCAGAATCTATATACGGGACAAATTGTACTATTTATTGTCCCCAATGTTATACTACCACGTTTCCTGTCTGTACCTCCCTTGTTTCTCCAGCCTCGCGAGGTATTTTTCCGCATCCTCGGCACTGTGGATCGGCTCTTCGATCTCGGCACTTTCCTCCTCTTCGTCTCCCATTCGGTCTCCGGTGACGGCATTTCCCTCGTCCTTCGCGCTCTTTGCTTGCTGGGCGAGCGCATCGACCAAAGCCTGCCTGACGGCCTTGGGCATCTGCCCGGAGGACCCGCACACAATGACCGTCGCGCCCTGTTCTCTGAGAAACTGCCAGATCAACTGACTCCGCTCGCGGAGGCGATCTTGCACGTAGACCTTGGACCGCTGATCTCGAGAGAACGCCGTGATGACTTCGAGGCCGGCACTCGGGGGAACGCGGGTGCGAAGTGCCGCCCATTCGTCGCGGAAGAAGTAGTCTGACTTCTCGTTGCGGCAGCCGAAGAAGAGGGCCGTCTTGCCCGAGACTTGGCCGTGCATGGCCTTTTCGTGAATGAGAGCTCGCAGAGGTGCGATGCCCGTGCCCGCGCCGATCAGGACGTGGCTTTGGCCGGTCGTCAACTCGCCGGCCGTGGAGAAGCGGCCCTCTGTCTTCAGCGAGACTTGAAGCGTTGTCCCAACCGGTAACTGCGCCAGGTACCGTGTACACACGCCCTCTCGGATCCGCTTGATGACGGTCCTGTACTTGACGATTGCGACCAACAGCTCGAACTTGGTCGATCCGTCTTCCGAGCTCTTCAAGAGTCCACCGCTGGCAATGCTAAACTGCCTCGGCCGCATTGGCGGAAAGATATTGGTGACTTCCTCCCACGGTAGATGCACGGAGTCGAATTCCTGCAAAATCTCGAGAATGCTCCGCCTAGGGCGGGTCGCGTAGTCGTAGTATTCATCGAGATATTGCGGGTCGGTGAACTCGAGGAGTCGCTCTTTGTGCATGCTGTTGCTTGTGTAATTCGCGATGCAGCCCAAGAACGAGCGGCGAGGAATGGCGTTGATGTCCAAATGCTCAGTGAGAAGGACTCGGAGGGTGAGACTGGGACGGCTGAAGATGGCGTTAGCTGCAAGATTGCTTGAAGTGAGAGTCGAAGACGACCGCGTCGAGACGAGCCGGATAGGCGTATCCGCAATTTGTTGCCAGCTCATGCGGTTGATCAGAGATTCCACGTCCGCTGGCATATTTCGAGGAGAGATGGCGAGTGCATCGCCAGGCATGTAATCAAATTTTGTCGAGGCTTTGAGGCTCAGAAACCGAACGTCTTGCCAGTGATCAGACGGGGTGACCCGTTGGTTAGTCTCCAAAGATACGGAGAATGAATTCAAAGAAGAGTTTCGTCCAGCAGCTGAGGAAGGCGGGTAGGTGCCGTTGGCGATCGGCGAAGTAACGGATGTATCGAGGTGATCGAATGTCTTTTGCAGCCGCCATTTACTAGGCAGCAGAACATCATTCGGAATGGGGATCTGATCATCGGCAAGCGGAAATGTCGTTAATATAGACTTCCTAAACTGTTGAAGCCAAGCCAGAAAAGCGCCATCGGTACCCTCGTCCCCTTGTTCATCAGCCTCGCATGGCTCGACAATTGACGATGCCCCTAGTTGACGAAGCCTCTTATCCAGCTTCCTTGCAGCCCAGTTGAACTTGGGGTACGAGGTGTCCCCTAGGCCGGCGAGCGCATATTCAACGCCTGCTAGGGTGGTGGCAGCCAGCTTCTTGCGGAGAAGGCTGGTCCAAAATCTGCGAGCATTCTCTGGGAAATCGCCCTGTCCAGTCGTGGCAACAACGAAGACTGTAAGAGTGTATTGATGTAGGAGGCTGTGATTGACATTCTCTAGTCCCAGGACATCTGTGTAGAAATGAAGCCTTTCCAGAGTGCGGCCGACCTCTTCAGCCAGGTCTTGTGCTGTGCCGGTTTCTGTCCCGTAGAGGACAAGAGCGGATCTGCCGCGGCCTTGTTCGGTCATCTTTCTCCAGTGCTACGGGGCTCAAGGCGAGCATTGTGCAGCCCGAGCAGCTTGCGGTAGAAGCAGAATGTCTCTTGAACAAGATTTGATATGGGACAGGAAGTGCTCGACAGTCTCACCACCATCTCTCTTCCGGACAAATTTCGTCCCGGCCGTCCGGTCTTGGCATGCCAAGCATCTTGCAAGAAGCCAATAATGACATCTGATCCACATATTTAGACATTGCGGCCACTTGATTGGTCACTTTAACGTCGAGCCTACAAGTAGATTGCTAGTTAGGTGTTGGCTTCATTTGGATCTAGGTACCTAGGTATCGATTACGGACCAGACTACGTTAGCTGTGGCACTGCAGCTATTGGACCCCTTTGAATATGGAATCGATGTAACTACCGAGCACTGATCCCTTGAAGCCGGCAATTGAGCAGGGGATTCCTCGGCCAGCAGTCTCTGCCGGAATTGTACTCCCCACGCAGTTATGTCCACAGATGTAATTCGACCGGCGGAAGATTCTGGTGTCCTCTGTTTTGGCCCTTCAATATGACCCGTTATTCATTGTCCCTGGATTCAACTACATGATTCCACCTCTGTGCGACTTTGGCCGTCCTTATAATAGCCTCCGAATACCATCCACACGGTCCGTTCCTAGAATACCCCCGTGCCAGTGGCGTTAGGGACCCATTATCTCCATCAGAGGAACCCAGCGAAGAAGGAGATTCCACGTGTGATGTTGTTGATCTCACACCCTACGGTGTATGCTACGGCCTGGTACGCCGAGCAGGCACTCAGGGCGGCGAAACGTCTCATCTCCTACTCAGCCCCGTGGATGATTTCGCGCCATTCTCCTCATCGAGGTTTGGATTCCCATGCATTGCTCCTTGGCTAGAGGTTCTGGTCCATGTCGACCTCTTTTCGGACTACGTCAACAGTATTATCTCGGGAGAGATTCGCTGGTCCACCTTTGCCCGTTACTGCAGCTCACTCAAGTCCACAGCGTTGCACATGCGCTATATATGTTAAGCCGGTGCGTCCCAGAAAGACTTCTGGGCGCTGAGCTCACATTGGCTTTTTGTACCACATATTCGTGATTGCCAACCATGCAAAAGACTGTTTCCTCTCACTCCGTTAGGCTTTTGCGACTGCTGTAAGCGATCAAATTCTTAGGACCTCACTACGGATCCTGTCCTTCTCTCTTTGTCTTGATCACCAATTATCCGCACAATATGAGCTTTGAACAAGGAAGTTCGAGTGGGGCAGGAAGAGGAAGGGGAGGAAATAGCGGGGGAACTGTATTAGGAATGGCCAAAAAAGTGAGGAATTGTACAGGCATCTTCTGTACCAATCGGCTCTGGTCCAACTGGATCGAGCCTGAATCCAACCGTGACCATGCTGACGCCAAACCCGGAGGCAATAATAGTGTCAGTTCTCCTTGGATTGGCCGAAGCAGGATTCTGCACTCTATGCTCGAGCTAAACCTTACCGCCGGCAGTGTCTATCTCATACACGGGCTGAGCAGTTCCCCCGATGCATTCATTGGAGACGATGGAACCAGCTGGGCGACGTCACTCGACCAGCAGACCTCAGGATATCTCCGCGGCCAGCAGGTCGAAGTCCATAAGAATCGGCATATAAGGGTCGTCGCTTCATGTGGCCACAGAGGCTCTAGGCCTTACAACAGTCGATCGAGGGGCGGAGGCACAAGTCAAGTTATGTAACCATGTCTTGGGACCAGAGGCGGATAGAATCTTCGTGATATGCCATTGTTACTCTGCCGACTGACAATCTCTTCCTCTTGTCAACTTTGGCACTGCGCCTCGTCCCGATAGTCGAGTCTGTTCCATAAGCACGGAAAGTGATTCAAGAGTGAGAGTGTGGTGGGCATCGCACTTTGAGTTACAGCGTAGAAAGCAGACAGAAGCAAGCAGAAAAGGCCTTTCCAAATAAATGGCATCATTTCAGTATGGGGAATGCTGTGCTTCCCAAGAGATAGCCCGGGAGACGTCGTTTGGAAATCGAACAGAACAGCCAAATTGACTATTGATCTTGGTGAAATGGTCGTGGCTTGACGCCATCAGTTGACTTGCCATAAGAGGTATTGAATTTCGCGTGCGGCATACCCGCAAGCATGTTAACCAGCCTCGCGCTCCGGATCTATCTCGCTTCTCGTCTAGAAGGGGGCTGTCGTCAGTATTCCCCTCCTTCATCACCGCCACCGCCGCCGTAGGCGAATCCATCCTCGTCATCCCCTTCTCCTCCGTCAAAGTAGTTCTCCGCATTGTAATCGTCGGCTTCGCCGTTGTCGGACTCTTCGAATTCCGAATCCTCGGGCTCATCGTCGTCATCGTCGTCTTCGTCCCCTGCATCCTCGTCACCATCGGCGCCATCATTATCCTGCGCCTCGGGCACATCGTCGTCGTCGTCGTCGTCTTCATCAGACTCTCCGCCGGCGGCGCCGGATCCTTGCTTCTGCCGCTTCCTCTCCTTTGCGCGAATGCTGTCCATGAGGGAACGGGGCTTTTTCTTGGTTGGTCCGAAATCGTCTTCGGCGTCAAGCCCGCGCTTCTCGCGGGACTCGGTCTCGCGACGCCGTCGCTTCTTCTTCGCGGCCTTGGCCGCCCGTGCACGGCGAGACGCGGGGAGAAGCGGGTCCGAGTCGTCGGTGTCGTTTCCTTCATCGTCTGCGACCTTGGCAGCGGCGTCTTCGCCTTCCTCGTCGTCGTCGAGGATGAGGGAGTCGCGCTTCCGCTTCAGCGACTTGCGATTCGGGGCATTCGTCGCCATGTTGATGATGTCGATGTCGGCGGACTTCCAGAGCGGACTCTTCTTGTCCGGATCGAGGAGGGGCCAGAGCTCGTGGGGGAAGTATTTCAAAGCTGGAAGTCAAAGAAAACGATCAACCAGGGTCTCTCCTACCTTCCTTCTCTCCGGGGGGGAAAGTTCCGTGGCGTCGAGCGGTCTGGGAACGTACCATAGTCTCTCCCACCGCTCCCCAAGTCCGGCAAGCTCCTCTTCTTCTTGTGGTATTTGGCCGTGTACTTCTCCTGGTCGTTGAACGGATCAAATCCGGCGCGCTTGAGCGTTTTGCCCGTCTTTTCGTCCGCGATGCTACTGGGGTCGAGGGTCGCGTAGTAAGGTCCATTGCGCGCACGGGTGCGGAAGGATAGGTAGCGGCTGACGGCGGCGAGTTCGCGGGACGTGGGTGGACGTGGCACGGGAAGCTCGATATCCTGCAAGAGTTTTGAGCGCTTGGTTAGACGGTCTGTCTGTGGGTTCTATGGCGGTGGGAGTTGGGAGAGGGGGTCAGGAGGGTGCAAGCAGTACTGGAAATAGCGCTTGGGGCGTCTTCTCGGTCGGCGAGAGAGAAATATCGTCGTCATCGTCAAAGTCCAACTCTGGAGGCAGAGGGCCTTTTCGGCCACCACCACCGCGCCCTCTTCCCCGACCACCTCGCGACATCGTGGAGCGCCAGTCGAGCCCAACAGGAGGAAATGTCACCGGGTATTAGTTTTCATGCTGCTCTGTGCCAGTTGAAAGACTGGTGAATGCGACTGTAGTGTTGCAGAGAAACAGTAGTGTTACCGCCAACGATTGAATCTCTTCACACGAAACTCGCACCAGAAAATCGACCGGCAGAATTTTGGAGTGAGGTGGGGAAAGCCATCTCACCGCCTTGACGAGGCTGAGCAAGGCTGAGATCTCCATCCTGTTAAATGCACTCATTGTACGGTACGATAACTAAATTCTCTTAGTTCAGGTACAGTGAGGCCTGATGTATAGTCCAGCGGTACTGTTTATCGCTTGATTCGTGTCAGGAATGCTCAACATTTATCGCCCAAGGCGTTTAGACACTCGGGTAATAGAAGTGGGCACAAACCTGGAAAACAAAACAAACCATACTTTACCCAAGATAACACCTCTCACTTACAGTGGGCAGTATGTTAGATGCAATGCTAAATCTAGCCTCCATTTTCTGCAACAGCTAACGACATTGGCCACTCCATCCATTCCGACCAGTGAGGACCTAGGTGTGAGGATATGGCTTGAATCAGAAGGGAACCAGAATCCCCTACGGCCCAACATTCTCTGTAAAACGTCATCAAGGCGGCAAAGTATGCCAGGATGATCAGAGCTTCTGGTCTGCGCTGATTTAGACTTTCGAGGAAAGGGCCTTTGAGTTGTACGGGCCAAGCTAGTAACCAGCGGATGGTTGTGTGTCTTTGCTCGAGAACATTGGATACCGCAAACACCCAATGCAGTCTCTCGATCGCTGTTTCGTATGCGACCCTGGTTTGATCCCCCAGATCCGGACTCATGGTCAACTTGGACAAATCGAGGCAAGGCTGAGGGATTCGGTAAGGTGTTGGAGGCGGCTGGACCTTGAACATTGGTTTGAGTTCGGTCTCTTTCAGATACTCATACCAATCTTGGATGATGAGTTTGGGGACATTACGCATGAGCATGACACAGTTGATGACGTGGTCGAGATACTGGTTGGAATCCAGGCCTGCGGTGCGAGAGGGGTCGGCGAGGATATGAACTGCAAGAAGCATTGTAAAGATGAGAACGGCAGCACAGTTGGAGGCGTTGATGTCTCTCTCCACGCTGTTGAACTTGTTGAGAGCTAGCGTCTGTAGTTCCGTAGATACGGTATGGTACCACGAGGCGTTCTCAGGCTTACAGTGCGCGAGGTGTAGAGCGGAGATTGCCAGAAGCTCGTGCATGAGGAAAGGGAACGAAAAGGCCATACGGACTACCACTCCTTGCCATATATGCTGAACAGAACGTTCGGCATTGAATGTGCTGTACGTGGAAGTAAGGAACTGGTGCAAGAGCTCCAGATGCTCCATATTTAGATTCGGATCAAATGATCCAGAAGGCGTGAACACTGGTACGATATGGTATTGATCCGGACCTTGTGGTCGCTGGTCTGGAGTCGAGGTCTCGGACGGACTGGCAGTAACGGTTTCCGTGTCTGTGGCAGTCGTCGTTGACGGGGTTGTGCCTGAAGCAAAATTGCAATCCAGCCCGGCGGTCTGGCAATTGACGCATCGGGGGCGATGTTCATCACACTATGACCAAGACTTTAGCGGCCGAGTTGTTTAGAGAGTCTGCAATGGCCTGCACTGACCTTGATGTGTCGTCTTTTGCAGGCTACACAGCCGTTCCGAGACTTTTTGTGAGGCCTTCGCGGCATTGAAATTCCGGCTCCGGCGTGCACAGTGGCAGCCTGGGGGTTTGGGCCGAAGAGACAGGTAGCCTGACCGGTGGAGTACGCAGAGATCTGCCGACCCGACTTTTACTGTTCAACGTGTTGTGAGAAGAGTTCGACGGCTGCCGAGACTAAACATATTTGGGGTGAATTGCTGTTGCCTGGATGCCTTACGAGTCCGACCCTGCATGTCGCATGGGTCAAAGGAGGTGATCAAGCCAGTGGCACAGCCAGATGGTTGTTGTAGTCTATCAAGAACCATCTCAAATGCGCCATTTGTAGCGGGGACTGTTACCAGAAGATGATATTAACAACGAACGGGGCGCAAGCAGGGAGCTGGCAACCGCCGATGATGTCAAAAATAAATGGCACCGTCTGACCAGAAAAGGTACATAATGGTAAAGACATGGATACGGCACTTCAAGTTCCGACTCTGGCACGAGTTCAGCGTTAGGCGTGCTTTGCCATTGGTTCACGGGCGACCACCGTTTACAAGTATCTGTGACATAGTGGTACCTCTATTCTCATTACGACATTAGGCTATATGTGATCTGGCGGCCACCTCCTCCCATCAAATGCACAGTAAATTCTATGTCAGACCGAGCCATTTCTTTCCGACAAGGCTGAGTCCGCAGCCTCGCAGCATGCTCACCGTTGATTGGCTCCCGCGATTTTTCTCTCCTGCCAAGCTCGACTTCCTCTTCCCCAGATTTTCACCCAGTTTGACTCATCTTTGGTGCAGGGATTGAGACTCTTGAGGTTGAAGTCGAGATTCCAAGGTACAGCTAGTTGCGGACGAACATCGTCATCGGATCGAAGCCACTCGCCTGCCGCTCTGATACTTGTTCCCAAAGCCAAGCACGTCACCTGCAAAATCCAGCCGAATACAAATTTCTCCGACCTTGACGGCAACCATGCCTGGCCGCTCAGAAGTCGCCTATTTTGGCGCCGGCCCTGCCCCTCTGCCCACGCCTGTCATTGAAACGGCCGCTCAAGCATTTGTCAACTTCCAAGACACGGGGCTCTCGCTGGCAGAAATCTCGCACCGCTCTGCAACCGCAAACAAGGTCCTCGCCGACGCGAAAGACGCTCTGGCAACCTTGTATGACATCCCCACGGATGAATACGACATCATGTTTATGGAAGCGGGAGGCACAGGGGAGTTTAGTGCCGCCCTGCAGAATCTCGTGGCGTGTTGGATCGAGCGACGTCGGAGGAAGGCCGTCGCGGAATTGGGGGAAGGGAAGGAAGCCGAGGTCCTGGAGCGGGTCAAGAAGGAGATCGAGGCAGAGTTGAAGGTCGACTATCTGATCACGGGGTCTTGGTCTCTCAAGGCCTGCCAGGAAGCGACCAGACTCGTCGGCGCAAGGTATGTCAACGTTGCCATCGACGCCAGGAAGACCAACAACGGCAAGTTTGGGAAGATTCCGGGCGAAAGCGAGTGGAACCTCACACCGAAGGGGAGTGCGTTGACTTACTTGTGCGACAACGAGACGGTCGACGGTGTCGAATATCCCAATTTCCCCAAGATCCTGGAGAACACAAGTGGGAACGAGGAGGACGACAGAATTGTGGTGGCAGACATGTCGAGCAATTTCCTCAGCCGAAAGATTGACGTTCGCAAATATGGAGTCATCTTCGTGAGCCGGCGCTTCCGCCAACACACTCTGGATTATGCTAACTTTCATTAGGGCGGCGCTCAAAAGAACCTTGGTATCGCTGGTATTACCGTGGTCATTATTCGGAAGTCCTTGCTTAGCCTCGTTCCGCCCCCGACATTCCTCCATGCCTTGTCCCCCGTGATCCCGACCTCAGGGTGTCTGCCGCCCATTATGCTCTCCTTCTCCACCATCGCCGCCAACAACAGTCTCTACAACACCCTTCCGATCTTCAACCTGTACGTGGCGACTTTGGTCCTGCAGCGTCTCGTTTCCACGTTCGGCTCCAACAAAGTGTCTGGCCAGGAAGAGGTCGCCGACCAGAAGGCCAAAATCCTGTACGAGACCCTCGACTCTCACCCGGAAACGTACCACGTCGTCCCGCACAAGAGTGCCAGGAGCAGAATGAACATTTGCTTCCGGATCATCTCCGGGCCGCCGGCCGACGGCGGACAAGTAGTGCCGGACGAGGCCAAGGAGAAGGCATTCCTTGCCGGCGCCGAACAGCGCGGCCTTCTCGGCCTCAAAGGCCACCGATCCGTGGGGGGAATCCGGGCGAGCAACTACAATGCAGTCCCGCTGGAAAGTATCCAGAAACTGGCTAGTTGGTTGGTGGAATTTGCCAGGTGATGAGTGAATTCGGGGGGGGGGGGGGGGCGGGGGGGTGGCTTGGGCCGGATCAGATGGCAGGATGGAGATGGTGCAATGGTAGACGGTCCTCAACGACCGGCGGTGGCGGGAAAAGTAACAGCTAGACACGAAAAAGCATCTTCACGACGACTAGAAGGTATACAGGGGAATTCAACTGCAATTGGGGTGTTCTCGCTCCTCTCGGGAGATATGCGTCCCACAGTGCCAGTGTGTCCATCTTCCCGTCGAGGCAAGGCTCGCACTATTCGCTATTCGGGACCCGGTCTACAATGCGTAGTCAATTGTTCGGAAAGAAGCAGGCTTGCTTAATATTGGCCCAGCTGAAATCCAACCTGTTTCACTCGGCCAGAAAGAGTTTGCGTCTGCAGTCCGAAGAGTCGCCATGAACTGCGCAAATTGCAGCCCCGGTGAAGAGATCGCCGTCCAGGTCAAAACAGACAGGCAAGAATCAACTGTCAACAAGGAGGTGGACAGTGGCACCCACAAGATTTCCTCTGCCTTCCATTCAGTGACAGCCTCGGAATCCACGAGAGCCACTGGATCCCTCGGATATGTTTTGATGTTTCCTACGGATCCTAGCAAACCCGCCATCGTGTCTCTCCCCCTACAACCCAACTGGCAAAAACGAAGGGAAATACCTGGCTACCCATCAACGACGACTGCGGCCTTTCAGACGGCAACCACTCGGCAGAGCAGACATCCTCTGTCACTTGTTCAGAGGCCCCCAGTGGCTGCCTCGCTCCGAAAACCTTCTAGGTGCTACAATGGGCCCGAGAAGACAGATCGCAAACGACAACAAGCATTCCGGAAGAGCCTGGTTGATGTCTATGACGTTCGAGATCCCGAGCGACCAAAACATTTCTGGTGTCCGGTTGTTGGGGATTATGTTGACTGCACCTACAATCCCAGCCTGATCGACCGCAGGCGCATGACGGTAGGGCATATTGTACCCCAAAGTCTACCACCACAATTCCTCGAAGATCTCTGCGACCCAGGGGCTTTCTTGTACAGATTCGACACGAAGAATGGCCTCTATCTAGACTCCGACATCAAGGAAGCATTTGATTCCGGCCAAATCCTGATTGTCCAGACTGAGGACTCATCGGCGGAACAACCAGAATTCGAGGTCCTCGAAGTCACGAAAGGGTGTATGCCGGAGTTCGCATCGGATACACCAAGTTCAAGTATCTATCGACGGAAGCTTCGTTTTCGAAATGCCTATAGGCTTTCCAGGCGGTTGCTTTGGCTCAAGTATGTGGTGCAAAGGCTTGAGCTGTATTTCAAGATGAAGGCCAACGTCTTACCCGCAGAACAGGCCGGTGTATGCGAGGAATTGGCGAAATGAAAGCCATGGCCTGCCATAGGACCATATCTGGCCAAGTGCGCTCTGCTGTGGAGCTTTGCCGGTTTGATAGGGCTTCCATTTGACGAGCACATGTTCCGAGACGTTTAAATACCCTCGAGGTGTCGGCAGCGGTCTTGTGACTTCCACAGTCACTCGGCTGTCACCGCGCTTGTCGCCTCCTTTACCATCTCGGTACTGAATCCAACTTTAGCTGCCACGATCCGCGATCCGCGACGCACATGATAGCAATGTCATTGACATCACTACAATACTTCACATCCTGTAGGCAGATGAAGAGTATGAATGTTAAGTTGAACAAACTAAAGTGTTGAGAGGGCGATATGAGACCGATATCTTTCTCAAGCCTTGTTCACTCGCGAGGTTAGATGTGTCTTTTGTGGTACACCACTTCTTGAGCATCATCATCCGCCGCCTTTTGTCGGCTTGGGCAGTCGAGCTTCTGGTTGAATAAAGGAGCAGAAAGCGTCATTGAAATCAACCGCTATTGTACTTCCAACGTCTCGACATTTGGCACAAATCATTCAATCAATGGCTGTTGTCTTTGGAAATTCTAGAAGGAACAGAAGAATACCGAGTACTTGGGAGGGCCTGGTCAGGCTTGGCAGGGTCCAGCCTGACATAATTTTGGATTTAGGGTCAAGGTTCACGGGGCACTATGCCACTTTCGGAATACCCAAATAATTTTCTTCAGCTACCGCACCCATCAGCAATACCACCAACACCACCACCAAAAATTCAAATCAAGTCAGAATAGATCAAAAAAGATATTTGCTTGCGCGTGGAGAAGCTGGGAATCGAACCCAGAACCTTTTCCAGACGATGATCGTCTGATGCTAAGGAAACGTCATACCACTAGACCACTGTAGGAATTGTTAGCTGGTGTTGTTTTGCTGGGTTGATATTTGGCACTCACCATCCCCAATGCTGTGATTGTTGAAGGAAGTTTAGGCAGTCCAATATATTATTATTTGATTGTGTTCAGGCCTTGGGTTTCGCCTGAGCGCCTAGCGTACCTCGCGTAGTCGCCGTTGTGGAGTGCGGAATACCTGAGCACGGGATGTCTCGTATCTCGTAGCAAGCGGACCAATTAAAGCGACCACTCGAGACTCGAATGAATCCGCGGACGTCGATGAAGTTGTTGCGCACCAACACAACGGCATACTTATAGTAATATCCTTCAACTCCGTCTCTGTGCTATCCTATTCTACACCTGACTCTCCTGCTGGTCCATGCTCGAGGCATCTAGCACTCTTCCGGAAAATGCCCCTTCTCATCTATGTGGATTTCTGGTTCCGCAGCGCGATCGTCGTCGACAGAATTTCCTTTGCGAGCAAGCCTGCCAACCCGCCGGGCTCAGCTCCATCCAGCGCCTCCATCATTGACGAATCTTCAGCCGTCCCCTCAATACTCTTCGACGGTCTTTCAACCTTTTCAGCTCGATTTCGCTTTGTCTTCTCGCTCTGCTGGACAGCCTGCTCCGCGAATGGCTTCTGTAGCGTCTCAGGCCCATGAAATGAGTTAGCACAGGTAAACAGAAACCTACTCTTGATGAAGGTCACCCTCGATCTATTCACCACTATATACGGAGTATTTACTCAGCCCAATGACCGCCACTTAGACACTGTAACGTTATTTCTCAATTCTGCATAGCCGGCGTAGAATGGATCTTGTTCTCCATGTCTTTATGCTTCGTCTGTCGCTACCGCAAGATGTGGTTTCAGCCACACGATCGGTGAACGACTCGGGGCGCGGATTTCAAAGGCGATTTCGCTTGTCAGTCGGCAAAATCTAATACCAAGTTTGGCCAGTATCTATTTCTCCGTGGAGGAATCGTTGCTACCAGATGGTCATATCCAGGCTAGCACGCGGAAGGGAGGGGTGGCCGCGAAGGCCAGGGTGGTGGCAATGCCTTTGAGTTGAATCTGTCTATCTGAGTGATGAGTAAAAACGAGAAAGAGTCTGTGACTTGAATGAGATTTGGAAGACAAAATTGCCCAAACTTCTCGCCAAGGGGAGACAAGGCTGTCACCGATATACCTCGCGATATTATGTGTCTTCACTACCAGCAGTTAGCTTTGATATCTTGGCGACCGGTATTGATCATGGTTCGGGTGCACGTTAGGCTGGTCAAGAGGTTGCCCTGGTGTGACCCAGCCGAGGAGCATGATGGATTCTACAAGGGACTAAGCCACTCAGGCCATAAGGCAATACCAGGCCACAATCTTGGGTTGTGTGGGCTCTTCATATGTTTGGGCCTTTTATGCATCAAGATATTCGTCCTCAATTTGGAGTACGGTCAGATCTGTCCTTGACATCCTCAAGGTAAAGCATCCCCCGGAAGCCGTCCACGATGGAGCCGCAGAGAACCTGGGTCCTGCTGTCACGGCATTGCCTTCAAGCATAGTCGCCATCCGCCATCGCAACTCCAGTAAGGCCAGCGCATAGTCTCTCAGGTAGTCTCGTCGGCTTCGATTTCTTGTTCCAATCCGAACAGGATCGCAACCGCAATTGGCCAAGCAGGGGCAAGTTGGGCCAGGAATGTTTCTTTCGCCTTCGAAATCGATAGACAGATTCAACTCAAAGGCATTGCCACCACCCTGGCCTTCGCGGCCACCCCTCCCTTCCGCGTGCTAGCCTGGATATGACCATCTGGTAGCAACGATTCCTCCCTTTCTTCGTTGTTGGTCTTCTTGCAAGACTGGGAGCGATCTCGAGGTCCTCCGAGGCTCCGACATGGCGTTCGGTCGCCCCTCATCTTCCGCCTTCCTCACATCCTGCCTATTCGTCGAAATCGATCCTCTTTCCACCCTGTCCTCATGGTGGTGGTGCCTATCTAACGATCCAAGCCGAATCCGACTCCCTCCTCTTTTGTCCGATTCCTCACCTTCCTCCGTTGCCATATGGGATAAAGACGAGAGCAAGGCTACGGACGCGGTCGATATTCAGGCTGCTGACCCTGGCAATGGCGTTTGCATGGAATCATGGTAGCTGAGGACAGCTACATGTCAAGGACGGGGGCAGGTTGTCACATGTGGCGCTAGTCGAGTCACAGACTCTCTCTTGTTTTTACACTTAAGACAGACACATTGAACTCAACGGCCTAGTCACTTTCTGCCATTCCGGCACCTCCTTTTCCTTTGCGATGCTGCTAGATATTACCATCCTCGACCTGCTGCACGGCCTTCTTGATATAAGCGACCTCCCTCCTTTAGTCATGTTCTCCCTGTGTGGTCGAAAGAAGACTGTCCGTTTCCGGCCGTTCTGATTCCACGACTGTCTTCCACCAGTGCACGTACTCAAGACATTCTGTGGTAAGACGCTCGTAACTTGCAAACTGTTTTTGGAAAGTGAGCTCTTTCGAACGGCTTGAAGGTTCCCCCTATTTGTTAAAATCGGCGTCCTTCCTTGCCCGACAGCATTCGACTCACTCATGCCAACAACCAGGGATCTTGTCGTCGTCGCCGCCCTCCTCGTTCACCAACTCGATCTCGTGATCATCTTCATAGATATTGGCCCGTCGCCTCCGTCCTTGATCTCACCGCCCTCCAGCGCTTCATCTTTATAATCTTTCTCCTCCGTCCTCATGTGGCCACTCAACCGAGGGCCTTGTTCATCTGGTGGCATGCTGAAACTTCTCGGTGAGAGCCGCTTGGAGGACGAGAAGGCTTGTTAAGTTTGTACGGCACAAGTAACTTTCTGGTGAAAGATGCGCACAAGACCAGAGGGCTTGTCAACTTTGAATGCGAAAGCAACTTCCAGGCGACAGGCGTCTGTAGGATAAGAAACTTTGCTAATTTCCATATGGCGGAAGCAATTTTTATGAGGGGCGGCTATAGGGCGAAAAGGGTTGGTAGCGCGTGGTAGAGTGGTAGTGAATCAATTCATTACGAGACTGCCATAGATGAAAATCGCAGTAGTATCCAGAATGCGCTCATTTACTGTCTCGCTGCCTCTGAGCCCACGCAACCCAGCGTCTGACAACCTCGTCCACGGCCCTCAAGCCTTGCCGCGTGGCCTCGATCTCGAACCACTCCTTGTGTTCGCGCCCGCATTGCTCGCACTCGCTCTTGATGGCTTTCTTCTCCGAGAGTTCCAGGTGGATGAGTCGTTCGACTTTGTGCACGTGCGAGACTTTGCCGCCACAGCTCTGAGGAGGAGATGCGCTCGCTGACACGTTAGCATGAGGATGGGCGCTGCGGAGGTTACCGGCATCGTGGTTGTTGTGTGGGTAGTACCGGATCAGCGTGATGTTCTGCCCGCACTGCTTGGTCCATTGAGTCATGCGCCTGTGGACGTTGGCTGCGCGGCCGATCTTGAGCGTAATGGTGCGTTTGGGTTGGACCTGGTTCTGCGGGCGGCGCACGGAGGCGTAGCGGGCAAGAGCCTGGCTGGTTCTCTCCGAGCTGCGGTTGTACACGCCGCTGCTATCGTCGAGGTCGTCATCATCCAGAAGAGACGAGGCCGTCTCGTCGTCGGGCTTCGACACCTCGGATTCGGGCGTGAGCCAGAAAATGTAGATGTATCCAGCCTCGTCCGCGGCCGAGATGGGGCGGGACAGCTCTGCGAGCAGCTGCGAGGTGGTTTGGGGTGAGAGATTGGACGGGATGAGCGAGAGAAGTGTCTGCGTCTGAGAAGGTGCAGGACTTGGTTTCGGTCGCGTGGCCGCGGTAGATGACTGCTGCATTTCTGGTCGCCTTGCGTCTGGATGAGGTCGAGGACGCCGATTCCTGTCGTCCCTTCGAACCCTTGGAGGAGGCAAATCATCATCATGGTCGGCTTGAATGCAGCAGGCCCAAGAGAGTTTCACGTTCGACTGTCGAGGGGGAGGAGGCCGTCGTTTTGGCCGTCTGTGGTGTACCACTTCGTCCGGCACCGTCATTAACGGACTCTCCATTTGATTCCACCCCGACGGCAACGTGTCTCGGCGCCTCACACTGTCTGCGTCATGTCGCCGATGGTGTCGCTTGGACACATTCTCGTCTAGCTCGAGGATCCCCACCTGCTCAATTAATGTTTCAATGCTCGACCTCTCTTTCAACGGGTGTAGACTTGTCCGCCCTGCCCGAGCTGCCAATTGCTCGGCCTGGTCCTTGTGCTGCCAGCAATAGAAAGCCGCCGCATGCTGCTCTTCAAGCACCGCAAGGACCCCGTTACCTCGACTCGGTGAGGGTGAGGGAGAGTTCTTTGGAGAGGCAGCAAGCGGTCTGCGACAGGGCCTTCCGGACGTGGTGATGCCTCTGCAGGTAGTAGCTGGGTTTCTCGAGTCTGATCGCGGGAGAAGAGATTCGGGTGTCTTCCCACTGAAGGACATGTTTGGTCTGATCAATTAGTACGGACAGTAAAACGAGAGGCCGAGCGAAGGGATGTAGAAGGAAATGTGTGAAACTCTCAAGTTAGTCAATCTACTCTTCGAGTATGCCACAATTTACCTATGTCACTGACATTAAGTGACAAACTAGGGATGCGCACTGCGCGGCCACGCCATCAGGCAAATGGTGACAGTTCACATGAAGCTGAAAGTCGAGGACTTCAGAGAGGGGATTGGATGTTGGTCCAGGCATGAAGTGGCTGGTTTCGGTGGCTGGGAAATCCGAACGGGCGGTGCAGAGTCCAGCCTCGTCGGTCGGTACCACTCAGCCTCACTTAAAGCGCCTGTGCTCAAACACCACAATGTCAGTGTCACTTATGTGGTCATCTTTGTACTCAATTGTACTCGGTTCTGGGTAGGTGACCGATCTCTGGTTATACAAAAATAATCTGCATATACACAACGAGTCTGTGCAAGCTATATAATGCAACCTGTAACGCCTGGGTATCTTGACCACTCATGATTCACGAGATAGTTAGTCACGAGGATAACTTCAATCCGCTAAGAAAATCCAGCGCATCATCCTGTGCACTTTCCAACTCGGCAATGCGGTGTTTAAGGGCCGCCGACTCCATCTTCATCATGCCAACCACATCCCATGCATCCGCAGGCCGTAATCCATGACACCTTGGGCAATCGTCTCTAGCCAAGCTTGCAGACTTCAGGACCGGACTTGCGATGGATGTGGCTTGGGAGGGTGCCGCTGACAACGCTTCTGAAAAGATGCTGACCACCGAGCTCACTTCGGACCCGGCTTCTGACTCCCCTGATGTTGAAACGTCGGACGAGCGATTTCGGCGGTACTTGGGACGAGGTTTGGAATCAATATTTTGGGGCACGATTCGGACACTCTGTTGAGAGTCGAGAGATAATTGTGCCGCGAGCTGCGCCCTCAGATCCGCAATTAAATTTTGCTGCTCTGCAGCTCGTTCTGCCATCTCCTGCAATTGTAATTTTAAATGCTCATTTCTCGTCTGGGCAGCCTCGAGTTCATCTGCTTGGACATTCTTGGTGGAGGTGGCCGATCTCAGAGACTGTCGCTGTTCTTTGTATGCCTGTTGAAAGCGGCGGATTGTCCCTTCGGCATTGAGCTGGAGGTTTTTAAAGGCAGCAGGAGAAAATTCACCGGGGTGTCCGTGCGGGAAAAGAGCCTCGTCAATGTCAAGCTGCGCTAAGTCATCCGGATCCTCCGGAGCGGTTTGTGTTATGGTACTCCTCCTGAAGATGTTGTTGAACTTCGACATGGTTGACACGGCAGGGCCCGGTAAACTGGGCTTCTTTTGGAGGCGTCGTGTCAAGTTGTTGTCTTCAGAATCCGGACTCATGGAGAAGCCCTCTTCAGTGGCAGAGGCTTCGTAAAGAGGATCCAGCTTTTCCTTGCGAGGGGAAGGCACCAGAGATATATTGACCGGATCCGAAGACCCCTCGAACCAGCTCGCCAATCCACCCGATTTTCTCTTTGAGGGCGACTCTGTTAGACCAGGGTCCTCAGCAGTCCCTACACTCCTCAGTCTCTCCGGAGACAGAGAGCGAGTGCTTTGAGGGCGCAGGAAGGAAAATGCAGAGGATCTCGTGGGAGAGGAAGACTGGGCGCGGGTAAAGAGCGGAGGGAGGTCCGTGGTGGTTCTAGATCGTTGGTGGCCTCTAGCAGGGGGTGGCGGAGGGGGGAGGGAGACCGAAGAGTCGTTGTCATTGAAGTCAAAAGGCAATCTGCGTGGATTTGGCGGTGCAAGGGCTCCGAATCCTTGATTAAACATGTCTTGGGCCATTGGGCGGCGTGGTGATGCAATAATTGGATGGTGAGAAGACCTGGCAAGTTGGAACGCAGGTTGGTCGAAGCGCAGGTTCTGGGCGTCAGGGTCCGGCCCGCACGCGGAAATCGTGGCAGCAGATCAACCCAAGGTGTTTCCCCCCTCTTGAGTCGAGATTGCGCAGAGGCGCAGTAGCCAGTATTGCAACGCCCAAATCAGCTGAATCAGACTTCCGACCGATGCCGCACCACAAAAGGGGTCGCTGCTGTCGTCGACGCGGTCGAGTTCTTCTCAAAGTTCTCGAATGTAGCCACAGCCGGTCCAACGCAAAAGTGGCCCCGCCTTCTACGGGCTGCACCACACAATCGCCGTGACCTTGGCACGCAGGTTGGTAAAGACGACAATGCAGGAATGCAATGATGGACGGAGATGCGAAAGAATTCGTTGGATGAACACGCGCAACAGAAGCTGGGAAGGCCTGCCTTTCTATTTTCTCGAGGCCATGGCGAAATCAACGTGGTTGGAAAGCGTGAGGGTGGGGGGCAGAGGGGGCGCGCATTCGGCTATCTCAAGCCACACGAGGCTGGATGAACTTTGGCCTCCTCATGCGCGTTTCATTATCGATAAGCGTGGATGTTTAGCGCCTTGGCGTTTCTGGCGAGGCTGAAGCGCGTTTGGTGGCATGTGAGCGTGGGAATCAGACATGGCCAAAAACACTGCCAGGTTTCTCTGTTCGAATCACTGAACCTATATCGTCCTTTGCTAGCAAGATGAGTATTACCCTCCTTAATCGTCCATGTTCTGAATATCACTGGCAGAAACCTTACTCACATTCCCACATCCTCCGCCAACATCGATGATCCAATGCCACGAGCCGACACCGATTTTGCCGTGCATCGGTTACTCCGCCCAGTAGCCGATCATATTCCAATTTCACAAATCCCATAGCATGACCTGACTGTATCCCTCTTTGGGCCTGATTTCCAGCCACCGCCGTCATTGTTTGGATGCGGTCCCCCGAATTAGACCTCGACCCTTTCCACTTCACGCAATGAATGTTCACAATATCGCTATATGACTCTCTGCCAGGCTTCTACTGGTTGGATGGCTGTTCCCAAGCTCTGCAAGACTGTTTTCCGGATCTATTCGATCGCTGACTCACAAGATCTAGGAGCTGCTGCATAACGGCGAGAGTAAATACTGCAGAGGTCTTCTCCAATCGAGGCGCTTGTACTCCGCATCCCACGGCAGCCTCTCGACACCGTTTCCTAGGAACAGTGCTTGAGCATCTCTGAGAGGGACTCTCCAGATCCCAGGTAGAAGGGGCTGTCAATGTCACATGTTGATGTCCCTCGTGAACTCCAATGCGCGTCCGTCCACTTTCTGGATACCATAGTCATCATAATGAGGCATAGAACCGGGGGGCGGGGTAACTTGCTAGTGACGATTCGGATCAACCCCTCGCATTGAAAGAATGGCCAGACACAGCAGAGTCTTGTTTCAAGATAGATAGGAGGCACGATGGCTGGGAATCCGACCTCAAGACTCAGTCGCGACGCACAGGTTTCGTGGCCGCTCCGAGGAACAAATGACCAATCATAGGCCGAACAGGCCCCGACTATTCCGTATCTGACTCTGATCTAACTCGATCTAGTCTTTCGCTTCTGCGGGTCAGCCGCGCGGAATGCTCTGATTGGGCTTTCCCAGCCTCCCTTTTTCGCGGTGAGCCTCACGCACAAGAACCACATCATTCAGCCAGCGGGCCGAACACGTTGCCCGATGGCAATTTTCAGTGTTGGGTGCATGCCTCATAATCTCGCCGACTGTATTCAGTGCCCGCTTGCTTTAAAAGTGATATATCATGTCGTCATGCAAGCCCTGGCCATTTGGAATCTCGCTTCGCCTGCGGCTCAAGTGTCAAACAACCAAGAGCTCCCCATTTATTGATCTTATGTCTGGTAAAAGTCGATATGAGGATGTGCGCAAGCGATCATTATGTTGCGGCTCGTACTCATCGCTTTCATGCAAGCCGACGGCCCGGAGCCCCACGTCCAACGAGGATTCTACAATTAACCAAAGTGGGCTTCATTAGGTCGAGCCCCTCACGGGGGATCTATCAACTTCAATCTTTGGTCAGCTGGATGTGGCCGATGTCACTGGTATCACCGAAGCAAAATAATGGGGCCTGGCGTCCCGTTGCCGGTCATACCGCAGGCCGCGGCAATACTGGCATCCATGGACACTGAATGCTCAGCTAGCAACAAAGATTTCGTTGCCATTGTTCGATGCCTCTTTGGGAACGCGCACAGAAGGACAGGCGTGAATGAACCGTCTCATTGAAGGCAAATTGAATGGGCAGTGAGACGAGTCTGTCAGTGTAGTACGACCTCGTTGCCAGCTTTCACGCCTTTTACTCAACACCGGAATTTCACGAGGTCTATACTCTCCAACCTTGCATACGCATATGTGCTATGTGCTCACTGCTACATATCTCTAGATTATCCGTTATCTAGGGAGTCTTCATCTGCGAGTTATGGCCATCCTGCGCCGGGAATCAAAGCTTGGCCCTGAGGGCAGAACTGGTCTTGTCCTCTCTATTCGGCCGCGTCTCTGATGCGTCCACTCCAGCTTCTTTGGCAGCCTGCTCTCTCAGGACGCCTTTCAAGAGCTTCCCCCCTGCATTTCTCGGTAGCGCATCAATGAATCTCACCCCTCCTGTGAGAGCCTTGAATTTGGCCAGGTGCTGAGCGCACCAGTCCTTCACGTCCGCCTCGGTCGCATGTTTCCCGGGCCCCAGCACCACATAGGCGCGAGGGTGTTCGCCGTCCTTCCCACTGTCAATGGGACTGCTGGAGGACAGAGAAGAGGCGGTGGCGTCATGGTAGACCTTGACGCCGATGACCGCCGCGTCCACGACGGCCGGGTGCTGCAGGAGGACCTTTTCCAGTTCGGCAGGCGACACCTGGAACCCTCTCACCTTGATAAGCTCTTTCTTGCGATCGTGAATGTACCACTTCGCCGTAACGGCGGTCTCTGTCATCGTTTCGCCCCCGTTTCGAACACTGGTCTGGCTTGGGGCGTTATCTTCCACGATTCTTCCACAGGAAACGATGTCGCCTGTCTTGAAATATCCATCTTGATCAAAAGAGTCTCTGTTGGCTGCGGGGTTCTTGTAGTAGCCTTTGATGATGGTAGGACCTCTCACGAGAAGTTCACCCTTTGCTCCAACCGCTGTGACATCATTGCCTTGTTCATCGACGAGTCTGCAACAGAGGCCGGGTTAATCGCAAGGCCTTGACTGGCTTCTCGATTTCAATCGACAAGGGTATCTGTTGGTGCTTCCGTCCCGCTCAAATTACCCAAGAGAAGATGGAAGACACACATAAAACTTGATGAAACAAGACTGGGAAAACCTGCAAGAGGGGCGCTTACTTCACATCTAAATTCGCGATGAACCGTCCGATGCTCCCCGTGGAGTCACTTTCCGGGTACCAAAACCTGGAAGCGACACAGGTCGTCTCCGTCATGCCCCAGACTTGGTTGAAGACGCCGTCGGGGGCCAAGTGCTTTTCAAATGCCCGCTGGTGCACTTTGCCCAACGGTGCGGAGCCGGACCTGCACCATTTCACCGATGTGAGGTCGTACTGGTTGAGCAGTGGACTTGCCAGAGCCATGACCACTACAGGTGGACTGATGGACAGGTCGGTGATTTTAAATTCCTGGATCGAGTGCAGAAACTCCCTCATCTCGAACCGTCGCATCACGTAGGTCTCGTGGCCTGCCTTGAACGGGGTCGTGTGACCCACGGGGACGATCGCTGCGTGAAACATGGGCATGTATAGAAGACGCCGGACCTGTATCTGAGATTAGCACAGACTTCTCGAGGAACAATCGCCGCCTTGCAGACCGCTTGAGAGGCTTGTGCCACGGAAGAAGCCTCGCTCTAACCCACACAGCGTGACGGGATCCACGATGAGCGGAAGTGAGTTCTTACCTGCCAGGGCACCACATCGGGTGCTATCGCAAGAGTGTGCTGGGCGACCAGGTTATGATGAGACACCACTGCTGCTTTTGGAAGTCCAGTGGTTCCCGAGCTGAACAGAAACGCAGCCGGCGTCGTGCTGGAAATCTCTTCGTCGTCGAATCGGTCCCAGTCCCGCTCTCCATGACGCATCAGCTCCGACCAGGACTGGAATCCCTCGGGCACTTCCTGGCCTTTGACATTGAAGATTCGGATATTGGAGTCGGGAATGCCACAGTCCCCCGAGACAGTCTTGATTGCATCCAGCAATTCAGGTTCAGCGACGACGTACTTTGCGCCCGAGGTCTTGAGATGATGCTTCAGCTCGAAGGGCGTATAGGAAGGATTCGTCCCCACGAAAATGCCCCCGGCGGCAAGGATGCCCAAGAAAAGGACCGAGTAGTAGATCTACGTCGTTCGACTGTCAATATGCGAACGACCTCAGGAATCGACGCCAGATAACGAGGGTCTACCTAAAGTGAGGGCAAGGAAGCACTCACATCGTTGAAGGAGTGCACACAGACACATTCTCCCTTTTTTAGCCCTGCTGCTCGGAATCCAGCACCGAGCTTCCGGACCATGCCGAGTCCCTGATTCAGGGACAGTGTTCGGGAAGGGTTTGAAGTGTCGATATAGATCTAATACGGCGAAGATTTGGTGTCAGCCTTCCTTCTTCTGCGTAGCTGCTACCCGCACATCTCGTTCCCTCGTGGATTGCTTACTGGTTTATCAGGGTCATAGTCTGCCTTGTCGAAAATCCACGACAGAAGATCTTGGGTCGGGACCGTCAACTTTTTGTGAGCAAGGAACGGCATGTCGACGATAAGCGAGTGGTAGATTTCGAAACGCCTCCGTGCTGAAGGTAGGGACGGGTCACTGGCCCAGGAACGATTCTAAAGGGGTTAGAAAGAGCGTGCGTGCTCTGAGTGCCGATTTTCCAGACACAGTCACACAAATATGTCCTTATAGTTTAGTGTGGACGGCGATACTCAACACGCACGCTCAATTGCCAGCCTCTGACACCTCGGACGACTTCAAGGCGACCTGCTCAACAAGGGGCGCGTATCCTGGTATAACCGTTCGCAGAAAGACCGGGGTGGGAGAAGAGCGATGAAGCATCGACTGCGGGTGTGATAGGCAGTCACGCTACTTCTGCACAGGATGTGATGATCTTGCCAGGCTGTTGCGTAGATATGTTGTACACGGCAGTGCTAGTATAGCCGTAACCCCGGGTCCATTCCTATACCCAGACCCGTGAAGCCGATTGGTCCATACGTTGCACCCTCTCTACACCTCGAGACCCATTAATGGCTTGACAATGGCTGCCTCCCCAGGAGATGAATGGGGGACGAGCATTGGCTTGGGGCCCAACTTTCAACAGTAGTGACTTGCCACCCGACTCACTGTTGACCATCATCTGATACCTGGACAAGAAAGCAAGACTATGAACACGGACGTCGAAAAGCCTATAGGATCTGGCCAGTTGCATGAGACGAGCCAGTCTTGTGAAGATGACATGGACAAATCTCGTGGCGCAGAAGAAAATTAATTCGCAGGCGACGACAATGACAACCCAAAGATCGTGAAGGGCGACGATTCGGATGGCCATGTGAATTGGAGCAAGTGGCAGGTCCCGGCCATGCTCTCTCTTTCGGGCCTCTATGTTGGTATGTGCTTCCTCCCGCTTGCTCTACTGAATGGAGGGCCACGCAAACTCGTGCTTCAGAAACTGACGTATCTGACACGCAACAGGTTCGCAACTACCCCTCCTCCTCGGTGCAGGGAGCCTTCCGTACATTGTCAAGACATCGGGGATCGACCATCGACTCTTGGTTCCCGGTGGCATACTCTCTAACTCTCTCTCCTGTCTCGCCCTTCAGCGGGTAATCATCTACAAGGCGTGTTCGGACGTCGCAACATTGCACTCGTAGGGGGTTCCATCCTCGGCGTCGGGATCATTGTGGTGGCCACGTCCCGCACCATGCGCTGGTGACCGCAACACCGGACAATCCAGTTCGTACCGTGGCGTTCGGGACGATCAGCGGATTCTCCACAAACCAGTCCCACTGTCCTGGCCTGAGATCACCAAAGGAAGGCAAATGCATGCTGGGATATGGATTGCAGGTTTCAAAGCTTCATGTCTCTCCCTACATTAGGCCAGCCAGTCTACATCGGTCCCGTCCCAGGGTATCATGCCATCCACGTTTTCGTCAAACCCTTCGATCCCGATACTGCCAAAGTTCCACTGTGACGTCGCATCGACGCTGTCGGGGTTGAACGTCGAATCCCACATGATCTCATCTACGGCGACGTCGAAGGGGTGATTGTCGTTTGGACTGATCAGCTCCCGCCAACTGTTCTCCGCATCGGTGGCACACCCATCGATGTCGGCGCGATGCAGGTCCGTCGACAGAGTGGGATCGCTCTGCAGACCGTGGATTTGCTGTGAATTCACCGTGGTGGCGGGTGTTGGCAGTGATTCATCCCGGACCGACAGAGTCTTGGACGAGTCTACCGGCTGAATCCGACACTCCAATTCGAAGGCTCGGGGTCTGGCTCCATTTCCTGCGTAAAGCCGCACGGCACCCTGCTGGGGCAGCACAATCCGTATCTTCGCATGGTTGAGCATAGCCTCAACCAGGAGTGCCACCCAGTCTGCAGCCACGTACACCTTCTGGAGCGTCTTGAGAGAAATGAGGAGGCTGTTGACGTTGTCTCGCGCTCTCACCATCTCGTCGTCGTGGGCCGGATTTCCTTTGCCGCGGTGGGCCTTTTGAACGATAGACTTGATGCGTAGAGCGTTGTTGATGATGCTGGGCACCAGCATTGTGATTGCAGTGACAGGGAGGTAGCGCACGAGGCCTTTGTCATTCAAGAAGGCCGAGATCCTGGCGATGCTGCTCGCCGAATCCGAAACCTGGTCCTGGGAGTGGCGGGACTTGTTCTGGGAACGATGCAGTGCGGAAACAGCGGTGTAGTAGCACATGTGCAAGACGGCGCGTTGGACGACCACACTCGGCGCTCTGGAGGAGTCGGTCTTGATTCCTTGTCTCTCCCTCGCAGGTCGAATGTCTTGAACAATGTCAGCCCACCCCGAATGCCGCGGTTTCGGCAGTTCGTCCCAAAAGCGGACTGAACGAGGGAGAGTGTCGTACCACTCCTGGAGTGTCGACTCGAGGGGCGATATAGCAGACTCGGTTGGCGTGGCGGTAGTCGGCTCCGAGTTCGGACTGTGGACGGGGAAGAGCATGGCCGGCAAAGTCGTCCTGGCAGCTCTGTTTCGAGTCCCAGAAGGCGGTCTGAGCGGAGAGTACTGGGCAGACATAATGGTTCCTATCACGATGCAGAGCTTGAGGAATGAGATGAAGATTTCTGCCAACTCAGTCTGCGTGGTCCGGTCGTAGCAGGACAGATGGAGTCGACGGTGTGAAGACGTATCCGAGTTCAGCGAAGTGCAGGGACTGTCAATCTCCATGTCTTCCACTGTCGGCAAAGGGACATTGAATTCCTCTCCCTGTATCCGTAATGGGCGACTCAGATAGAGAGAAATAACCCGGTCTCGCAAGAAGCAGCACCACCACAGCCGCTTCCGCAGACTCTTCTTTTTGGGCGGGAGCGGCAGAGACGCGGGATCTTGGTTCAGTCCGATTGTCTGGGCGAGGGAGATGCCGATGTTGACCCAATGCCAGGTTTGTTTGTGGGCGTCTTGTGTTTGCCTATCGGACCAAAAGCTCATGAGCAACACAGATTGAATGATAGTGATGCTGTCGTATTCAAAATCCATGTCGTATAGAAGCTATCTGCGTGAGCTCGATGTCCGACCACAAGAGTAAGCGGGGATATACCTTTGCCTTTTCGAAGAAAGCCTTTCGAGCCGTCTTCAGGTTGGCATATCCTGCTTCCCTGACAAGGCTTTCATCGACGAACGGAACCGCGGCAAACAAGACGCTATGAAACAGTAGTAAGCTGAGTTGCGGCCCAGATTGATAGCTGCTGGCCCCATCTACCACGATCAGGAGCTCGGCCGGGTCGAGCAGAGGGAGGAAAGGGTGAATATATTCGAAGTAACATCGGATGGTTTCATTTAGAAGTCTTTCGTGAGGCAGATCCAGGGCACCCTTGCTTCTCAGATATGCTATATCTGCGTCTGTAAAGCGTTTGGGGAGTGGCTGGAAGAATGCTCGCAGTTCTCGTGGAGGGATACCTTCTGGAGGTTGAACTAACGGCATCTGGAGTCTGTCCAGACCCGGCGGCACGTCCCCTAAGGATGTCATTGAATTCAGGACGGCCATGGCGTTGTTAGATATCTTGGTCGATGGTTGAACGCCATGTTGAATGCTTTCGCTTCGGCCGGCGTAGAAGAGATGATCCTGTTCTGGTCTGTCATCAAAGGGCCTGCCAGGTGCATGCTCGCGGCAAGATCTGTCTTCTAGCCCAAGATACCACTCTCGGTGCTTCCTGCGACAAAGAACGGTCAGTGCGCTCTACACAGCTAGCTGTCACTTACCTGCCACGACGGCACCGCGCCATGAGACAGGGTGTCTCGTCCACCTCGCAGTTGCGGCATGGTGAGCCACGAATGGTGACATCGCATCGGACCTTGCGGGCGCGGCAGTTCTCACAGGCTTTTCCTGCTCGACGTTGACGGACAGGCTTGTGGTGCACCGAGACGTTCGGTGTTTTCTGAGAGGAAGGAATCATTGCAGAGACAGTAGCAAAGGTGTCTTGTATCTGAATTTCTGCAACGTCCAAGGTGGTACCTGAAGAGCCAGAGGCGAGAGCACAAAGTCGACAGCGATGAACAAGCGTCGAGAGGCCCAACGCGGGACGTCGGGATGCTGGAGCCTTGCACGTCTTCCCCGGTTGATTCGTCCAAGGTGGCTCCATCCCCCGCATTCTACCTCCTTTGAGTTTTTTGTATAGCCGATATCCGAGGGGCCTGGCCTGGGGGAACGAAGCCATGCTTGCAATGGTATAGTCTGCTCCAAAACGCTGTGGAATCAAGCCCGCCTTGCCTGATTCGGAATGTATATCGGGGGGTAGTTGGATAAATCTTATGGACCAACTGCCCTATATATCTCCTGCTGGTAGCTCCCTCGGGTTCCAAGCAGAGAGAGGCACACGCACACACGTGGAAAAGAAGCACGCAGCTAGGCAGGAACATGATCTCGGAATGAAGATGGACTGGAGGGAAGAATTCACTACTCTATCAAAGCGTCATGTCTGATGTATTGTATCGACAGGGCATTGAACCAAAGTAGCCATGGCGGCAGGTATGATAGGTAGGTAGGTAGTCAATCCGCATTCTCATCTTCGTCTCACTCCTCCCGGCGGCGATGAAGCCAAACCCTCCTCACTCAAATCGATCTTGACGTTTCGGTGCCCTGGTCCCTGCTCTGTGCCGATTGACCAATTCTTAGGAAGTCCGCCAATCTTTAGACATGTGCCATTGGGAATACGAATAACTTCGACGGCACACACATGCCGTGCTAAATCAATAACTGCCACGCATGCGAAAAAGGGCTTTCTGTCTGGTGTCGTGTGGATCGTACCAAAGTCCATCCCAATCAGGAACGTGGCGACACTGATTCGACCCCCATTTGGCCATAACGATCGTCATCCGTGTCGTATGCAACGTCCCAAGGAAACCGACCGAGGGGGTTTCAGCGTCGCTCACTTCCGCCTTCCAGCCCGCCCTTGCATCGGAAAGGGAACCTGGCGAGGTCTTCTCAACATCGGCGGTACTTGACAAACAGGTCGGAACTGAGCACGTTGGATGACCGGCCGGGTCAAGCTTTGGTCCCGCCGAGGACCACAAGCCACGACAGTATGATACAGACACGTCTGTCAGACTTTCAAGATTTGATGCTCCATAGACATCAATCCACGGCATCGAATCCGTATCTCCTCGCAACGTTCGCATTTTGAGCTCGGGGATAAACCACGTATTTTGATGGCAGCTAGCCACGTGGCTTGCTCTGCTGGCTGATCCTGTAATTCGGTTCGCTCATGGAGAAGGAAACTCATCAACGACACTCCTCTCTGATTCCTCAAACGTGCTTGCGAGTCTCGTAGCATCCTGGGGGGCGGCAAGAGAATCCCCCTTTGTTGCGTGCTGTAATTCATTCAGGGTGTGGTATAACCAGTCCTTCTGACGCTGCCTTTGAGGTGTTGTGTTCGCTCCAGATTCCAAGCGATAGCGACGGTGTCAGAGGATCTTGCGTATAGCGTCTCAAACGCTCCTGGGATAATGCAATTGTGAAGAGCCTGGCTCGCATTGTATGCGAGCAGCGTTCCGAACGACTGGAGGGATTCCGGCGGAAGCAACTTCTGATATCCAGCGTACTGAGACGAGTTGGTCCGTGCCTTTTCGAGTCAGGAGTATATATGATTTCGAACTGCATACAGACAGCGTTGACAATCCGCGAGCATTCCTCACTGCGATGAGGAAAATTTCTCGGTGAATGTGTCGTAGTCAAAGAGCAGGTCATCGTGTGGTAGAAACGCCAACTGGGCTTCGATTCAGGGCCGACTCTATGCCGCTGAATGAACAGCCCAGCTGTGATTGGGAACCAGGCAGGGACCAGCATGGGGCCCTAAGCATATGCTGGGTGTAGATAGCAGCTGTGTTCAGACCAGGCAGAGACCAGCATGAGGACCCAAGCATATGCTGGGTGAAGATAGCAGCTGTGATTGAGACCAGGCAGGGACCAGGATGTGGCCCAAAACAGATGCTCAGATGATTCGGGGAGAAACAGATGGTCGAGTCGTCGATGCGGTTCTCTGAGTCAATGGAAAGAAAGGACATGATCGAGATAGCTCGTGCTGGCAACATCTGGTGCGTTGATCAACGAATCGGCATTGCCGTCCTGTGTCTAATCCATGTCGCTGGTGCTTTACACCCCCATAACCCCCGCGGCGCCCGGCTATGGTTTGCTGCACAGTCTCGCGCGCAGACCGGAGCCCGAGGTGAGTGGGGAGTGGGATGCCCCGTCCAAATGCATCCCACTCTCGGCGACTTGGAAGTCGAATTTGCTGGGCGGGATATTTCGACTGATCAGACCGGGTGCCGGAAGACTCCAGAACACAATCAGAAGCAGCAGATATGGTGGGGTTGTGATGTATATATATATATATATATATATATTAGTGGGGAGTGGCTGAGATTGGTCCTCTGGTTGACACCTTTAGCATGTTCATCCGCTCGATGTTGCAGCGGTTCTCGACGGATCGTTTGCTTTTTGCTCCGCGTGTCCACCGATCTTTCTGCGGAATGCTGTTCAAAACAAGGCGGCCTGCTTCGCGGCGGATATGATAGGAGTGCGCCGGGGCTAAAAGGTGGGACGGACATGGTCTTGAGGTCAGGATGAGGCAGTATACGGTGGCATGTTATGATGATGGTTGCATTCTCGACGACTGTGGCATGGATCATGGTTTGCTCTGGCAATGCTGGCGTGACTCTGCTTGTTCGCAAAATTCTTCATCGATGGTTCGAGAGGTGCCGCCATGACTCGATTGCTGCCTGTGAATCAGCTTCCGTCTCGAATCGTAAGAATGAACAGACCGGTTACTCACCTGCTTCGTCGAGGGGAAAGTGATGGAGTGATGATGGTCATATCCGAATCCATCCATCGTGATGCTGCTGTGTGAAGAGGCACGGAGACTGACTGAACATCAGACAATGCTTCGAATGGCAAAGGTCGCAATGCTGATATATAAGGAGATGATCAAAAGCCAACCACCAACGCCTGGTCTTCCTACAAGGAATGTTGAAAAAATAGTTGCTGAGTGAGACAGCAGTCGTCTTATAAGGTCGAGCGGCGGTGAGGAGCAGAGAGGTGCTGAAACCAGCTTTTGTTTGCTCAATCCCTCCGAGTCCGGCGGTCTGTGGTCGAGACAGAAATCAGCAAACATGGCCCACCACTCATCTCAGTCTTTGGAGCAGAGAGATTGGACGAGAAGAGACTGGCTCGGTGGCACAGATATCGTCATATCATTACGCTGTACGCAGCAGCTTGTCCAGTGTCCAATGGCAAATCCCAGAATCTTGCTCCTCCAGATGTGTCCAGCCTTTCCAAAACACCACACCGCCTGGCCTCCCGGTTAGGCACTTGCCTGTGTTTCTATTCCAGCCTCCTTTTCTGGCGCAGGGGGATTGGGAGTCAGCGTGCCGCTCGCTTCGCTGATGGTCTCAGTCGTGAAGTTCTTGTCTCTCTTCCAACTCTTGCTGCTCTTCGCACTCTTGGAGCTAGAATGGCTCGTCAGCCGGGACAGAACCGACCCGCTGTCTCCCTTGTCTGCGTGACTACTGCCAACGCTTGACCTCGATTCGACCATCTTCAATTCCGGTTTCATCTCATTCCATCTTCTGACCACTTCTACCTTCTCCTCTTCCGTGGCCTTGCTCGCTTCCCCAAACCCTTCGATATACCTCGTGGCAAGGATGTAACTCAGCGTCGGGTCCCCGTCCAATCTCTTCTTGATCGCTTCGTACAAAACCCTCGTTCCATATGCAGCGTGACCAATCACCAGTCCCCTCGGGGCAAACAGTAAGTGCCCAATGCCCCTTCCCAGGCCCTTTCCGAACCCTTTCCAGCCGTCGGATTTGGCCCCCTTGTAGGGTTCGTAGACCACTCCGGCCCAAGCCTTCGCTATGTTGATGGGCGCATGCACAATTCTGGAAGTGATGGAGCCCATGGTACTCAGCATCGGATTGGGTCCCGCGACATGAGAACTGATGGCACCGAATTCGACGGGGTATTCGCAGGGACGGTAGATGGTGAGTTGGTTCACGTCCAACAATCCTTCATTGCCCAGCACTGTGGCCGCAAAAGCGCTCAATCGGACATCTTCCGTGGTGGACCCTTTCGTCCTGACAGACCAGACCGCTGGATGTGAGGGTGCCAGCATACAGCGGATGCGGTCAAGGTCCATTTGTGCGTGGAAGCTCGCCGCCCCGACTTCAGTGCCCTTTTCTTCCTTGATGCGCTCACCCAGTTCGCGAGCCCGCTCCAAAGTCTCGGGCTTCAGCGCTTCGAGGATCGCATCCGCCAGTCGATCTGCGGTCAGTTCCTTGGAGGGAATCGGCGTCGGGCCCGCGCCGGCCCTGGCCACCATGGCTCCCCAGAAGGGCTGGTCGCCAAAGAAAGGGACAATCACTGTCGGCCGACCCAAGGCGATCCCAGCCGCGGTCGTACCAGCGCCACCGTGATGCACGACGCAGGAAACGTGTTGGAATAACCAGTCATGTGGTACGTTGCCCAGCATATACACATTGTCAGGTTTGCCCAGGTCGTCTCCTCCCAACCCACCCCATCCCTTGGATACCAAAGCACGTTGTCCAGTCTTCTTGACTGCGTCGAAGATGAGTTTTGTCATGGCGTTGGGATCGTCCACGACGATGGAACCGAAGCCGATGTAAACGGGCGGTGGGCCTGCCGCGAGGAACTCGGCCAGAGAAGGGTCTGGCTGGTAATTTGACGCCAACGAGAGAAAGTAGAACCCTGCAATGGTAATGTGAGGGCCCCAGTCCTTAGGCTTGGGAATGAGTGCTGGAGACCTGATCTGCGTGATTAATCAAGAGCCCACGACGCTCAACTTTGGCAGACTCACCAGCAGTAAGTATAAGGTATCCGTAGACGATGAAGCATGTCAGTTGCCGCCGCCTGGGAAAGGATATGCAGACCCAGCGTCTCTTTTCTGAACTTGTTCGTGATGTCGCCCAGGCCTTCCCAGGTCATCATATCGACTAGCGTATAGCTCATCTCGTTGGTCATGCTTCCGCTGGCCTTTGACGACTTGATGTTCGCGATGGGCTGCGGAAACTCTCGCGTCGGCGACCAGGGCATCCTACCATCAACTACACTCAGCAATGACCCGAAAGCACGAAGACTCACTTACGTGAACATCAGATGCAACGGAATGCCCAGCTTCTCGGCGCAATGGATGTGTGCAAAGCTAGGCGGATTCGCAATGATCGCATGTGCGACGAACGGTTTCTTCTTGGGCGCTGCTCCCGTTCCGCCTTCCTCCTCCTTCACCTCGTCGAAGTCGGCGCACGACCTCCAACACCCTTCGAGAATCTCGGCCATGCCTCTGCGTCTCTTCCCCACATCGCCTTCCTTGATGGATTTCATCCCGGGGATCAACCCGGGGTTCTTGACCATGAAGGCCATGAGTTCCGCAGGGTCGCCGCCAATGTCGAAGAATTCGAGCCCATTCTCCTCGACGAACTTCTTGAAGGTCCCGTGCGTCGCGAGACGGACGCGGTGGCCGTACTGGTTCTTCAGGACCAGCCCGAGGGCGACGAACGGCTGGACGTCGCCGCGCGACCCGACGACTTGGACGACGACATTGAGGGGCGGAGGGGTCCTGGAGGGTCTGCGACTCGCCTCTAAGAGAGTATGGGCTGTCTGAGGAGGGGCGGCGAGTCCCTCTTGGACTCGGGAGAGCTGGAGTTGTTCGATCTGGTCGGCGAGGAGTTGGTTGATTTCTTGGATGGTGATGTTGACGCGGCCATCGTCTGGTGCTCTCGTCAATGATGCCACCCCATACAAGTAAAGAGAGGAACTACCGACCTCCAACTTTGGTTTGCGTCGTGACTCCATTCTGTTGCTCGTCAAGAGTCCCTGCAGCGTCGACCGCGGGTGGCTGTTGCTTCACGTCGGATGCCATGTCGTCGATTGCTCGTCTTTAGGATGCTGGGAGGCTGATTATGGCCGTGACGCTGCGTGCTCTCATGTCATGGAAGGGCTTCCCTGAGTCGAGAGACAGCCATCTCTTGCAGCTCCATCTCCGAAAAGGGTAGATGGTTTGAGAGTCCCCTACGAGTCCACACCAGGGAACAGCAAGTGATAAGAGGCGGGAATTGGAGGGGCAGCACAGGGGAGGGCGGCAAGGTGGACTACTGCGATCTGCGCCCACCATTTAGCCAGCGATCGCAGCATGCGTCAGGCCTTAGCCTGTTTCTCATACCCGCCTGCACTCTGGGGCCGTTGCTGGCCCGGTCGACCATCCCTGAACGATCCCAAGCCGGCCTGGCGAGATTGTCCAGTGCCTGAAACTTATTGCTTGATTGGCTTTGCGAAAGCTTGACCAACATGAACCGGGCTTAATCAGCACCGCTGCTTTGATTGAGTTGCCCAACTAACGGTGAGCCGCAGTTCCTCCTCGAGCCCGATTGAGCATGAAGCGCGAATACGAGCGAAAGACACGTCGCGGCCCTTCCAGCCTCACAACTGGAGGCTCCCTCACCGCGCCGTACCCAGAAATTGTCGGTGGAACAAAGAGGGGGGTTGTTGATCTACAAGCACCATACGCGGACTCGCACTCTGGATCGACAACAAGATGAGGGTGCGAAATTGAATTAGATTTAGGTCACAAGTCAAAAGAGCAACTGGGAGAAAGAAGACCCAGGGCACTGGTCGATCAATAACTTAACTTCTCACCACCCTGCTGTTCTTCAGGCGGAAACACCTCGTCCAGATACTTCAACAGACTCACTTGCGCCATGTTCGCGTGCACATTCATTCCCAACTTCTCCGTCAATTCCTGCGACAGCTCCTTTTTGACTTCCTCGGGCATCTTAGCCGTCCAATTGACTTGCTGCCTCAAGAAAGGCACGGTATAGTACCCGAAGAGTAACGCCCTGTCTTTGTCCTTGGTCACGTTGGAGCCCGAAGTGTGCCACACACGTCCATTCATGAGCACGATACTGCCCGCCTTGGCCTCGAAGGGCCTCAGTAGCGAGCGTGCGTTCTTAGGGATGTCTTCGCGTGTCGTCCACTTGTCGCTCCCCGGGATGAAAAGCGTGGCCCCGTTCTCGAGGTACACGTCCTCCAGGCACCAGATGACGTTCATCGCCCACGTGGACATCCAGGGCTCGGGCATCACCAGGGACTGATCACTGTGCAGGGCCATGCTCTTGGAGCCGGGCCGGGCGATGTTGGCGGTTAAATTGCTGATCAGCCAGTTCTCGCCCAGCACCTTCTCCACCATCTTGACGGCGACGGGATGCTGGATCAGGTCGCGGAAGATCTTGTCGAGGGCCATGAGGTAGAAGACGCGGATGTTGGAGGCGTTTGGGTCGAGGATCGGCATGTATGTGTCGTCGCCCTGCTTGCGGAAGTTCTCGGCCGCCGCCCACAGGTGCGAGAGCACGAGCGAGTTTTCCTCGGGCGAGAGCACGTCCGGGATCACGGCCCAGCCATGCTCCTGGAGGTGCTCTTGCGCGGCGATGATGGTGGACTCTGGAGTGCGAGACCCGAATTGAATGTCGGGTGAAGTTTTGGGGTCGGTGCTGGGGTCGATGGAGCCCATCCTGCCTGCAAAGACGCTGACAACAGCCCAAAGCGCGACGTTGGTTACCACTAGTGCCCAGTCTCGTCGTTCTAGCTTCTATCGACGTATGTTGTCGTCCGCTGTCGTCTCCCCAGATCCGTCCCACAATGGGAAAAAGGCTCTCGTAACGTTTCAATGTCCGGCCTACGCACGATGCAAAGGTTTGACCCAACACGTCCAAGGTGTGTTCCGACTGAATTCTTCGTTTCCAATTGCAGACTTGAAGACTTGAGAAACGGCGCCTTGATCCTCAATCATATAAACCAACCTGAGCACGCGTCTCCCCGCATCCCCCCAGTTGCATTGCAGCCTCCAGCATAACATTCAGACCCCGGATAACCCCATGTGGCACATCTTCTTGGTCCTCGGCTGAACCCAACATCAAGACTGCACAAATACCAATGAGGGTGTACAGAAGCACCGTCGATGACTAAGACAAGGTTGACTCAACCATGCTCCAGGAACAAGTTGGGTAAAGGATTGTCGAGTAAGACTCGGAATGAATACAATTCTGCCATGTAACTATCCTCATCAGGGTATACATGCCCAGGCAAATGAGAGATCAATGTAACCTCTCAAGCTTCAACGGGTTCGCAGTGTCTGTTGACGACGCTGGATTGACCCCACCGATCCAGCAGAGTCTGAAGGCATCGGCTCCTCGATTTTACGCAAAAGATGTGCCGTTCAGACCGCTTTTATGAATGCCCCAGTGATTTCCGCATCAATCTGAGGGAAGCTGGGGTGTCCAGCCACCCAACCCGCTCCGCCATGCTTCCCAACACATTGCTAAGAGGGTGATTGGAACTCCTGCCCAATGATCGCTAAGAATACAGAATAGTTGACCCTTGGCCCCTTGGGTGACGACTATATGCGACCCCATGCACTGCCAAAGTTAATGCTGTTTCTCATTCTCAACCTTGGCATGTCATCGTCGTTAGCAGACGACTCCCCTTGTTGCTCGCTCGCTTTCTGTTCGTCGTTGTTGCCGGATAAACTGGACTCGACCTTGTCCTGGTGTTCTTTCTCTTCAATGAGCTTACCATCGAGGATGTTCAAGAATGCAACGGATTCGACGGTCTTGGCGTTGGGATCAAGCATGAGCGGTCCTTTCAGAGCGGGATCATGATGTGTCTCGTGAATTGGCTCCTGCTCCGGCTCCTCTTCTATCACTTGCTTCTCCTTTTCCTTTTCCTCGGGGGCGGAAGAGAACGAAAAGTAAGAGTCAGAGTGTTCCGAAGGACGGAGGGGTGGACGGGTGGTGGGGGCGGGAGCAGCAGGTTCTTCTTGCTTTGGAGTCAATGCGCTACTCGCGACGTCCGAGGATAGAGTGCCATCGAACGCCATCGGGGTGTGACCAGCATGCCGTTTTAACTTTTCATCCAGCGGTGAAATGAGAGAGTTGACGTCGAGTCTCAGAGCCTCGTCTTTGGTGGTGTGTGGTACAGGTGACAGCGCGGGACTAGCGAACTGCGGACTGGTAATCTCCTTGTCGAACGAGGAGGTCAAGGCGGCCGATTTGAGGGTAATTCCATCCAGCGTGTTGTCCACCTGTTCAATGGGAATCGGGATATTCTCTTGGCCGCCAGAAGTGGGCGAGACCTCCTTGGAGAGAGCGGGCATGGCCTCATCCTCGGAAATGCTTGGCAGGTGACACACTTCATCCTCACTGGCAAAGACTCTGGTTACAGGAGGAGTGGATTCGGGGCCTTTCCAGACCGGCGGTTCAGCAATGGTTGGTTCGGGAGAGATACGAGAGCGGTGTTTGCCATTAACTCCAAACGGCTGAAAGTCTGATCTGAAAGAGTGAAAACTCGGGGCAGACGAGTCGTTGCTTGATCTCCTCTTAGGGTCTCTGCTCTTGTTGAGTTTCTGCTCCAACTCGCCGATACGAGCCTTGAGCGCAGTCCGTTCAATGTCCCAGGCTTTCCGCTCGCTTTCGTGAGACTGTCTTAGCTGCGTGTTCCACAACCGGCATTGCTCCATGTAGGCCGTGATGTCCACTTCAGGCGTGGGATTCGTCATCTGAAACCCATGCTTTGGTAGTTGGCTGGCCGAAGATATCGGGTCAAGGAGAGGCACATGTGTAGTGGCTATCGAGTGACGGCCTTGAATCGGCATCGAGGGAGGGTCTGAGAAACGAACGGCCCTGGGATCATGAGACGAGCTGTTTGTCCGAGGGTGGTTGAGAGGAGAAAAATTGTCTGGATCATGCTCGAGGGCTGGGGTAGGATCGAAGGCGTGGGTTGGAGATCGGGGAGCCATCTGTGGGCTGGGGACAATACGACGGTGTGTCAGACACTCAAGACGTGTGTAGTGCAAGGAATATATTTTCAAGATGTCGTCGTCTGAACCCCGTCGACGTGAGCCCAAAGAGTGTAGAACTGGCGTCGTGGGTGACCAAAGTCGAAGACCTGTGGATGACGTCTGAGATGGACAAGCGCCGAGGCCTGGAAGCGAGATGACAGGCAAATGCAGTCAAAAATATAGACGAGATTGTCGATGCGGACGTGAAGATGATGCTGCTGCTGATGCTGATATTGACGACACGTACATGGAGAATGAAGAGAGAGCGCGAGAGAGTCAAATGGGAGAGGGGACAACAGAGAGGGTGTGAGGTTGAGTTGGCAGGAGCCCAGCGAGGTGAGGTTGAAATTGTGGGCAGTAGCGACTGGTGTTGAACTCGCAGGCCTCGTACCGAGTCAACTTTTCGTGCTGGCAGTCGCAGTCTAGATGGCGCAGGGGAAGGGGAGGTGCACGTATGTACGAGTGATGGCAGTAACTAGAGTCGCAATTGGAAAAAGAGTGGATTGAAGCGATAAACAAAAAGCCTCGTGGCATCCTCTGTTCGTCTCGCCTCTCTTTTTGGGATGACGTTGGTCCGTGCCTGAAGCCGAGATGGGTGGATTTTGTGTGTGTTTGTGTGTGGCATTCTGGGGGGGGGAGCAGAGACTGGGTCACTTTTGCGATCTGCCATCTGGCTGCCATCCGTAGCAGGGAGAGAAATTTTGGAGCTTGGGCGCAATGGGCGGAGCTGGGGGCGACTAGCTGCCCCTAGAGGCTGTGATCTGCATGGGTGCAACATGGATCCATCTGCCGGAAGAGAGCCAACGGGGGGGGGTTGAGGGTCAGGGAGTCACCTACTCGTAAACAGCCAACGGGGGGGGGCGCTGATGGGGCCCACTGGGTGTCAGGGTCCAACTGGCACAGTCCCCCAGTGCTCCATTAGCAGCGCCGCTCAAGCCACCGTCTCGGGCGCCAAATGCCCCGAAGAACACATGTCGGCGCCCTGTTAGAGGCCTCTCCCGGGGCTGCCAGCGAATTTCTGGGAACTGCCGATTAGTGGCCGCTCTAGCCGCATGCAAGCGCCGAAGACTCGAGAGCAGAGCTAACAAAGGGAGAAATAAGGAGGCACCAGAGGCAGTAGAGCATGCCAAGCGGGGGCTCCTTCCTCGCACTCACTCCCATCCTCGGCCACCCACGCATCCTCTGTGCCTCTCCGTCTTCCACAAGGGATTTTTCTTCGTCTTCCACAAGGGATTTTTCTTCGTCTTCCTTACTCGTAATTCACTCACCTCGCTTGTGGTTGCCCAGTGCTGGTGGCATGGAGACTCTCCAGCTCTCAAGGGACACGCGATATACATCCAAAAAGGAAGCCTCAAGCTCGCAGGAGCAAGGCAATTTATTTGTCAGCGCCATTCGTCACCCACACAACAGGAAAGACAAGTATTGGCTGTCACCACGCCAGATCCCACGCGCCCTGGTGAAAGATGGTTGTTTAGAGGAAAAGAGCGAGGAAACTACTGATCCAATGACTATTTACCCTATTTATACCTGTCATGGACTCGCAATCGGCTGCTTGGCCACGCTCTCGGGCGCAAAGGGTGAAGCATTCACTTCCACCTAACCGAGGCCATCGCTTCGTCTCAATCAAGGAAAAGGTGGTATCCAAGTTTGTATGAGAAATGCTGTTCAGTTCTGCTATACCTCCTTGAGTCAGCACCATTGTCATCCCTCTAGACGCCATCCACGGAACCAAGTGTGTACTACCCTTTCTGGCCTGATATTCTACCCCAAATAAGAGATGCACGGTATGGGATACTTTGGTATGTATGTACCTGAGGCATGCAAGCGCACGTCCCTCGGCTCTATTGCATACGCACACACACATGCTATGTCATCGTATGGCCAATATACACCCAGTCTCCTCAACTGCTTTTCCGGGACAGTGGACTTGTTGCGTGCTAGGATGGTACATCTTACCTCGTTTCCTCGGAGCGGTGGTGAAATAGCCGAGTCAATCAACTCCCTGAGTATTTGTCTCAGGAAACATTCGGCAGTCGTGGCCAGTTTGAGTAGCAGTGCATGGTCGGCTCTGTCGACACTCCTATAAGGTTATCATCCCGCGCCAGATGATAGCACTTGCGCCTCAAATCGATGACCAAGACAGCCATTTCCACGATGGCTGGGAATGAGAAATCTAGATTTCTGTTTGTGGTCTCGACTCCCCGGCAGCTCGATCAGGGCTCCTTGAAGAAAAATCAGGCCGCCGCCAGAGCCCATGCTGCTAAAGTCTCTCACCCATCGACTCGAGCACAATCCAGCTCAAAACAGCAGCAATCAGGGCATCAAGTCTTTGCTTTAAAGAGCCCCCTCGAAGACCCGTCGGCTTCCAGCGATCGTGAACTTGATGAACAGTATCTAGCAGCCTCTGTCTCGACAGACAGACCAGCTATCCCCCCAACTTCGAGAGCACAACCTTCCTTTCGCCAAAGCAGATCACGAACCGTACGAGCTCACCCGAAACCTCGACGTCTTCGTGCTTCGCGTCAGCCAGGTGGTAGACCTCGAGAAAATAAACCGGATCCTAGAGCTGCAAAACCATGTCCTCCAGCTTTGAGCGTCGATCCGCTATATTGGCTCCCATACGATAAAGATGAAAACGCATACCAGGCCGTGGATTACTGTAAGCGCTCCATACCCTCAGACCGTATTCGCATGCATGGACTGACACTTTCTGCTCTCCAAGTCGCCAATATCGCAGCACCTGCCCTTCGTCCTGTCTACGAAATATTCAACATCACCAGTGTCTATACTTCGCTATTCCTCGAGTGCATTACCGACAGCGAAAGCTTTTATCATGCAGGTGTTGCCAGGCTGTGCGCCACTGCGGACCTGTTAAGAAATCCTAGAAGCAAGCCTGCCTTGTCAGTTCTGTTACATCAAGCAAAAGCAATTACCCACCTTCGGCATGAGATTGAGAGGGCAACACAACCCACCAATATGATGTTGGCTACCATTCTGTTTCTCATTGCTATCGATGTACGTCTTTCTTGTGCCCTGATTTGCCCACGCTAAGCACCACGCAGATAGCAATTGGTCAGGGGTCATCAGCAGACATGCACCGAATTAATCTTGCTCGGTTGGTAAAGGCTCGGGGAGGGTTGGACGCCCTTGGCCGCGACGGTTTCGAAAAGGCGACATTTATGCAGTCAGTTACAAACTGTTTCTGACGGATCAAGACTAACCCATTCGACCGTCAGGTTCGACAACATGTATGCTCTCGAGCGAGGGCCGAGCATTCTCGTGTCTTTACAACGCTACCGACCCAGATATCCTCCGTTCCCCCTTTCGCCGCGGCTTATAAAGATTATCAGCGCTTTCCCAGACGGCTTCCGATGCTTAGTCCATCACCGCCTGCTGCCCCTCGACGTGATCGAGCTACTCTTTCGCATCAGCGCCACCGTTCGTCGTTGTGCCGACAGCAACACCTACGTGCCTTTCAATACAGCTGAAAACCCTTTCCATTCGAAGCGCCGCAAATACGACTCTTTCAGCGACGCGTGCCCTTGGCTTTTTGCACCTGAGGATAAGGTGCACCCCTTGCTCAAACCTTTGACCATGGCCATGGTTCTCTGGTGCTGCAATGCATACTCCACGATCCGCGCCTCCACTGTCGTATATGCTGGCTTTCTCCGCGCTCTGACGATGCTCCTGTTGCGGTCACCCATCATGCCGATGCCTCCTACAGGTTCGCAAACAGATTTCGTGGTAGCTGCTGACGAAGAGGATTGCACAATATGGATTTGGATGGTGGCTCTAGATTCTTGGATGCCAGATGGGGCCAGGAATTTACATCCTTTGGGGAAAGGGCTATTTGCACGTTTCAAAGCCCGCTTTCCGCAAGCGGCAGCCGACCTTGACGTTCGCGATGCCGTACTGAGGAGGTTTTTTTGGACCAATGATCTCAGGACCAGAGTGAAGACACTATGGAACGAGACAGCAGACTCAGCGAAGAGTCCACACTCGTGACAAGAACATCTTCTAGCGTCCCTTTGCGACAACAACGAGGGTGAAGGGGCAGAGGCATGTTCTACATGAGACTGAAGCATAACAGTGATACTTACAAACCGATCTCGCCGACATTTATACCAAACGGCAAATTATCCATCTTGTCTTGGCACAGAATCTTAGGATTTGTTGTCCGAAACCAACCCGCCTGCTTTTTCGTCCACTTCTCAGCACTGGTTTGCGCATTGGATAAGTTGGCCTCTAAAAGGGTCTGCAAAGGTGACAAGATCCTGTCAGAGGTATGTACGATCCACCTGAACGCCCTTTAACATTGCTCAGCACGAAATCATGATTGAGCAACCGCGGAGGGGGCCAAGGTTATTTTCTCTTTCGTTCTTTACTATCGGTCCTGCGGCGCTTAAATTCTAGAGAATATGTGACCTGCGCATTTGGATTCCGCGTGTAACAGGAGATCTATTCAATCGGGCAGGGATTCTGATTTTCGAGCTTTTCCCATTATATTGTCAATACGTATGAACATCTATATCTATAATTGCTGTGCAAACGGGGACGAGATATCCAAGAAAAGGATATAGAAATGCGAGGTGATGAGCAGCAGAGTGACAAAGGCAGACATGATCTTCGGTATGTTTCCCATGTCTACTTCCTCCTCCTTTGGCGACTTGCACAAAGGATTCGACTGGCTTAACTCTAGCGAGCGCCACCCATCCTGTTACCAGTCTCAACGGAACTAACAATCTAAGCGGTCTGCAACCTTTCCTATTCGTGGTCGCCCTTTATCCCTGCTGCTCACCACTCCAGCTAGTCGCCCAGTTCATGCATATCTCCAAGTTCCTGGTGAACTATTGACGCAGGATCCTTGCCCGAGCTATCCTTGACACGCAACCAGGTTAGCTGCGGATGGAGCAGGTCGCCTCCGCCTCCTCCCCGTGCCCCGGGGAAGAGAGAGTACCATCAAACAACTTCGATCAAACTTACTGCCACTTTACTTTCACTGTGGCCCCCTAGGAACAGCAGATTTCTCGGCTTTGACTAGCACCAATGTTATCCTCCTTGACTGTGTTTGGAGGAATTCTCTTCTCAGTATATCTGGCCGGAATATGCTGGTACCGACTCGTGATCAGCCCATTAGCCAAATTCCCCGGCACAAAGCTCGCAGCCTTGACGCTATGGTACGAGTTCTATTACGATGTGCTCAAAAGAGGACAGTATATGTTTAAGATCAGGGAAATGCATAGAAAGTATGGTAAGTGGGATCACAGAAATGCCCACAGTCGCGGCCGTTCCATCGCTGACTGGGCACGCGTGGCTTGTCAGGGCCGATTGTCAGGATCAGCCCGTACGAGCTTCATGTGAACGATCCAACTTTTCTTCCCGTGCTCTATGCTGGCGGTACAAGACGCCGAGACAAGTACGCCTGGGGTACCCGGCTGTTTGGCAGTTCCGACGCCGCAATTGCCACGGTCGGTCATGACATGCATCGCATGCGCCGGGGAGCGATGAACCGCTACTTCTCCAAGGAGAGCATCCGACGTCTGGAGCCGATCATCAACCGCAATGTCGAGAAACTGGCGCAGAAACTGGCCGAATTCAAAGGCTCGGCCAGATCCCTCAACGTCAACCTGCCATTCGGCGCCTTCACCAGCGACATTATCACCGAGTATTGCTTTGGCCAGTCTCGCGATTGGCTCGACAAGCCCGGGTTCAATGAGAAATTCATCGAGATGATGGCAAGCGTGCATGACCTGGGTGCGGCGGCCAAGCAATTCAATTTCCTCATCCTGGTCGATATGCTTCCGGACTGGTTCGTCGAGAAGCAGGACGCGGGGATGGCGGCTTTCATCCAGTTCAGACGGGTAAGCTTCTGGAAGGAATCGGTGATGCAGGCGGCCACACTCAACAGCTGACGCCATTCTGCGTAGGAGATGAGAGTCCAGATTGACGAAATCAAGGCCAAGCGAGCGAAAGGCGAGAAACCCGCGGTGCGAGCACAGACCACCATCTTCGACTCGATCCTCGACAGCGACCTCCCAGATGCAGAAAAGGAAACCGAGCGTCTGTGGCAGGAAGCTGAGGTGATTTGCATCGCCGGCACCGAGACAACAGCTTGGACGTTGTCCGTCTTGACTTTCTACCTGCTCTCAGACCCTGAGGTATTGCGCAAACTCCGCGACGAGCTCGAGTCGGCGATGCCGGACATGTCAACCACCAGCGTCAAGATTAAAGATCTGGAGAAGCTGCCGTATCTGGTATGTTCTGCGCCATTATCGAGTCCAGATTGTGAACCGATGCAGAACTGATACCGTCCAGACGGCCGTGATACAGGAGTCTCTGCGACTAGCGTTCGGAGTCTGCACGCGGCTGCAAAGAGTCTGTCCGGATGAAATCCTCGTTTACCGCGACGGAGAGACTCAGTGGAAGATACCCGCGAATGTAAGTTCCTTTGGGGCTCCAGTGACGACAACGAGCATTATTTGTACACGGCGCTGACACCCACCCTCTTAATAGACCCCGGTGGGCATGTCGTGCGGCCTGATCCACCTCGACCCGGCCATCTTCCCCTCGCCGCTCGAGTTTGCGCCCGAGCGCTGGCTGAAGGACCCGCACCTGGGCCGGTACCTGTGCTCGTTTTCCAAGGGGACGCGGCAGTGCATCGGGATCAACATGGCGTACGCGCAGCTGTACCTGTGCGTCGCGGGCATCTTTCGACGGTACGGCGGGCCTGGGAACCCCGGGCCGCTGGGGTACTTGGAGCTGGTTGAGACGACGCGCGAGGACGTCGAGGTCCAACACGATATGTTCGTGCCGTTTGCGAAGGCCGGCTCGAAGGGGGTGAGGGTTGTCGTGAAGTAACGAGGGTAGCCCTTCCTCTTCTCGGGGGATTTGAAACATATCGTCCACTGGAGGATGCTGAGTGGCATGGGGGAAGACGAGGTTGATGACAGAGGCGAAACAATGCCTGGCATCTCCCCAGGCTTCGTGGGCCGTCTATGCGAGCAGGATGTCGTAGAGGGGCCACGCCCACCTAGGTTTTATATCTGGCCCACCACCACGCACCACTTTAAGACCCAAGACCCAGAATCCAAGACCTAAGATCCGAGACCTGAGATCCGAGACCTAAGATCAAGGACCAATGACCCTCTTTTCTCCAGCAGTGCATATCTGCCAAGTCAACCCCTCCCCCTCCCTGGGTACGGGGGAGGAAGCTAGGACAATCTAACCCCTTCCGGTATCTCGCTGACTCTCTCGCGCGAGCACCTCTGTGTCCGTCTCCGTGTCCGTGTGGGTGTCGGTGCGCGACATACCGTGGGTCGGACGGTCGCTAAGCCAGGCATCTTTGGGGAAGCTGGCAGCGACGGGCTCTTGATCGCGAGGGCCTGGACTCGGGACCGTGGACCGCGGACCGTGTCTTGATAGGCTGGACATGGACGACGTGTCTTGAGTTCGCGTGTGATGGTTCTCTTCCCCCCTGTCTCACGGCGCGAAATTAAGTGAGAGGGAAAGGAAAGGAGTGGAAGAAGAAAAGGAAGAGGGGCTGGGAGGGATAGAGGATGAGAGCCAGAGGTCGTTTGACGCTGAGACTTTGGCGAGGACGACGGATGGACAAGATATGTATCAATGGAAGGACCGTACTGATTTGATTTCATGCTAATGTTACAATTGGGGCTCCTATCTCGTCGACGATCCTATCTAGGTTCCTTATTCGATTACGATACTCCCAAACATCCAGTTCCTTCCCGGGGCTAGTTCTACTCAGATACTCCCCTACCGCGCACGGCTCTCATTTGTACAGGCCGGGGTACTCGGCCTTGATCAGGTCCGCGCCCTTCTCGGCGACCATGTAGACGTCGTTCTGGATGCGGCAGTCGGGGATGACGGGGAAGACCGAGGCGTCGATGACGCGCAGGTTGGCGGCGCCGTGGACCTGCAGCTTGGGGTTGACGACGCCCTGCGCGATGTCCTTACCCAGGCGCGCGGTGCCGCAGGGGTGGAAGCCGGTCTGGGAGCGCTCGAGGATCTGGCGGATCATGGCCTCGTCCGAGTTGCGCGGCAAGGCCCACGGGTAGTCGCCCTCGATGAGGTCCTTCATGCCCTCGCCGTGCATGACGATGTCGTCGATCATGCGCACGCCCTCGCGCAGCGCGACCAGGTCCAGGTCGTGCGAGAAGAAGTTGATGTTGACGTACGGCTGCTCGGTCGGGTCCGTCGAGTTGAGCCGCACCTCGCCGTTGCGCGACAGCGGCCGCATCAGGTCCACGATCACCGTCAGGTAGTCGCCCTGCGGCGGCGTCGGGAAGTGCCATTGGAAGGCGTCGCAGAACATGGGCTGCGTGGGGGGGTTGTCATGTCAGTCTTCTTAGGGTCCCAAAAAGCGGGCTTTTTGTCTGGAGGGGGGGGGTGTGTACTTACCACAAAGTCGACCTCAAAGTGTGGCTGGCCGGCAGGGCCGAACGGGTCAACTCCGCCGTTCTTGGCCTTGTACTCGCGGTACTCTTTGGACGTCTCGAACCACTCATCGGCTCGGGGGAAGGCGACCAGCTCGAGCAGACCGCTGCTGTACGGGCCGGTGCGGTCCTTCCGGTAGGCGGCGATGGCACCGTCCTTCTGGGGACCGGCGCGCAGGAGGTGGCTGTCCAGGCCGAAGCCGTCCTTGATCTTGAAGACGTGGGACAGGATGGGGTGGTCCAGGAGGTTCTGGCCCACGTGCGGCGAGTCGACGAGGGTCTTGATGCCCTTGGACTCGAGGTGTTCCTTGGGGCCGATGCCGGAGAGCATCAGGAGCTTGGGCGACTCGAACACGCCCTGCGAGACAATGACCTCGTACTTGGCGCGGAAGGTGTAGTCCTGCCCGTCGGGCCCGATGACGGTGACACCCACAGCCTTGTTGCCTTCGAAGACGATCTTCTTGGAGATGGTGGACGACATGAGAGTCACGTTGTCCTTGCCCTCGATGAAGACGGCCGCGGTCGATCGGCGGCCCTTGTAGATGGAGTTGACGCACTTGAACAGCCCCTTCTGGGTGCCGCTGTAGACATCGGTGGTCAGCTCCTGGCCCTTGCTGACCCAGGCCTTCTCCAGAGCATCGCGGAAGGGCTTGAGTTCGGGGATCAAGTCGGAATGCGAGATGTGAAGAGGACCGCCTTGGTTGCCGATCTTGGCCAGGTCGGTGGGATAGAGGTTGTCGTCGTCGTGGTATGTCGTCGACTTGTTGAAGTAGGCCTTGGTGTTCTCCCAGTTCCATTCGTCGGTTCCATACTCGGCCCAGTCGTCGAATGTGGCCGCGCTACCACGGACCCAGGTATAATAGTTGCCACCGCTGCTGCCACCGAGCATCTTACCACGAGTGTTGGGCTTCTCGACTCGAGTATAGTCCGGGCGGTTGATCATGGTGGTCTTGTAACCCCAATCATACTGGCTGCCTCGCAGCTCAAAGGCACGAGCTGGAGTAAAAATCTCGGGGATCTCATTGGTGTTACTACTCTCAAGTCAGTCATGGAAGTTCGGTACCAGGAGAGCAACAGGGGCATCGACGTACTTGATACCAGCTTCAATCACCAGCACCGAGACCTTGGGGTTCTCCGCCAGACGGCCAGCGACAACGCAGCCAGCGGTACCACCTCCGACGACGATGAAGTCGAAGGCTTGAGGGGCGCCTTTGGGGGCAGTGGCGGGGTGCACCATTGTGATTAGTACGGAAGAGACTAGTTTCTTTTTAGAGGAAGAGGGCTGCTGGTAGGCTGTTTATCAATGGTTTCAAGGCGCGAGGGCACTGGAGCTGTGTATGTGTCAACCGTGAGATACTTCGAAGGGATAGCTCTCTTTATACCTTCGAAGCTGGTCCAAGTCGGTATCTGACGCCATTCAGTGTCAGTTGGGCAGACCAAACATCACGTCTTCGTCTATACGTTCTTTGGACAAGTTTCCGTCCCAACCGCCAATCCACCAAGAGGCCTCCCGCCGGTGTAGGTTGGATGTTTCGATACAGAACGCCTGGCGGTAGAAAGTCTTGCTCGAATGCCCTCCCAGGGCGGGCAAATGGATGAGCCATTGGACAATATCCAGGTGTTCAGCGTGCCTCGACGGGCACATGCCTCTCCTCGTTTGCCAGGATCCATCACTGTGTGGAGGAGAATGGAGTTGGTACCGCCTCTCGTAAGTAGCAAGTCGAAAAGGGAAACGCCGGCCTTTCCGTTTGGGCACAGGCTCAGAGCTGTCTGATATTCCTGGACGCTCAACTCGTGCGAGCTGTGTAGGAAGAGCAAATCATGCTTCGAGAGCCGGGCAGGCATTCGCACGAGACGAATGTTACGGCTCAACCCTGAGGGCGTTAGTATCTCTTGCAGATGTATTATTCATCCGAGGATTAGCTGTTCACGGAATGGTTCTGGGGTGCTAGATTTCAGCCTCGCAGACACCCGATGTTAGTCTCGCTTCCCACGTCAACCATACGTCAAGCGCTGTTCCTCTGCGAATCACAGAGCTCAGTAGATTTTCCCATTGCACGTGTAGTACGCACACAGTTTGTCCATTGCGGAGACAGCCACACAGCCTTCCGCAGCACCCACCACTCTTCGTCAGCCGGGAAGCTTGGTTGTTCGCCGTCGGGTCGATATGATATGATATGTCATATGCGGCGGATCAGCAGGAAAGACCTCTTCACATCAAATATCTGACAGTAGGCGTGCTCCAAGCAAGAAGGATCAACGAGAAAGCCAGCGTGATGAGAGGAGATGGGGGCGTCGACACCCATGACTAACCATACTGCACTTTTCTCCCCATCAAGCCATGGACGTGGATCAGGGTCGAATGCTGAATGGGCCCGAGGAGTTGCGCAGATCAGATTCATGCATCGATAGCGTGTCCTTGCTACTGTACATAACATTACCCCGGTGCCTGTTGGGTGCCTGGGTAGCTCTCGAGTTGGGACAGGAGGTTAAAAGATTCGGGCATGAGTTGGGTCGGTGAATATGGCCTAAACGGGCCTCGAGGGGTGATTCTCGCTCCCTGCTCGGTCCCTCGTAGGCTGATGGGGGTGATTGCTAGCTGTAACCCCTGGATGATTGTAGTAGCGAAATGGCAGACACTTGTCGCCCACATTTACCCGGCAGAGTAAGCCCGCCCACTTTTACCCGGCGCAGTAAGAGCGAGGCGAGTCTCGGAATGCCTGGCAGGCCGTGGCAGCCTGGGTAGGTCCCAGCGAAGGCTTCGCGCGAGACAGTCGGCCAGGATGGTGATGGGTGTGCCTCTCGCGCAGCCTCTCATCCTCCTCGTCGCTAATCACTCAATGCAGTCTGATGAGTAACGAGGCCGCCATGTCGCATGTGGTGGGAGTGTCCGAGCAAATGGCACACTGTCCTCCTGCAGCATTCGTTGCTATTGCAGCTGAAGCACCATGAAAACAATAGGTGGAAAGGGCATCGAGCGATTGTTCAGCATCCCGCATTCAGTTTGCGGCGTTGATCGGCGATGTCTTTGCCTTTCTTTAACGAAGGTCCGTTGGCGAACGTTGGGAGCAGTCGGAAACCATGGCCCGACTATTCTCAAGAGCTTCTGGAACTACAGCAGGTCGTCGGAATTGTCCAGGTAATGTCCAGATGGTATATGGGATGGTTAACTAAGGTTCTCTACGATGAAATGCCGTCCATGCACAGAGAACAAATGGTAAAGAAAGAAGCTCCAATTATGTCAATCGAGCTACCCATCCAGTTAGCATTGCAACGACGATGTTGGATCTGATATTGCCCGTGGACACACTAACCGACATATTTGACCATTGATGCCAACGCATCTTGACCTGATAGATGATCGTCGACGAACAGGTCAGCACTGTGAAAGCACCCGAGACAAGACTGATCAGTCAAAGACCGGCAGCGTAGACTGCAAAGACCTACACTACCTAACAAGTTTGTCCTTTGCAGGCCCGGTTGACGTGCAGCATCCCAGTTTCCATCACTACACAACTATCGCCCAGGCAGGAAGACTGAATTACTACATTTCTCAGGTGAAATTCCACAAAGTGTGACCGAAATGGAATCCCCTACACTAGTTACGCGGGCTATATTCTCGGTAAGTTCAGCCAATATGGCCAAGGTTGCGCCCCTTTCACAGCCGATGGCGGTGCCTGATGGCGCGCTGCAGACAGACGAGCCAAACGTGGCGACGCACTGGCCGCTAAAGGCACCAAAGATCAGATACTGGGATGGCTACACGACGACGAGTTCATTGAAGGAGGACATCCAACGCCAACATCCTGGGCATATGCATCCTGGCGGTGGTGCGTGGAGCGAGGCATGCCGTCAGATTGGGGCTCAGTGGTATCTCGCCGAAGCCTTGACTCTTTTGCTTGGTGTTGGACTGTTTGTTGGCTGCATTCCCGAAAGGTTCAGTCCTGGGTCCTTCGACGTCTGGGGCCATTCACATCAGCAATTCCACGTTTGCATGGTTCTTGGTGCGGCGTTCCACCATGTCGCCCTCGTCCACGAATACAGATGCCGTCAGTCTCACCCGCGTTTGTTGAGTCGAGAGTGTCCAAACACCTATTGCCAGTTCCGGCGCCCTTGGTCCTGACCTCAACAGAGTCCACCTTTCGTTTCCAGACCCGTGCAACTGTTCCCTTGTCGAGACATGCGGCTACGACGCGTAGTATAGGGAGAGTCAACTGGGTGCACATTGACGGATCAGAACACCATACGAGAGAAGAGGCACGGAGACAACGCTGATACAACGCCGTGATATTCAACAGCCCGAAAGACCGTTCCTCTCCTGGGTGTACGTTTCAGTCGCCTATATTTCAGTGCTAGGTCCTGGTAATGGCCTCCACAATTGCATTCCCCGTGGCTGTGGCACTCGCAGCGTTCTGGCCGGTGATCAACCGTCCGCCTTTCGACACGACCACAAACTCAGCCCACGGCTTGTCTGCCTTGATGTACTTTCCATTGCTGTTTCTGTTGAGCTCGGTCTCCAGCATGAACGGCATGAATTGGGAGAGGTGAACCGAGTCCTCCTCGGCATTGGAGAAGCCCGTCACCTCTGCATCCGCCACAAGGTAGCTGCCATCCGAGAGCTTGACATTGACCAGCGAGGCGGGCCCATGGCAAAGAGCCGCGACCACTTTGCCGCCTTCGAAGAATTCGCGAATGAGTTGGATCGAACTTGCATCCGTTGCAAGATCAAACATTGCTTCGCGACCTTTTAGCAGGTGGAGTTGCATCGACATCAAGGAGAGACACTATACTTACGACCGTGGCCTCCTACGTAGAAGATTGCTGCGAAGTCGTTGGCCTTGCCCAAGAAACTGTCGAGTTTCTCTGTGTTTTTCCAGAGATGGGATTGGGTCTCCAAGAACTGGGCAGACACCTCCTCCTGCTTCCAGCTCTCGACCGAGCCTGGATCAAGAGGAGCTTCACCGCCGGCTGGAGACGCTACAGTGATGTCCGCGATCTTGTGCAGTTGGCGATACGGGTGGGCGAATTCAGGCTGTTGATGAATCGTGAGCACTTTCGCACGAAGTTGGATCAGGTAGCGGGATTCTTTACCAGATACCAGCCAGTAGGCTTGCCCGACGCGCCCAGTACGCCGTGGGAGGTTAAGACGAGGAGCACACGAGGCTTGGACGGCGCCATTCCAGCAAAGAATCCAGACAAAGATAGGGAGAAGTGTCACTGTTTGACGGTCGGCCCAGGGAGAGAGGCAGGCAGGCAGGTTTTAACTGCCGAAGTCCTGTCGAAGGAACATCCTCTGCTTGATCGGCAGAATATAACTCCTTCGCTCCCTAGCATGTGGTACATTGTGGCCAGACATTTCTGACAAATCCCGGGTGTATCAATCCACTGTGACCAGACATCAGGTTACCACTGGGTCTGGTGTATGTCGCGAAGAGCAACCACAGCCATGGGCAGATACATATTCCAATGCGAAGGGCCCTGGAGATTCGTTCGCGGGGCCGCGGCATCTGTTGGTCCTTTTAAAGCCTTGCCCACCCCCCGGTCAATGAGGCTCTCGTCCGTTGCGCTGGGGGCCGGAACATCCGTGTCGCCAGTTGGTCGTTGCGGATGCTATCCGTTGAACTGTCCCTGCAACAACGCCCATGGCCATTGGGCTAGCGGAGACGTCGAAGCGAAATGAATTGATGATTAATTGGTGCTGCTCGGTCCCTATGCTTTACTAGCCAGGGCGACCATTTGCGTGACCGTATCTCTCTCCGCCATGCTCATCCTTTCTCCAACCCCCGAAGGTGTTTTCTCGGACTATGACGCGCCTCGGGCCCAGGCTGGTCAGGCAAACCCTCTGAAGGCCACGAACGAGTGCAATTGGCGTGCAGAGGCGCCAGATCGAGCAAGGATATGATGTCGGTTCCGGAATGCTTCGACAAAGTGGCAAGCCAGCCACCAGCCCATCAGATTGCCCGCACGATTGCATCAACGCCGTACCTGACAAACCTGACAAATCGGGCCATCCGCCAGCAATGACGGGAAGTATCCCTGTTAAAGCGGACAGCATCCGTCTGTACATCCTCCTTTTTCGATTGCCCAGCAGGTAAACATGGACGCTGCCGCCGTTGAGAGATCTGATGCCCCGTCGGGCCCAACTACACAGCGGCCCTGCAAAGCGCGATCTCGTATCAGTGCCGCCTGCGTGCGATGCCAGAAGCGGAAGATTCGATGTGACGGAGCCGTGCCAGCCTGTGGTGCGTGTCGAAAAGCAGGGGCAAATTGCGTGGGGGGAGGAGCATCTCGCGATATCCCTCGAGGGTGAGCCATTGACGCATATTGGACTACTACTCGTACAGGAGCATTAACCGCTTGCTGTTCAGCTACGTGCACGACTTGGAGGCCCGTATTGCGTGGCTGGAATCCATTGTGCGGGAACATGTACCCAGCGTCGACCTTGGTGCTGGGCCACATTATCAATCCCACGGCACGCCCAGTCGTGGGCCCAAGGACTCTACTCTATCTCATCCTCAACCAGACGATGGGGCCTCCGACGCCTATTCTCCCGAGGATGAGTCCCTCAGCGACATCACGCATCAGATTGGACTCGTCTCCGTCACCTCGGGGACAGATCTCCGCTACCTGGGCCCGTCTAGCGGGCTGTTCTTCACCAAATTCGTCTTAGCAGGACTGGGACGGAGGATCCAGGTCGAGAAACAGTACTCGCCTGATCCCGTGAAAGATTCTCTCTCGATCCCCGCCGATCTCCTCGTCGTTCGACCTCAAGACCTGCCGTCCGACAAGAGACACGCGCGGTGGTTGTCGCAGGCATATTTTGAAACGGTTCATCTGCAGTTTCCCTTCCTCCACGGACCGAGCTATTTCGACATCCTCGAGAAACTGTATGACGGTGTCGAGGTCGGCCCAACATGCGAGTTCCAGGTCTTCATGGTCCTCGCAATCGGGGCGACGATCCTGGCACGTCGAGCAAAAATACCTCTGTGTGCTGAAGGCTATTATGCCTCTGCAATGACTCGGCTCGATGGCATCTTCCAGAAAGCCTCCTTCACGGGGGTCCAGTGCGTTCTGCTTCTGCAGACGTATGCCATGAACAACCCGTCGTCTGGATTGAGTCTGTGGTCTCTTCATTACCATTGTCTGGCGTGGACAATCGAGCTGGGTCTGCAGCGCAACGCCCCTGGAAACCTCTTTTCTGTCCCACAGCAAGAGCTGCGCACCAGGGTCTTTTGGTGTGTCTACACAATCGACCGCGCCTTGTGCACTCTCATGGGAAGACCGCTTGGGCTGATGGACGAGCAGTGTGACTTGCGGGTGAGCTCGACGCCTCCGACCGTAATATGTATGCCAACCGATACTGACTCTTCTAGTTACCATTGAATATCGATGACAAGGACCTTGACTCCAGCCAAACGAAGTCGGGTCACGGCGACGACTCTCTGACCGACATGTCCAGCGCCATCCACCTCTTCAAGCTGGCGAGACTCAACTCTGAGATCAAATGCGTGCTGTACTGCGTCGGTCGACAATACCCACCCTATACGCGACCGGCCACTTCGGACATCGTCCGATGGAAAGAGGATATCTTGAACAGATTGCGGAAATGGAAGGAGGAGATCCCGCGACACCCAGAAGGCAGCGAACGATCTGGCATCAACCACCTCTGCGAGATCAAATACCACGAGCTCATCATGCTGGTCCTCCGGCCGAACCCCGTGTTCCAGAATCCCACACAGGCTGCTCTGCGCGAATGCTTTGCCAGCGCCATGCAGTGCAGCAAGCTCTACCACGAGCTCTACGCCGCCAACACCCTCCACTACAGTTGGATTGGCGTCCACTCGCTCTTCCTCTGCGTCATTACCATGTTCTACTGCGTCTGGACGCCCGGCGGCGTCGCCGATGAGGTGGACGTCGACACGCTGATGCGGGCACTCAAATCGACCTCCGACATCCTCAGCGCGACGGGCGAGTATTGGCCCGAGGCGAGACGGAGCCGTGATGTACTGGACCGCATCTCGACGGCGACCGTGTCCCGATTTACCACGAAGTTCTGCGAGACGCAGAGCGGCACGGTCAACCCGAGGCCACCACCCACGCCGCCCATCTCGGCGAATTTGGGCTTCGAACAAGCAACAGAGGTCCCCGACGTAGATTTCATCTCTCCACCCGACTTCCAGGCGCTTCAATTTGGGAACGGAAGCTTTGGCACTGGGTACATGTCTCCCGTCTACGAGACACAGGCCGACTCGTTCACCACCACCGATATGCTGTCATACTTTATGGGATCTGGGGGCGATGGGAATATGAACAATGCCCAGATGATGGGGGGGTACTATCCCAGCGTGGACGAAGTGATGCAGAATTTCTTTGCCAACGGATTCCGGGATTTGGGGGAAATTCAATAGACTTGTTTGTGCCGGTGTTCTGGGGACCAAAAGTTCATCATCTACAGACGTACAGCAGTAGCAGCATTAATTCAAAAGCCTTGGGCTACTATTCGCGCGCTTAATGTGTTTTTTAGTACGCCCCAGATGCTGCATTGTTAGAGCAGGCCATGGGTAAGGCTCGACTGGTTCGACTGACGCTATGCAACAAACCTGTTCCATCCAGAGGTACAAGTTCGGACTCTGCCTCGCGTGTTACTTCCAGGTAGCCCATCCCAGCCATGTTCGGGCAGGAATTAATCAGCGAATATGGCTTGCTGTCGGCATATTAATCACCACTATACAATCAACGTCATATATGCGGGAGGCCCCGACCTGGAGACGGCATCCCGCTGCCAAGCATCTCCCGAACTGTCTCCGACCTCTTCCGCTATAGATTTCCCTCAGGCACTGGGACGCCAATCGACGGCTGTGGCCCGCCTCCATTGTCTACACCTCCTCCTCTATCCCTTCTTTCTGGGGTAGCGGCTGGTCCGTCACCACGACGGCACTCGAGATGGCGATACTGCTGTCTGGATTCTGGAAGCAGCACATCATGCCGGCAGAAGACATGCGTATAAAGGGGGGAGAGTCCCTGGTCTTGCCCACCTCTCTCAATTCCACAATCGTCTCTTACAGGAACAATCCACTGAGTTCTAACCAAGTCTAACAAAAACCAAACCAAAGAAACACCAGTCGAAATGTCTGCCGCCGCTGCTCCCTCCAAGACCGTCGCCATCCACGGCAAGGATATCTCGATCCCCACGGGTCTATTTATCAACAACGAGTTCGTCAACGCGCTCTCTGGCAAGACGTTCGAGGTCGAGGACCCCAGCAAAGGAAAGACTATCCTGTCGATCCAAGAAGGCCAGGCGGAAGATGTCGACGTGGCCGTCAAGGCCGCCAGGAAGGCCTTTGAGGGCGGATGGGCGGATTCGGACCCGGCCTGGAGAGGCTCGCTGTTGCTCCGCCTGGCCGACCTGATGGAGAAACACCGGGACGAGCTTCTCGCCATCGAGATGGTGGACAGCGGCAACACCCTCAACCAGGTCGGGACCGTCGATCTGCCTGCCTCGATCGGGACGTTACGGTACTACGCCACATGGGCGGACAAGGTGTACGGCCGCACTTCTGCCACTGTCCCGGGCACGTTCACCTACACGGTTAGGGAGCCCATTGGCGTGTGCGGCCAGATCATCCCGTGGAAGTACGTATCTCACGACATTTCCGTAACGGAGGAAAAAGCATGACTAACAGACCATTCCTGGCACTAGCTTCCCCCTGATGATGTTCGTCTGGAAGATCGCGCCGGCGTTAGCCACCGGCAACACGATCGTGATCAAATCCGCAGAGAGCACGCCTCTGTCAGCCCTCAAGATGTGTGAGCTCATCCGCGAAGCTGGGTTTCCGGCCGGCACCGTCAATCTGATCTCTGGCTTTGGGCCCACCGTGGGCGCCGCGATCGCGAACCACATGGACGTCGACAAGGTCGCCTTCACGGGGTCCACGGCGACGGGTCGCGTGATCATGAAGGCGGCCGCGTCGTCGAACCTCAAGAAGGTCACGCTCGAGCTCGGAGGCAAAAGCCCGGTAAGCCGCCCGACATTTTTCTCTCCTCGCGGCGTCTCCTCTCGCCCGCGAGCAAAAGACTGATTCGTCGCAGAACATTGTCTTCCCCGACGCGGACCTGGAGAAAGCGGTCGACTGGTCGGTCCTGGGCATCGACTTCCACGCCGGCCAGGTCTGCCACGCCGGAACCCGCATCTACGTACACGAGGACATCTACGACGCCTTCCTCGCAGCCTTCACCAAGAAGCTGGCGGCCACCAACGTGGGCAGCAACTTCAGCAGTCAGACGGACCAAGGCCCGCAGATTAACAGGTCGCAGTACGAGAAGATTCTCGGGTACATTGACGTTGGCCAGAAGGAAGGGGCCACGCTCCACCTGGGTGGCCACGCGATCTCCAAGGATGGTGGTTATTTTATCGAGCCCACCATTTTCACAAACGTCACGCCCGAGATGAAGGTACGCAGATTTCTCCCTCTTTTGCTGTCGTGCATAGATCAGCTGACAATTTCCGCCCCTGCAGATCGTCAAGGAAGAGATCTTCGGCCCCGTGGTCGTGATCGCCAAGTTCAAGACCGAGGAGGAGGTGCTCCGCGCGGCCAACGACACCAGCTACGGCCTCGCCGCGGGCGTCCACACCAACGACTACCAGCGCGCGCTGCGCATCACCAAGAAGCTGAAGGCCGGCACCACGTGGGTCAACATGTTCAACTTCCTGCACTGGAGCATGCCGTTTGGCGGGTACAAGGAGAGCGGCATCGGGCGCGAGCTCGGCGGCGAGGCGCTGGACAACTACACCCACGTCAAGACCGTCTACTTCAACATGGGCCTCCCGGCGCCGAAGCAGGCCTCTTTCTCCGGATAGGTTGCCCAGGGGCGTGGAACTCAGCGAGGGGGAATTGTGGGTGTGCGTAGGTGAACAAGAGGCAGACATTGTAAGATAGGATCGTGCATTCGTTCAAAGCTGGTAGGCGAGTTTGGGCCGGGGAACGAAGGGAATAGATTGATGCATTACACACACTTGCCGTCTCGTTTCTTGTGCAGCGGCTCGTCAGAGAGCCTAGAGGCTGCTCGTGTTCAGACTGCCTGTCGTGACAACCACCGCCACTTCTTCCATCGTAGGATGCATGGCTCGGCAAGGCTGTCATGAAAAGGGGGGCGACTGCAACCAAGTGACCAACGCGCTGACCAGCCACAAAGCTTTAGTCCTTACACCGACTAATAGCCACTGGTCCCTGATGGTCCAGACCCCCTATGCAGCTACGTTGCGGTCACAGAGAGAGAGGGAGAGGGAGAGGGAACCGGCCCGTATTCCCCTTTGCCGTCTTTGCTCATCCCGACCCCAGCCATCACTCACTCACTCACTCGTATCCTCGCGCGTGGTCAACATGACCCGTTTCAGCACACCACCCCGACCCAGAGCTTTTCCACAACCATCATGCCTGGAAGGACGTGCACATGACGATTATACATCCTCCGCAAACATTCTCATCCGGGAACTATGGCGCATGAGGCAGCTAGGCCACATTTCGTCAGCGAGTCTGGAGGGCGAGGGCGGCCTGAAAAAAAAAAAACAAATGGATCTACAAAGGTGACCAAACACGGAAACCGATGCTCCAGGCCGACAAATGATGCCGTCAGCCTTACCACCACCTTCCCAACCCGAGGTAGGGAGGGAGGGCGTGTTACACGAGGATCAAGGTATCTCTGTGTCAAACCCGCAACTTGCTACATACAATTGTCACCAACACTACCAAACGAGTTGCGTCGCTGACCCACCCCCTTATGATCCCCATCCCCGAACCTCAGGCAAGGCAGGGAGGGGTCAGCGGAGGTATCAACGGTGCGTGAGCCTACTGGCGGCGCCTCAGCCTCAGCCTCAGCCTCGGCCTCTCCAGGATCCCATGCTCGTTCGGCCTCGCACATCGGCTGGCGGTGGTCAAGATGACGGGAACCAATACGAGGTGAACAGGGACTCGAGTCTTTTCTACACGGACACACGTCTAAGCATATCCGGGACAAGACGGGACAGGCCAGCATCAGTCTGCCGACAAGGCATTGGCAATCACTGATGACAGTCCACCGGCGTCAAAGCACGGGGGTGAGACTCGAGGTTAAACAGGAAACTTTGGCCAGAATGGAAACACCGTGCCTGACGCGGGATCGGATCCAGGCGAAGAACGCCCGGGCCTTTTCGGTTTCTTCCCTCTTCTTGACACGATCAAGCTTTGGTAGCCCTCAGTCACGGACAGGAGGGCAACAAACACGATATGTAAGCCACGGTCCAGCTATTGTGAGATGGAGAGGGCCAACCAACCTCCATCAGCTGATTGACATCCAGGTGGACATGATAGGGCGGAAATGCTTGTCGTCTTTGGCAGAAGGCTGACCCAGAGTCCTCGTTTACAAGCTGAGAAAGATCAGACCGCATATGTCCTGTGTCGGGTTCGCTCCCCAAGGACTGTTTGAGGCCCCTTCAAGGCTGTGCCTTTACAGCCCTTTGCACCGAGGAGGCGGTGTCTCCTCCTTTGCCTCACACGAACACGATATGAATGTCATTTAAGAGAGCTCGAGGTTTGTCCTCTGGCGTCTTCTTTCCGACCGGACGCAAAATTCCATTTTATTTTATTTTTTCACTCACAGAATATCCAAATCCATTCAAACAGCAGTCAGTCATGGGATCGCAGACCGTGCTCAACGGAGTCAATGGACACTCCCAATCCTCCGCGACCTCAGCGTTGCCATTCATCCAGGTGCCCTCCAGCTTCAGGATCCAACCGCAGGACGAGAGGCTGAAGCGTTGTTCGGCGCCGGACCCAGCCAAGGGTGTCATTCAAGCGGGCGCCGCGCCGAGCACGACGATCCCGCCGCTGAGCGTGCTGTCCAACTTCGCGGGGACGTTCCACGGGACGGGCTTCAACACTATCTTCCGACCGAACAACGGCACCAGCAACAACACGACGTTTCCGGACCCGGTCTCGCCGGCGCCGCCGGCGGTGCCCAACGACAACACGCTGGAGCTCAACCTGACGCAGGAGACACTGGCGTTCCAGCCGCCGATCGGCAACGTGCCTAACCGCGGGTCAGGCACGCAGGGCGACATCTTCCTCAACGGCGTGCCCTACACGCAGATCATCAACGACGTGATCAACCCGGCCACGGGCAAAGGGGACGGCGTGCCGTCCGGCATCCACTTCGAGCCGGGGCTGTGGATGCACGTCCCGGCGACCACCTCGGACCCCGTGGTGCCCGAGTCGCTCAACCGGATGGGCTCGATCCCGCACGGCACAACGATCAACGCGCAGTGCCTCGACCCGACCTCCAGCGTCGGCACGGTCGCGGGCCCGCCGACGATCCCGGCGGTGGACATCACGCCCACCGTGCTCGCGACGGGGAAACCGGTCACTTTCCCTTCCCAAACGGCGGCCAGCACCGACACGGCGCGCCTGCCGCAGGACCTCTCCAAGTTCATCGCCGCGGGGACCATCACGCAGGCCACGCTGGACGACCCGGCGACGGTCCTCCGCGCCGCCATCGCGGGCCAGGACATCACGCAGACCATCTTCTTCACCGTCTCGACCACGCCCGCGGCGCCCGAGCTGGGCGGCGGCGTCGCCAACACGGGGTTCCTGGTCGGGGCCAGCGCCGGCACGGGCACGAACCCGACAGGGCCCAACGCCCAAGCCACGGCCATGACGGCGACCTTCTGGATCGAGACGGTGCGGTACCAGCTCCGTGTGCCCGCCTGGAAGCCCGGCCACCCGGCCATGCTCATCCCGGCACCCGTCCCCGCGGGCAACACCAGCGGGGTGCCCACGCCCACGTTCCTGGTGCAGCCGCCGCACGAGATCCGCGCGCCGACGACCATCACCGTCTCGGCCACCCAGATCCAGTACTCGCAGCTCGTCAATCTCGTGTTCGCCGGCCTGGTCTGGCCGCACTCGTCGCATGCCACCCTGGTGCCGCAGAGTCCCGTGCCCGTTCCGGCCTCGGCGTTTGCGAGTGCTCGCCACGTCGCCGCGAATGGGAGCTAGTGGTGCAGCGGATGTTGGAGTGTCATTGACAAGGCTGAGGCGAATGGAGAGAATGATAGAGAGCGGACCAGAAAGGGGTAGCTAGGTAGAGAAAGATTGCTCTGTTCAACACGTTTTCAGCCACATGTAGTTCCATACAACTGGGCCGTGAGCCCAGGCCATCTTTCCTCAGCCGCACCTATTTGGAGGTAAGAAGTGAGCGAGCTACATGTCTGAATGCGTAAGAAGCGGTCACCACAAGGATCGACCTAAAATCGAGTCGAGTGTTGCGCCTGCGTCGGGAGACGGCAAGAGTCACTTCGTCCATGGGCCAGGAATCAAAAGACACTACCTAGTCACGAGTTTCATCAACGCGGTTCGAGAGGTTGAGGGCGAGTGCGCGCAGTCTGGAGTGTCTTTCGCACGTCTGCTGGATGTACTCGGTACTCGATATCGTGTGGTTGAGGTCAGCTTAGCCCAGGCGTGGCTTACCTGGAGAATCACCCGAGTCCCATCATGGTGGGCCTTGATCGTCAAGTGGTGGTGCATGGAACGCCTCTTCCCTAGTGTGCGGTACCTAGAACATAAGCGTCCATCGGACGTGCCACTATCTGCGTTTCTCTACAGGCAATAGAGGGCCCCGACGCATCAAAATTAACAGGATCTCTGGTTGCAATACAGATGAGGTTCCGTACCCTCTCCTGAGCAATATCCAGGAGAATCGCACAGACGCCACCACCAGGAAAACAAAACAAGCTCAGCTAGGATCACAATAGAGCGGCGCATTGGGACTTTTGGTAGAAATATTATAAGGTATTGGAAGATACAGCCACCTAGGCAAGAAAGATATGGTTGTCGTGTGGGCTGATCCGTCAACCTCCCTTGACTAGTCGTTCCGATACTTCAGCCTCGAGCATCACTCCTTCAAGGTGCACCTGGAAAAAGCAATTAAGCCTTCCCATGCCTTCCCCATAAAAGCATGCCTTGCTAAAAGGAATATCGTCTTTCCTTCATCCTGTGCTGGTGTTCACCAATGTTTTGCGCTCGCTTTCTTCACCTAAGCAGCAGCAACCTCTTCGGTTGTGCCGTTAGTGCCATTCTCGCCATTTTCGGTGGTCTCAGCTGCACCGTCTTCCTTTCCTGGGCTGTCGATGGCGACTTTGACTGCGATCTCGCGACCCTCGATCTGCTTGCCGTTCATCTCCTCAACAGCCTTCTGCTGCATCTCCTCCGAGGCAAGAGTGACGAAGCCAAAGCCACGGCCCTTGCGAGGCTCGTTGCGAGCCGCAAGTTTCTTGACCATGAATCGAGGAATAGGACGCAGGGCGATCTTGGCAGAGCTGGGTTGGTATGCGGCGAAGAGTTCCTTGAGCTGCACACGGTGTTAGCACGATTCGACTGATTTTGCGTCTGTGGTCCATACCTTTTCTTCGCTCAGGTCGTAGGGCAAGTTGGCAACCATGACCTTAGTGGTCGAGGGAATGCCGTCTTCCGGAGGACCGCGTTGCTTGGGGGGACGGGGAGTTCGAGATTTGGCATCGATGGCGGGCGCGGCCTTGTTGGCTTCGGCAGTGACATCGGTAAGAGGAAGGGGGTTCTCTGCGAGGTCTGTGGCAGGTGCTCCACCCTCCTGCAAATATGTCAGTGATCAGGTTGTGCAGACAAAGGAATCGTCGCTTGACGTACAGCAGCGCCTCTTGCTCCTCCCCGGCCACGTCCACCTCGGCCACGACCACGGCCACCACGACCGCGTCCTGCGGATCTTTTTCGGTCGGCATCAGCACCTTCAGCGCCACCCTCAGGGGTTGCGGCCTGATCGGGCTTGCGGGCGACTTGAACAGAGACTTTGCGCTCGAGGATCTCCTTGCCGGAGAGTTCCTCGATCGCCTTCTCCGCCTCCTCTGCCGTCTTCAGATCGACAAAGGCGTAGCCAACGGGGCGGTTGGTGCGGGGGTTGACGGGGATGGAAGTCGACTCGCTGTAGGGGAAAAAAGATCAGCCACAGGGACGGATGAGAAAAAGTCGACAGTTGCCACCTACACATCATAGCCAGAAAAGAATTGCTTGAGTTCCGCCTCAGTGGTCGCATATGCGAGATTCCCGATGTACAATCGACGACCTTCGGCTGCGGAGGCCAAAACGCTCTCGTTGTTGGCAGCAGAGGCTTCCTCGATGCTGGTGTTCTTGAGGGTTTCGGCAAGGTTGTCGATGGCAGAAGACATTGTGGCTGAGGCACAAGTTGGTTGAGTTGACAGGTGGTTTGAAATGGGGACTTGTGGATGGGAACTTGACTCAGGTAGCTAAGGGCTGCCTTGGGAATCAATTGACGGAGGGGTGTAAAGGGTAGCTAAGTGCCCTAGATTCAAAGGATTGTTTGAAGATGAGCTCGGGTTGTGATCAGTCAAAGGATGAACTGGTTGATGAGAAACAAAAGGGAAGGGAAATTCCAAAGGGGCCTTTTTGACTGCAGGCCGAGAGAAAATTAATTGTTTAGCGGCAATAGCGGTGGGCTCAATTTAGTGACGCGGAAGTGACGAATCGGCGGGCCTAAACGGGCGGGCGCGAACCGGAAGTGGGCAAGCGCCACTGACATCCGGTGACACTAACGGACATTAACAAAGACCCAAGCAGTGGGTGACAGCTGCGCTCCAGGCCCCCATGTCAGATGCCAGCCAGTGGCGAAAACTGCTGGCGGCGTGGATATTCACTTCACCATCAGCTTCCCGTCTCGCGTGCCCAAAGTGATGCCTCCTTGCCCAGTGAAGCTAGCCTGAAGAGCCCTGCGTTTGGTCCTTTCTCCACCGATCAATTATTGCTTGCATGGACACCTGCGAGCGACTTGTACCTGACAGACGCCCCCTTTTGACCCGCTCAATACCGACCTACTGGGTTCTCCTAAAGCGATGCCTCGCAGACGCCGGCACGCCAATCACGACTGACATGTCTATTCACGAATGACGGACCGGTTCATGTCTCTGAAGAGGTGGCGCAGCATCAAGGAGGATGGAGACCGGGTGAATATGCAGAGAGGAGCAAACACTACTCCGCCAGCCTTGTTCAACAGCCGATACCACCATCACCCACTTCGTTGTCTGCGCCAAACCGACTGCACAAGGCAACAGAACTCTTGGACAGATGGGCTGACTAGGCGACTCTTGCCCTGTCAGGAGCCGGCCTATAAGCACATATCTAACTTCTTGGTGCCCTATATCCAACGGGTATCGTTGGGTGGAACCAAGGAGAAAGAGTCGCTCACAAAAGCACCCAGCCTTGGTTTGAATGCCAATCCATGACCAATCTGTACTGTAGGTGTTGGTAGACTCGGGCACCGGTCGTGCCAATCCCAGCGCACCCTCGGGCCATGCGGTGGGATTCGTTCCACCAGGAGCAATCATATGGGGACCAATGAGACTGAACATGAAGTTTTTCCTGCGAGAAACCCATAAACCTGTAGCAGGAGTGGTAGAGGAGGCAGGAGTTATCGCGATGAATACCAGATTGATATCAGACAGAAGACAGTACTCCGTGGTAGAAATGCACCCAACGTCGAACGCTGCAATGTATCTACAAGGCTCAGCCTTACGAGTTACACAGGCGAACGCCACAATGGCGCTGCGCCCCCAACTTTTCGCGTCTCAGCTGGCCTGGAGCCCCGTGTCTTGCACAGGCGCTTCTTCACTTGATGTCTGCATCGTTATTGTCACTCCTTTATAGCTTTGTACAGTAGTGCTTTTGTCATTCGTATACTCACCTTTTGCTGGTCCTTCTTTCCTTTTTGAGCAACGTTCCTCCTTGTCCTCGCCCTACGAACTACGGACCCTCCGCCTGACGTCTTGTCTTGCCTTCGATTGAAAAGTGACACAAACCAGACAAACCGATCCCAATCTTCTACCAGCCTGACCGAGCCCGTCTCTTGAGTTGCGGCCTCATTTGACGCTCTTGGGATCGCCTCTTCCTTCGAGAATTTCCCTTCAGACAATACCAGTCCTCCAGCATCACGAGCAAAGATGAGGCTCCAACTAGACCAATTCGGTCAGATCAAGAACTACATTCATATGGGCCAGGCAGCCATTCTCTTCCTTGCCTGGGTTCTTACAATCGCCTTACTGACAAGGCCTGGCACGACGGATGGCCGAGTCGGCTGGTACTTTGGCTTGGTGAGTTCCTTCACCCACTGCCAGCTGCGAAAAGCCATGGCCCGGAACTAACGCAAGCAACGCACAGTGTTGGCTCACGATCCCCATCCTGATTTACCTCGTGATGGTCCCCATGTGGTCCCGCGCCCGCCGCTTCTCCAACGTCTACGCCTTCGCCGCCTTGGACTCTCTGGCCGTGATCCTCTGGCTGAGTGCTTGGGCTGCCGTCGCCAGCTATGTCTCTGCGGGAAAGGGCAAAGGGAAGAGCACAGACAAGAATGCAACGGGCTGCGATAACTTCAAGTACGGCAGTCCCGGGCGCTGCAAGCTGTCGGAAACAATCATCGTGTTTGGCGTCTTTGAAATGCTGCTGTTCATCGCCACGGCAATTATCTCATTTCGAGCCGTCATGTCGTTCAAGAGGACAGGCATGATGCCTCAGAATCTCCCCGCTTCTGGAGGCAAGAACGACTTCTCTGCGCAGACGCAGGATGATTTCTCGAGTAATATGCGGAACGATGACGAAGACTTCGATGAGCACCCGGGCGTGGGTGGAAGGCAGGAATATGCATACCAGAAACCTTCACTCGATGATTCATATGCCCCGATCCGCCAGAGCGATCACGACAATGATCTTGCACAGATGCCCGCCGCGCAGCCGACAAGCCCACTGAACCAAACCGGGCTGGGGATTCATGACTACAACACGAGTTACAACCCCGGGGCGTACAGTAGTCAGAGTCAACCTATGATGGCAGGGCGATAACGAGTCTCATTGCTTGTATTCTTTTTCTTTTCTGTGCTCAATACAACCATATGCCTGGGAACGGTGTTGATGTAAAGACATTGTTGCTCCTTCCATGTGACGACGGTCGAAGCGTTCGAGCGTTTCTTCTCATCTTGCTTTCGGTTTACAGGGGTGGCTTAGTACGTCTGGGATAATTTGGAATCCTGAATAGACTAGAAGGAAAGGAATTTGTTATTACGACGGCAAGGGAAACCGCCACGTTCAAGGGGAAACGATGCCCACGTTTCAAACACCATGACGCATGCTCCGATGTCCCCTTGCAAGAGATTCCCCAGAGCTAACACCCGATACCCAGTATACTCCGTAGTTTCGCTCTGCGCGGGTCTCGAGCATGTAGTCGGTGCAAGAGGTACATACTCCGTACATGGCGTGGCATAGTCCCCGGATTTCTGGTCTGGTTCTGGACAAGGGGAAGGGAAAGGGGGTATGTGCTCAGGTATCTAGAAGTAGGTACCTCGTAAATAGTACCCGGGTACGGAGTACTCGTTTACCTACCGCTACCGGGAGCTAGGTAGATACCAGGCACAGTACGAGGTAGGTAGTTCCCCCTGGCAGCCTAGAGATCAAGGCAAAGTCCAGATTGCGGTGGGAGACACGGCACAGCCGCAAGGAATAGAACGGACACTACTACATGACAGGTCAGTCCCCATACTGTAATCCTGTGTTATTTCTTTCTGGCTATCTGCTCTTACTGCTCGTCTCATCGCTCAAATATCGATCGACTCTTTCCTGCTAAAAACAAGTAGCTCAATCACGATTCGTTTCGTTTTGACCATGGAAAAATCTGCGGTCTCGCGATTCGTAAAGTTCAAAAACCCAAGCTCTTTCAGTCACGTACCATCCGCCCAAGTGTCGACACATGGTATGCTTCCAAAACCGACTCTGATCCCGAACCAGACGGGCCATGTCGGGTGCCGTCGTCATAGTCCAGTTAGATCGGAAAGAAAAATGAAATGTTGGGGTATTCCAGGCCCAGTCCTGCTCCAAATCCCTGCAGTTGGCAGAGCCCACCGTCGCTCATACCACTTCGCCCCCATCCGAGTTTGCGCCATGACGCCTGTACAAGCCCCTGCGGGCATATCCATACCGTTCGATTCATCGCCCAGGTGAGAAAGAACAAAACACAAAAGCCCTTATTGCCAACCCGTAGATTCCAATGCCTTCCTTTGTATCGGGTCCATTTAACCAGGGGAAGGTATCGAGCACGCACAAGCTTGCGTTTCGTATGGTGCTGATCAATGCTGTTTCGAGGTTGCATGCTGCAGCTCCATAGAGTCCAGAAAGTCATGTGCACAGAAGGAGAAAAGGTACAATGTCATCAAAATCCGGTCATTAGTGTGATGTCGAGAACCTCGATGGTAACCGGCCATCATTCATAGCGACAACCTCTCCTGAGATCTTTTTTAAACTGGATGTGTGTGGTTTCATAACAGGATCAAGTAGTTGCTCGGTGCAATACCCGTTTCGCCATTTTCTTTCTTGGCCTGCCACCACCGGCCGCTTACATCAGACACTTCTAGAATCTCGTGTTTGCTGAAGCTGATCTCATTCGCGTCATCTGGGTTCGCCTCATAACTGTAAATGGCTTTGGCGCGGTACGGGTACTCCGTGGGTGGGCTGACTTCTTGAGCTGGAGCGGGGGTGCTGCTGGTGTTGACAGCGGGTTGTGCAGAGGCTCGGGCCGCCGCTCCTGCAGGTCCGCCTGGGTATCCCGAAACAGGAGAAGAGGTCTCAAAGCCGCTTAGCTGCGCAGATGTGTACATTTGAGGAGGCTGAGCAGAAGCGGTCGTCTGTGGGCGATCATAAACATTGGTCATGCTTTGCGGAGGCCCACGGAAAGATTGGCGTTCTTTGTGCAGGGCAAACTGATCAATGAACTCGCGATGGGCCGCGGCCGGGGTGGAACCGAAGTAGAAAATCCAGATGATCTGGACAAAGTCAGCCGACAATGGAAGACAAAGGCACTGGTAGGGGGAGTCATTGACGTACCGCAACCATGGAGAGCAGAATGTGGCCAGCAGCAGCGGCTTCCATGGCGCCCTGTGGTTGATAGACGAGCGAATTCACTGCAGATGTTGTCATGACGAGCCCAGCCGCGAGGTATCCAACAATCTACACGTCGTTAGGCGTATTGAATCTAGAGTAGTCGGGGGTCCATACCGCGAGACTGTATGTGCTTGTGGAGTTCGTAGCAAAAACTATTGTAATGCCGACAATGCAGCACAGCATGTAGGCAACCGTCCACCAGGCATATTTGGGGAAGGGGTCTTGAATATTGGCGATGATGGACGCGATGAACGCGATCAACCACGCAAGCTGACAATGGAATCAGCATGATAATCTGGCACAACTTGCACGAGTCTCTTACCAAACCAATGGAGATGGTAGCCAAAGCAAAGGGATCGCCAACAATATAGCCGAAATCAATTCGACCTCCTCTTCGAGCTTCCAACATGTTGTTTTTCTTTAACGAGGGAGAGTGTAGTGATCCGTATGAGGGCATGAAGGGTCAGCAAACGGCAGCGGCGTTTCTCGTTAAGGGGATGCCAGCGCGATCAAGTCGACGCGCACAAAATAGTCGAGGGAGTGGCCAATAGAGGGCAGACTGCGAGTGAGGTCGAAAGTCCAGGCGCAGGCTGGGTTGAGGATTGATCCGAGCACAGGAGGGCTGTGCACTTGAGATCGCGTGCGTGCGGAATGTTGTATGTCTCTCGACACTCGTTGGGTCTGCAATGGCGTGTGTCGGATGGAGGAACAATCGAAAGCCAGAGAGGCAAACAACCACAGTCGCCGATCAATCGACAGAAGGTGGGAGGCGAATATCTTGTGACTGGAGGCTAAGAAAAGAATAACAGACGAGTGGATAGCAGGTTCCTAAGGGCCTCTGTCGGCAAAGGGGTAGGGTAACGATCGACAAAGAATGAAATAATGTGAGAAAGGAATAAAAGGTGTTTGAGAAGAAGTTTCGGGGACGATCGAAAGTTGTTGCCTGAACGAGTGTGGGTGGTAAAGGATGGTCGAGGACGCAGATAGGTGGATGTTTTGGTGGTCGAAGAGATGGTCGTGGTGGTTTGAGGAGTGAGGAATCGAGTTCAGGAGGAAGAAGCAGAGAGGCTCCCACCAGGGTTCCCAGAGCCAGCAGCCAGCCAATTCCCCCCCTCCCTTTCCCTCTTGGGGGCGCCCTTCTGCGGCAAGTCGCCTATACCGTATGGGGACCGTTAAACCCAACGCGAGCCAGGCACGCCCATTTTCCCCCCCATTTAAGACTCAGGAGCCCTGCAACTTGCAACACGTTTCACTTGCGGTTAAAACCCACCCTGCCCCGAATCTCCACCCCTGCGCCGATCGAACCAGATTCAATCTCTGGCCTTTCTGCCTCGACATTTACAAATTTTCTCCTTGCAAAATCGAATCCTGCACTGGCTCCTCCTTATCATCCCTGCTCCGTGGCGTCTGGGACTGGCATGCCCCGACCTTCTGAGTGCCTCGATTTGCTCAATTGCACAGGGTGCTAATAGACGCCACTTTTCTAGCCTCAACCTCCTCGTTCGGCTCTGGATCAATGGCACGTCGCAGCCGGTTGGCCACTTTTACATCGCCCGGGTCGCACACGCCACGCGCTCCATGCAAGCGCTTTGTGGCACGCAACCTCTCAATTTGGCCCAAGATTGAATAATCTCTGCTAAGTATTATCGGCCGCTTTACAATTCTTTCGTGGCTCGCTCGCTTGATGGACGGACGCTATTGCTAATGATCCTGTTGGACCAGCTCTGACACAATGTCCCACGCCTTCCGCTCTGCAGAACCATGGCTTGCCAGGCCTTGAGACTCGGGTGTCCTCCTTTCCGCTCGCATCTTTGTCGAAATGAAACTGGGTCCTTGGTGCCTGACCCGCCGACCTGGGCGATTGGACGAGACATGCCTCTTCCCCTGACAGCCGCTGATCCATCGTTCTCGACCAATCCCAATGTCTCCACAAGAGTGGTCCTGGCACCGCCACATGCACGCTCCCGCAATTCCCATGGTGCAATTATTCGAGAGCGAGAGAGGCCTGTAAGTGATCCTTCAGCCACACCCGGAGGTGGCAGCAATGTTGCACAGTTGCGTTTCTCGCTCCAGGAAGATGGCGAAGCCACCCGTCCGGAAACACAACGGATAGAAAGACTCGCGTCGAGAATGGGTGCTCATACGGACGTCCTCCCGTCGATCTTTGCGGGGAAAATTAGTCGTCGACCACCAACTTGGGTCGACGAACACGTAACGGCTGTCATGCCATCGTCAAAGCGTCGAACACCCAGCGGCGAACCTTGTCCTTGCGACATCTTGCCTGCAAAATCCTGCTCTTGAATGTCACATAGATGTCAGATGACTGGAAGATGACCAGTCTGGCAACACCTGATTCGGATTCAAGGATTGCCGACGCAGGCACCGGGAATTACAGTGCTCGGACTGATGGCGCCTGTTCCATCTTTTGTCATCCTTCACAAATAGCCCTGCTGTTCCTTTGCGCGTCGCTCCCAACGGATAATATTCCTCTCCACCTCAGCAGTTCGCCTCTCCCAATCTTCCCACATGTCTCCCATTCCGACCACTCCAATCTTCACCCACCATTCTAGGCATCTAGCACTGCGCTCTCGCAACTCTCGAACTTCTTCTTGGATTTGATCCTCTTCTTGCCGGAGCTTTTCAAGTCTAGGCGCTAGTGATACCAGCTTCGAACTTTGATCTGCGGGCGGGATTTGCAGAGTCTGTAGGGAGGACAGTCTGGATGCGGTCTCGGGATATAAGGTGGCATGGGAGAGGACAACCGAGGCCAGCGTGCTGATGTCCTCCGACTTGGGGGTTGCAGTGGCCGTCACAGCAAATAAATCAGGATATAGTGATGCTTGGAGCCCTGGTCAGCAGTGGTCGCGACCTTGCATTCCCTCACCTACATAGCCGCTCAATATCCCGTACAACAGACCCAGGTGTACCCGTGAGCTTCTTTAGCTTTGCCATTGCTGCCTCGAGAGCATCCAATCTGGCCCACAATGTCTCGCTGCCAGAAGTCGGTGTTGTGGTCGGAGGAGGAACCCCATCATCATTACTGGCGCCGCTGAGGAGAAACTCCAATCGATGGAGACGGGTTCCCAGTAGGGCTAGCGTGCCACGGGCTGCGGTCTCTGGGTCTTGGACCTCAGTTGCCATCTGGAAGGAGTTGCCGAATGGATATGATCTTGCGATCTGTCGCGCTGGAAGACAACAGCATTGCTGGAACTGCAACAACATCGGTCCCTACGGCTCATCCTGGGGACAAACTAAACAAACTAGACCAACAGCACGAACAATAATGGCGCAAACACAGCAAACAGGCTTGGCAGGCTTGGCAGCTGCATCCCGCATGTGCCACCCACCTGCTTTTCAGCTTCCACTGTCACCTGCATCTCCCATCGGCTGCTCGTATCCTCGCACCTCTTACTCGCTGAACCCCACTCCCATCATTGCCAGCATGTTACCCTGAATGGTGATAATGTACGGAGTAAAACTCGACCAGTCGATCCATGCAGCCTGGCGCATGACTGTCTCACAGCAGAATTCATTCTGTCTCGAACGCTGTCTTGGGTGGCTGGGAGTTCAGACCACCCAGCAAGCTTCTCACTCCATCCACCTCTCCACACCTAGTCCTTTCTCACCACCCTGATTTGTTCCTCCAGCGCCATCCACCTCCGCTAAAGCTAGTTCTCGCATCACCTTTTCCACTCAGGTGGCAGGAAACCTCCTCTCGAGCTGCTCTACCAATAACAATAGCGAACTATCCCTTGCGGCAGCCCACTGCGGTCGATGGCCCTGCGTACTGCACGTAAGGGCTCAGCCGAACTCCGATACCAAGGCAAGAATGCACTTCAATGAGGATAGCTGAAGCGATCGTGGCGCCGACCGTCGAACTGCATATGCTTGATATGAACCCACTGATTCACTGTACGGCACCACGAGGTGCCAAGGACAAGTTCGTCGTTCAATAGCCATCGGAACTTTATCGTCGGTCTGATGAGACCGCCCCAGTGACCATGGAACTTCCAAGCAAATCCTTGTTAAGGCTAACCAATCACCGCCCTTGAACTCTTGAAGGTGGCAGCCATGCTCCCCAGCCGTCTATATTTCACCTCGCCTCCATGCTGTTGTTCATGTCGAACCTGTTTTGCATCCCGTCCGCACGCTACAGCCGGGCCAGCCGGTATCTGCACCCTCAGGACTTGGTAGCTCTTCTGCAGTCTCTGTCTTTCCCATCAATTCGACTTCCCAGCAATCCGTTTCGCTTTCTCACACTTCCTTCTTGCTTTTAACTCAGTGGACAGCCGCCCTTCTCGATGTGATGACTGACCGTCGAGTTCAAGGTTGTACCACATGTACTATGGCACCACCGGATCCAAATCGCTGGACGTTCACAGACTATGTGTGCTTTCTGCGAAGTCATGGGTTTCATAATCTTGCCGGCCTCGACGAATTTCTCCAATGGGGTCTCGAGGCTAGCCGAATGCCGACAATGCAACGACCTCAGCGGGCAACAGCCATCCTCCTAGAATTTGGAACGTCAAGTTTCAGAACGTCCGACCTTACAGACACATCGAAACTCAGAGTGTTGTTAAAGGAATGGACCAGAAGATCCCCCGAGACGCCGCCTACATCGCCGGCGTCTGGTTCTCAAGGACGGGGCGCTCAAGGGCGGATTATTATGGTCAACAATGCCAACCCGGAGATGGTTGACACCCTTGGAAGTCTTCTCAACATTGAGCCGGCATTTTTCGCCTCACATATTAGTGATTCTGCCACCGGCGGTGCTGGGGACGGCCATACAGGTTCTCCACTGGCGTCGCAAAATCTAAAGCACCAGAAGAACTTCTTTACGATTGAATATCCTTGTACGTTCATGACCACAAATTGTGGGAAGGATGTCGACATCGAGAAGCTCTACTGCAAGGGAAACTATCACCGACGAGTGGAAGTTTGTTCGAAACATGGAAGACAGAAAGTCGCCGTAGCTCGTCGGAAAATTTCGTTCTACATGAAGAAGACTCTCGATCCCTGGATATGTAAGTCTTGAACCCCTGTCTGTTTGTTGTGAAATTCTTCCTTATGTATCCAACGGAATTGCTAGAAACCTGCTAACTATTTCTCAGGTGTCGTGCTTGTTGACCCACCGATCTCCTTCTTCACACTTGGAGCAGAACCGTATGGAGCATACTCCCCGAGCCAGCGTCTGGAAGTCACCGGCTACCAGGGAGGCTATCTCGACTTCCTCGAACAAAAACCACCTTCCAGTAGGACTGACCACGACTATCGTGCATGTGGTGCGAGGCCGATGTGTCCAAACCCATTCGACGATCTCTGCCGGCACTGGCAGATCATGGCCCGAGACGGCCTTCTCAATCCAACCGAGAACAACCTGGTCAACATTATGCGGCCAGTATTTCAGATCGCAGCCAGCGAATGCACCAATTTCTTCGATTACATTCGGTCTACACTAGAAAACCAACTCATCTCCACCTCCCTCACAGTCGACCCAACCAAGACAAAGAGGATCCTAGACAAAGTCATTTCCCTCGACTCGATGCTCAGCAGGTACAAACCCATCCTGACGCGGATCAAGTCCTACCTCTCTTCCGACTCGGACCTGAACGAGGATTATCGAAGCCTCTTGATCGATCTGCACCACTACAGAGCGGAATGCGACTCGAAAATGCAGCACATCCTCGCCGTTTCTCAATGCCAAGATACTTCCTCCCTCCGCTCGATTGAGTCCGAATCCCAGCGTCAAGCAGACTACTCACGTTATCTGACCATCATTGCCCTCATCTACGCACCCTTTGCGCTGTCATGCGCGATATTCAGCTTACCGCACGATTTTGCCCCTGGAGCACATTATTTTTACGGGCTTTTGCCCGCGACTGCAGGGGTAGCGATCGTGTTTTTGTTGCTGGTGTTGCCAGAGGCGAGGGATCCCTTGCCGAGTATTAAGGCGGCATTTTGCGGCAAGCTCACCAAGAAGAGGTTGCTCGCCAAACCGAGTAGTCGGGGTTCAAGGGCGGGCGGGCTCAATGAGAAGTTGGATATGGATGAGGTGTAATTGCGGGCAGATTACACTGATGGTTATGGAGGGATACCCTCTCCAAAGTCCAGATGCTTTTGCGGCAGGAGGCAGCGCCTTATGCTTTGCCTGGTGCGCCGAAGGGAACAGAACCCAAAGCTACAAGACTCGTGTCTTGCAACGATTGACGGCATAAAGCATCGCAAATGGCGCTTCAACCTTGTGCGTCAGAGCCATCGCGAGCGAGACCACACAATGCCAGGCGTTCATGAGAATCACGACTTCAAAATATCTGTTCTGTGTTTCATGGAGCATTGCGTCCACTTCACGTCTGCCAACACAAATCAGACACCTCCGAGGCTACGCAGAATCTACACCACTACCTCAGTGGGTGGGCGGGGCGTATGTGCGAAAGTTTAAGTGTTCTTCCGTGAAGAAAGGATGCCTCAAATGCCAATGTCTTGAGCAGGACAGGAGAAGAGAGGGGAACGGTCCAAAAAATGCGAAGCCCTGCACGAGTGACAGAGCGCATGGGTCTACATCGTCCTACTCTTCTACCGATTCCAGGAGTGTCCTGCCTGCGAGCATGTGGGTTCTACGTCCTGTTTATCGAACATCGTCCTAACGCTGCTGTGGAGGTCCTCACGGTGCTGGTTGTGGCGGTGGTCGCGATGCTTTCTGGAGATCTAGCTCCCTTCGCTTCTACTATCATATACCCATAACATACCATCGGTCTGTAGCTAGCGAGCTGATACGCAGTGTATTCATGCTACACGCACTGTTATAATGAACGAAATGTAATGCAATGGAATGTAATGCCAATGAAACGAACCAGGGGGAAAGAAGAGACTCCAAAAACTGAAGTAACTTATTTTGATCCGATTCAAGGCCGACCCTACATCTACAGACTGATCTGTCTCCCTTTTCATGATAACGACTTCTGTCGAGGAGCCAGCGAGGGTCGAGGGTCGACTCGAGCATTATTACGCGGCATTCCATTCCCCTCTAGACTTGTTCTGGTGAGAGGGGGTTGACAATAGAATGTACACACGGACCAACCAAGACAGAATATTGATATGTTTATATTATACAAGAATATATGGCACGATCTCGCGACGACTGATGACGATGTACAGTGCGGCACAGGGTTTTGCAACGCTGGCCAGCATAAGCCTAACGACCTCATGAAGCAGCAAAGGTACATAGCCGCCGAAAGGCTCGGTCGATGCCTGTTGCCATGCGAGAGATACACCGTACACCCGTGGAGACCAGCAGGAGAGGCGCAAAGAGTTGTGACCAGGAGCGTCGGGGCGAGGCACGCAGCTCGACGTCAACCTCAGTTTGGCTAGGGATTGCCTCATCGCACTTCCAGCAATCACTTCTCAGCACACAAGAATGTGCGTTCTCCGATCGTTCTCTGACCGCTTGTAGAGAGACACAATCTGGGTCTGGATCTGCCTCTCGGATGGTATTCTGCTTCTTCGCCAGACTTACACCTCCACTTTGGTAGGGATCTTGACTTGGCCCTTCTTTCTCTCCTGGCTCGGCACACCATATCTTTGGCCCACTGCGCCTTTCCCAGATCCCCGTCCATCCAGCCCGGTCCCTTGCCTGGTACTCTGCACCTCTGTGACCACAAGCTGCCACCTTCCCACGTCGATTCTCGTCCTTTTGCTTTCCTCCTCCTGCTGCAGCTTGGCTTTCACAGCCCGACGTCTCTCCTCGTCTCTGGCTAAGCGCTCACGATGGCGCGCACGTCTCTCGAGCGGTGTGAGTGCCCGATCCATTTTGTCCTTTTCAAACGCAATCAAGTGCGGGTGAGGAATGCGCGAGTCTGCTGGTTTCAATACTGTGCGCGTGTGGCCCGGTCTGCCAATAATCTCGGCTTTCGAATCCTGCCATGCTTCATGGACTCCGTCATTTATGGCGTGCTCCTGCTCGTCAGGGAGTCGTGGTGCTCCACTAAATACTCTTCCTGCATCGGTACGGTTGAACGCGCGTGACTCAGAGGTTGGGTAAAAAATTTGTGGGAAGGTGAGCGGATGCTGTTCTAGATCATTTATGGATTCATGAGGTTCGTGGGGCAAGCGCGTTGTAGGGTTGAGGGTCGTAAGAGGCACCATGCCGTGAATGGCGCGAGCATACGGGATAGCGAGGGATTTGCCCTGGAAAGAAATGGAAGATGCAGTGTCAGCTTTGGTCGTCGAAGGACGAAAACAAGTGAGTAGCGTGCTGCGTTTGTCCCCTTCCGATTCAGAGAGTTGTAATTTGTTTTTGAAATCACCATGCTTGGGAGTCTGGAAGACTAATCGATTTGGTTGTTCATCACAGGAAGGTCGTCGCGAAGAGTACGTGAAGGCCAAAAAAATATGTGCTTACCTCTGTCCTCATTCTCCTTTCAACCTCCACCAGCCTCACCACGGCAGCCACTCTCCTCATATCCACGCCCATTTCCGTCGAGACCTGCCTGACCGACTTCCCCTGCCGTTGTACTCTTTCCCAGATCTCATTCCTGAGATCCTCGGACAGAATACTCTGGCTCACAAACTGCTTGTTCCAGGGAAACGGCCGCAGATCGTCCAGGGTCTCCTTGGGGAGCTTGTACTCCTCTTCATGTTCCGTGGCAGCTGCTTCGAGAGCTTCTTCATCTGCCGTCATGGCATCTTCGGCATTCTTTTCTTTCGCAGACCCCCCCGATGGTTCCTGGCCTCTACCGCGAATGAGGTTTCCTCTCCTGTCGTAGGCGGACAAGTAGTTGGTCGATCCTGGAAGCGGGTGGCGGAAGTTCTCTCCGGGTCCTCGAAGCCATAGCCAGAACTGCTCACGGAGCTTAGTCTGAGAGAGCGAAGGGGTGGAGGAGAAGGCTCGCTGGAAGCATGATTTGCAATGGGTGTGGATTGTGGGTGTCGTAGTTAAGGTAAGAGAGACCGCGGAAGGAGATAATCGGGGAGGCATGTTTAGTGCAGATTGCGCGGGTTAGCTGCACTATGGAACTGGTAAAGAGACCATCGAGGTGGCCAAAGCGCGACTGGAAAGACAATGGGATATTTTTACAGAGAAAAGCGATTCGTAGATTTACTGTTGATCCCAAGAACTAAGTGTAGACATGGTCGAAAATGTATGAAAATTAGGAGCCAGCTTTGGATTGGCTCCGGCAAACCTGCCTCTCTAGTTAACCACCTGCACGAGGTCCCCCTGGCCTCGTGCCTCCCAGCAATTCAAAGAGAAGACCTTGTTGGTCGAACGAAACACTGCAGGCCCGATGGCCTTCTTGTCGTCGAGGATGAGAGCAACGTCGAGGTCAAGGTGACCAGTCGCTAATTTAAGTTGGCAGGAAAACTTAAGGCGGACGAGACGCGAGTTACTTAAGGATTTCATGTTTGTCCTGTTAAGTAATGATACATATATTGTTAACTTCTATGCTCTAATTTTGATCTCGTTCCTCATGAAAAGACTGATGGTCGCATGCTTGCTTCATCAAACATAGATCAGAATGCCACCACAAAGGGTATCTGTCTTATAGACGCAAAAAGGAAAGCTCGCTTGAACGCTGCAAAAATAAAGACTGCACAAATAGACACCAGGTAGCACATGATGTAAGACGAGTAAAGACCCAGGAATGACGATCATGACAACAAGACGTTCGTCCCTTGGAAGGTTGCGGTGCCAGACCACATACCTCTCACCAAAGGCAGGTTCACGTTATTGATCGTCGTGTTCGTCGAGGCTGCAAGGGACTCGGCCTCCTTCTTGATTGTAGGGTCGTTGTTGATGGTCATATGACCATGGAAGAGGATCAGATTGCCGCCCTTGACAATGTCCATACCGCCTGGTCCGGTAAGGTCAGCATCACTGGTAACCAGCAATGGGCGGCTTGATTTAGTGTAAGGTCCCCAGACATTCGTCGCAGTAGCGTAGGAGACGTCGTATTTGGGCGTCGTAAAGCAATTGCTGCTGAAGAACAGGAAGTAGATCCCTTCGTCGGAACGATGGAGCGACGGCGCCTCGATCAATGGTCCGTCAAATTCGTCGCGGTCCAGGATCTCCACGGCGTCTCCGACAAGAGTGATGCCATCAGGGCCGACTTCCTGGAGCATTAGGGGTGTTGGGACGATGGGCGCAACGGTATTGCCACAGGAGCCGCCGTGGCCAATGGAGTTTCCGTCGACTTTGTAAACGACATAGCGTTTATTGGTGGATTCATCGAGGAAGCCGTCGGGGTCAATAGCTCCACCGAGCGCATTGACGTCCGGGCAAGCGAAAGGAGTGTCAAGTGGGACATAGGGTCCCAGAACATTCTGAGAAGTCGCTGCACCTACACAGTGATGTGCAGGAGACCAGGCGACATTATCGGCGTAGTAGAGAACAAATGATCCATCGTCCTGGCAAAAGTATTAGTCATGAAATTCTGAATGGTGCGTGCCACACTACTTACCAGTTGGACCACATCTGGCGCCCAGACGCCAGCGCCTGTCTCCCATGCCCCTAAAGTAGGAAGAGCGTCATGGTGATCTAGCAGTGTCCAGGTCTGGTTGTCGGTCGAGGTGGCCACCTGAACATGGACCAAGTCCGGTCCAAGGGCTCGATTATTGGTCGCAAAAGCATAGGACACGCCATCAACATAGATGACAGCTGGATCGGGGAAGTTGGATGAGATATGGGGTCCCAGGATAGAGGCAAAAGGACTTGAATCAGGACTTGACAATAAAGTTGACGAGGATGACTGTGGCAACGGGTCCGGTGATCGTATAACAGTACCACGAGGGGTCAAGGGCCCCAGGCTGGAGACGGCCGTGGAGGCCAAGAGGTACGTCGGAATGGCGACCATGATGCCGAGCAAAATCTGAGTTTGTAACGAAAGTGAAAAGAAATGATTGTCTTTGATCTCGCAACGAAGATCTGAAGAAGGAGACGGTGGAAAAGTTGAAAGAATCGACTGTTTCTCTGAATGAATGTGAGAAGCTGGTTCACCTCCCTGATGGGGGCGCCTGGAATGAGCGGCGAGCAAAGGCTCTTTTTCTGGAATGCGGTATTGAGTCGCCATGGTGTCAGAGGGTAATGGGCAGTGATAATATAGTCCAGAGCAAGGGGTTTGGATCTGAGGTGGTTTGCGTCGCGCCAACTGCGAGGCTCCGTCCCTCGGCTGGCTGGCGCAGGGAGTTCAGGGGGTGGATCGTTTGAACCTTCAGAGGGGCACAACGGGCGTTTGGCGCACGGCAAGTGTGCTAGGCGAGCAGTGAGCCGTGGTGTAGGTGATACTTTTGGCAGATTTGGTACCGTGGTATCGTGGGGGTGTGCCTGCGTTTCCAAATGTACCTGTACACCGTTTCAGTCAGCGTTCAAAACGGCAAAAAGTGACAATGCGATGCGATGGAAAAAAAGTGAGCCGCGGCCACAATCACCCATAGTGCACTGTTGCCAAGTAGGGCGCAGATGACCCGAAGAAACAAAAGTAGCTCGCGCTTAGCATGCTTGCGGAATGGTACGGGGCTATTTTGGAGCATCAGCTGTGACATGAGTGGCCAGCAGCCAGTCTGAGGTCATGTTTCGGGTGTCGTTGTGGAAGTATCATTCGTGGGATGTCTGCGCGAGTTGTAACGGCACAGCCCCTCAGAAAGTGGGTGTTTGGGCGGTCACGTGGATACGCTCACAGTTCGTGCAATTAAGCTTTTTCATGCCAAGTCTCTCGCTTACACATCCTTATTCGGTAATATCAACCCCCCTTGCCCCCTTCCCCCCTTTCGCTTCCCCCTCAGCCTCAACCAACTGGTACACCGACTCCCGAGACCTCAGCTTCACATGTCAGGACGGTGGTATCGGCTTCCGCAAAAGCAACCATGGTTGTTCCATGGCCTACCTAGTAACAGGCACTTTGGCGCCATGCCCCGCTATTGATTCTATCTCCCGTTGCGCGGTTGCGACTTGTCTCAGGCCAAAAAGCGCCTCCGATATCATTCCCTATAATGTGTCCTGTTGTCTTGCGTGGGTCGACCTGTGGACTACGTCACTGTTCGTCCAAGCTGTGAGAGACGCCATCACAGTTTGGCTCCGAGACTTTCAAAACTGTACCATGTCCAAAGTGCTCTTGTCAGCTGAGGGGTTCCGAGTTGTTCTGGTTGGCGAACCTGGGACAGCTGTCTCCGTCATGCCGCAGAAAGCAATAGGACAATCTGCATGTTCACCGACCTGATCCCTTTTACAAGACCCTTGCACAGCGCTGAGTAACTCATCCCAAGTGTTGTAACATCTGCAACCTCCGGGACTGGTGAGGCCGAATCCACGGCCGAATACCTCATGCAGCAGCAATCTCCTTCTGCACCCACTTTTCGAGACCGCCTTTGGCGATAATCTCTTGCACATTCGGAGGCAGCTCTCCGACCTTTTCGGTCCACCTTTTACCGCCGGCACCTTCCGTCACTTCGATCTGAGATTTCTTCACATCCCAGACTAATGTCCATCCGGTGCGACGTGACAATTGCTTTTCTTGTGGCTGTGTCACAGCCGGCGGAGGTGAGTCGAGACTTTGTTGATTTTCTTTATTGCCCACCGGCTCTGTGACTTGAGTGGATGGTCGGGGCGTGTGCGAGTCCGAGAATGTCTCACGTAGTCGTTGGATCAGCTTCGGAACCTCAAGTCCCATCAAGCCGTTGTTGATGCTGTTTCGCGAGAAGATGTTTCCAAAGGAGCCGGCAACCACCAAAGGAATTCTTCTGGCCAGGATGGAAGTGGCGGCCTGTTCGCGAGAGCTGCCACATCCGAAGTTGAAGCCGGACACCAAGATATCCCCTGGTCTTGCGATCGAGGAGAACTTGGGGTCATAATTCTCCATGCATACCTCGGCCATCTTCTCAACAGGCACGTTGTCTTGATACGTGTATTTTCCGGGATAGATGCCGTCAGTATTGATGTTGTCTGCATCACAGAAAACAATCTCTCCTTCCACCCTCTCAGGGAAACCAGGATAAACCTCGGTCGAGCCCGCCGTGGCCTCCTCTGCCGGTTTGGCTTCCCCGTACGTCTCCTCCGCCGTTTCGATCATGCTGTCCAGCTGGTTGATAATTTTCTGGAAGGCTTCATCCGCAGTGATCATTCTATCCTCTTCTTTGATACCGTCGCCTTCACCGCGGACGACTCCAGACCAGCCCTCAGGCCTCTCGTACCATCCTGGGCCGCTGATCTTCCCGCTGAGGGCACTGGCTGCGACGACTTCGGGGCTTGCAAGGTATGCTTTGGCTTCGGTGCTGCCCATGCGGCCTTTGAAGTTTCTATTCGTCGCACTGATACCGACTTCGCCTGGTTCCAGCAGGCCGACCCCCAGACCGATACAAGGCCCGCACCCTGCTGGTAAAATAATGGCACCGGCATCGATAAGAGTCTGCCAGTCACCGGCGTCTTCAGCTATTTGTTGCTCGGGTAGCGAAGCAGCCGCAACATAGAACTTCACGCCTTCGGAAACTTTGGGGACTTTCCCGCCATTCTTGGCCGCCTCGTCCTTGAATACCTTTGCCGCTGCAGCGAGGTCAGAAGCCCGCGAATTCGTGCAAGATACCAAATATGCCTTGTCGACTTTGATATTTTGATCCTCCAGCTCGTTCAATGGTGTGGCAACCTTGACGGAATTAGGTCCGGAAACATAAGGAGCAAGTGTGCTGAGGTCCAAATGCAGGTATTTTGCGTACTGGGCGCCTCTGTCTGCCACAGGCTGGTTGCTAAACAGTTCATCCAGTCTGGCATGCGAGAACCGCTCGTTGGCGCCCCGGCCCTCGGATGCATCCAGCGCAGACATGGTGGCCTTTGAACGCAGCCAGCCTTGTAGCAAACCGTCCATTGGGAACAATCCAGATAAGGCGCCCCATTCCGTGGTCATGTTGGCGATCGTTAGCCGAGCGTCAATGGGCAGACTCCGAAGGGTTTCCTCCGATCCTGCAAACTCTATTGCATGATTGAGGACATCGTCTTTATCGAACAATCCACATAGAGCCACGATCACGTCCTTGCCCGTGACGCCTTTGGGCAAGACGCCAGAAAATGTGACCTTGGCCACGGGAGGGATCTGCCACCAAGTACGTCCAGTAGCCCAGATGCTGGCGGCATCTGTCCGTACGACGGGAGTACCAAGGCAACTAATGCCGCCATAGGTATTTGAGTGACTGTCACTAGCGACAACTAGTGTCCCAGGCCATGCGTACCCTTCCTCCACCATGATCTGGTGTCCAATGCCCCGGCCAGCAGGGTAGAAGTCGACGCCCTGCTTTTTGGCAAACTCTTCAATTTGTCGATATTTTGTAAGATTCTTAGTCGATTTGTTCTGCACATCGTGGTCCAAAGTCATCACGACCTGCTTCGGATCCTTCAACTTTGAAGCACCTATCGACATGAACTTCAAGGCCACGGGCCACGAATTATCGTGGGTCATGCAATGGTGGGGCGCGATCGTAACGTAGTCGCCGGACTTCACAAACTTGTCTTTGGGCAAGCCCACCGCATATTGCTGGACGATCTTTTCCGTGAGCGTCTGAGGCACCCTCGGGGTGGTCTTGAGGGACGAGAGGATCGCGGCCGCGTCGGAGTCTTCGAGCTGGGCGTGGAATACATCCTGGGAACGGCGCGTGGTTGTGCGAAAGCCGCGACTCTGTATCAGGTTCATTCGGCCGGACAGAGCGATGGCCCGCGGCGCGCCATTGTTGGTAAAGCGCAAAGAGAACTGCCGCAGAGTTAGTCTGGCTGGTTTTCAAAGCGCAGCTTTCAAAGCACCGACCATCCTGCGCACTCTAGCAAATGTGCCTCCGCACTCCGCAAATGACAAAAGGTCGCACGCAGTGTCTATATTGTTAATAACATCCTCCAATAGCTCCCACGTTGAGAAGGCATCCAAAAGGAACAAGATAGGTGTGTGACAGACGATATGCGCAAAATTGTCCTGACGTGCTTGTTGCGAGTCCTGGTGGAGTTGAAAACCAGCACCGACCCCGGAGAGAAGAAATCTCCAAATTACTACAGTGAGGACCTGATTGGATGGCCTGCACCCGGCAAAACGCCGACGAGGCTGAGCGATATGCCACACCGCAGAACAAGGCCCGAGGTTCGGAGTGGCTTTGGAATTGTACGTACCACCGACCCAAGGCCTTGGATAGGACATTTTATGGTCTATCTTCTGCATTGCAATAACTTGTTGAAACGTGCATGTAGATAAGAGGCTCTTTGCTGATCTCAGCACGCGGAGTGCGACAACACAAGGAGAAGAGGAGCAAATCAGAGGGCGGTGGTGCCACCAATTTGAATCCTGTCACCAACGTATCGTCCATAAATACTGTGGCTATATATTCCGTGCTGTTTAGCCCCTTCCGACATACCTTTGCCGTCTATACCTCCGTCTAGCTTCATCAGCCCTACTGTGGACGCATTTAGAATCGCACTCCGTCGCCCTAAAAGATCGCCCACGTATCAATCACTCAAACGGTGTAGCGGAAGAAGGTAGCGTTATCGCCCTTCTCCCTCTCCGCGGCCTTGTCCTGCTCGGTGTACTGTTCCAAGGGTTTGTACTCACGGTCGCGACGGGCGTTTTCGCGCCGGAGATAAGTGGTCATGAAGACCTGCAGGCACGTGCTTGCACTGAGCATCGCGATCAAGATGGCATGGCCCTTTGTGAATTTGGGAGAGTCGGAGCTGAGATAGATGAACCCAGAAACTGCACCACCGAGGTTGCCTAGTAGCAGGAAATGTCAGAGGCATGTCGAGCTTGCGAGAACTGTTTGTCTCCGAACAGCAAAGGGCAGACTTACCAAAACCCACGTGCATTGCTATACCCACTGCTCTCTTGAGGGAGCCGCCAATGTTATTGCCATTCCAGGCAACACCCTGAGGGACATTGGGATAAATTCCCGCCACGAAGAAAAAGCATCCAGTGTATTTGACGTGAGGGTTCTGGGAAGAAATGAGTAAGATAAGTCCAAGCAATGCTGCGCAGTTGAATCCAATCATAAAGAGTCCGCGGGTCTTGAGCTTGTCGGCGGCATAGCCTCCGGTGATACAGCAGAAGCAGGCCACAATGTAGGGCGGGACCGTCATGAGCTGTGCTGTTTCGTTTGTGTAGCCCAAAGTCTTGACGATTGTTGGCAGGAAGAGGGAAACGGAGTACAAAGGCGTATAGATGCTGGACTGTGGTTAGCAGGAGGAGGTCAACCTGCAATGAATGGCTTACCCGATGGTAATGAACATATGGACCCAGATCTTCCAGTCCTTCAGAGCGTCCCAGCAGTATTTCATGTTGAACTCATCGGCAAGGGAACTGCGGTCACGTTCCAGGCGCCGTGATACTTCGTGTCTTTCCTCCGGGGTAAGGAACTTCGCGGTGGAAGGATAGTCATTCATGGTCCAGAATGCAATGATAGCTGAGGACAAACACTTTAGCTTGCGTCTTCTTCCGTTACCATTAAGCAGCCGCTACTCACCAATGATTAGTGTCAAGAGGCCTTCGAGGATGAAAATCCACGACCATCTGTATTTCTGTAAGTCGTTTATGAATTTCAGCCTGTGTCCCAGTCTACACATACCCGGACTTTCCGCCAACTCCATCCATTTCGATGATTCCACGGGCCAAGAGACCGCCAAAAGCCCCGGCGGCCGTCGCTGCAGAGAAAAAAACAGCCTATTGTTGTTGTCAGAGCTGAGCAACACAGGGAGTCCAGGTCATGAAGTTGGGGTGCTCACCATCCTAAGGCCACATTCATGGCGCTTGTACCACATTGTGATGTAGAAGGTCACTCCGGGAAATAGGCCTCCCTCTGCAATGCCCAAAGCAGCACGAGCAACAAGAAGCCCCGGGAAGTTGTGGACAAGACCCATAAGAGTTGTGCAGACTCCCCAGGCAACCATAATAGAAGGAATCCAAATCGAAGGCCGTGTCCGTTTCATCATAAGATTGGAGAGTGGCTCGACCAGGACGTAGAATGGAAAGAAGATTGCTAGAGCCACCTGAACATATGTGAGCGATGATGACATTGCAAAGAGGGGAGCTGAACGTACATTGTAGTCCAAGCCTGCCATTCCGAGATCCTTCTCAAGGCCAGCCAGTCGGGCGTTTCCAATATTGGTGCGGTCGAGGAAGCTGAGAAGATAGAGAAGCGCCAGGAAAGGTAGAAGCGTCCAATCGATCTTCCTGATCAGCTTCTTGGTTGCTTTAACATCGAACCCCAAGTCCTGAGAGCTTGAGGATGCTGATTCCAACATCTCGATCTTTGTTCCAGCATCTTTACTGTCGAGGCTCTCGACAGGAATCTCAACCTCCGTGACAGCCATCCTGTCTGTTTCTGGATATACCAGGAGATGTCCCGTGGTAAAAGAAATTGCACCGACTATCTGGATCTGTGTAACGGCAAGCACGTGTGAAGGGCCAAACAGCACAAAAGAGATAGGAAGCCACGTAGAATGTTGTAAAATGAGCAGGGTCACAGCAGACAATATATAGATGGCTGGTGCAAGGACTCACCGTTGACGAGGGACACAAGGAGGACGATTGTCCACTTCCCCGTGTGACAGGTCTTGCTCCGCATCGCTCCAGGCTCTCTCCCCAGATCCACTCGTGTCCTCCCAGTCAGTTTCGTCCGTTTTCGCCACGGAAGTCGAAGGAGCTGATCCTCAACATTTTTGACCAGGCTCTGACGCCTTGCTGATTTCGTCTGTTCGGACAAAGGGAGATTCAAGAAGAACCTGTGGGCATATCGGACCCTTGTGCCTAAACTCGTCATCATCCGATACGAATGATGGCGCGGCGGGATCTGCTGTACAGGGGGGGGAATGATGCAGCTGGCGACGTTATAGGACAATCTCTCAGATTCAAGATGCCGCCAGGTACTGCCGAATGATGTTGCCATCCTTGGCACAATTGGGATGGCTCGAGGAGTTCAGGCTGGCTTCGGAACCGATGGATAGGAAGATCTCCCGTAGGCAAATGAGAAGCTGGAGCACCAGTGACACAGTTGGTACAAGCCCCTGAGTTGGTGACACCGGCGTCTGGTGCGGAAATTCCACCGCGTGGACAGATAGATTTATGGCACGATGAGGTCGCTCAGCGTGTATTTTGGCTGTAACTACAGCCACTGTCAGATGATCCGTCAAGGGGAAGGCTGCAGACGGGGGCTGCAAAGATGAAGCCAAGGGCAGAAGACGTTAGCCTTGACGCCTGGGCCAACGTGTGCCATGCGCGGAGCATGTGCTGAATCAGGCTGGCAAGGCGAGAAGACAGCCCACGCCTATCTCGACGAGGAGCAAATGTAACGATAGAGCACCGGGGCCAAGCCATCAAGATCCCTAGCGGCGTGCCAAGCCATCGCGCCAAGAGCGGAATGGATTCTTCCTCCGGCCACGGCCAGTTTCCTTCAGACCGCCATCCAGTAGCCATATGGAACAGCCAGCAGCCAAGCGTTCCCAAGGATCGAACACGACAGTCTAGAACACCTTGATCTCAAAAGAACTTGCCCCCGCGTGCATGGTGAGATGTCGAATTGCTACTCTGGCGTCGCTCTACGTGGCGGGCTCGCTACCCACGCGGAGAGCTCGACTCGTAGCCATTTCCCCGGTCCCCTCCTATCAGTAGCGCCTCGTTAACATCAGCCTTTGACTGTGATGCCCAATGGCTCCCGTCTCCCTGGAAAAGTTGCGTCGATCATTCACATGCCACAAGGTCTGATTGCTTCCTCCAGATGAACCCGGATGCAATCCACATAGCTCAATACCATCCCGCTAGAGCATCCTATCACATGCGAAGAAAACTGTTGAGCTGGCTCTATCCCCAGACGTGTCGACATATTCTCCAGATGTCGCCATGGCTTCGTATCAAGGACCTACCTAGGTTTACAGCAATCCCAGAGCCCCTGTCACGAAGTCTGGGGATGTACCGCGGCTTCGACCAGTTCTCCCGAGAGAACACCGCACATGCCTCCTTGTGTCCGGTCTTCTCTCCCATGAGCCAACATGTATGATTCAAGTTGATAGCTTGACAAGACAGGTACTGTGACATACTGGTGCCACGACAATGCAACTCAAAACGACCCGATATCGTCCTATAGAGTCTACGCTTCATGGAAATGTCTTGTACGCTGAAGATAGTCATCCTATGGCATCTATTCACCTTTGGTGGCAGTTGGACGTTGTCCATGGCGTTTTGACACTTTGCTTTATGTACACTTGCTGAAGGAGCAGTCCTCGTGGCCTTACAACAGCGTGTTGCTGTCGCATGCGTATCGGAGTTGAGACTTGTTGCTGGTGCTCTCTCGCACGACGCATTGAATGCGAACTCGGTTCGATCAATTACCTGTGATCAATCTGCACAATCTGTCTAAAGTCTAGATCTGCAGGTTTCAGCAGTGGTCAGCAAGTGCGTGTGCATGTGCATGTGCGTCTGCATCTCGAGACGGACATCAAGCGACAACCTCTCAACAGCAAACAGGCTGAAGCGAGAAGGATATTCACGCCGCCAGAATACTGACAGAATGAGCAAACCAGATCAGGATCTCTTTCAGCATATCGCAGTGTTCCGTCGCTGCTCGTTTTCATTCCTCCGTTGCGCACAGCACGAAGATTCTGCCTTCTCACGAATGAAGACCATAGCCACCACGGCACGGAAAATCCGACTCAGTTTCAAAGACTCGCCATGCATTCCGCTTCACGCTTCAGACAGCGGGTAGGACTCCTCGGGGAATGGACCCTCCCCTGTGAATATCACAAAGGATTGTGCTAGAGAGGCCGTAACTTCCTTCTTGAGTTGATGCCACTACATAAACTCTTCGACTTGGTAGTGGCTTCGGAAAGCAGCGAATTAGCCACGTGCTTCGTTGCCCTTTTCGCAGGCATCTGTGTACGAGAGAGCCTCCACGCGCACGGCATGCGAGTATAAGTATATCAACCACACAGATGTGGACTCAGATCTAGCAAGGCCCGATCGACCTGCCTGCATCGAGTCCGCCCAAAGTAAAAGAACTGGGGGCCACCCGGGCTCGGATCGGCATGGATACCGAGAACTGTCCTCTCCAGGATATCGAGCAAACCTCCGCATCGTCACCCCACGGTCTCTCTCCGAGCGGCTGAATTACTGGCTGAATTTAGCCGGAACGTGTACGGAACGCGCTTCACGACATCAGACGACTATGGGCCGAGAAACCCGTCCAGAAAAACGAATGAGGGACTAAATCCACTGCATCTCGAGTGCCGAATATATCGTCTACACCAAACGAATTAGACAGCCCAGATCCCAGGACTTGCATCTTTCATATACTTACCACCCCCTACCTCACAAACCTCGACAACTGCAAGTGGTTAAGCTCGAGAATAATGGAGCCAATCCGTCTCGGCATTATAGGCTATGGCTTCTCTGCCAAATGCTTCCATCTGCCATTCATCAACGCGTGCCCGGACTTCAAGGTGGTGGCTTTCTTTCAACGAACAGAGGCACCAAAGGACCCTAAGAGCGCAGAGCCCGGGTCACATTGCACAGTCGACTATCCCAACACCAAGCACTATCAGAATGCAGACGACTTCTTCGCCGACAAGGACATTGATGTGGTGATTGTGTGCAGCAAACAAGACACGCATGCCGAGTATGCCGAAAAGGCCCTGAACGCTGGGAAACACGGTATGGTTCTCTCAGACTTTCCCTAAACGAGAAGAGATTCTAAACTAATCTGTGTGTTTTGAATAGTTGTTGTGGAGAAGCCTTTCACCAGGACGACGGAAGAGGCCGACCGTCTCATTTCCCTGGCAAAGAAGAGTGGCAAGATCTTGACAGTCTTCCAGAACCGAAGATGGGTAAGTATTAAGTGGATCGTCGCCGATCTTCCTTTCTCGCAAGTGGCATATATTTGCATTCCCTATACCAGATGCCAACGGCCTTCATTTCTCTAGGATAACGACTTCCTAACCCTTCGACATCTAATCGACAAAGACGCCTTTGGGACGATCAAAGAATGCGAAATCCACTACGACGTCGACTTTCCCTTCTGGATGAGAGGCATGAACAAGAAGGAGTACTCGCCGGGAGACGGCATGACTTTTGGCCTAGGTACTGCACCTATCTCTCTATCTGTCCCTGTGTATCACGCAAAATTTGCTCGTGGCCACCTCACTCATTCCCCTTCTTTCCTCCCGATGGTGCCTAGAGAGACCCATTGGAAATGACCGTGTCGTGTAACAATTCTAACGCAAACCCGTCCCTGGGTGTTGTGCAGGAAGCCACACCTTCGATCAAGCACTGCTGCTCTTCGGGCGGCCCAAGTCCGTGACGGGGTTCCTGCGCGTGCTCCGCGGCGTGGACAGCGAGATCGAGGACAGTTTCACGGCCATCCTGCAGTATGACGGACCGCAGCAGGAGCTGCTGGTGACGGTGAAGACGATGGTGGTATCGACGATGAAGGACCAGCTCAAGTATTTCATCAGGGGGACGAAGGGGTCGTTTGTCAAGGTGCGTTTTATATACCCCCTGGCCTACCTTTTACACCCTCCAGTCCATTTAATGCCTCGATTCCTTTTCTTGCCATCAGCCAACCCCCCCCCCCCCCTCTCTCTTCTCCAACTGATCACCGATATTGACAAACACGTGAATATCAGCATGGCACATGCGTCCAAGAAGAACAGATCCTGTCGACGCCGTCCATGCCCGTGACGGATCCGGACTTCGGCCGGGAGCCGCCGCACCTGCACGGCCTACTGACGACCAAAGGCGAGCACGCCTTTGACCACGCGCACCAGATCTACGAGCCGGACTTCAAGCTGTTCGTGGGCCGCTACCCGACCGTCCCGGGCCACTGGCTGGGCTTCTACGAGAACCTACGGGACGCCGTGCGCGGCCAGGCCGAGGTCGCCGTCAGGCCCGAGCAGTCGCGCGACGGCATCCGGCTGATCGAGCTGGTCCGGCTGAGCAGCCAGAAGGGCCAGGCGGTCGAGTGGCATTGAACCGTCGCGGAGCGGCGGCGGAGAGAGATGGACGACGGAGGACGGTGGACGACGACGGCGACGACGGCGACCAGGGCGAGAGAGGGCAGAGAATTCCACAAGCAGGGTGAATCACAGGGTGAACCAAAACCATGTTCGAGCTATGACACGCGAAACGAGTGTACAACTGAGTTCTCTTACAAGACAAACAAGCGGACAGAGCAGTTGAGCAGAAGAAAAAGGGCTCATGATATTCGACGGCCTCCAGTCTCTGTAGCCATATTCATCCGCCAGTACCACTCCCTGTATGATCCCATCAACACTGGACTTGCCGGGCTCGTTCCCCTTCTCCCATGTGACTCCTTGTGCAACCCGGTCCGCCTTTTCCAGTGTAGAGAATGCGCAATTTTGACCTTTTCCACAGCCCAAAGCCAGACCAAACCAAGACAGCAAGCATCCAAACGAGCAGCAAAAATTACGCGATGGTGAAGAACAACCTCCAAATGCAAACCCTCCAAGATCCTGAGCCCAGACATCAAAGAAAAGACAACCCCCCCTCAGTTCTTGCTCTTTGGAAAGAGGATATCCCGTTCTCACCAACCACCTCCTTCCACAACGCCATGCTTTCAAGAGGGGAATGTCGACACCAGCCATGTCCATCTGAAGAGCACACTGAACCACTGCTCCAGCTCCATTACAAGTGCTGCCAACCCCTCCCACGGCCCGGAACCAAAGAGGCCATCCTTGGTCTCCATTGCCACCCGTCCTTCGATGCCATTGTCATGACTCCGAAGACCAACCCAAAGATCCATGAGATTCCTTCCTTCTTCCACCTTTTGATAATCGAGATGTTGCCCAGATCTCCACTCCTCCCGTCACCTCACACCCATCGGTGAGGCCCAATGACCATACGCTAAACGATTGAAAGATCGCTGCAAAATGATCCCCTTCCCCTTAACACGCTATGTGGAAGCATCCTCAAGACCCCGACATGCATAACGAACCACGAGCACTCCCACCTATGCGATGCCCTGTACACCGAAGATATGCTTCAAAAGGCAACACAACTCCGCGCATACAAAACATGTCATGTCCAGGTCGTGTCTTCATAACTCATTAACCCCATACTGAGGTTGTACCGATTTTGTTGGATCCCCAAACTCCGCTCCCCGTGCCCCAAGCACCCATGCCGGAATTCGATGACTCTTTCTGCGCATTCGAGTTCGAGTTGGCCGACCCTGCTCGATCAGCATTTTGTTCGTTAGATCCGAACCCGTAACCCAAAGAAGAAGGCAGAGGGGACGTCGTGCGCTTGTTGATGGACTGGTTTGGTGCCTGTTGCACATTGGGACGGCTGCCAATCGGCCCCATGCCGCCACTGACGGGCGCAGTGGTTGATTTGGAAATCTGCCGTGAGTGCGATGGCTCTTCTCCAGTCGGTGGTGTGGGCGCCTTCCCGGAAGCTTGAATGGGAGCATCGAACGTACCAAAACCCGCAGATGTTTGCGCAGATGGAGAAGTTGCCTTTTCAGCACGAGAGGCCTCCTGACCCGAAGAAACCCCCTGAGGGCCGGATTCACCCTGCGACGCCTGTCCTGGCCCGCCAAAAGGGTCAGAGGTGCGGGGTGAAGGACCGCGAGGGGCCCCAGGTGCATTACCAGACACCGCCACAGCCTGATCTCGGCTGCTGGCGTCCTCGGTGGAAAAGGGCACCTGTCCCACAAAGGCCGCGGGATCACCGCCATATAACGCGCGATGCTGACGAGCGATTAGCTCCCGGCGTCCTTCCTCACTCAAGGTGCTCGGGCTCATTGAACGATCGGATTTGTTAGACGACATTTCAGCCAGTAGACCTGTTCGAGTCTCAGTGCGGTGTCCTCGTCCACTTCCGGGCACACGATGCTTACTCCGGTTATATTGCTGCTCTTGATGATAATTACGGAGCTCGCGCTCTCGCTGAGCTGCCATCCTCCTTTTGGCTTGCATCATTTGATCGGCGTCCCCGTGACGGCCTTGGTGCCTTTGCGCGGCATAAAAATTCTGAAGATTCGAGCCGGGGTGCGGTCGCGAAGGGTCAAAGTCGCCAACGGGATGGCGGCCTCCGTGCACTCGGGGACCTGCATACAATGAGTTTCTTATCCACCGCGCGCAAAATGCTGAGATACAACGTACCGTACTCTGCTCCCGGGCGCATTGGACCTGATGGCATTGATCGTTGCCCACCTCCACCATAGAATTTGCCACTTTTGACAAGATTGTCCATCGCTCGATCCACCTCTATTTTCTCACGTCAGTCCCTTCGAGTGACAACTTCCAGTGGCAATCATCGCACCTTCGAATTGGATGGCAAAAGCATTGCCGTCTTCGCGCTGAGAGGTGGAACTGGCACCTGAGATGTAACTGTCAGTCTCAAGAAAGATATTCCATGAAGGTCCGACGTCAATTACCTGATCTTGACGGTGGAGGCGGCTGCTCCCACGAAGGCTGCCGAACCGGCGCCTGCCATCCCTGGGGTTCATACGGAAACGACATATTTCTCAATTTGTACCCGGCCCCTCTTTTGAAGCAGAGTCTCAGGCAATCCTCCGGTCGAGATTGTGTGGTCGACCGCGGCGACAGGATATACTCGCAAGGTAATGACTAGCTATTGAAGAGATGAGTCGGTTAGGAGTTGCAATAAAAAGACAATGATTAGGCTGGATGCGACTGGCTAAGGATCGAGAGAAGAAAACGTGCAGTTTGGAGGGGAGAGGGGTTGGACATGTGGTGTATGTGTGTGGTCCGGTTCTTTGGTTTGGGAGGGGGGAAATTCTGGTACGTTGGTTTGGTGCGAGGATGTGGGTGGGGAGAGTGTTCATTTTTCTCGAGGGATCGGTTCGGCCAACTCGAGCCAATGATGGCTTCTGTGCAATCGGTCGAATTGCCCCGGGATGGCGACGGGAAAGGCAGGCGAGTTGAGAGGACGTGAGACGACTTACAGATCAACCCAGAGCCGAGCTCGGATCCTCGCAAGTCGCAGGTGGTAGGTGGCCGTCGGTGAAGATGAGTACCGCGCGGGAGGAAACTTGGACGTGGATGGAAGCCCGCACTGCAGCGGCAGGCGGCAGGCGACACGAAAAATTATAAGAAACGGAGAGGAAGGGGGGACAAAAGGAAAAGAGAGCGCGCAGGCGGAGAAAGATGGAGAGAGGGTTAAAAAAAAGTTCTGCGACGAGAAGCGAGAGTCGACGTTAGCACCACCACCAACACCACTTTTTCCGACCGAGAAGAGGGCGACGAGGGAAATTCGCAAGGGCCTCTAGAAGGCAAAAGCCCCCCCATGACCACAGGCGACTAGGCTGCGATACCACCTACAACTTTCTTGCCTAGGCACGACTGCCGTACCTAGGTAGGTACTGTGGGTAAGGCGGCAGGTACTTCTCACTCCCCTAAAACTTGGACCCCGGCCAGCATCGTGGTCTTCAAACTGCGAGTCCTCTTCCGACTCACTCTTCATCTTCCGCGACCTCCCTCCCTCTTCTCCTCAGCCAAGAGTCGCCGTCCTCCTCGTCCTTCTCACTTTTCGTGCCGGAGATCTGCTCAGCGAGACAATAGGCGTAGGCGGGTCATCCCCGACCATCACTACCCACGAGCTAACGATGACCGGCTTAAGGCTGGGTCGCTGGGTCATCGGCAATGCGAGACCCCAAAAACCCCCCTCCGCGGATTGGACCGAGTACCTCTGTCGCAGTGTTGAAAAGCAGAGTTGAACAATTGGCGAGCCTCACCAGAGACTGGCCCCCCTTCGAGATCGGCTCTCTCGCTCCTCCGAATATCCCAGGCGGATCTTGATGAGGAAAAGAACTCGAAGCCGAGCCAGATCCGCCCCCTATGCCATCGCCAAACGCTGTTGAAGCAAATTGTCTCTCCGTGGTGGAGACCTATGGAATGGCCGGTAAATTGTTGTGCTCGTGCAGGTGGGGGACATTTTTGAAGCATCATTTGCTTTGGTCAATTTCCCTGCCGGCAGCCGACTACGTCGAGTCAGAGATTCGCTACATCTACCAAGTACCAAGGGCAAAAGGATGGTGTTGGTAACAACTACTGGCAATCATCCCAAAAGAACCACGACGAAGATCCTATGACGCAAAGGCCGAACCACAACCACAACCCGTCAGTGACGAATGCGACTGACGCTGTCGTTCCCGTCCTGCCCGAGCGCATCTTGACCGTCGATGGCTTGTCTGCCCCTCAGTGTCTAAACGGTTCACGGGCCCTGCACGTTATGCGTCTACCAATCCGAGTCTTCCGGTTCATGGGGAGCTGTCCCACTCGTGCTTTCGAGAACCCTGACAACCACAAGCTACTGCCAACCAGTCACTCATCACATGGGCCACGAGGTCGCGAGAGGTCCGTTCTCTGATGCGAAAGCTCATTCTCCGGAATTGGCATCGGCGACGCTGAAGATTGCCGTTAAACTCATGTTCGTCACGCATCAGCTGCAGCCAAACACCACAAGAAACGAGCCATGTCATGCAGCCGTCCTTTTTCGTTCGTTGTACAGAGCACAGAGTACAGGCAACTCCCCAAGCACCTGATCGGTCCAGTCCGAGAGCTCCCAGAAATCCGAGAAGCCCTAGCCTCCTGTGCGTGATTTGGTCAGATTGGTAACTTCTTCTAGTCCTCAAATTTCAGACGGTTCCACAAATCATCGAGGTTGGCGAGCCTCGAGCGACATGACTCCAGGAAATCTAGTCTACCGTGATGCGAGTGTACTCGGTAAGGCTCGACAAACCGGAGGTAGAACCTGAGGCGCCCATGAGTCCATGAACTACCCTAGCAAATATACTGGAATCCAAAGCTCTGTATACACCACGCTGGTGGTAATTGGCCGATCTGACAGCAGAAGGCATCTGGTGACGTGCAATCTGCGTCCGTGACTACAGCAGGGTCCATTGGTCGCGAGCAAAGTCAATATGATTGTTCTGTCGCATACGGTACGCGGTGTTGGACTACTATTCCCAGACTTTGCGGTCATGCAGTCTCCCAGCGACTGTTGGTGCACGAGGATCACAGCAACGATGCTTTTGGACTTCAGCAACCACTGGACCGTACAGAGTATTATACAAGGGCGTTGCCTGGGATGAAAATGGATCTGCGCAGTGAACATAATACGAGGTAGAATGAATTCAAGATTGCAAGAATAGGGGGTGAAAGAAATTGGACATGCTAATAGAACAAACCGGAGCACTCTGTACGGAGGACTGCTGGGTCCGCACTCTGGGTAGCTTGGGCTCAAGCATCAACTTCTCCTCCCAGGCGGTGCCAGGGGTCTTTGCTGGACTAGTAGTGAGCCTAGTTGCCCGTTGAGTCAGCCTAGATTGCGGAGGAGGGCGCCTGGTCTATAATTGGCACCGGGAGGCAGCATGTGGTGTGGTCAGAATCTCAAGACAGCATCTCAGATCACCAAATTGCATCCAGCTGGTGGGAATACCCAAAGGCTGAGCATCGCTGACCCAATATGGCACAGGGATCCAAAACCACCCCTCCTCCCTGGAAAGGGGTTTGTACAGAACAAGTAGAAAGGATCGGAGGGAGTCTTACTCTCTCGGATTTTGCAGGCGCAGAGCCGACATTGGCTCACCGGAGGTTGGGTAATGCTCATGTGTGTCCTCCGTACCGAGTACGATCTGGAAACTTTGGAATTTGCTTTCTGGCGGTGACCCCGGCGACACCGTGTTGGCCATTTGGATGGATGATCAGCCTCTCCAACAGCAATAAACGCGGTGTCCTGTCGAACGCGACGCGCTAGTGGAATCTGACAGGTGCATGTATATATATAACCATGTACGGAGTTATTATGTATAGACTGTGGTATACCGCACATTCCATGATGAGAGACCGGTCAGAACGAGGCAAAGCAGTGCCAGCACCGCCAGTCCAGGGGAGCCAGTGTTGGGACGAGCAGGCATTAGGGCATGGCTAATGGGCATGAACTTGGCTGGGTGCTCTCACTCTCTCACCCGGCCATACCCTGCAATTATGCTGTGTAGCGTAGCTAATTCCCCAGCTGGACATCTTGGTCCCAGGTCAGCAAAGGCAGCCTGCAAACTGCAGACGCGCGCCCGTCACCACCGGTGTGTTCTTGGGGATGCTGAAAGGAAGGCTTTGGGATGTGAAGCGGTGATGGACGTTGTGTAGGTACTGTACATAGACAGCTGAACTGGGTGCTGGGTGCTGGCGCTTTGTGTCGTCTGCGCTTGTCTGTGCCGTTCCGTATCACTTGTTCCACAGTTGCTCGAGACTTGTCCAAAGAACGTGAAGAAAGCAGTTCTTTTGGGGGGGTAAGGAAAGGGCCTGTTTGTAAATTGACGCTTGGCACCAATGGCCACATGGAGGGCGAGAAGGTATTTTTCTTTCTCGGGCTGATCCACCGCTAGCCACGGGCTGCACGGGGCTACTGGGCGTTGGACTGTTGTTCGGAGGCCCTCGCCGTGCGCTGCTCGCTGCTCCGTACAACTGCCACCCACGGGCCACCAGCGCCAGAGCACCAGTGCTCCAGTGCACCACCACAGCACCCACACTACAACCGCAGGGCCACAAGGGCCCTCTCCCAGACTCCCAGACTCCTAGAACAGTCCGCCGTAGTAGTCAGTGCACTGCACCGCAGCCAGGAACAAGCGAGGACCATCTCTCGTTGCACCTCGCACCTCGCACCTCGACCACTTCCATCCATCACCTCCCTCTTCAAACTACCTTCCTGTCGACTCTATCCTCGTCCCATCCTCGACATATCTTCCCTCTTGACACGCGCCTAGAGGCCCTATCCTACTTGTGCTCGCATTCTCAATCCTGTATATCACCCAAGTTTCTACAACTCCCCCCCCCCCCGTATTCTCCTCGCCCGGATCACGCAGAATTCCCAGCAGCCTCCAGGCCAGATTCAAAGACCTCCCTCTCTCGGATTCCTCCTAATTGCACCTTACACTACCGCTCTACGCCTTTCTCGACCTCGGGCTCGCCTCAATTCGCCTGCAGATCGGTCGACTGAACCCTTCTTCACCTCGCCGCCCTCGACGGGCTTACTCAGACAATCCTCGACACAGACGAGGTCTTCTTGCCGTCACTGGGCAGTGTTGTCACCGGAAAAAAAAAAGGCAAAGTCGACCGTGTGTCGCGTCACACCCTTTGCTGAACTCAGAATTGCTCGTTGCTCTGGAACGCCTGCACGCAGTACTTGGTCAATCCGCACCCAAGCCGTGTCCGCATCCGCCTCAAAATCGCGACTGGGAGGTTGTTATTTTGAACCTATACTTTGTTAAAAAGAAGAGTCAGACCCTATACACGACCTGAACCCGCGCGACCAGTCTCGTAGCAACTGTTCAACCGAGCCGCCTCGAGTCCAGTCTCCCTCGGGTCTGTCATATGACTTGCAGAGTACCGAAAGATGATGGGAACAGTATATCTACACCGATGACCGCTCCATCTGCTCAGGCTCCGCGGCCAAATATGGAAATGGAGTCGAACACTAGTCCCTCACAGCCTGTACGGCGCTCACATCACGTCTCCTCGAACTCCAAGTCTATGCCCTCGACCCCCTTCCAGCGAAGCGAGGCCCGTTCACATTCAAGAATCTCTCCTTCCCCAGAACCTCCAGCCAAAACCAGTTCTCCTCGTTCGCTACCATCCGACAAGAGCCATACGCCACCTGCAGGCCGGAAGCAGTATGGAGGCTGTAAATATGAGACTGGTATGCAAAGAGCACGGCGGCGTGTTCCCTACTCATTGGGGCCAGACCCATTGGAAAAGGATAAGTCCGAGTTGAAGACGAGATTGACGCACGAGGAGAATGAAACACTAACGCAGGACATGCAAAAGCTCTATGAAGAACTACAACCAACTACCGAGAGTGAAGACCGTCGGTTACGGTTCATTGAGAAGCTCGACAAGATACTTCGCGGAAGATGGCCTACGTCGTCAATCAAAGTCAATGTTTTTGGCTCTACGGGAAATAACCTAGGCACTTCGGATTCCGACGTCGACATCTGTATTACCACCGATTGCAAGGAGATGGAGAGAGTTTGTAATATCGCAGACCTCCTGGCTAAACATGGAATGGAGAGAGTGGTATGCGTCTCTTCCGCCAAGGTGCCAATCGTCAAGGTTTGGGATCCTGAATTACACGTTGCTTGCGACATCAACGTCAACAACCCGCTCGCTTTGGAGAATACGGAACTGGTCCGCACATATGTCAGTATTGACAGCCGAGTGAGGCCATTGGCCATGATCATCAAATACTGGGCGAAGCGAAGGATGTTGAACGATGCCGGTATGTTGTCTCTTTTGGAGTTTGCTGATTTGCGATTTTGGTACTGATGTCTCTCCAAGCCCTTGGAGGCACGCTCAGCTCGTATACGTGGATATGTCTGGCCTTGAATTTTCTCCAAACAAGAGACCCTCCAATCCTACCTACTTTACAACAACAGCCTAACTTGCAACCGAAAGAGGTGGCTGGAGTGAACGTTTCATTCGATCGCAATGTGGACGGCCACAAAGATTTCGGCCGCCGCAACAAGTCCTCCCTAGGAGAACTCTTGTTTCATTTCTTCCGGTACTATGGGCACGAGCTCGACTTTGAGCAAAGCGTGGTATCGGTGCGGCTGGGTCGAGTGTTGTCCAAGGTTGAGAAGTCGTGGCACCTTCTCCAGGACAATCGCCTTTGCGTCGAGGAGCCTTTCAACGTCTCCAGAAACTTGGCCAACACCGCGGACGATACCTCAATGCGAGGTATCCACTTGGAGTTACGGCGGGCGTTCGAGTTGTTAGGAGAGGGTAAGCTGGCGCAGTGCTGCGAACAGTTTGTCCACCCTCCAGATGAAATCAAGCCCTCAGAACATTTTGTACCGCCGTCAGCACGACCGGTGATTCCCCAGCCTCCGACCCAGCCGTCAAGAGGGGGTCGGAATGCGTCTCGAGGTGGCAGCAGGAATCTTGGTCAGATCAGTCGAAATCCCCGACGGTCTTCGAATCCCACCGCACGGAATCCCAACTATCTGCGCAACCCTCCGTTTCCGATGACAACTCATGAGTTGCAGCTTCAACAGCAGCACCAGCAACATCTCCTTCACGACCAGCTGTTCCAGCAATACCAGTACCTCCAGCTTCAAGAGCAGGAGCTGAGAATGCAGCTCTATCAACAGAATCTTCGCCAGAGAGGGTTGTTGGCAGCGGCGGCTTATAGTCAACCTGCAGGATATAGTCAGTTTCTCTCGCAAGACGACGGGCTTGATCTCGGATCCAATCAACAAATCAACGGCATTGGTCGAGCTCCCCTATCAGCACCATTGTACCAGCACGCCTTTCCTCGATCACCGTATCTCTCTGCAAGTCAACCAACCCCGGGTGTAGCAACTAATCCTCCGTCACCGAGACTTGCTTCCGGGGTCCCGGACACCCGGAGGTACTCGCGGCGAACGTCGGTGACACATTCATCTACAGGTGGTTCCTTGCGAGCTCAATCCCAGCCTGCACGCGCGGTTCCAGTCAGTTCTCTGGGACATTTGCAGCGACCTGATATTGCAGGCCTTCAAGATGCTTCTATCGGACGGAGGTCGTCCTCATCCTCGACGTCTCAAGAACCGTACATGGGCTACATGGAGAATGGTTATGGTATGATTGGATCAATCTATGATCCAGTACGCAGGCCAGCCGAATATCTCGGATATTATGTCGGTCAGTCGCCGTCATTATCTGCTTATACTCAGAGCACTGCGATCTCTCCCATTCCCTCGCACGTTGGCCTCGCTATCCAGAATGGAGGCCTGTCTCCTCGACTTACTCCAGCATCGACTCGGCCCTCTGGGACGATGCACACACCACCGCTCCAAACGATCTCTACTGCCTCGGTCGAAGCGCAAGCCGAACCAGAGCAGGAGTCGAGGAACGGTGAAGGTAGCAATGTTGGGTCCAACCCATCGAAGTCCACAGCGGGCCCGCTAATAGTGGATGGCTCGATCAATTCACCGCTGCGACGGCGCACGACCCACTCCTTCAACGAGCCTGAGGACCATATCAGTTTCAGCGCATCCACGTCGGAGGACCTAGCCTTTGACACCCCATCAAGCTCAGACGAACAATCCCAAGACGCTTTCGAGTGCAACGCACATGGGAAGATATCGCCAATCAGTCCCAGTGGGCCTCGAAACCAAATCCAGCATCCAAACGGTGCTGCCTCAGATTTTGCAAATGGGTATCTCCCCTTGAGAGCGAAGAGTCCGAAGGAGGGGAGCCAGGATCAAGTGGTCAGGGCAGGGGAATCGGTGGGAATGGGTGTCCTCACATCGATGAAGAAGATGGGCGGCCCAGCTTGGTCTCTCGATCGACAACTCTCTTCCGTGGAAGAAGTCCGCACGCCTTCTCCTAGAGTCGAAAAATTCAACGGAGAGAGGGAGAGCAAGAGTCATATCGGCCCGGACGAACCCTCGTCCAATGGTGAGACTTTGTTGATCAACGGTGAGGATCGTGAATTTGCGAGGCCGCTTGCAACCAGGACCAACGGGACTGCAGGCTCTTCAAAACAAGGACCGAGTTCAGCACCGAATGGCAGCGGACCGAGCGGCTGGCAAACACAAAAGAAGAAGAAGAATAAAAGAAAGACGGTCAAATCGGAAAACGATGCACTGATGTCGAATCTTTCCGCAAGAGAAACACTCCCTGCCGACGAGTCCCTACGGAAAGGCGGCTAGGCGCTCCTTTGCAGAATTTTCCCATGACCTGCAGCTTATTTGGCTTGTCCACCTTATGATGCTGCCGTTCTCTCAGCTCGATCACTAGGTTCAGACCCCATCTGCTAAACCGCATTCTGGATCGGGTCGATGGGATCGACAAAGGGCAGCATTTTATGATATCAACAGCACACATCTAGTCGTTCTATGGATTTTGGGTTATGCATGGACAAAATTTGTTGGCGTTTGTCGATCTAGCAGGGAGCAGGATCCCTGGACGGGATGCCACACATGAGGATGGCAGCGGCGTTTCTTCTGCACCAAGGGACGTTTTCACATACCCCCGAACGTTGTGGGATGCATTCACATATACGGCTGGATTGAAGGCTGGATCTTTGATGGCTCGAGCGATCCAGGAAAAGTGACGCCGCTTCGACAAACGGGCGGATCTCACGGCCTCGCGACAAAGCTTGATTGATGTTTTTATTTTGCAAAAGGCGGAAGCCGGACGATCATGAGATTGGGCAATAGAAATGCACCCATTGCAACCCGAGCCAGCCATCGGGCCTCTGTTTTTCTTTTTTTCCTTTTTTGATTGTCGAAAGTTGTGGGAGACTAGAGCAAGGGAGGTTCACAAAAGCGTCAAATTTCGCAAAGGCTTCAGCACGACGCTGAAGCGGCACAGATCAACTACGGGGGAAAAGGCCGAGGCTGAGAAGAAATGAGAGATTGTAAGATGTCTCGCGAGGATCGCGAGGAGAGAGCGGGGACAGTAGATGAGCAGATTAGAGAGAATGAATGAAAGGAACGCAACCATTGTTAAATCAAAGGCCACTGGTGCTACTCCCTGCTTCTTTCAACGTTGGTCTGGACGAGGCTGAGATGGTTGGAGGACCACGAGGCTGACCAATGACGACTCGCTCGTACCACCCGGAAGGAGACAAAGCAACAGTCGGCGGTGCCTTGCATGATTCACCCCTCGCTTGACACGCACGGCCAATGGCTGGCACTTCTGGAATTTTATTGTGGTCCCCAACTTTGTCGATTCAATCCACCATGTGGAAGTCGTCACCACTCAGCAGAACGCGGCATGCGGTCAGTGCAAGGTCTTGAGGGCACGCTTTCCGGACTCGTTCTGCTCTTTATCACACCACGCCTCACGCCACAGAACTCATCGTCCTCCACAACAGAGCCCCCGGGGTCTTAAAGACACTGTCCTCCTTCGACACCGCTGGTTCATGTCTAGATAACGCCTCCTGCCCACGCATCCTTCCATCCTGTCCGCTTCCAACAATGCCTCTTATCCTCGACACCCCCTCAGAGTCCTCGGTGGAGTCGGACTCGGACTTTCAGGAAGAGAGACGAAAAGTACACCACGATGCGGACGTGGTTATCGTGGGCGCGGGCATCGTGGGATCGTCGTTGGCCGTGGCGTTGGCAAATCAAGGGCGCAGCGTCATCCTCCTCGAGAAATCTTTGAAAGAGCCGGATCGCATAGTGGGAGAACTGCTACAACCCGGCGGGGTGCAGGCATTGACAAAGCTGGGCTTGCGCCATACGCTCGACGACATCGACGCGATTCCGGTCAAGGGATACACCGTGGTCTACTATGACGAGCAGGTGCCCATTCCGTACCCTGTATCTACAGATGAAGCACAACACCAGACTCCAGAAAAGCCGGGAAACGTCCAAAGAGCAGAGGGACGGTCATTCCACCACGGTCGATTTGTTTCCCGGTTGCGCACAGCCGCCATGTCACATCCCAACATTACCGTCTTTGAGACCGAAGTGACTTCACTCATAGCGTCTTCCCATACCGCCGAGATCCTCGGAGCCGAATCTATCACTCAAAAGACACAAAAGGACTACTTCTTTGCATCACTGACCGTCGTCTGCGACGGGTACGCCTCCAAATTCCGGAGGTCATATATTTCTCACACGCCCAAGGTCAAGTCAAAATTTTGGGGGCTAGAACTTATCGACTGTCCTCTCCCGATCCCGCAACACGGAACAGTGGTCTTGGGGGATAATGCACCTGTACTACTGTATCAGATCGGCACCCATGAGACTCGAGCATTGGTGGATATTCCGGACGGGTTGGCGTCTACGTCGACCGCCAACGGTGGCGTCAAAGGTCATCTACAGCATGTCGTGCTCCCATCTCTACCGGCTATGGTGCGGCCATCGTTTCAAGCCGCTCTTGAAAAAGGCATTCTTCGAAGCATGCCCAATTCCTTCCTCCCTCCAACAACCAATTCAACACCAGGGCTAGCCATTCTGGGAGACGCCATGAACATGCGCCATCCTTTGACTGGTGGCGGTATGACGGTCGCTTTGAGCGATGTCGTCTTACTGTCCGAATTACTCTCTCCAGCAAAGGTTCCAGATCTCGCAGATACCCGGCTCGTCCTCCGGCAGTTCCGCACATTTCACTGGCGGCGGAAGAACCTGAGCTCCGTGATCAATATCCTGGCTCAAGCATTGTACTCGCTGTTTGCCGCCGATGACTGGCAACTCAAGTACCTTCAACGGGGCTGTTTTCGGTATTTCCAACTGGGCGGCAAATGCATTGACGAACCCGTGGGATTGTTGGCGGGGATCATCCCGCAACCTTTTGTGCTGTTTTATCACTTCTTTAGCGTGGCGTTGCTGAGTATCTGGGTGCTTATTCAGGACAACGGGTGGCTTTTGTTCCCGGTTAGTGTGCTCCAGGGGGTGTTGGTGTTTTTGAAGGCCTGCGTGGTCATTTTCCCGTACATATTTGCTGAATTGAGGCGTTGAATGAGAGATCCGACATTACCCACAACATTATTGAGGAGACGGGAGACAGACACCCGAGAGATCGACCATGGGAGTAATGTACAGTTAGATAGATAGATGCTGGTCAGGGCAGTCAGGGACATGGGGGGAAAGCTTCTTGAAGAGCATGCTGATTCTTTTGATGCTCGGTGAGAATGAGACGTGTTGCCCGGAGTACATACACAATCTTTCCACCTTTGGAGTCCAATCCTCGCACTCACAACACGGGGCTTTTCCATCCTTCCAGCCTTGAATCAATCACAATTTCCCCCCGTCATTGGCCTTGGCCTTTCCGTGCTCCTTCTCCTTGGCCTTGAAGGCGTTGATGGCGCCGACAATCAGCGCCCCGTCGTTGAACCGCGTGGGCCACAGCTCCTTCATCCGGGCCACGAGCTCGCGGGCGTTCTTGACCTGTCGGCCGCGGCCGCCCTCGACCAGCGCGTCAAAGTCGAGGATGTAGCGGCGGGTGCGCTCGAGGTGCCAGGCGCCGCACAGCTCGTCGGGCTTGACGTGGCCCGGGACGACGACCTCGGGCGCAGGCCGCAGCGCGGCGACGGTCTCGACGGCGCGCACCCACTCCATGCGCAGGGCGTGCGTGCTGGCCTCGCCCAGCATCTGGTGCACGTCGCCGTAGACGACGTCGCCCGCGGCCACGAGCCGGAGGTGCGGCACAAACAGCACCGTGGACGAGTGCGTGTCCGTGTGGCCGACCTCGACGGCCTGGAACTTGTAGCCCTCTTCTTTCCCATCACCACCTTTCTCCCCTCCCTCTTTTCTGCGATGATCGTCGTCGTCGTCGTCGTCGAAGGGCAAATAGAACGTGCCGCTCTCCGGCAACGGCTCCGCGAGCCGGAACGCCGTGTCGATCTGGCCCGGGAACCGCGATGCCCACATGGCTTGGAACGCCGCCGGCGCCATCTGGCCCTGCATGTGCGCGATCGTGCCCGGCGTGGCGACCGCGCGCGCCCCCGGGAACCGGCGCAGCAGCATGTTCAGCCCGAACCAGTGGTCGCCGTGCCCGTGCGTGATGTAGATGTACTCGAGCGCCGCGCCCGGGTGCAGGGTCTGCTCGAGCCACCGGATCAGGCCCTCGGTCTGCGCCACCGTGATGGGCGTGTCGACCAGCACGGCGTGCTTGGGCGTGTGCACCAGTGTGCAGGCGATCGGCGACCAGGGCCCGCCGGGTTTGCCGTTGGGCGCGGTCCACGGGATCGAGGGGGAGACGTGCACCGAGGCGTAGAGAGGCATGATGCTCGAAGATTGTGTACGTGTGTGTGTGTGTCTCTCTCTCTCTCTTTCCTTGTTTCTATAGGTGTGGAATATCGTGTGTGAATGCGTTGTGGTGTCGCCGATCAGAATGTGCCTGTGTATGTCTGGTGAATCTGTACTATGGAGGAGACCTGACGGCCTGGAAGATTGCACACTTCAGGTAAAGAGTGATGTCGCGTAGGTAGGTATCGAGAAACAACTACCGTGACCAGACCGCGAACGGAGGAGCAAGTCTTGGTGAATACCGATATACTTGCTTGCCTTCCCTACCTTTTTCACCTAATCCCCATGTTCGAAGAGGGAAACGGGTGCATCCAACGGGGTAGATATAGTCATAGCATTCTTCACCGTGCAGGGCAGAGCGAGAAGTGGAGAGCTGAGGAGAGGAGAAGCTGGAGTTGGTGGCGGGAGAGGAATATCTGTATAGTAATCTCGTCGGCCGAGGGTGGATGCTGATTGGACATCAGCGACCAAGGCCACGGCTATTGTAGGACATGGGTGTGACCCAAGGGAGATTTGGGGGGGCCAAACACTCCAACGACTGGAAGACGAATAGTCAACAGGTTTAACGGAAATGCTGCTGGAGACGATAAGAGGAACGACCAAGGCTAGAAGACGGTGGTGAGGGATTCCGCGAGCGATGTGGACGGAAAACGAGGAAATGCCATGCTCATTTTGTCAGCCCCTGGATCTCATTTGTCCGAGAAGCACCACAAGAGGGCCTTGGTAGAGTGAGTAATCGGGGCTTCGTCTCGTGCTGTTTGATTCGCCTTGCCCGGCCTTGCCTCGAGTTCGAAGTAGCAAACCCACCTCGGTCCTCGTCCAGTTTTCTCTCCCTGCCTCTTATGCCGTGGTCGCCCTCAGCCTCTCCAGAATATACTCCCCAGCCTTGACCGGTTGCCACCTGCTCACTCCCACCACACTTTCCGGCAGCGGCACCACCTCGGCGTCGTAGTTGATGCTGAAGAAGAAGGGCACCGAGTACCTCTCCCCCGTCCCCGGTTTACTCACGACCCGGTGGATGGTGGACTTGTACAGGCCGTTTGTCCAGCGCATGAGGAAATCGGCCACGTTGACGGTCAACGTGCCGGGGCGGACGGGGCAGGGGAGCCAGATAGGACGGTTGTTCGTGAGGGGCGAGGGTGGGAAGAGGATCTCGAGCCCGGGGTTCGACGACGAGAGGAGGAGCGTGAAGCATTCGTAGTCGGTGTGCGCGCCTAGCCCGAGCTTGCCCTCGCCCTGACTTGTCGTGGCTCCATTTGTGCTTGCGTCGCCGTCGACAGCGTTCGCGACTGGCTGGCCGGCGTAATACAACAGCCTCGCAATCCCGCCCGGATGGGTCATGACGTCGTCGAAATATCCTTCCTCGAGACCCAGCGACAGGGCAAAGAGCCGAAACAAATGTCTGGCCAGCTGGAGCACCTGGCCGTAGTAAAGTTTGATTGCCTCGTAGAAGCCCGGAAGGTCCTCCTCGTCAGGCCAGATGTTCCCTTGTCCTGTCGAGGCAGGGGACTGCCCGTCCAATTCGACATACTTTCCATCTCCGCCTGTCGGGTCGAGCTGTTCTTCATACCCCCAGTTGAAGCCTTCTTTCGTCTCGGGCTCGGGCTGTTCCTGGGTGCTCGAGGCGTCGCCGCCCGCCATGTCGTCTACATTGACATACGTGTAGTCGTGGGGCTCGTACCCCCGGAAGAGCGGAGAGTGCCTCATGTGTACCTTGTCCTTCTTTTCCGGCGTCAGCTGGTGGAAGAAGCGCTCGGCCTGCTTCAACACCCCGTCCATCGCCTCGAAAGAGATGCCGTGGTTGCTGATCTGGAAGAAGCCGGTGGTCACGCACGCTTCACGAATCTGCCGTGCCACGGCCTTCCGCAACGAGCTGTCATCTGAGAAAGAGGGTCCAATGTCAATCAGAGGGACTGTCGGCAACGACTCCGACGCAGTCTTTGATGGAGGGCTGGCCAGGGCCCCCGCGAGGCGAGTCCGAAGATGGTCTTGAGCAGCTGCAACTTCTTCGAGGATGCTGGGCCCCGCCGAATTTTGCGACAGAGGGTCCGGAACGGGCTGTGGTGACATGACGGAGGTTGCCATTGTGATATAGCGTTCCTTTGTTGCAGAGAATGAACAGACCCGTGGGAGAGTACAAGAGAACGATGGAGATGATTCAATGAAATCAAGAAATGAAGGAATGGATAGTGGTTTTTGGGGGGTATCGCTCAAGGCATGAGATTCTCAGATTCCGAACAACTGGTGGTCATACCCTTCTGGCGTTGATGGATTCGCCTGTACGACACGCCGTTCTGGGCCACGATAAGGATAAGGATAAGAATCAGAATCAGGGTCGGAATCAGACACCAGGAAACGAGGCGAGCGGAGTTTTCCGCCCGGTGGCATCAGGCTGAAACAAGTCCAAGGAAAGGGGGTCAGCTCACGTGCTTAATATAGCATCTTCATATATGCCTGGGTGTAACATATCTAGACTAGGTGTCATTGCTCGTCAATGGCTCATAACACATTTACATCGTTGCGAAGGAAGAGAAACTGGCGGGCGGTTGTAATGCCAGGCCGAACATCTGGTAGAGCCGCAGGCATCCCACGAGGCAAGTCATGCTCCATCGAGTCCTTCCAATAGACCGGCTTCTCCATGTCGGCGGGCCACCAGTCAAACAGAAGAAAGGCCTCGTCCTCAGTCCAAGGCCCTGTCGGTCCTCGGGTGCCCTCTTCGGTCAACCCTTCCATATGGTGGGTGTCTGTGTCCGCCGCATTGGTGTCGGAGGCGCACCGCTGAAGCTTGCTTGGATTCTTGGGTTTGGTGGGACTCTTCCTCGCCGCTAACTTGCCTAGCACTCCTAAGGGACTTCTCGACTGCGGTGCAGCAGGTTCCGCCATCAGAGTGAATACGTCATCTTCCACCGCATCGTTTTCAGAAAACACTCGTCGGAATTGACGTGTATCAGTACCATTGGATCGTCCCGATACCAATTCGGATTGGTTGCGAGTTTGGGGATGGACCACGAAGACGGACTGTGGGCGCAGGCAGTCGTCCTTTGCCGGTGCTCGGAAATCCACGTCAAGCTGCGGTGCAGGTTTAGTCACCGGCTCAGCTGGAAGATTGGACTTCGGTGGACTTTGGGACAGCTCGCTGTTTTCAGACCCAGGAAAGGGAAATTCCTCCTGGGTTGGGAGTCGCGGGGGAGACGGTGAATACTCCTCCGGATTCTCCTCCGGTATGAAGAGAGGACTGAAAGTGATGTTATCTTCCTGCACTGACCCGTGCGTGCTCGATTGACCAGAGCATGGGACCTGGATCGGCTGCAAACAGTCATCGACGTTGGCAGGGACCGCCTGCTTCGGCGACGACGACACGTCCTCCTCGAGAGTGGGCGATACTCGTTCTTGACGCGACCGTCGGCACGAGCTTTCGAGGGTCTGCGGCCTTGATGAACCTTTAGAAAAAGGTAGCACACAGGTTAGCTTGAGCCTGGGCTTTGGCTTCCCGATCAGCAGTCGTGAAGTGGGAGCAACTGGTGCGCGGAGAATGGTCAAAGACTCATGATTGGCAGGCGTTTTCGTATTTCCAGGAGCCTTAGATCTCTTTCGTCTCTCCTCGTCCGCTTTCTCTTTCCGGGCATGCACTTGGGAAACTCGCGAAGGCCTCGCACGTGACAGTGTAGGAGTGAGCCACTGCTCCTCCGGGCTTCCTCCTATTCGATCTCCCACCACTCCAGTTGCCAGCCTTGTCGGCTTAGTTGGCTGCTGTCGTTTAGGCTCGTCATCTGACGACAATTCGAGAAACTCTTCGCATTCCTTTGGGGGCTCCACGCGGCGAGCGGGTTGCGGAACGGTCTTACTTGGCTGTTTAGGCTGAGGTAAGCGAGGCCTCGCAGGTCGGGCTAGTTGGTGGTCTTGGTCGAATTGGTTTTCCTTGTCACACTCCAGTCTCTGCCGTTTCCGAGGCGACTCCACGAGCCCTGCCCTACTAGATGACCATCTTTGCTCATAAGGAGAGTGTGCGGATAATCTTGCTCGACCAAGTCGACCTTGAGAAGGTCCCAGCACTTCTAACAGCGACTTGGGCCGTTGGGAGGGGCCAGTGGACAAGGGACGACTTGCCATGGCCGTCGTCCGCTGGGGTGGTGGAGGAGGCTTTTCTGGTCGTGATCTTTCGAGAATGGGGGCCAAATCTGTTTGAGTCTCACCGAGACGCTCTCCGACTTCCACCATAACACCGCGGTCTAGCTGGATCTCGACGCCCTCAGCAAACTCCTCCTCTTGCCTGTAGTGGAGGTCCCCAATGTAATTTTTCGCGTCGTCGTAGACCATGACGCGTCGATTGAAGGTGTGGAACCGTAAGGAGCCGTCGTGCCATTTCTTCGCCTTCTTGTGCAGGTCGCGGGTGTAGAGACAGCGGAATTCATGGACGGGGGCGGTGTTTTGGGTGGGAGCGACGTTCAAGCTGGCAGAACCGAACCCGCGGTGAGTGGAAGTGAGGGTTGCCATGATCACATTTACAGCAGCGCCTGGAGGCACTGGGAGGAGCTGAGGCTGAACTGGTTGTCAGCGACATCCTGTACGGAGCCGGCCAATGGAGGTGTTGGCGGACGAAGCTGCGTCGGCCATCGATCAATGAGGCAAGAGAAGTCTCATGAGAGCCATTGAGAGCATGTCATCGATTGACCGTGTGTGGATTGATGGGTGGGTGGGAAACGCGCGTCAATTGAGGCTGGAACTCGGCTGAAGACGAAGACAGGAAACCGCAGGGCCAGTTGGGCTAAAAGGCAGGGAGGCCCAGGCTTCATCCGCCCCCGTTAAGCCCCCCCCCTCCCCCCTCCCGTTGATCCCCTTAGCTAAAGCCTACCTATGATATGAGACCCTGAGTGCCCTATGCCTGTCGCCGTGCCTCCTTCCCTTCCCTGGCGTGAACTTGCAACCCCCTACGTTTGTTGCTTTGACTTTATTTACTGCGGTCCAACTAATTTTCTCGCATTCTCCTCGTGTACTTCACTCACATGAAGAAAGGGTAAACTTTTTAGACTGCTGGTCAGTTACCTACATACCGATTTTAATACGCTTTTCTCTCCCTACCGTACCCGCCGTCGTTTGTTTCCTCCAAGCCTGGCCGAGCCTCTACAACGTCGATCGACCCTGACCCCCGACTACCGGCTGGAAGACTTTTGGTGGCAGCGGCAGCGGCAACAAGTCCTGTGCCACCAAGGACACCTGCGCTCTGCTCTTTCTCGAGTGGACTAGGGTCTGGCAGCTGGAAATCACATCCGCATCCGCTTTTGTGTCGATACCCTCATTCTGGCCTCCTCCAAAGAAATTCCTCAGGCCACTGTGCTTGTGACGGTCTTGCCCTTGCCCACCAGCCAGCAAGCCAGCAGCCACCATGCACAGTGTCCAGCGGCATTTTGGCAAGTACATGAAAAGGTCGGCCGATGAACAACAAGTCTCGGTGTTGCTCAAGGACTTTGAAGAGGCCGATAAGTTGTTGACAAAAGTATGTGCCCGACTGTTCCTGCAACCGTTCTGTCCTCCACCAACTGACTTCTGTCAAGATTATTGAGGCCTCCAAAGCATGGCGAGAGTCCTGGACTTCGATCCTCACCCACCAACATCGTGTATTCGACGAGTTCAGCATCCTGTACGCTCCGATCGTGGGGGCCAGCGACGATTACCACGGCCATGTCGCCGTCCAGACCCCCGATCACATTGTCCGCAGGATCGCGAGGATTAAGGGCGAGTACGAGGACTTGAAGAGAGATCTCACCGAGGACCTGGCCCAGGTCGAAGAAAGGCTCATCAGGCCGGCTCAAAATGCAAAGGACAGCTTACAGACCATGAAGAAGACCATTAAAAAGCGTGAGGATCGGAAACTCGACTTTGAAAGGTACCAGAACAGAGTCGACTCCCAACAGAAGAAGACAAAACGGTCGGAACGGGACAATGCAGCCCTCGTCAAGTCCCAGTCCGAGCTGGAGGCGGCCATCGAAGCATACCACGCCGCCGATGACAACTTGAGAGGTTGTCTTCCTCGACTCTTGACATCGGTGTTCTCGTTGCTTCCCCACTTTTTGGCTGCTCAGATTCAGATTCAGAACAACTTGCTAGGACATTATTACACGATGCTGCACACTTACTGTACGGAGGAAGGTTTCCCTTCTCCGGCTCCGCCAATGGATGAAGTTATCCGACTGTGGAACGACGCCTTCAAACCCGTGCAACGGGACGCTGAGTCGTTGGCTATCTTGGCCAATGGAAAAGCGGCAAGGACGTCCATGGAGAATGGCAACCCTCCGGTCAATGGCTACCGCCGCCCCAGTGCCTCAGCCTTCAGCGCACACCGCCAGCAGTCTGTCTCTCCAGCCAGGGCTCTTCCACCGTCTCCATCTTTTGAGCCGAAGACCAAATTGTCATCCTCGCCAGCTGCGTCGTCGGTGCTTAGTGCATCCACTCCCCAGGAATTCATTGCCAGCCCGTCGCCCTCCCAGTCTGTCTATCAGACGCCGATGGCATACTCTCCAGCAGGGCCGAACACAGACTATTTCTCTCGTGATCGACAGCCCTCTGGGGTATCGGCCGTCTCTGCAGCGGCGGCGGCGGCATCCATTGCACAAAAGAAACGACCCCCGCCTCCGCCACCGCCGAGGTTACCCTCGCAGCAAACCATCTTTGTAACAGCACTGTACGATTTTGACGGCCAAAGTGAAGGAGATCTGGCCTTCCGAGAAGGCGATCGGATTCGAGTCATCAAGAAAACCGAGAGTACGGACGATTGGTGGCAAGGGGAGCTTAGAGGGATGAAGGGACCATTTCCCGCCAATTACTGCCAATGAGATACCAGCCTAATGGCAACACCTACGGAGAGCTTGATTAAAAAACTGGTCGAGGGGGCAGGGCTTGGCTTGGATGTATTTTGATGTCTTTCCTTTCTGACGACATACAAGGGGTGGGATGGAGGTGAAAAGGCGGGAAATAAGCCTCTAATAATAGCAAGCGACCCAGCATAGAAGTGAGCAAGCGAGCGCGCAAACCATGATTTGAACACAGGCAGCCTGCACGGCATTGGAGCATAGTAGAGCGTATGGAACAGGTTGTCGAGATTCTACTTTGCAGGCAGACAAGGTCCAATATACCCAACAACAAGGAGCAATGGTTTCAATCAAGCAAACGATGATCCCACGTAGATCAGCTGGATGGTCTGATGCCGTCGGTGTTGAATGTATGTAGAGGGAATCGAGAAGAGTCGGCAGATGGCGGAAGCAGAGAATCATGTCATGGACAAAAACTAGATACAGACCGACACGGACTGATTGGTCGAATCAGAGCCGCGCCTTTTGATCCAATATCAATGCAACATCATCCGACTCTGATCATTTCCCACCCACACATTTGCCCTCACCACCTTGTCCCGAAGACACCATGCCGCCTCAGGAGTCACCAAGCACGTCTGCCACGGCCCACGGCGCCGACATCGTCGTTCGTGGGCTGAACTACAAGTTCCCCGACGGGTCGATGGGGCTGCAAGACATCAACCTCGAGCTGCCGGCCGGGTCGAGGACGCTGTTGATCGGGGCCAACGGGGCGGGCAAGACGACGCTGCTGCGGCTGCTGTCGGGCAAGAAACTGGCGCCGTCGCGCTCCATCTTCATCGCGGGCGTGGACCCCTTTGCGTCCGGGCTCGAGGGCGTCACGTACCTGGGTCTGGAGTGGGTGCTCAACCCGATTGTGCGCACCGACATCGCCGTGCCGATCCTGCTGGACTCGGTGGGCGGGCAGCACTACCCTGAGCGGCGGGATGAGCTGGTGCGGATCCTGGACATTGACCTGCGATGGCGGAGTAAGTCCCTCTGTTACCGTCTCCCTTTTTTGATCTCCTCCAAGAATGTAACATACAGGATTCTGACAAGGTGTCCAAAACAAAACAGTGCACATGGTCTCGGACGGCGAGCGGCGGCGCGTGCAGCTGGCCATGGGCCTGATCCGGCCGTGGGACGTGCTCCTGCTGGACGAGATCACGGTGGACCTGGACCTGCTGAGCCGCAGCAACTTCCTGGGCTGGCTGCGCGGCGAGACAGAGCGGCGCGGCGCCACCATCGTCTACGCGACGCACATCCTCGACAACCTGGTCGGCTGGCCCACGCACCTCGTGCACATGCACCTGGGCCGCGTCAAGGAGTGGGGGACCATGGCCCGCTACCACGCCGAGTCCGACTCCTACGACCCGGCCGGCGGCAACAGCCGGCTCGGCGAGCTGGTCCTCCGCTGGCTCAAGGAGGACCTCGCCGAGCGCGGGCCCCGGGACAACCACAACGGCGCGGGCGAGCAGGGCAAGACGTACGAGAGTCTCGAGGGGAAGGGCGGGTACGGGGTCGAGAAGGCGCCGGGCCTCGACGACGACAAACACACGGAGGTTGAAGGCAAGGAGAACTTGGGATGGTAAAGAACACGCCGAAGAAAAAGTCCTTTTGGAGGGGGCCATAGGAAAAAGGGTGGAGGGAAGAGGAGAGGATCGATCGACCCCGTGACTTTTTCAAGAATGCATTTTGCGGAGGGGGACTACTTGTTGGGATATGCTCTGATACCCCGTCTGATCTTCAACAAGATCATCGAGCGCGCATCTATCGTCGCATTTGCCGGGCGCTTGGGGGAGGAGAAGGATTTTGGGGGGGGGTTAACGGGACGAGGGAGCCCGTTTGGTCTTAACACCATGTCTGACGAGCGCGTGTGAGCTGGTTCTTGAGATTTTCGCATCGGTCCTTTCCTTTTGGACCCAAGGCTGTCGATAGACGTACGAGAAGCAATGAATGAGAGATGGCGGTCCTGGCGTCGTCGTGGTCCTTACCCAGGCTCGCTCTTTTTCCTCCTCGCTCTCTTGTATATCCCCCAAGAAGGCCCGTCCCTTACAACGTCCGAAGATCCCCCTCGTTTGAAAGTCGATCGGCGTGCTTGTGCCTCTCTGGCCATCCTCAGCACGTGCTATTCGCATAGACAGTCGCTGCTGGCCTGCTTGTACCCCACTTTGACCGCAGCAGCTGGGTGACTTGACAGGCCTGGATCCGTCAAGTCGCCTCGTCCGTGTATGTGAGACATGAGATCCAAACTGCCGGGCCATTTCACGATTTCTTGCTCCGCGCAGGCCCCAGCTGTACTGCCAGCGATTTTGTTCGCCGACTTGAAACACCAAATATGGGGTGATACTGGGTCCGAAAGAGAGAGGGGCAAACGGTCTTGGTCGGTACTGTGACAGAAGTATTACTATGGCTCAAATGACTCAATTCTAGAGTCATTTGAGATACCTTTTTCCTATCTGTAATGTCTGACCCATAGTGGTCATTCAGTCACAGTACCGTGGCAGCCTCGTCACGCTCTCGGCGCGTCCCTGACCGGTCACGTGCTTGCGTGGCCTGTTCGCGTCTCGGAAGGGGATCACGGAGGAGGATTCCGTTGTGCAACCACAAGGCGCCGCACGATGCACCTATCCATTAATCATTTGTAGAGATTTCCTGGTCAGGTAAGCAATTGAGCTGGAGATTTGGCTGGTATGGGTGAGATACTTAGCGACAGCCCCATCTTACAAGCCAACATGATGAACAAGCAAAAGCAGCTCTGGCTCCCGTTGGCAGGACTTCCTTCACAGTTCAACCCTCATATAGAACTGGATGTTGAACCGTCGATCCTCATACAAGACCGGTCATTGAATCAATTCCTTTTGACCAGACAAGACTCACTTCGGTCGGGGCAACAGTCAATCTCGAGGCCCTCCAAGGTCGAGCCCCAGTGTAACGGATCTCGTGCCTTGCGTGGCCCTCTGAGCCACTGCTTCCAGTACCTCTTCCTCCACGTTTGCCTCTACGAGGACCGCTCTCGTAGCCACTTTCCGTACCATGTTCTTCTCTGCCGTCACGATGTTGTTTGCCCTCATCCTCAGCTTCCTTCTCTTCCCCGCCGGAGAAGCCTTCCCCACGGGCAGAGAAGTTGGAGACACAACCCACTCATCTGGTGGCTTGGATCTCTGGCACGTATTGGGCTTTGTCATTGGGCTGCTGCTTTCGGCTCTCGAATGGTTTCTCGTTGAGAGATTCTATTATCGTGGCACCCAACATATCCACCGACGAGCAAAAGCTCATCAGGCCCTGTCGCTTTTGGCTTCCATGATCTGCTCCATCAGTTTCATGGCTCCGGCACCTCATGGCGGCAATATTTGGCAAATGATGGTGACAACGATGAGCCTCATAAGTCTCCTGATGTTCCATCAGGCCCAGAACCAGTGGTACGGCATCACTTCGAACCTCGGCCAGAATGCCCTTTGGGTGGTGACATTCCTTGTTATCCTCTTCGTTCGAGCCCACGGCCCAGCTGCTGACGGCTCCTCCATCTCATTGGTGGGCATGTGGGGACCGCCAGTGTGTTGGTTCAGCCTCTCGTTTCTTCCTCCATTGATGGCTGATGGCCAGCGTGGCACGTCCAGTCAGACGGCGCCCGCGCTGTGACAGACGCATCACATCAATAACAATAACAATACAACCATGAAAACATTTTCTGTTGGCGCGAAATTGGACACTCCGATCTCCTTCGACCTTTACTTCCCTGACACGGCCCTCTAAGCCACCATCTAGACTGCAAGATAGAGGCAGAAGGGTCCAATTGACATCCGGATACGTGTTCGATGTGGATATGTGATCTGTGAATGTGCAAATGCAAGCAGGCGGCATAGGGCTCGGTGTCATTGAGCAGGATTCTGTCAATTGGCATGTTGGATTGGCGAAGACCTCGAAGTCTATGCGAGATCGGTTGTCAGGATATAGCAGTTTGTTGAGTTCCAGAGGGTGTATCATAGCCCGAGAATGTTGGGGGAAAAAAAGGGGGAAAAATGACGCATCTCATAGTGTTTTTGTCAAGAACTTGACCATTGAAAGTGCTCTCCTCTGTGTCTCTGGATCGCCATCCAGTTGTCCAACAGTGGGAGACTTCCCGCGTGTATAATGTTTCCTGAATACCTGTAGCCAAAGGGGGATGCGAAAGGCGCACGGAGGATCTGAAGCCTTGATCACAGACGTGGCAACCACCGTCGTCCTAGTAGGAAGGAGCCCTCCCGCAGTATGTTCCTCCCCACGTGGTCTACCAGGAGGCATTATGTGAATCTGCTCTCATGTGGATGGTCGCAAACAAGAGACACAGAAGTCATTGAACGATCGCGTGGCTGTTTCACTGGCCAATTCTCCCGACGTCTATCCTCAGAATGCGGACCGACCCGTCCGCCGACGCCACTGCTAACAGTTGGGAGCCTTGACCAGTATGATCGCATCCATCGTCGTTCAAGGTGGGGCGCCAGGCGAGCCGATTAATGGTCTTCGAGGGGCAGAAGTGTCTGGGGACTTCGACCGTGTGCAACACCTTCAGCTCGTCGTTCGCGTCGACAGTGTGTAGCGAGATGGTGCCATCGTCCTCGCCCACAGCGAGAACACCGCGCGGTCCGTCGGAGGCGGTGATGGAGGTGGCAGAGACGGCTGTGACGGGGCCTTTTCGAGCAATCGACGAACGCATTGTGAAGTTGGTCTCACCCTCGTTGCCCGCACCTCTTGACCACAGCTTGACGAGTTTGTCCCTGCCGGCTGTGACGAAGCTTGGATTTGTAGTGTGACCCGCGAGCCATGTAGCGTCAAGGATCATCCTCGAATGCGCCTTGACATTTATGGCGACACGGGTCCAGCTCTTTGCGGTCTCGCTCGAGCGCTTGAACACGGCCCATTGCCGGTCTCGTCCTACGCTTAGCAGGTATTCTGCACTCTGTGGAGAGAACGCAAGTCGCGTCACGGTCAGAGCATGCGCCGATAGGGGCGGTCTGATCTCATTCCAGTCCTGCGTGTCGTAGAGGCGGATCACCGCCTGATCGAGGGAGCTCGCTCGGCACGCTGTGGCGAGAACGCTGCCGTCTGGGGGAGTCGCTGCCTCGGAGATTTCCGAGCCATGGCCATATAGTTTCTCGTGCTCGGGCCACAATGTGTGTCGCGCCAGCAGGTCTTCCGTCGGTGGGTCTTGAATGTCAAGCAGGGATGTCCCGAGTCCGTTTGAAGTACCAGCGGGGTCGAGAGTCTCATCCTCAGCGTCATCGTCGTTCTCCTCGCGGTCGTCCATGGCCTTGTTCGACAGGCCTAGCACAGGGATCGCGGCGGTGTCGGGCATCTGAGCCAGCTCCGGGGGCAACGGGATCTGGCATAGTCGATGGAGCATGTTGGCGATATCCCTTGGTTCGTTGAACACACGCAACAGCTTCTCATCCGCACCTGAAGAGAACTGATACGGCGTCGTGCTCGCGATGCAGTTGAGGTCGTAGCCATGGATCTGAGGCCGCGAGAATTCGTGCCAGCTCCGTTTCTCACCCCTCTTCCATTCCGCGTGGAGCCTGGTTGTCTGATCAGAGCTGGTGGAAAGCAGATAGCTTCCATCCGGAGCCCAGCAGATGCCGTTGACGGAGTTGGTGTGCCCGCTGACCCCGAACCTTTGTGCCCAGAACTGTGAGGCCTCGTCGTACTGCCAGAGCCGCCAGCTGCCCGTGCGCCCGACACAAGTGACCGTCTTGCCGTCAGGACCCCATAGACCTGTCCAGAAGCCCCCCGCAGAACCGGTCGCGGTAGTTGCCCCCTTTGTCTCCCTGATCTCTCCCAGACGAGACGTGCTGATCCATATTCCGGACGACGGATCTGCCTCCCATATGGAAAGGGAACCGTCGGCTGATGCGGTGAGGAGTTGGGAGCCGGTGGGGCTCCATGCAGCGGAATAGATCCAATCTTCATGGCCGAGAAGTAATGCCTCGAATGTAATAGAATATTTGTGCTCCCCAGCGGACACGGTCTGGATCTTTGCTGATAAGGTTCCGCTTGCGGCAGGTCCCCCGTTCAGTACGGCGGGTTGGTTTGTGAGTTTGCTGCCTCCCAGTTGAAAGCGCCAGAGTCGAACATATTTGTCCTGGCTTGCTGAGGCTAGCAGAGCATCTCCGTCTCGAGCTTGTGTGAGTGCCAGGGATCGCACCCATGCTTCGTGTCCAGTGAGAGTGGCATGGTGATGGAACTTCGGGCTGGATGACAGGCTCTCAATGGCGTACACTTGGATATCGTTCCGAGTACCTCCAGCAACCAAATAGGCATGGTCAGGAGAGGAAGTGAACGGGAATGAGCCTATTGCGAGAGCCAACGGAATGAATCTGGGTTTGAGGACGAGTGTAGCCACGGCTTCGATTCCTGTCTCCTGGACCTTCCAGAGTTTCACCTTTGCGTCGGCTCCTCCGGTGGCCAGTATCCTGCTCTGGCTTAGGGAGGCGACGGTGTTGACAGCTCCCTCATGGGCTGTGGTCTTCATAAGGCACCTCCGTTGCTGGTCCTCAGCCTCTTGTCTCCATACCGCGATCTCTCCATTTGCACTGCCCGAGACCAACAGTTCGGTAGGACCGTCTCGGTGTGGGGTGATAAATGTCACGGCTGTCACTTTCCCCGTATGCCCGGAGAGCAAGGCGGATATGCCGTGTCCAGAGTCATTCCGTGGCGACCATATGCCCACATTTTGATCGGCGCCAAAGGCGAGGAGGCCTGAGGTTATTGACCAGTCGGCCGCTGCGCTATGTCTATTTCCGCCAACGCTGAGATACTCGTCTTGTGCGAAAAGGGAAGACATTGATCGAGAGGATAGAAGTTGGGTTGGGCGACAAAATTGAGGTTGCTCAATAGATACAGGGAAGTCACGCCAAGACTTTGTAGATTTTACAGCAGTCTCAGCCTGCAGCCGATTTGGGAAAGAGAGTGACGCTGCCCTGTGTGCTTTCTCTACTCCAGTCAATAGTGTTAGCCAATATGTATGAAATACATGGTTCGGTAAGGTTAAATCTGTCGATAATTAAAATTTCATTTTTATGCCAGCGTTTGGGGATGCCAAGCTACTATCACCCCAATGCTAACGCCTAATAGTATTAATTTGTGTGCTTAGTTGGGAGCGCTAGAATTACTGAGATCCTTTATTAATTAACCTTAATTTCTGTTATGCAGTCCTAGAGTTATACGGAGGATGACCATCTCGATACTCATACCTACCTAAGGCACCTATACTACTTTATAACAGAAAGCTTCTCCTGCTCTGGAGCATTGGCTTACTCGCTCTGAGCATCAGATCACACCCATTTGTGCTCATCACAGAGGTAACTCACACCGGTGCTACTGGAGAAAACCAAGGTGCTCGGCACCTTTGGAACCACCATCTTCGATATCTATATTCTGTGGTCCGCGTCACCGCACGGCGCAGGCGCACTCGAAACACGAAATCCTCGGACGGGTCGACATTGGTCTACGACGTCGTACTGGAGAGATACAAGAACGCCTCGCTTGCACCCTTTGGTCCGTGTAACCTCCTTCATGACGAGCTACTGCAAAATATGGTGCCAAGGCGGTTACGTCTTCCATACTGTGGTGTCGATGCTACTGCAGAGGCAAGGAGAGTAGATTGAGGTGAAATGAGTGAGTATGTCGTGCGCAACATGCAAGGGTTCTAGAAGAATGAAAGATGGTGGGAGTTCCAAGGCTGCGCAAGGCTGACATGAGGGAGTCGCCGTGACCGGTTGATCATATGCCAGGTCGGACGTAGCCTCGTTGGTTGTCTGGTCAGATGCAGCCTCGTGGGTAGATTTTGCGTGACGAAGTTTCTGGAAAGGCAGGGTAAGGGATCCAATCACCCAAGGCTGCCAGCTCAATCAAGGCAACCATTCCTCCCAAAACTCCTCGAGATCTTCGGATCTGGTTGCCTTCGAATAGAGTTGGTGCGTGAACGGGGCTAGACGACGTTGAGGCAATGCCCCCCTCCAGCACGCATTGGCCACAAATAAAACGCATCGTGTAACCTGCGGGTGCAGGATAGCCCTTGGGCGCCAGAAAAGCTATCAAAGCCAGGTAATAACTACCTGGGTAACTGATGGGTTCTTCCCTGACAGCAGGAATTCGACTTGGATAGCGCCGCAATGACACCCCGTCAACCACTCAGCACTCGGATCGAGGCAGCTACCTCAGCCTGCGTGTCATGGACTGGCAAGGCGGCCGCGCGCTTCTGGACATACTTCTACCACGAGATGCTCTATCGAAACACTGTCGATCCTCTCGGGACCATAATCAAGGCGACCGACGACGAGTCTGTTGTCGCACAGTTGAATCAGTTCGCTCGCACCAAAGCGGACGAGAGCAAATATATCCAGCTGGCAGTGAGTGACCCCGTTCCGCCTTTCGAATCTGAAGGACCCCGTTGAGCAATACCCTCTATCTTAGGGTGGTTTCGTCTTCACGACCGTCGCCACGTGCTTGACTTGGCCAGCCACGAACAGAGGCCACTGGTCCGGCGCAGCTCTGTTTTATTGCAGTATCCTCTTCGCCCTGATCGCGATTGTCTGCGGGTCCCAGCAACTTCTCGTGCTCCCGACCGCGGACAAAACCGCCGTGTTGCCCACACCGTCGCGGCCCATGGCTCTAGCAGACGCGATGGCAATCAAGGAGCGACTCACTGTCAGTGGGCAATTTCGGCACCCCAACGCCGCCGCCGCGCACCACCGTCCGTTCCCGGAAGATCTCAAAGTAGGCTTCGTGTTCTCGCTCCAGGCGCCCATCATGCTCCTGACCTTCTCGACCATGACGTTCCTGGCCGGGCTTTGCTCCGTGGTCTTCAGCCCTCTTGCTAGGGACCTGCGGTGGAACGATGAGGCCAAGGTTTGTAGGGGAGAGATTGGTTGGCCGGTGGGAAATCTTGCTGACGGGGTTTCCTAGATTGCGGTCGTCTTCCTCGTCGTGGCGCTCATAACGCTCACTGTCTTCATCAGTACCTCGAGATTGATCCACAAACTGTTCAAGGGAGTCTAGTGAACATGTATGGGACACGTTGCCAGGCTCAGCAACGGCACAGACGCCAGGGCAGGCAGGAAGCTCTCGTTGCAGCAGTTGGACTTCGATTCAAGGACGCTTTGATGCTGCCATTTGTACCGGGACAGAGCACTCCATTCTATTGGCATTGGCAATAGGCGTTTGTGTCGGGAATAGTGTATCAAACCTTCCTTAGCTTTGCAACAAGAAGATGGAATGTCTGATAGTAGAAAAGGATAGACCTGCTGACAAGGACGGGTTGAAAAAGCGCGTCTCTAGACTTTGTTTAACAATTTACTTCGCAACAGTATCATTATCAACGTGCGGTGATCATCGTGGCATTCATGCCAATCAACGGGCCAGACCATCCTTTCGCACACCGTAAAGCCGCAACCGCTTACTCGTGCTTCACAAGCCTGGGACACTGCGTAGCTCTATATCACTATCAGTTTCGCCAAAATGAGAGCCGCAAGTTTCGGAGGATACATTGGACCCAGCGAAAGGTCCACAATGTAACTGTCCCTGGGGATTCTCGTCAGCCCTTGCTATCAACTCGCCCCAGGCTAATATTTCCAGCAACGCGTCTCGACACCCTGGCGCAGGTTCGATGCAAACACTTTGTATCTGTCGTTCCGGAGACAGAGCTTGGTCAAACGTACTTCCCCAGGGTGGTAGGACTTCTCTGACCTGATGGATGGGCATTCAATACCCTTCAACCATCTTGACAATGTCGATTTCTGTGTTGGGTGTATCTCCAGGACACACCAACGAGATAGGGGCCCGCAAGGGCTGCTGTGTGGGTGGATTCAACGGCTTGTATGAGAAGTCTTCGGACCTGTTTCTGGCATTCAAAGTGTCATTAGGTCCCCGAGGCTTTTCAAGTTGAGCGTCCATTATTTTGCCTTGCCAGCTAATTCCGACAACAAACACATGGAAATCTTCTCAGTATTCATTCAAGGGGACTGCAAATGCATCGACATTTCCAGTGGACAGCACCTTTCCCGGATGGAAGATGTTCATGACCACCAAGGCGAAAAACATCGGCACGCCGTCAAAGACATACTCGCACCATTCGTGCTTGTTGATGTAGGTATTCAGACTGCTGCCTTGGCCGGAAGAGAATTCGACAATCCGATAGACGATGCGGTACTGTGTGGCAGTTTCAGCACCTAACTCAAGCATTGTCAAGTAGTTATTGGCGGATACATACAGTGATCAAGAGCAATGAGATCTGCACAGCATGAATGCAGGCTTTGGCGTCTTTGGATATCCGGCTGTGAGGCATGACCCAGTCAAGCTTCTTCGTCGTCCGCACGGTCAAGGCAAAGAAGAAGACGATCAGTGCTTCCTGAAACACCACCCCAAACGTCACGATATGGACGCCCGTCTTTGCCGAGTTTGCCGTCTTGCTCAGGGTCAAAAGACCGCCACCGATCTGAATAATGAAGGATCTGGAACGTGGAATGTTAGCGAGCGCTCGAACCCCTACTTGAGGCCTCAGACATTATATCACAGCAGACAAAGATCTTTCCCATGATGTTGCCTCCCAGTCCAAAGACCTTCGTCTTCCGCAGAAAACATCTAACCAATCGAGAGATGATCATGTAGTCAAAAGCGTTGACGAAAATTGGAGCCAGAAGATTCAGGAGGAAAGACGCATCATACGATCCCTTTTGAGTAGGGTGTTTGGCCGACAAGAATCGGAAAGCAAAGGCAGCTGTCTCCATGATCGCTCCAATGATGACGACCAGACAGAAGAGTTGTCGGTGGCGGGTGGCTTGATAGATGTGTGCGACAGTTGTGCCCAGGAAGAGGAGTGCGAGAATCAATGCTGCGGCGACAGAGGGACAATATGGCCACAGGTTCGAAGGATCGTCTTGGGCTGAAGAAGATTTTGTTATTCAGCTAACCCTGCACGACTGATAGTGAACGGATCACCACTTACCAAGACATTTGGAGGACGCCATCTCGGGAGAACCTGCTGAACCGCAGAGAATCTGGGAGGCGGGCAGACTTGTTGGTAGGTAGGTAGGTAAGTAGGCACGCGTTCGCTTCAACGGCTGTTATTCAAAACCAAAAAGCAAAGCCATGGATCTCGGCGTCGATGGGTCTCTCTTATAAGGAGCTCCCCCCTTCTGCCTCTGCTGAGACAACGACTACGGCCACAAACTGGGTCATACGAAGGGAGCGACGACATCGTCGGCCTTCTCCTCCCAATCAGTCGGCGAGTTGAGGGACAAACGACCGATAACAGCTGAACCAAACCCTCGAGCCCCGTCAGAGAATATGCCCGGAACCCCATCAAGCTCAGTCGCCCATGCCCAAATTCCAAGTCACAGCAGGCGCTCTCCTAGGAGGCTGTGCAGCAAGGAAAAAAGAGGAGAAAAGAGCCCATTGAGGAATGAGTTCCGAGATCAGGCTGTCTCGGATTTCCTCGTGTTTATCAATGCAAGGGGAAAACGGGAAAAGGGGGCTGGGGCGGTGGATGGGAGGGAAGGGGGATTGTCGAGTTCGAGTAAAGAATCAATCCATTATTCGAGATGCATTCCCGGTTTGGGTAGCTGCTGCCTGACTGGATAAGGCCTGGCCGCTGTTTTATGCCAAACGTGGGCCATTTTGCGATGGGGAGACCGGTTCGGTACGTCCAGGGGTGGCGGCTATGGCTGGTTGGGTGCCTTTCCGGTCGGCTAGTATCGTGGCAGTGCTTCTCTTCGTACCGGAGTTCCTTTTGGGGGCCATAATAATCACCACATTCGGCAAGCGGAGATGCTGTTGGTCTGTCACATACTCTTATTTTCGTCCTTTTCCTTGTCTCCCAGTATCCGACATAACTTCTTGACGGCATCAAGGCGCTACCTGAAACATGAGATCGATCGAGTGGTGCTTTCTCCGTTGAGGGCATTCGATACCCTCGGCACTGCTTCAGCGACGCTGAATCGACGACGGCCACTGCCTTTCGAGTAATGCTGTTCGAAGAAAGGATGATCGTGAAATGAGAACGGTTCAGAATGTTGAGAAAGGAACGCTATCAGCATTTGTTTTTGGCAGTATCACGTTGTATGCTGATGCTTCAAGGACGGCATAACACAAGGAAACATTACCATTGATCACATATCTGCCTCTTCCTTTCCCTCGTCGGGCTCTTCACCAGGATGGTCGAGAACTGCTGCTAAAGAGCCGAGTTTGACTGCAAGGAGATTGATTCCTCGGCGATATTTGATCGAGCCACTTTGTTGGTGATCCAATACCCGCCACCTCCGTCCGAGCTCCCTCCAAAATACCAGCCCTTCAGATCAGCAGTCTCGATTTCCATGGGTCGTGGTCGTTGAGACTCTCTCACAGCCTGTGCCATCCACTCGAAGTTTCCGATCGGCGTATTTTCTTGGATCCACCTCGCGTCTTCAACATTGATGCCACCGCTCAGTATCTTCAACCTTATGCTCATCCCGAGCCAGAACAAAAGAAGGAAAGCCAAGAGAAGAAGTGTCAGGCCGGAGAGCATGATGAGCTCCCATAAAATGTGTGTGCGTTGAGTGAGGCAGCCTTGTGTATCTAATGAATGGCTGGTGTCGAGAAGGTAGTTTCCCCCCCCTGCAACCATGGTCATGGAGTTGAGAACTTGTTCCAAGATCCCGCCGGAGTTAGGGGATGCAGGGGTGCCTGTGCCCTCGTATACAGAGCCTTGGAAAACTTCGGCCCAGTTGTTGAGAGTTGCAAGCGAATGTATCCTTTCTTGAACCGGTTGGAGCTCTCCGTAGGTGTCGTTTAGAGTGCACTCGTAACTTTGCATGTGTTTCGTCTCATTGCCATATGCAGTGGTATCAATTGAGAATCGCACGTTGAAGACAGCGCCGACGTTCTCTCCAACGGATGTATCAAGGATCACTAGATGAGAAACGTTCCCGACTGTGGCGTAGACAGAATATGGAGTGTCATAAAGAAGATCGTGTTGTTGTAGACTAGTGACTATGTCGTTGAATGATACATCCCAAGGATAATCCAGTTCGAGGGAATTCCTGACGCAGTTCCACTGCCCAAGCAAGTCAGTGACATCGGCACTGAAGTTAACGGCTCGGTTTGCCTTTCTGTAGACTCCCTGCAAGCCACCGTTGAGCAGGCTGGTCGTTTGCGCTTGTGAGACGACCGTGTACGGCGCTCCATTCCACGGGACCAATTCAATGTTTGCACTTGAGACCACTAGACCAGTGCCGAACTGGCACCGGTCGTGGACAGGCACCGACTTGATGAGGGCCGAGGTAAAATCCGAGCCCAGGTTCAGCAGATAGGCAAAGATCATTAGCAGGCTTAGCCATCCTCCTGGCAGTGTCCTCACCATATGCAAAGCATACAGGGAGTCGAAACTTGCCAGCCAAGAAGTCATGTACGGCAGTGGAACAGTGCGTCGTTGGACAAGCCTGAGCTTAGCGCGTGCAGCCAGACATTTGGTCCCCAAAAGGTTAATGAGGATGAATGCAACAACAAAGAAAATCCGAAAGAAGAGCCGGACATCGGAACCTGAATAATCGAGAAGAATTCTTGCCATCTGGATTGTGAGACTCTGCGTGAACGCAAGGGAAGAAAAACCTGATTGAAAACCATCGGCTGGGGCGAAGGAAAGTGCAGCACCTTTTCTAGGTGGTCGGCGTGAGTCCTAGGAGGCTCTGCGAACATAAATCAGAAAGGGGTGCATAAATCTGCCAATACCGTGGAGGCTCCAGAAACCGCCCAAAGTCTATCCCGTGTCTGGACCAAATGTGGCTGGCTGAGTCTTTGTTCTGGGCTGCTTTTAGCGAGCAATCGACCGATTTGGCGAGTAGCCTTGTGTTCGGTTGCCCCAGCTAGACAGTAGCGACCTACCATTAGTACAAATCTGGGCCACGGTTCGAAGACAGTTCGATCTAGTCGGCCACGCCGCCTGTCTCACTGAGCACAGCTTCCGTGGATAACGAGGGACGATGCGAACCCGCACCCAATATGCTTTTGGGTTTCTGCCGTAGGCTGTGTTCGCTTGGAACAAAAGTGCCGGAGGGGAGTATAAATGTCGCATCGCCTCCCGTGCGTCGAGGTTCAGCCTGATTCTGGATGTGATCACATCGTTGCCCAATTCCATTGCAAAACTCACAATGGTTTTTCTTCTCTTGTCGAGCGTTGTCCTCAGCGGGCTTGCGGGCTCTGTGGCAGCCAATGTGAATGTCTTCCACGCCAGACAGGATGCACAGACCACAACCGATCTCTCGTATTCGGCCTTGTATACATCCTGCACCAACTATGCAGCCACATGCCCTCCCATTGTGAGCTGTAAGGCTATCCTGTTCTTCTTTCCAGAAACGTCTGTCGAAGACTGACTGTTAGATAGCTTGCGTTGACAACTTCTGTACTTCCTGTGCCTCACTGGGAGGTAGCGCATTCATTTCGTGTTGTAGTCAAACCACAGCAGCTGAGTGCTTCTCATCGCTGTTGCTTGCTACCACGACCACGGACGACAACACTTCTCCGGGAGCCGGAACCATGTCGATCACAGGCACAGCATCAACTGCCACGGACTCGTACTCGGCCAGTTGTTTCAGGGCGTTTTCAATGATTGAGTCATGTGCTGCCGCGACTTCAGGATTCACCACGTTAGATGATGGCGATCAAGCCAGCTGCCTTTGTTACGCAGGCGCAACCTATGACCCGGGGCCATTCGACCTGCTCCAGAGTGCGTGCGTTACTTACGCATCCACAGCGGATCCAAGTGGTGTTTCAGTGTACCAGGCGGCCGCGGGGCTTTGTACTCGGGTCGGGGATGTGAGGAGCGCGACGGCAACAATCAGCATCACAGAGCCGCCAGCACCAGCTCCAACCACATCGATCCCCGTGGCCACCCATACGCTGCCTTCCGTCACCACAAGTTCGGCAACGACCTCGATCCCAGCTGCAAGTGGCGCTGCCTCAAGACAAAATGTAAGTACTCCTTGAGAGGCACATGCATCTTTCTAACTGAGTGTTCAGGTTCCGGCAGGCTGGCTCTTGCTTCAAGTATTTTGGTTGTTCTGAAGCCTTTTCCAGGCGCACGGCTATCTGGGCCTTCTGAAACGAACAGGTTGTGGCGTGGTGTTGGAGGGAGTGAGCTCTGGTCAACGGACAGTGCGACGGACGGAATCCTCAGTTGATGGATGTGCCGCGCAATGCGGAATACATGACGGCAGGCCACAAAAGCCTGAACCTTGCAATGAGGATGCATAAGCTGATTTGCTGGCCTGTATTCCCCCTGATCAGAGAATGAGTTGCGTGCTTGATGTTCGAAAAAGCCATAAGCGAGTACGAGCGCCGAGAAGTAATTAAAATGAAATGCTTCGAGTCGGACACCCAGAACTGATGCCAATGTCGCACACGTGATACCGCTGACAGGGTAGGTCTAGCCTGCTCGGATCCCGGAGAATATTTATCCCGCGACATGGAATCTTGGAAGCTGGACGATGAAAATACAGTCCTCAAAAGTGAGAGGCACGCAGTACGTCTCCAGCCACGGCTGTAGCAACAAGACTTGCAGGTCTACGGCATTTGGATCGTCTCCTCAAAATGACCGAAACGGTCGACATCACGGTTGAATTTACGTGCGTGAACCCTCCCCGCGCCTGTTGATCGCTTGACTGACGAGGCGCAAGTGGCGGCCTAGAGATGCTCTTTGATAATGTCTCAAAGCACTCAGTGTCACTTGCCAAAGACGCTGATGACGGAAAGCCTCCCACTGTCGGATACCTGGTCAAGTACATCTGCAATGACCTGATGAAAGACTCGAGAAAAGAGCTGTTTGTTCTCAACGGCAATGTGTAGGTGAACAAGGCCTTGTGCATTGAGCCAAAGAACTAATGCTACGACTGGAAGTCGGCCAGGCATCCTCGTCTTGATCAACGACTCTGACTGGGAACTTGAGGGCGAAGACAAATACGAACTCGCCACCAAAGATACTATTCTATTCGTGTCTACTCTCCACGGTGGCTGACCATGAATGCCATCATGAGAGCGGTTCAGCAGACCACGCCGTTGAATGTAAGACGTATCGGACAGCTACAACCCCCGCCATTCGCATCAAACCACGTCGTGCATCCTCACCGACAGGTTCTCAGAATCTTCCGGTGTCTTGTAACCAGAGCCTGGCTCCGGCGTACTGGTCCCGGTTCTCGGACTGGCAAGCCCACTACCCAGGCCAGGAATAGGAGTGGCAAATCCGCTGGGCGGCGCCGGGGCCTTGATGCCTTCTGGGGAGGCAGGAATGATCTCTGGAGGGAGGTTCGGGATCTTGATCCGCTTCGCTTCATTGTTGTAACTAGCGGGAATGATCTGAACGGGTGTTAGTGTTGGTTTCCAAATGCTAATCGCCGGCCATTACCTCGATTATCTCGTCTCGCGGGAATGATAGGAAGGGGATGTCCGCAGCATTACATGCCATCAGATACCCATAAAGCACACGGAGAACGCTTTCGTGGGCAATGATGAGGAGATCGCTCTGCTCCCTTTCCAGTTCAAGAATGATAGGTTCCAGCCGAACCGCAACATCGTGGTATGACTGTCAATTGTCAGCGCCACCAACTACCATGCAGACAATATGGGTCCTCACCTCTGCCCTAGGGAATCTGTGGTGGTATGGATCCAGATCATGCTTCACCACTTCTTCCGGATATTCCTGTCGAATTCTGCGCTCTGACTTCTTTTCACAAACCCCGGGATTAAGCTGGCTCATTTGGGACCTCTGCCTAACTTTGAACCCTTTACCTTCTAGGAACGCCGCCGTCTCGACGGTCCTCCGTCTCGTAGAGGTCCACACGATGAGTGGTTTCAGCGGTGTGTCAATCCCTCCCTTCTCGATCAGAGTACGTCTCTCCTCTTCTCGATGGCTGAGCAGAGTTTCAGTCATTTTCTTGGCATAATCCTTGCCTTGGGGTGACAGACGCGCATCGGCCTTGAAGGACTCCTCTTCCAAAGTGGTACCCGCACGAGCGAAATAGGTATGCCGAGATTTGATGTGGAGGTTCAACAGATAGAACACAATCCGATGTGATAGATAACCGAAGCTAGTGTTGTTGACTACTAGTCTCTCTCCCGCATTGATCATCTTGATCCAGTCGAGATCTGGCTCCTCCATGGTTTCGAAGTGCGGGATTTTTGCAGTGACTCTGTTCAGGTAATGTTTGACCGCGTCAGCTTCGGACCATCCAATGTAGTCGGGTGAAGAAATTTTGACACTGCGGACGTTCTCTTCGATGATTCGCTGGTCATCACAACTTGACTCGATGAACAGACATTTGATGTCGTGTTTCGCAAATTCCTTGGCCAGTGACCTGCGACCAGCAGACAGAGGGTTGACCGCATCGTAGATGGCAATCTGGCCGTTTTCATGGTTGAGGAAATGGTAAATATCCTCTCTGCACTTCTTGAGGATCTTCTGCCTGAGTAATACCGAAGACGCCGAGGCGTTGACGAAGAAATAATCATCAGGAACATCCTTCCCTGGACCTACGATAGCTCTGCGGTAGTCACCCAGGTGAAAGATCCGGGTTTTCACACCCAGCCATCGTAGATACCGAGCCAATGCCACCGAGATGTGCGTTTTGCCGCGAGCAGGTAATCCTACTGTGGTGATGGCGATCCGACCAGCATGGAATAGCCGTCCCGACTCAGTACTGTAGAGCTGAGCAGGGGCCATTTCGCTCTTCTCTGGAAGATCATGGATTGCGTCGACAAATGTGCTCGATTTGCGGCGGTAACGAGGTGAATTGACCGCCGATTCGGCGGTTAGCAGGGTGTCCATTGTGCTCGATGAGGGTCGCTGGAAAGTTCTAAGCAAGAAGATAAGTCGCGAGCCGGGTCCGCGTATTCAATGTCGACCACGGTCGACCAAACGAATATGGATCCTCAGCAACCTCAGCAGCCTCAGCAGTTCAAACGCACGGACCTGCGGATGTCTTTGACTTTCGTTTACTGCTCGGTCCCAGCTCGGTTGTGTCCGTTGACGGGTTGTCAGCGAGAAACGCGAGGTTTTCGTTCGGGTTTTCTATACATCCGCAGCCAGATAATGTCTAGGTAATGTCATGAATGTCGATATCTGATCTACCAAGCACTCGAAAAAGGATGAACAACTGTTGAGGCATTGAGCGACAGAAGCAAAGCGTGCGGGTCATTTGATAAGACAGGAAGAAAGTATGGGGCGGAAACCGAGGTCATTGCCGCCTGATCTCGATTTCCCGTATATTACCTCTCATTGGCTAGAGCTTGATACGACGGCCTTAAAGCAGCAGGCAATTTCAAGTCGTTGAGATTCGCCCTCCCATTGGCCAATTCTGTCGCTTGGCATGGGCTGCGTACGGAGGACTTGCCTTCTACGGAGTTACAGGCCATTTCTTCGTAGATTTCCCTGCGCCTGCAAAAGTCAAGCTCCAACAGACAGCAGATCAGCGCAGTCACGAGAGCATCTTCTGGCTCATCGATCCTTTTTCTCTCCTTCCTCCCCTAGCCTGCTCAATCATCTCCTCCTCTCTCTGCCGGGAATCTCGAAATCAAACGGTTGCTGGTGCTTGCAGAGTCGCTGCACTCCAACCCGAAAAGATGGCGGCCGTGGTCGAGGAGAAATCATCATCGACATCTGCATTGTCTTTCTTAACAGACAATGCCATCGCCGCAACCATCGCAGACTCTTACTCCAATCTTTCGGCGAGGAGGAAGTTATTGGGTCTCGAGAATCCCGGGACGGTCGACAACATTGCGCGCGAAGTCCAAAAGGATGTTCTCCTGTCTAATTTCATGTTCTCCGGCTTGCGCTGCGACTTGCAAAAGGTCTTCAGCATAAACCCTCTATTCCGCCTACAACATGGCTTTGCCATGGGCTCCCAAGCTTTACCGCCGTGGCAACTAATGGCGTTGTATGGCACTTCTGATGTACGTGTTCCTTGCTGTGCGACTTAGCGATAAGGAGGATGGAACTGGGCTCACCATCTCAATAGATTTTCATGCAAGCTGCCTACTCGAGCGACCGATCTTTGACGGCCTGGGGAAACCTTCGATGGTCTCCACGATTCGTGACTAAGACGCAGACCTCGATTGACCCGAGACAGACCCAGGCAATGGTGCAAATCGAGAACGAGTACACGGGCAATGATTTTTCGGCGTCAATCAAGGCTCTCAGTCCATCGATCATGGAAGGTGGCCTCACGGGTATCTTCATTGGAAGCTATCTGCAATCAATCACACCCAAGCTTTCATTGGGTCTCGAGGGTGTATGGCAGCGACCCGCACTGAACAGCAAACCCGAGACTGCGTTGTCGTACTGCGCGAGATACAAGAGCACCGACTGGATCGCTAGTGCCCAATGGCTGAGCCAAGGCTCATTGGGAGCCACATACTGGAGACGATTGACGGACAAGGTCGAGGCTGGTGTTGATTGTCAACTACAATTCGCGCCTGGCGCTGCCATGTTTGGAGGTCCTCGACGAGAAGGCACGACAACTGTTGGTCTCAAATACAGCTTCACCAACTCGGTCTATCGTGCGCAAGTCGACAGCGCTGGAAAGTTCGGCGTCGTTCTAGAGAGGCGGGTTGCACCTCCAGTGACATTGACTTTTGCCGCCGAGATTGATCAGTGGAAGGTGAGTTCTGACCAACATTCCATGAAACGGTCTCCATTGTTTGCAGGACGGTTGCTAAGTTTTGTAGAACACCCACAAGCTTGGTGTCGCTGTCTCGCTTGAAGGTGCTCCGGAAGAACTGCAGGAAATCGCGGAGCGCGCAGAGAATCAGAACGCCCTTCCACCGCCAATTTAGTGCATGCGCGTGGTATAACTTCAACACCCTCTTCGAAAATGTTTTACTACCTCTCCTCTTCACTCTCAAGCAAGTACCTTCGACAAGGCCAGGCACCCCAAGGGTTTCATACATCGGCGTGGTGAGCAGACGACGGAGACCCAACTTTGAAGCCCCCACTGCCACCAGACCTGTTCAGGACTGCCAACTCTGCCGGGTTTGGATTCTTCCCTACTGTTCAAGGGACAAAAGAGGAGTGTTCGACTTGCTCACTTTTCTCAATGTATCTGTATGTATGGGCAGAAAGATCATGACGAAGTTGGTGGGCGAGCCGTGTTTGGTCTGGGATGGCCACCCTCGCCGGATGAGATTCGACCACGAAATCTATCAATACTGCATAATAGAAGAAAAAGGAAGGCCTGTATCAATAAAACCAGATGCTGGAGTTTTTGTGACTGCTTTGAAAAGTTACCTTTTGCCCTACAGCCCATTACCTTGTGTGTTGTGCGCACTGTACACCTGGCGAGAGCAAAAGGTGTGCTCGCCATTGAATCCATGACTCCCCTTTACCTTGCCTTCGACTTCTACCGTCAGAGTGTTTCCGAGTTAGATAATTGCCCACGATTGTACAATCTTACCATCACGTACGTAGTTTGCTGCTCATTTCGATCACATGCTTACCAGGGAGTAATCTCTTCCGGCATCTGGCGAGACCAGTTGTAACCACAGCGAGGGAAGCAAACCGACTCAGGGTAAGGAGATATGGGATATCCTCAGTTTAGCTGGCAAGGGGTGCGGTTTCTTTGCTGGCTGGGGACAACGTGCGCCTAAAGCTAAGCATGACAGCAGCACTCTAGGGGGAGAAAAGGGAAGGAAAGAGAGATACAGACCGCCTTTTGCACATACGACAAGCATTGCAGCCTAGCGAGGCGATTGTCATTTGCGAGGCATGTTCGGGAGAGCCTGATAGATGCAATGCCGGAGTTGTTTGCCTACCTGGCGTCGAACGCCTTGAAATTGTGAAGCAGGACAATTTCATGTCCGAGCTGCAAAATATGAGAGCAGGAAGTCCGAATCATCCACCCCAATCTAGGCCCAAGCCATTGCATCCTTGACGTGAATTGTTTCTTTTTTTTTTAAAAAAAAAATGATTGAGGGTGTAGGTGAGGCAAGGGATGGGACAGGCCTGGGCAGAGGAACTTTGTATTGGGCAAGTCCGGATGGGACGAGCGGGCCGTCCACAGAGACGCTTATTAGGGGGTCGAGCCTCGAATCGGTCAACTTTTTCCGAAGTCCAACTCCCGTGGTAGTTGGTTGGTCTTGCTGGTGGAAGAAAGGCGAATGACGGATGCATCAAGTGCAGACGGGGTTGCATGCATTGGCCGGCCAAAAGCAGGGCGACGTCTGACTCGTCCACAATTGGGCTCTTGCATGAAGCGCTAATTAGAACAGAATGGCTGCTTGATCCCACTGGTCTGGACGACGCCTCCTTGCTTCAGTAGTCCCCTTCAACAAATTTTGCTGTAGCTTGTGCTCGACTTGAATAATGGCAGAGCAGGGATGTGAGTGATGGTGCATTTGGGAAGACATGAGGGCCTCGTATTCTTTGGCCAGAACAATTATGGTTGGGGGATCTGAACCAAAAGCTGAATAAATACGAGATGGTACTTTGTACGCTCCGGAGGGCTCTGGATCCCAATGCCAGAGATGTCATGTAGATCCTGTTGGTAGGAAGATCGTTTGCTCAGTGGACACTTGACATTCGATAGCCTTATGGGAAGGAGGAAGAACAAAGTACCCCTTCGATGGTGGTCCATTCAGGCTGAGAGAGTCGAGGGGAACTTCGGCTTAGGTGGGCTGCACCTGCAAAGGTCGAACGGATGAACCACACGGATGCTAATACGACCTCATGTGTGCCCAAATGAGTTTAGAAGAATTTGCAAGGGTGAAAGAGTGAGGCGAGATGCGGGTGACAGCTGAGGTGCATGAATGTAAGGTGAATGTTGGTGACCATAAACGATTTCGACTCTCCGGCGAAGAATCCTGCACAGCGAGACAGACGCTCAGCCTTCCTCCTGTAATATACTCGAAGTGAAAACCGGAAATCTGACTGATGGTGTAGCACAGCATACGTGTTAGTGAGTATAAGGTAATGCAATTTGGTTCATGCACATCATCTTTGGGCAAGTGGACGCAGAGAGTCAGGAGTTGGTGTCTCCTCAGGATCATGATTAGTCCGTCCGGATCCCAGATCGACAAAGGGATCATGTGTGCAACATCAACCTTTCCCGTCTTGCAATAGGAAAAGGGGGGGATGCTGGATGGCAACTGCGGCTGTGCATGTGAGTGGATAGATTTTCATGGTAGGCCTTGGTCAGCCCGACAGGTGTATTTGGCTCGCATCGAAAGTTTTCTGACTGTCTCGTGCTTGTATTGTTTCGAATGCTGATCTTGCACTTGGTGCCTGTTGGCGGTTTCGAAGTTGGTCTTGGACAGCCCTCGTGGTGGTGGCAAGGCTCGGACCTGAGCGTGCTGATATTGTTTAATCTCACCAGACATTTGTTTCCCTGCAGCAGCCGCCACGTTCCCGCTACATGGGTCCGAGTGCCTTTGAGCTCCTTTCTGGGTGACGATTATTCGCGCCCACCGAGGATTCTGGATTGTTTTGAATTTCCTGGAATCTGGCACAAAGCATCAGGAAGAATTTTCCTTCCCCCGAAGTCAAAGATGATGGTGATAACTCCTGTCTCTGGGGCGGTGACAGCTCTGTTCGAGTCTCGCTTGCTGGCTTGAACACCGCACTCGTAGACGGGGCCCTTTTTTTAAAGTTCCGGAATGCTCTAAGCGCATGCTGGATGACGTTTTGGCATGTGTGGACGTAGCAAATTAGTCCTTGGCCTGGGATCAACCATGCTACATGGGACAGCTTTGTCGAGAGCGCGAGCCGTTGCACCCATGTCGGCCGCAAGACTGGTAGATTGCCTGGCCCCTTGCCTTGCCTGCCACCCTTTTCATCATCATCATCATCATCATCATCCTCGTACTCGGGACCCCTCAAGCTCCTTAAGGGTGAATTGCAGGTGGTCAGTTGGCGGGATCTGGCAGGACGGCAAGAAGAGCCGTGACCTTGATCGTGCGTTCGATACAGGGTGCGGTGACCCCGAACTAGCATGCAAATATGTTGTGTCACTCTGAATAAGAGAGAAATCCTGGGCCGCAGGCAAGACAGGCGCCGGCGAGGACGGGTGGTGAGACCAACAAAGTCATGGATCAACAAGCGAGAACGGTGATTCATTGGCCGTCTCGCCGGGGAGTGATCAGACAGCTTGTAAGAGCACGTGGAAGAAGGGCGTAGAGAGGGGGGCGTCTTTTTGCCCAACTTCCCTGGCAAGTTGTTTGAGGATGGAGGGCACTTGGCGAAAGATTCTTGGTCCAGGAAAGCCTTCATAATAGGAGCTGGGTATACGCTGAGATCTGGCTGGTCGATGCTGGCCTGGTAGCCTTCAGGTCCAGGGCCTGGGTGGCTTGCTTGCAATAGTACTTGGAGCTTAGCTGGAGGGGCAAGTCGACGGCAGCCCGGGGGGAGCAGAGTGGATCTGGATCCTTTGCGGGCGAGCCTAACAGGCGATTTGTGCAAGGTGAATGGGCCCCCAGCTAGCATGTCGAGGTTAAACGGAGATGGAGCCCAGCGTGATGGGGACATGATGCAGTATAGCCCGGCGCAAGGGCCTTTGACAGGGCATCATCTGACCTGCGACCACTTTTTTCTTCATGCCTTTATTGATTGTCAATGGCTTTTTCTGGGTTTTGATGCCCGCTCTGGGTCTCGCCTATTTCCTCCCCAACCTCAGTGCGTCTGTCTCTGTCGTGCTCTTGTTCCCACTGGTCATAGTGGTTCTCCAGGCTGTTTCGAGCGCCCCCGTCCGAACCTGACGCCCTCACCCCGGGAGCCGAACAGTGGCAGTGGCCAAGGAAAAAGGTGGAAAAAGGTGAGGGACCCTCGTGGTCAGCATCATCGGACATGTGACGGAAAAAGTTCTTTGCGGACAGTGTGGACGCAGTGATCTGGGGATTGCCTCTTTGATCTGATTATCTGAAACGAACTTGACCCAGGGGGGGCGGATGACAGTGCCTCACATAGCAGCCAGGACAAGGAGGTCAAGAATTGACGAGCAAGTTGCCAGCGCAGTTGGCCATGCCATGAGTGGTGTAATGCGGTGCATGCGTGCTTCGAGGGAACGAGAGGATGAATGCAGTGGGTGAGGGCTGGATGAATAATTGGCCCCCCTCTCTGCTTTGCCTGCCCTTCTAGGTCTCTACTACTAGGCCTCTGGGTGTTCAGGCGCTGCGCCTGCATCTAAACTCACGCGGCACCTGCACCTTAAGTTAGATGCGCTAGGCTGCCCCAAGTAATAATCCAAACTGCTACGGCGACCTGGCTTGTGAACCGCTGGTGAACTTGAACTTAACCAGTTAACGGATTCTTATTATTATTCCTGGTTCTCCTGCGCTGCACTTTCCTCTCCTCGACCTCATTTCTGACTGACCCAAAACTGAATTCGTCGACTGCAAAACTGCAAAAGTTCCCTGATCTCAGAGCCCTGGAATCTCAACCTCTTCTTGTCCCCTCTACTTCATTCCCCGTCTTCACCTAAAATCATCCACTTTGTCCTTTTCAACCCGCCTATTTTCCTCACCAGACGCCCTATTTTCCCATCCTTAACCCAACGCCCCCGGGACGCTCACCTCTCTACACACGACTATTGCCCTCCCTTCCCTTGATATTTGACGGTACATTTCCCTCCATCTCTGCCCACTGATCACCTGGTCTAATCAATACCTCCAGCAACCCCGGTTTCATCATAGCGGCGCGAGTTTCCACACCTCATTTCGAAAGCCTCACCTACTACGCAAAGTGGGGAAATTAGCGCTTCGTCTGCCAAACCCAGCCCAACCCTCCCTCCTCCTCCTCCTCACCTGCATCGCATACCTATCCCTCGTCTTCATCCACCTCGACCATCTCTTCGTCTCGAGACTCGATAACGTCTGCCCTCGTGGTCGTTGCCATCTCGACCTCCTTCGAATCTAGGCGTGGTCCGACGTTCCTTTTGCTCTCACTCCCTGCTTCTCCGTCGCTCCCTCCGTCTTCGCGCCGCTCTCCTAGGACGGAGTTGCTGTCCTTCCCCTTCCACGACACCGTCGCCAAAGTGGATTCCAGACACCCTTAGTGCTCGACTATGTCACAAGCAAGGCCTGGTGGAGTGTTCTCTGGCTTGCGCATGGGTGGTACGTCTCCTTGTGTTACGTTGATAAAATCACGAGAGTAGCAACCTTCTCGGAGCACGTGCGCTGACACATTCTTTCAGAAGTGGTGCGTGAAAAGGTGCAGGATGGCCTCACCGGTGAAACAAGAGAGATGCAGTATACTCAGTGCAAGATTGTCGGCAATGGTTCGTTTGGTGTAGTCTTCCAGACGAAGTTGTCGCCTAGCGGAGAAGATGCTGCGATCAAGCGGGTACTTCAAGACAAGCGATTCAAGGCAAGACTTCTACCATTTTGCCCATCCCTACCTCTTGGTCTGATACTAACAATCCCCAGAATCGAGAGCTGCAGATAATGCGGATCGTACGACATCCCAACATTGTCGAGTTGAAGGCATTCTACTATTCGAACGGTGAACGGGTACGAGTTTCTCCCGCCCCCTCCGTTTGATACTTGACCGCAATTCTAACTGAAGTCTTGGTAATAGAAGGATGAAGTCTACCTCAACTTGGTCCTCGAGTACGTCCCCGAGACCGTGTACAGAGCCTCTCGATACTTCAACAAGATGAAGACCACCATGCCCATCTTGGAAGTCAAACTCTACATCTACCAGCTGTTCCGCTCGCTGGCCTACATCCATTCTCAAGGGATCTGCCACCGGGACATCAAGCCCCAGAACCTATTGCTCGATCCGGCAACCGGGGTGCTCAAGCTGTGCGATTTTGGGAGTGCAAAGATCTTGGTGGAAAATGAGCCAAACGTCTCATACATTTGCTCTCGATATTACCGCGCCCCTGAGTTGATTTTCGGCGCAACGAACTATACCACCAAGATCGGTGCGTACACATTGGCGGTAGCTGTGGATTCGTAAAACTAGCCTGCTGACGAAAAACAGATGTTTGGTCCACTGGTTGCGTTATGGCAGAGTTGATGTTGGGTCAACCCCTTTTCCCCGGCGAGTCAGGCATCGACCAACTTGTTGAGATAATCAAAGTTCTCGGCACGCCCACCAGAGATCAGATTCGCACCATGAATCCAAACTACATGGAGCACAAGTTCCCTCAGATCAAGCCTCATCCTTTCAACAAAGTCTTCCGGAAAGCATCCGCTGACGCGATCGATTTGATTTCGGCACTCTTGGAGTACACGCCAACTCAGCGACTGTCCGCCATTGATGCGATGTGTCAGCCATTCTTTGACGAGTTGCGAGATCCAAACACTCGTCTTCCGGATTCGCGCCATGCTGGTGGTGCTTCGCGCGAGCTTCCACCTCTCTTTGATTTCTCTCGACACGGTTCGTATCCCACACATGATTCCCCTGCTTGGCTGTTTACATGAGATTAACGGGCTAAATAGAGCTTTCGATTGCACCCCACCTCAACAGCAAGCTTGTCCCATCGCATGCGCGATCCCTTCTAGCATCTCGAGGGCTAGACTTGGACAACTTCACTCCAATGACAAAGGACGAGATGATGGCACGACTTGATTGATTTGAGGCCCTGCCGAATTTGTAACGACGTGACGCCGAGGAGGATTTTGTGCGTTGATATGTCCATCATTGCATGCATGTTTCGTTTGGCGACTACGCCAGCATGCGCCGAGAAACTCCTACGGGTAGCATTCCAGTCATCATGTGTCTAGACGGATATCTTAGCGCGGGAGCAGAGATATCCGTCACGAAAAGGCGACGGCTTTTGCATGCAGGTCAGCAAAATGGGCTGGGCTGGCGGTTCGCTGGTTGACGACCCTGAAACAAGGGATGAGTATGAGCTGAGCGTTTTACAAAAAAACAATGGGCCTCTTCTGGTCTGGCTGGGAAAGTGTGCTCTGCCATAAGGACCATCATGTCTGAGCTTACGAAATGAATTGGGCGGGTTGAAATGAAGGGGCTAGGAGGCTCACACGACTCTGGCAGCTGGCTATTGTGCTCAGAATATGCAACAGGAAGCGTGCAAGCTGTGCGTGCGTATATTGCTACTGCGTCCGCGTACACCTCACGGAAGAAGGGGAGGCAACGCCTTCTTAGACGATTGGACCACAGGAACTCGAGGGCTGGTTTTGGTCCTCACATCAGTCTGTAATTTTTTTCCCCCAAAAGATAGAAATTGTGCTCTACCTCATGACCTCCTTTTACTATCAATGAGCACCTCTCCCGAGCTATCCAGATGGAAGCTAGACAGAACCCTTGCAAGTGCGGAGAAATTGCCAAGCACTCGATGATCCAGCTGCGCGACTGAACGAAGTTTCATCTCCGTCTCCAACGCGTCTCCTATACCTTTTCTTCACTCTATTTCACTTGCGATCTTAAAGCATCCTGCCCTCACAATCACCTTCTTCACTGGCTCAGTGCGCGACCAATCCTCATCATGGCAGATTATGACCGGCGACGAAGAGGCGGCGGCGGTGGTGGTGGAGGAGGAGGAGGAGGAGGAGGAGGCCATTTCAACAACCGCAAACGAAGATACAGAGGTGGTTTATTTTAGTACTGTCCGATGGCCCTTCCATTCTGACGATGTCGCAGAGGACGATTACGAAGATCGCCGTCCCCAGCGCCGTCGCTACGAGGAGCCGGTCGCGCTGACTATACGCAAACAAGTCCTGTCCATCGCAGAAAGTGTAAGTCAACATGCTGCTGAATTATTCAATCACATGGCTGACGCCCTGGTAGCCTGTTCGGAGAGCGGAAGACGAAGTCGCAACTATCGCAAAGACTCTTGCGGAGAACTATTTTGATACTGATCTCACTTCGGGTTTCCTAGATCTCGTCGTGCAACTGTAAGGCCTGTTCCAGCCTCTCCCCACATCCGTCATCTAACGAGTGTAGCCCGGTCGAACAACCCCTGAAGACTCCGTTCGTTGCGGCCATTTTGCTTTTGTCAAATGTCCAGAAACCCGAATTTACATCCGAGGTGTTGGTCAAAGTCGGAGAAGCCTTACAAAAGCAACTGAACAATGGGGCCTGGCGAGAAGTTAAACTATACCTGCGGCTTCTAGGATGCCTTCAGGGCATGTTTGAGGGAGATGGCATCTTTCCCTTACTTGAAGAGCTCTTCTCCCGCGCAGCCGACCTACAAATGAAGTCGTCTGAAGACGTAAGGGTCCTGAGGTTGTTTTCTCTGACCTTGCGCTAACCTTGCAACAGTCTCTGGGTCTCGAGCTCGTCAAAGTCATCTTAATGACGCTTCCTTACGCCATGGCTTCCTCGGCAACGGGTTTCGAGACTCAGGCCATTGCACTGCTGGAGAAGACGGATATCATTGCTTCGACTGCCCACCCCCTGGAATCGCTGGTCGATCCATTTCCGAGTCGCGAAGCCGGGGCACCAACTGGTTCAGAGAGCGCACTTGCGCTTCTCCAAAGACATATGCAAGATGAGGCCAAGAACTCTTGGGAGTTGGCCTGCCTACCTCGCCCATGGAAAGGAAACCGCGCCCCTGAAGAGGAGGATCCGTTGGATGGGGCACAAAAACACCCATTCCCTAGCGTGACTGTCCCAGGAACTGTTAAGAACGGCCCTCGACCACTTTTCCCGGAGATTTACTTCTCCGTCTATCGCGAACAAGATATCGAGACGGTCCCTCCTGTGGCTGATCCCGCTGCATTACTTATTCGAGACGCCCTATCCGATACCATCAACGTCCTCGATTTCAATCGAGCGGTAGCCGCCAAATTTCTGATCGATGTCGATTGTTATTTTGCTCCAGACACTTTCGTGAAGAGGGCCACACCATTTGACAAGTTGCGAGAGGTCGCCGGGGACAAAGCAACCTGGAAACCGGAGGATGTTGTTGTGGATGCGGCATTTTCACAACTGCTGCAATTGCCAGCTCCCGAGCATAAATTGGTGTACTATCACTCGGTGCTGACCGAAGCATGCAAGCTCGCTCCTGCCGCTGTTGCGCCTAGTTTGGGACGGGCAATCCGCTTCTTGTACAGGAACGTGGATAAAATGGATCTGGAACTCTCTCAACGCTTCTTGGATTGGTTTGCCCATCATCTCAGCAATTTTGGTTTCACATGGAAATGGACTGAATGGTACGTTTGCTCCCTGTGATTGGCTTGGATCTCCTAACTCTCTAGGGTCGATGATGTCAATCTGCCTCACGTTCACCCGAGAAAAGCTTTCATTATCGATGCTTTGGACAAAGAAATTCGACTGAGCTTTTCGAAGCGCATCAAGGGCACGCTGCCAGAACCCTATCAAGCCCTAATCTCGGAGGCCAAAGAAAAGGACGTGCCTGATTTCAAATTCGACAATGAATCGACACCCTTTGCTGCTGAAGGAAAAGAAGTTGCCCAGATGATACGACACAAAGCGGTCAGCGAGGAATTTGGTCCGATTCTAGAGAAGGTTGAGCAAGAAGCTACTGCTTCAGGATTGTCCGAACCTACCCTTGCCTCTGCAGATGTCTTTGTCACTTCGATGTGTTGGATTGGGTCCAAATCGCTGTCTCACGCTTTGGCCTGCATTGAACGGTGCAAGGAGCGTCTACTGGCTATAAGCGCTTCCAGTCCCGCCTGCAGAAAGCAAATCATCACTTCTGTGATGGATTACTGGCAAGATCAACGTGGCATTGGACTCATATTGGTCGACAAATTACTCAACTACCAGATCTTGACGCCCGACAGCGTCGTTGAATGGGCTCTTATCGACCATGTCTCGCGCGGCACGCTCCTCGCCACCACATGGTGCTACGAACTGGTCAGCAACACAACTCGCAAAGTCGCAGGTCGAGTTCGAAGCATTGTGGCCGCAATTCGCTCGCCTGGTCTTGCGGAAGAACAGCGGTTAGAACTCCAGCAAACATTAAACCGTGAACTTGAGGGTATGAAGTCGCTTTTCGCCGCGATTGAAGATGCGGTTGTAAGCATCAGGGACGGGAATCAAGATGAAATGATGGAGAGCTCTGATGCGTTACGCGCCGAAGAAGAGGAGCTCTTGAAGTCTTGGGGAGGGCGATGGGCGAGGGTCTTCCAACGGAAGTACGCGGTCGAAGAGAGTTGGGTAAGGGAGGAGTTGGCGAAGCCACTGCCGGTGGTGGAAGAGAAGCCTGCAGAGGACGAGGCCATGAAGATCGATGACAACAACGGCGGAGTGAATGGTGTTGGGGCGGTGGCAGGGACTGGAGAGAATGGCGATGCCGACACGGCCGATAGGATTGAATAGTGGTGGCACCGAGGTCCATAGCGGCATCTCAGAGGTTGGCAAGAATCTTAGGAGATGCGGATGATTCCCTGGGCTTTTATCTGGCACGACATTCTGATCTCAGATCTACAGAAACGGAGGCCGTGGGAGGCCGAGCTCGTCAAAGATGTGCTCATGGAGCAGGTGAGGGAGAAGGCGACCATCGTCATCATTCCCTACTATTGCTTCAAGGATCAGGAGAAATTGTACTCTATGGATTCCCTTTCGCGTTTCTTGTAACCCAGGTTTGCAACGACAATGGGGACGGACAGAATCATATCCATGAGCTTCCATCATTGTCCTGCCCGTCACCGAGGGCAGCATTGTTGCCCTCGTCATCGGCTTCAGAGCAAGATCCTAATAGCAGCAGTAACGACGCCCTATCTCGCACGCTTTCTCTAGGTACAAAGGGGCGTCGCTTGCGTCCGGCAGGGAAGAATCCTCCGCGCCGAGCGAGTTCCAATCCCCATACCGCTTCAACAAGCTGAACTGGACCCTCAGATGCCGGGACACACATCCTGCACGCAGTATAGGATTCAACGTATTAACGCCCCAAGGGACAACGGGAAATGCCTGGATAATTGATAAGCCCGCCGCCGTCGTTGTAGAGGTCTGGGATTGTCGATACACGTTGAACGCAGGAGCGGTACAAAAGGCGTTGCGAAATAGCTCGACGGCGTCTTTCGCTGTACGCCCACTGCCGTGCATGCGTGTCGATCCACATCATGGCTAGTGGTCCAGATGTTCCTGGCTGGCCATTCTCTCGTGTGGGATGAGATTGTTGCTGGCCTTGCAACAAGGTGGTCCATGGGGAGCGGGTATTCACTGCCCCGTTGATCGCGTAAGAGCCACCAGGAGCGAAGGATTGCCACAATCACACAAGAAAGCGTATATGCTGTTCAAGTCAACTGTTCTTTGTTGTTGCTGTTGCCAACTCGATCCTTCTTGTCACAGGCGGTGTAGGAACCCCGAAATGCCCACACGTGTCGATCATCATACTGAGCCTCATCCTCCGTCACACGGCATCTTCCCTTGCGGTGCCTTTGATGATTGCCCAGTGGTGATAACGCTGACTGAAGCGCCCAACATGGGAACCGCCATAGAAAAGTCTCCAGAAGGCAGCTGCTCAGTGCCGAGTACATGAAAATTGCTGGACTCCAAGACATCCTCCTCATCTTCCTTCAATATGCAACCGCCACCACAAAACTTGTGTTTTCCAACCTTCAACACGACAGACCTCGCCTCATATCCCTAATAATAGCATCTGCGTCCAAAGAGTTTGGACATAGACCGAGTCCTTTGAGACCACAGTTGCAACTTAACTGCGAAACGCCCGAAGAGACGCCATGATGTTGGCTTGAGTGCCAGGTCAAGCGCCTTAGTGGCACGTGCCATCTTGCCTTTCCCTGACCTTCATTGACACTTGAGGATAGCCGCGTCCACCAGTATCAATATATCTATCCATAGGCCCACAAGCTGCGGTGCTTGCATCTTCATGTAGGACGGCGTGTTGAATGGTCTGGTCGATGCGATATCAAACAACGTCAGGGACCGCAAAAATCGTGGCTCCAATGTAGTCTCTCGAATGAGATAGTTCGATGATGCAACAAGGAGGTGCAAGACAGTGGTCTGCTAAAGGGGCTGTGGAATGTTGAAAGGTCCTGAGCAAGCGTCGATATCTACAAGACCATGATCATGAAAGATAATCTCCCAAAGCGCTGAATAGCCCAACCATGGTGACTTCCATGAGCAGATCGCAAGCCTGGAGGTCTCACTGCCGAAAATTCTTCAAGATCCTAGGTATATCATCTTGTTATTTACGGATGCCATATCCGGAAAACCCTCCCGGCGGCGCAGAAGGTATGGTACCAGCTTGTGGACCCCCAAACCCTGGAGGAGGCGCAAACCCGGCAGGTAAGGCATTCGGCTGCGGAAATCCTGCAGGCACTTGATTGAAGCCTGGTGGCATGAAGCCTTGTGGTCCGCCATATCCGGCCTGACTCGGAGGTGGTCTTGCTGGAAGACCGGTCGGAGGAGCTGTGAGTGGTGTGCTGAGAGGAGGTGGTGGCCGTGCTTGTGCAGGCGGCGGGACAGCTTGATAACTGCCACCTGGTTGTGCAAATCCCACGGGAGGCACAGGGGTTTGTGGCACACCACCAAACACTGGTCCACCGATTGGAATCGTGGCAGGAGTGGGTTGAACACCATGAGCTTTTGCTTGAGACGCTAGCATTCTTTCAGCTTGGTCACCATGTCTTTCACCTTTGCCATCCTTCTTGTAGGCGTATTGAACTGAGACCTCCTTGTTCATGAGGTATTGGCCGTTCATGTTGGCAATGGCGTCATCTGAAGATTCAAAGTTGGCGAAAGAGACGAATCCATATCCTTTCGATAAGTTGTTTTCGTCGCGAGCAATCTGACTGGTATTAGTAAAGATACATTGACGTGCAAAGACGAAATGGACATAACATACCTTTGGAGCAGCCACTAGTGTGCCAAACCGTCCAAATGTGTCATAAAGCATTCTTTCATCGACCATCGGATCCAAATTACCAATGAACAGCTCTGCGCCAACTTCGACAGACTTCTGCTTATCGGCACTGGCTTTGTTGACGCGGATAGGCTTGCCGTAAAGCCTGACTTGGTTCATGACCCTTGCTGCATACTCGGCATCTTCTTCGGAGTTGAATTCGACAAAGCCATAGCCCTGATGTGATTGAGTGACTCGATCCTTCGGCAGATGCACATTGACAATGCGGCCTGCTTGCAGAAACAACTCCCAGACGAGAGCGTCGGTGACCCGCTCATCTAGGTTGCCGATGTAGATCGTGGAATCCTTGTCTTGTTCCCAGTGCCTCGCGCCGGACATGATGCTGAGAAGTAAGCACACGTCGCAGGGAATCTATACAGCGTTTTGAGCTTGCCTAGGTAGATGGGGAGGAAGTGAGCGCCAGAAATGTAGAATAGAATATCCTTGGTGAAATTGTTCGCGAAGGCGAAGGCTGTTGAAGAAGCGCGCGTTCCTCCTTTGAGACTGGTCTGGGTAGCGGGTCACGTGCCGTTGCGCATCATGAAATTGTTCCGCAGCTTCATCCTGCTTGTATTTTATTTGCATCAGAACACTCCATTTCTCGCCCATAGACGACTCGAGGCTCATATCCGAACGCTCTTTGTTGTATAGTCTTCCACAGGGCAATACTCCCCCTATAGCTATCAAGATGATTCAGTTCTCTGAAGAGACCAAGGTCCGCTGATCCATGAAGGGATGCAAAGAACATCTTTTGACAATATTTCCAGGAGCGCATTGGCAAGATCCTCGACATCACCCGCGAAGTCGTTCATTATGGATATCTTCCCTTAATACTGTATCTGGGTATGAGGGATCACATGCTTTGAGCTGGAGTGAGGTCTAACTGTCATAGGCTACACACGAAGTGAACCCAAACCCGCACTGATCAGGTACATTCCTCCTCATCGACGACGACATTGCCTCATATTGACCGATTCTAGCTTAATTTCGCCTTTCGCAAACTAAGAGTCCCCCGTGACACTTTTGTACAACAGATTCATGGCCACAAGATCCAGTTGCAAAACCTCAGAATAGCCCGTTGGTGCGAGGCGATGGCCATACCCTCCAGCATTTGAAGCAGTCAAAGTGAAAGAGAGACTATGGCCTGGCTGCATTTGGGCATCTCATGGGGAGATAACGTGCAAGAGATGGACCAGTCGGGTCGATACTCGTCAGATGCCAGCATCCTTCTCGCGCAACCTTGTACAACAATTCTTGTGGTGTCCCAATGACACCCACACTTCCCGACTCTACAACCATGGGCGAATGTGGCAGGTTTGGTTTGAGAGACATTCAAGCCAACCCCCGAGGTCGACATAGCACATTCTCTGCCGACTTTGTGGCAGCGTTGAATTGAATCTGCCGAGAGGTGTTCGAACTTTCTCTGCAACCTCTGCTCCATTCTAGCTTCACCTCTTTTTGACAAATTTCGCCCTGTTACACGTAAGAGCAGTTGCAATGGGGTCGGTCATGTTTCTCTACGACTCGTTCGGTGTTTCTTGTCCTTTCTTCCCTTACCCAAGGTCGAATCATGAGCAGGGCTCTGGAGCGATCTGTCATATTCAGACTTGATGATGAGTATCTATTCAAAGTCTGGTTGAACTGAGCCAACTTTCTGCCACATGCGTGGACCTGTTAAGCCTGGGACAGGATCCACCCCGCTGGAGCGGTATAGCCCAAACCCTCCGTATACAAGGACATACCAGGACCTGTGCCTGCAGAGCACCGACTGGCCCCCTGCATCCGGCAAATTCCATCTGATCCGAGCGTGGAGATGACGGCTTCCTGAAGCGAGGGTCAAGCGTGTTCCCTCCGCACTTCAGCCTGATTGTTCCATCGGCCTTCGTTCTTTTCTACGCCCTCTGAGAATCTTTAGATCTTTTGCAGGAGGATGAGGCGCTTCCGATCAGGCAGTTTAATCACCGAACATGATTGCGTCGCTGACAAACTCTGCATCTTTTCGTATCTGCAGAGTCCCAGTTGCAGCCTCAAGGTGACACCATGCACCGCAGGTACACGAAACTAACTCCTCCTGTTTCCCCCCCTTCCGGACTTTTGAACCGGGCCTTTGGTAGTCGAGGGCTTTGCTCAAATCGATGGCTGGTAGGATGGTCACACAGTCTGGTTCCAAAGGGGGGTGATGTGCGTGTCATTGGCTTCAATGCGCCTGGGCTGAGAATCAACCTTCGAATGTCTCTGGGACTCCTCGCTCTCTCCGTTCATCTGAGCACCAGCCTAGGCTCTGGGCCGGCCGCCAATCGTGTGAGTTGGGCTGCCTAGTGGCCTCTTTTAGCGTGTGCTTCCAGGTGAACCGTGCTTTCCCGCTTATTGCCTGCATGCCCATGCGCTCTTTATTTGGCTGATCCTCACGGGCGCCTGTTACCACTACTCGTAACAACAACTACAACGGATGATGGCCACCGTGACCCACGATCCCATCCACATCGGCCATCCGGGGCCTGGCGCCTGGGCCTGCATCATGGTTCTGCGGCTTGTGGGTACGACCGGCTTCCACTGTAGGTAAGTGAGTTGGTTAAACTCTCCAGCCATCAGCCTCCCACCGGCCATCACCATCATCAAAGCTCGGCCCCCATTATTCTCCTGTTCGTTGTGTGTATCCGCCCCATTCTCGTGTCTTGCTTCCTGCCTCCGCTGCTGCTACTTGCTTGCTCCTCCCGTTTGGCTTTTGCACCCACCTCCACCAACACGCACTTTCCTCTCCTTTCCTCTATCCTTCGCGTCTAACATCACCTTCCCACCTTCCTTCCTCTTGGCTCTCTTCACCTTGCGCAGGGACTCTCTCGCCATCACTAAGCTCTATCAGCCGACCACATCGATATCGAACACGAACTTGCGCTCCATCGCTCCATCGCTCCATCGATTGTGCCTTGGGCCGTCGCCCGGGGCTTCTGTGTGAGCTTATCCGCAATTTTTCTACCCTTACCACTAGCGCCGTTTGCGCTTCTCTCGCCGAATAACAGGTACCTGCGCTCGTGGCAACACCCAACTTCCTCTTCCTCACTCCTCGTTACTGACCTCCGCTGTAGTCAACAATCATCCCAATCCTGCACAAACTTTTCTACCCGTCAATATTCTATTGTGCATCCATCATGTTTAATGCAACTCAACACCGCGGCAACCCCAACTTGGGGCCTGCGCCTCCCGGCCAGCCCAACCATCGCCTGAATGAGATCATGGATCAACTTCGAGCCGAGTTCGACAACCAGTCCAGAGCCTCCGAGCAGGTCGAGAGCCAGGTCGCACAGCAGATTCAAGAGATGGAGTTGATTCGTAACAAGGTCTATCAGCTCGAGCAGAATCAACTGAAGATGAAGCAGGACTATGAGGCTGAGATTCGCATGCTGCGACATGAACTGGAGATCCGTGGAGGGTCGCAGGTGCAGTCGCACCTGGGTGGCCCTCCTCAGCATACTGGTCCAGCGCAGGCACCTCCAGCTCTTGGCCATGGCCAGGGCGGATTATTTAGTGGAATCATGGCCAACCAAGGTCAAGGTGGTCCAGGTCTGGCTCCTCCACCAGAGCAACCTCCTCCTCAGCAACATCCTCTGCAACCCCCTCCCCCGGCCGCACAACCCCAAGGCCCGCCACAACCACCCAACTCCTTTCCCGGCTATCAGCAGGGTCCTACGTTGAACGGCTATGGACCGCAACCACAACCTCCCACGAATTCCCCGGGTCTTGGAAAGAATCGCTCCATGGCTAACAGAGGTGCACCCGGACCTGGACCCGGACCCGGACCTGCGACTCCTCAGCAACATCCTAACCAACCACAGGCCATGCCATATCAGAATGATCCAAGAGCTTCGCCGCAGATTCCCCGACCCACTCCTCCGGGCAGCGATATGCAGCTTGGACCGCGCCATCAGATGCCAGGCCAAGGCCAATATCCTAATGTCGGCAATGTTCTTGCTGACCTGAACCCAGACGATCTTCCAGATCATCTCAAACGCACCAGTGCCGACGGCGAGTGGCATGCTGTCTTTAATCCGAATGTCCCTCGTGTGCTTGATGTTACTCTGTTGCACAACCTTCAACATACTTCCGTCGTGTGCTGCGTACGCTTTTCGAGCGATGGCAAGTACATCGCCACTGGCTGCAATCGCAGTGCTCAAATCTTTGACGCCAGGGACGGCGCAAAGGTGTGCGAGTTGCTCGACGAGAATGTCGCGGACAAGGACGGTGACTTGTACATCCGATCTGTCTGCTTCTCTCCCGATGGCAAACTGTTGGCCACTGGCGCTGAAGACAAGAGAATCCGCGTGTGGGACATCGCAAGCAAGCGCATCCGCACCACATTCGATGGTCATGAGCAAGACATCTATTCGCTGGACTTCTCACGAACTGGGCGGTTGATTGCTTCAGGCTCGGGCGACAAAACCGTACGCCTGTGGGATATCGAGTCCAACCAACAGGTTATGGTCCTCTCGATTGAAGACGGGGTGACCACAGTAGCCATGTCGCCCGATGGGCGTTTCGTTGCAGCTGGTTCCTTGGACAAGAGCGTTCGGGTTTGGGATTGCTCGAGTGGATATCTCATCGAACGACTGGAAGGACCACAGGGCCACAAAGACAGCGTATACTCGGTTGCTTTCTCCCCTAGTGGGCGCGAGCTGGTCAGCGGTAGTTTGGACAAGACAATCAAGATGTGGGAACTCACACCACAGCGAGGACTTATTCCATCTGCTTCAGCAAAGGACGGCAAGTGCATCCGCACCTTTGAGGGGCACAAGGTGAGTCATTTTCTTCCGTTCCTGTCTTTGATGTTATCGACCGAGAGACACTAACAATGGCGTGCGCGCAGGACTATGTGCTCTCGGTCTGCCTCACTCCCGGAGGCGAATGGGTCATGTCTGGGTCGAAAGATCGCGGAGTCCAATTCTGGGATCCCAACACGGGCAACGCGCAGATGATGCTTCAAGGTCACAAGAACTCCGTGATATCCGTGGCTCCCTGTCCAACAGGGCATCTCTTTGCTACAGGATCAGGAGACATGAAAGCCCGAATCTGGCAGTATACCACGTGGCGAGGAGCCCATTAAGGGCTTTGAGCCTGACGGAATGCGCGAAATATTCTAGAAGCAAAACGACGGCCGCAAATTGTGCGAGACTAGGACTGGAAAGGTTGGCGGAGTTCGCAGTTACATGTGTGTATGTTTTTCTGGCTTTTGGAGAGTTCCGCCTTCCCCTCTCAGTTGCTCGCTGGTTATGAACAGATTGAAGCACTCAAAGGGCATTCGGCAATAACGGCAAAGGCATGAGGACTCAAAGTTGCAGGAGCCAGGGCTCATCTGCATCAAGGAGCTCGTGGCTTTGGGGTGTTCTCTCTTAGCTTGACGGTCACTGGGCTCTGGGAATGGCTGGGCTTCTTACGGGCGTGGGAGGGCTCGCATTAGTGGATGTTTTGGGGGGGGGGGGGGGGGTGTCTGGTGGGTGGTCTGTGTTTGCGCTCAATCAGGCGGATCAGGCGAGTTGGGAGTGAGGTTGGAGCGACCGTCAGCAGCCACTCTACTTTTCTTTGGGCCATACTTCTGATTGAAAAAACATCATTGCTCATTTGCGTACTGCTCTGGTGTTGCAGCGGAGCGTGGGCTGAGAGAAGTGATTGGAAAGGAGACATGGTGATGGCCAGCGGTCGAGATTTCTCTCCATCTTTCGTTGCTGGGATCTAGCCGAGCAAACCAGTCACAGACGTGAATACAATGATGATCAAACAAAATTTTTTAGTCGGGACGCAGCGCAAAGTCCAGGCACTGCCATGCAGTAGTGGCAGTAGTGGCAGTAGTGGTGGTGGTGATGGTGGTGGTCAATCGAGATGGGGAGACGGGCTTCTGTCACAGTCGGTGTCGCGGTCCCTGACGTAACTTCCGGGGCGGGATCTACAGAGGGTTACGGCAGCGCAGCCATCACAGTCGCAGTTACAGCCATGTACAGTTCTTTTTCTTTTCACCCCTGTCGCAGTTTGGCTACTGGCCTGCAATAGCTTCTTCACCAGCGAAATTGACTTGTCAACGGCGCCGCAGTACCATATGCACCAAGCACAGCATCGTGTCCAGCACCCAGTATCGAAGTCAAAGACACTCTTCGTCTGCTCAGGACTGTGTGAGAGTTCCTAGGTACCTGGGTACTGGATACCTCACTTCTCATTCACTTTCGGAGGCGGCCGAGCGCAGCCAGAGCGGGCGTACCCGTTTCCCCCTTTCCAACTCCCCTCGTCAATCAATCCTTCGTGCGTACTAACTCGATCTACCTTTCCCAGACAATGCATATCAATGTTATCTTTGACTGTCACGATCGGTCAATGGCAAAAACTCGTACGGAGACCCCAATCATTCGTCACTCAAGGCGCCCGCTACCCCTGCCCCTCCGAATCAAGAACCCATCCTTGCTGAATGATGATCCATCCATGTGACCTCCTCGCTGTCGGCTCTCAGAACAGCTTGACCCTCAGGGACTAAATCTAAGATCATCTTTATCGGGTCAAGAGGGGGCGAGGTTTCCTTCACTGAAGCATTTGCGTAAAAGACCATCGTCGGGCCAGACACTGCCGTTTGGGCCACAGGGCAGACAATGTGAGGGGAAAGCGGCGTGGGATGAATCATACCACGGACCAGTACGAAGCCCTGGGATCGCTTGCTTCTTCTCCTGATCATGTGCCAAAACCCACAGCTGCTTGGTCAGGTCCAATGTCCCTGACTCCAGGACTTCTCCCAGAACTCTCAATTCCAATCCAGAGCAACATCCTGCAGCTGGAGGAAAAAATTTTCATGCTCGGCCCAAGATATCTTGCAGACATACAAGCCAGGGAGAAAATCTCGATAGGAAAATCTTCAGCTGCTGCAAGACACCACTCAGGCACTGGCCGCGGGAAAGCTCACTAAGGGTAGCCGAATCTTGTTCCTGGCTCGTCCTTTTTCCCAAGTTTGCCCAAGAGCGATCTAAGCCACACCGCAAACCCCCCCCCCTCCCCCCCAGAGAAGGGTCGTGGGCCGGCTTGTCCTCCAAAAATTCCATGGAAGACGCCGGGAGGAATGAACGCGCAGCATGCAGGACCCAGGATCAAATCGACCACACATCAGCCTGGGCGTTCGCTTATTCCCATGTTGGCGCCACGGCCGTCTAATGCGTGGAGTCTCCTTTAACGGCATAGCCTTTGAGATCCTGGTCGGGCCAGCAGCCAATGTGGCCCAAATCCCTCCTCCCACTCCACCCAGCAACTTTTTCATCCGAGCTTTTTTCATGCAGCTCAAAATGGTCTGCGACTTTACCAGCGCCGACTTGGTCATGACGGATGAACTACTCGACTTTAGCGACCCAATGCCCCCAAACTTCCTCCCCATGCTAGCATCCGTTCTTTGCTTCTTGAGTCTCTAGGGAGGGACCCCAAATCGCACGATCGCTGCAGGCTATCGGTCCTGGCCCTGCCCTGCCCTGGCTGTCATGCTCATCCACCACCTCCCCCTCCCCCCCTGCCGACCCACCCCAGGGTAACGACGACATCTCCTCAGACTCTGAGCTGTCCGCCCCAGCCTGAGTAAGTTTCTTCCCTTGCAGCCCTAATCCCTCCCCTTATGCATCTCCATGCCTACCTCGCATCTGCGCGTCCCGGAATCATCTAGGGCCGCTCTGACTGGCCTGAAGGCTTCGCTCTCCTTCTATCGACCACTGAGATGATGCCGGATCTCGAAAAATTTTCACCTTGTGTCATCTGGCTCTCCCAAAGCGGTAAGCAGAGGCGCTGAATGGCCTTGTCGCACCCACGCTCGAATTGGCCGAGAGGCAAGGCTGCACCCTTTCGATACCTTAGCCTCGAGGCACACCAGATACGTCCGATGGGGACTGCAATCTCTTCCGCTTGCCGCAGAATCCCTGAAACTCTCATGCTAGGAAGCTTGTCCTTTTTGGCCATGCCCACGCCGCTGACTGGTTGTACCAGCTTGCAATGGGGTCTGTTCAAGCGAAGAGGTATAATACCCAGTTTGATCTCGTCACTCGAACTATACTGTCTACCCATCCGTAGACCACATTAGACTCGGCTTACGTCTCCAAGCTCTAAGACTGTTCCTTGCTCCAAAGCTGTTTTCTTGGGTGTTCATTGTCTCTTCATCCTGGCCATCCTGAGGACCGCTCCCACCGTCTTCCAGCCACTGGCGACTCGAACCCCCACACTTCGCCCTCGCGTATCCGCCCTCTCTTGCTTGATCTGCTGCCAATCCAGCGCCTGGACCAGGATCCGAGTGCGATGTAGTCGTGTTGTTGGCTCTTCGTTGCTTCAAGTGTTACTCTATTCCTAGGGTCCATTCCGAGCGTCGCACCGGAGTCATATCTTCACCCTGTCCCGAGAAAACCATCCGTTGTTTTCTTGGAGTCTTCCTGGTTCTCCTCAGAAGCAAGATCGCTTCGGCAGAGGATACCTATCGGTGGACTACTCTTGAGAAGACGTTGACGACGAATCCCTCCCCAATGTTTAACATGGCCTTCAACCCAACCGCCGACCAGATCGAGTGGCATATGCATCAATTGAGGCAGTGGATGGTGCCTACGTCGGTGCCGGCGCCTTCCAAGCCTCCAACGACGGCACAACCGCGCACATTCCCCCAGGAGTTCTACCTGCAGAATGTGCCTTCGAATGACATGTACGACTATGATTCCTTCAGTACTCCAGGCTCCGCGCCGCCGACCTCCCTTCCTCGTGCTCAGACGTTCGCCAGCTTGTCCGAGTATGATTTCTCGCCCATGGACTACTTCACTCCCGGTCAAGGTCCAGCGACGCCAGGGAGCTGGACAGGAGAAGAGCGGGGCAACTTCGATGATGGCCTCTCCATCTACTCAGAGGCACCCTCAAGCTATCTGTCCTCTGATCTCTCGGAGCAGAACCGGCTTGAATCCATCATCTCATCGAGCCGCACGACTCCTCCCACCGTTCTCCCACCTTCGTCTGCTTCTGCCCCCGACCAGGCCTCCGAGGTCGACTCGCTCATGAAGACCTTGCAACCTCCCCAGCTGCATGTGCTGGCAAGCAATCCCAGTGGCAAGCCCAAGAAGCACCTGTGCCCCTACCCTGACTGTTTCAAGTCCTTCTCTCAGCCAACACACCTCAAGATCCACCTTCGTTCCCACACAGGAGAGAAGCCTTATACATGCTCTGTCCCGTCGTGCAAACAAACGTTCTCGCAGCTGGGCAATCTTCGAACTCACGAACGACGGCACGTTGGCCAACGACCGAACCGTAAGAGATCCTCATCCGACCCAGGTGCCCGAGCTCGGAAGTACGAATGTAAACTCGATGGCTGCAGAGGTTTGGACGGCAATCATGGAGGCAAGGTCTTCACACAACTGGGAAACCTCAAAGCACACATGAACAAGTTCCACAAGGAGACTTTGGCAAAACTATCCGAGCAGTTTGCACACAACGAGGTGGACCCTGCACAGGCTGAGCTGCGTGCCTATTTCCAGGACCTCTACAAGCATAGCAACAAGGGTATCAAAGGGAGGGGCAAAGGCCGGAAAGTCGAGGTGATTGTTAAGCCCGAGCAACCTTGAAGATGTCGGAAAGACAAGGATGAATACCAACAAGTCAACCCCGGCGCGAATATCAACTGGATGCTCACCAGCTTGAATCGGCGGTCGAAGTACAGTCCGCAATCAATCACAAACATCGAACTGCTGGACAGGTCACGAATTGATCTGAACGGAGGATTCCCCAGCCAGTCACTACCGACGAGGGAGCCAAACCCTATCATTCAATGAGCCTGATGGGGATTGCAGCCCGAGCGAAACACCAAGGCGAAGGTCGAGCGAGGACGATTTCGTTCGATATCGATGGATTCATTATCCATCCACTACACAACCAGTCATTTCCGCGTGTTACTTCAGCTTTTCAAACCAAGGGGGATCTTTTTTTCGGAGGATGCAACGCAAGGAAAATTGTAAGAGTACCAGGGCGTGCCGGAGGAGGAAAGGAGAGCTGGGAAACGATCAAGATTCGGTTCACGCAGAAAGGGTGACGGTAGGATGTATGCTCATTTGTATCGCCTGCTGCCTGTCCTGATTTGGAGCCTTTATTTTGTGCTTTTGCTTTTACCAAGTCCATAGCATGCCAAACCCGCGCTTAAAATCGCCTTGTTAAGGAGGGGCCTGTCATTACCGAGATACACCGTCCACCAGATATGATTACGACTCAAATGAACGATGAAATGACCAAAGGAAAACGAAGCTCAATAGGATGGAAAAGCCGATACCAAGAACTCTATGAATTATCCCTCTTTTGCTGCTGTCCTCACGGCCCAATTCCTGCTGTGCAGAGTTTCCTACCTTGGTGCGAGGTTCAGAGACTTTTCTTTTGGCCTTTGGAGCCGCTCGAAAGAAAGCAAGGCTGACTTTCCAGGCGATCAAGAACGGGCCTGGGGGGTAACTTGATGTTGCGCTACGGCTGTCGACCTTGTGGGATTTGGGCGACTGTTTCGGTGGACTTCCTCCAGAAGCGGGCCAAGTGTGCAAACAGGGGCCTCAATCCTGGACAGTCTCCATCTCTATCCGTCCCTTTTTCGACACGCTTTTGGCCCGGTGCCCGCCTGACAGGGTAAGGACAACGAAGCCAACGAAAGTGAAAAGGAGACGACGAGAGATTTGTCTTTAAATCTGTGGGTCACGGAGAGCGGCAAGACACGCTGGAGCCTGGAGATATGTAGGGGACTGTCAGACACAGCGAGACGAGGCGCAGAGGGGAATGTTGGGATCCCGCTCGTCTCTCGCAGGGGCAGGGCAGGGGAAAGGGAGGGAGGGACAGCGGCCCGACCAGTGTTCGCCTCCCTCTCATTCTCCCTCTCTCTCCATTGTCCTTCCCCCTCCAGAGCGAGGAGGACAGGCTAGACCACCAAGGTGTGTCCAAACCATCTTGCGTCACAGCCCTGGGAACATGCGGCGCGCCAAAACAGGCGATTGCCGTTGCATGCATGCATGTGGACCCCGTCTTGGGAGACATTCGCCGCCTCCCAGAGTGGCAAAGGGGGAAACTGAAGTTGCTTTTTGCGGAGGAAAGATGGTCGGGCCTGGGGGGGGGGGACGTCCGGACGGCCTCTGACAGGACGGGCAGAGGTATGCAGGGGTTCCGGAGCCCGTTGTTGTTGTCGTCGTTGTCGCCGTTGCTTGTGCGCGTGACATGGTGCCCAGTGTCCACCATACCTTGCCGGTACGGATCTTCGATAACGTCGTCCTGGCTTTTTCTCCCTTCAATCAAGCATGTTGCCTAGGTAAGTCGAGGTCTTTTACGTCAAGGAAATTGGGGAATTGTGTCCCCTTTGTCGAGCCATTGTCAATCATCAGGCACGTTGGGGTGGTGTCTCCAAGGTTAACCATGTGGACTTTGCCTCTCTGACGATGACGGCTTGTAAGCCCCGGGGGCTGGATTTCTTCTGCTTTTCTTTTCTTTCGGGTTCTTCGCTCTTTTCCGTGTACGAAGTGATGACCGCCGGGGTGGTGTGGACGTGCGCAAGGCTGGCTGACTGACTACTGGGGCTGCTCCCGACAAGGCTGTCCCTGGACAGGGCAGAGCACAGGGATACAGCAACGGAACGCCCTGGCTCTCTCCGCAGGAATCAAGGGGATTTGGAATTTTGAATCCTGTCGGGGTCTTTCTGTGTCGGGAAGTTGGCGGTGCACCAAAAAGCATATCATTCTTCACTGCCTGCCTGAGAAAGGCGGAGTCTATAGTGGCTATTTACACTCTCCTTCTATCTCCAGAGGTCCGTTCTCTGTAAGTCCGGTAGAGTCAGACAACAGGGGGAATCAAACAGCAACCGTCTTTTTGGGTCCGAAAAATGTAATTATTCAATACACCGTGACAACGCACAAGCAGTCCCTCCCAACCAGTTCCACCGCTCTTTTCCCCTCGCATGTCATGTTGTTTAGGCAGACACACCGGTCAGGCAGTCGATCTAACGCCACGCCTTCGACGTTGCACAACAGGCCCGGTAAGGCAAGACAAGGCAAGGCGACACAGGCCAGGACAGGGGCCAGGTGAGGGCTTGGTATAGAAGGGACTTTTGACGTGGCTCGTTTCGATCGGGCGTCCAGCCTCATCCACCCACACGGCTAGCTGGTGTGAGAGAGGGAGGGGCAACTTTTGAAAGGATATTCGATAGGCAAAATCCCTCGAAGCCGACGGCACAGGGATCCCCAGATATCTTTGCATCTACAACGTAGGCAATCAGGAACCGCGGCGAGCGATTGTCAGCGCACGACCCATGTGCAGTCCCCCCCTCCCCCGGGTCAAAACTCACCAGTTCGTTCTTTGCCGTCGGCGAGGAGAGACAGCCTTGAGTCCTCTTGGAGGAGCCCACCGCCACGAGAAAGGTTCGGTAACCAGGGGTTCAATTTTTTTTTCTCTACCCTTCCGTCGCGGCCCTCATCCCCTTGCACGTGTGCATTGTAGGACAGCAGCATAGGAGGCCGAGAGGCGAGAGGCCGTTGAGGAGAGGCGGCCTCAAAGAAGATAAAGAAGAGAGAAAGGGTCCCAAGGCAAGCGCGTTGCATCATTTGTGTTACTTGGAACCCTTTTGTCATACCATACCATGACCATTCCATCCCCCGTGCTGCTCTCCCATTTCTCGTCCCAAGGCATTCCTGCGAAGTGGTGAACCCCCGACCAAGCATTGATTGTCCAACGGATCCATCCTGTAAAGAAAATGAGGCAAGGCTGCTGTCTTGAGGTGGACCAAGCAATTAGTCATTTTTCGTCGTTGGGGGCCAAGGAGTAGCGCTGACGATCGTCTCCTGAGCATTGGATTATTAACACCCGTCGAGACTCCTGCGGCATTCTGCAGGGGAGGGGGGGGGGGTTTGGGCGGGGGATGGCATGAGGTCTGAGGTGTGAGATGAGGTTGAATTGGCAGCAATGACCAGCGCCTGCGTGGGCCAATCTTTCAGCCTCGTGGGTTGTGTCACCACCCTGCTCCCCCGTCCTGGACGAGGATGCACTCTGCAATGAGAGGGCTGTTCCCTTAGCCTCGGATTCTGTGCTGCATGTCAGAGGGAGAGAGAGAGGGAGCGGGATTGTGGCATGCCCCAGCAGAGAGACACAGGCGGTGGTCGAATGCCCCCAATACCGAGAGGTGCCGTCCACGCTAGGTCGATGGCGGTACGTCCCTTGTTCCATCATATGTAACCTCGCATTCTGTCCCTGGGTTAGCGCGCAAGCCGACGAAATATTCACCTCGCCTTGTTCCCACTACTTGGGTCTCTGCATGAGAATGGCGCATTTTCTCGACGCAGGCGGGAAGTGACCGGAGCGGGGGGGCCACTCGTCCCTCCGGGGTCACCTTTCTCCAATGCTCGAGGCACTACGGATCAAGGAACCGTATGGTCTACGAGAGCCAGACGAGACAGGGCCACAACAACAGTGAGCCGTCTGCTGAACAGAGATGTGGCGGACATGCGTGCACGATCTACCTGGTCATCAAGGGGGTGGCGACAAGGCGGGCACACGAGAAGAAAGATGAACCGTGATGATGCTTGAGGCCGGCTGATTGACGCTCCCGGAAGATTGCACGCCCGTCACTGACGTGGGAGGAACCTTGATCAGGCGAGGACGAGTGGCATGCACTCAGCTACAGAGGTGATTGGCATGATGTGCTCACAGAAATCCAGGATAGGAAAGGGGAAAGAACAAGACCCAGTAATATCAGACGCGGGCGACGCATTCTGGAAACCACGCAGGTAGTTATTCCCGTGGCATCCTCGTCCATCACACGATCCCCGGGTGGTAAGAATAGGAGAGCACTCTCTCATCCTTCGATCACAAAGCGGAGACTGGTGTCCTGGACGTGGGATGCGCTTCGTCCCATTCCAAGCATGAGGAGTGAGGAGGATACAGAGAGCGAATTAATTCTCATCCGGCTCGGGCGGTTTGCTCAGAGTTGCAAGGCTCCACCGTCGTGCCGCTTTTGTCCCAGCCACCTTTTCGGGCACTGGCCACTCGGAACTAGCGCCAGGAATGGAGATGGCCGCTAGAAGTGCGCTAGAAGCGCGCTAGAAATAGCTTCTAGAAGGTCGGTAGAAAGGTGCCATTGGCGCTAGCAAAGTCAAGTCCGACAGCCACGACAGGGGTGGGATTGACCAATCGCAATGCCGCATTCGAGCAGGCGTTCAGCTGGACTGAGAAAAAGAGCCAGATCATGGAATCCCGTTTCGCTCTCCCACGCTACGAAGCCCCCTTCTCTTTCGGCCATGCATTGGTCGCCGCCGCCCTCCTCAGCCCGAGTCCGGTGCAGTAACTGATAGCTGCGGAATCCAAGGGCTGGTAAGCTTCACGCTTTCCCAGACGAGGTGGTCCACCTCATCACGACTATTAAAGGCTTGGTGGGTTGGAAGTTTCTTTTTCTCCCCGTGCCAGCAAATCTCAAGACACTCTCGCAACTCGTGGATGGAGGCATTGACGCAGGAACAGGCATGGGATCCGTCTCGCACCCGCACTTTCGCAATGGATATCGGACCGCTTCAAACCGAACACGCCACACTTGCCCCGTTCCGCCCAAGGTTACGCTCGGTAATCTTGGCTTTGTCTCCAGAACATCTCCTCTTTCGTTCGGGGGAGGAGTTTGGGCTGGAAAGGGTGTGGATAAGGCTGTCTGCTCCAATGCAATGCAAGGTACTAGGTTGTGGGCATGCACCCCTACCCTAGTCTTGCAAATCCAGTGGGGGGACCTTGTATTCAAGAGTGGAAATTTGTCAATGTTGGCTAGCTGACCTGCTGACCATCGTCATGATTGGTGGCCTCGATCAGAGTTGCCTTCCATGTTCGCCTCTTCGAGGTCTCTTATGGCCCTGTGATGTCCCAGGAAGCGAACGATCGACCCTTACTATCATGGTAGTGCGTTCCATCCCGCTTCGGAGGCCGCCGCCACTAACCTCGACTACTCAATTCAGCATGGTAAAACCGCAATAGACCTTGCGATTGACCCGACCCTTGCCTCGAGATGGCAATGCCGTTGCAAAGCCGCGGTGGGACGACTCTCACCATGACGGCAATGTTGAGAAACCACCTGTCTCCTGTTCCCTAGGCCACATGACCGCTGATCAGGGAACGCCGACGGCGTGGTGTGCTGCACGAGACAATTTTATGCAGGAAAGCCTGGCGTCTGATGTGGTGGATTGAAGCCCACTCTCAGATGAACTGACCGCTTGTTTCCTCTTTACAAGGGCCTCTCCCCTTTCCGCGCCACCCCCGTGGCCATGGCAGGTTCCTCCTCCACATCCCCAAACATCCTCGGCAAAATCCACCGAGTATTCTCATACACGAGGAAAGTAACACATGTACTAGGGACCACCCGCAGAAGGTTGGGAAAGAGACCTTTGTAATAGCCCACGAACCCTTCGTTGCGCCAAATCTGCTTGATCAAGGCAATGACACCTGGGCCCCTCACATGGGTTGTCGCACTTGGGTCGTAAGTCTGCAGCCTGGCTCGCACCAGTTGATGAGGATAAGTCACGGTCCCAGCGAAGACCTTTGACAACGAGGAAGCCATTATTGTATCTAGGTTAGAGAGTGGCTGGTCTCTCTTGGCCGTCTTACGCCATAGCTTGAGCTTCTCGTAAGCCACAAAATACAGCGAACCATGGCTGACGCCGACCAGCGTAGGAGTTAGGCCATGAAAGAACCCACGGAAGCCTTCTGTTTTGTATATTGCTCGCAATCCGAACATCAAACCCGGATATGCTCCCGCTTGAGAGGCGGAGGTGGAAAGCATTCGCGTCTTTACCACCCAGATTGGATTCGTAAGTATCGCAGCGAGCAGGCCAGACGCAGAGGAGGCCGTGAGGTAGTCGACAGCTGTGAGATGTTGACCGGCCGCATAGCCTCGGAGGTTTCGGATGGCATCTTGAGCTTCACGGTACCACAAGAAGTACAAAGCCCAGCCAGCAGAATTGCCCACCAGATTGGGGCTCAGTCCTCGGTACAGTGCTGCGAGCCGACTGGGGCCTTCATTTCGCAAGATGTCTCGAAGAACAGCTCGAGAGGAATTTAGGAGAGGGTGGGCAGAAGTGTCGACTAATCGAGCATATCAATAGGATGGTCTCTTGACGTTCCGGGGCATCACACATACCCTGCAACCTCGTTTTGATGATATCCAAAGGGTGGACAATCACGGTGGATATGAGGCCGGCAGACAAGCCTGCAATGGTCTCAATGGAAGCAGGTGACAGTCCATGGCTGCGCTGGGACGTCATGAGCTCAAGGTTCGGGAAGATAAGCGAAATACTCGAAGATTCAGACGACTAAGGAATAGGGAAACGACTGAAAGTGGTTGTTGCACCGAGCTCGAACACCATCTTCAAGGAAGTCGAGTCGAGACAATTGAAGGACAATGGCTAGAGCGGCATGCGTGCGTTGGCGGCTACAAGCAAAGGAGCGCGAGGATGCTGTGGTACAGTGACTCTGTGTTCATGGCTGTCCAGATGGAATTTGATGGTCTCACAAATTGTCGGTTGATGACGCAGGGAGAAGCGACGAACAGGGCCGAGGAAGATGTTCGCTGATGGCAAGTTAGCCGGAGCCTCACGTGCTGGCTCTTGGCATTACGGTGAAGCACGCCACTTCTCGGATGTTGTCACATATTCCCTCCACTCGATGCTTTAATGCTCCAATGCCGTCGTTTATCACCTCCACAAGCTGCGCAAGCTACGCGGAAAAAAAGGGTCTGAGCAGGTCACCGCCAATCCTAGAGCCAATTGTCAGGCTGGACTGAGGCAGATGCTCTCCACCTCCTCAGACAAATAATTTCAACTGCTTCCGCTATCGGGTTTTCGGATCGTCGAGATGCCATTTCACGCCACTTCCTGAACTCCTTATGTAGCGAACTCTGGACGACGCTGCAACACTCTCTTTGAACCTAAGAACCATCCGAACCGCATCAACAGTCCCTTTGAATTGTCATTGGCGTTGTCGGTCAACGTCTCCAACTCCTCGGGCGAGCAGAGCAACAGAATTTCCGCTGGAGAGGTGACGCGACGCCTGCCTCTCTTTCACGCTCCTCACCATGGACATCATCCTGGAAATCGTGGACACCCTCCTACTCGATCGCATCTACGCGACATTATTACCCGCCAGTCCATCGTCTTACGTCGAACAGAAATTCAACAATGCCACGACGACCACTTTCTCGAGTATGCGGGAAAGCGCGACCTCTACGCCGCAATATACATACATCTATGAACCTGCTTCACGGCTCATCAGCTTGGACCCGACTGAATGGACCTACAGCAGCTCATGGCCTCGCGACAACATTTTCAGACAAGGCATCAGCCTGTTCTTTATAGTTTGGTGAGCTTGAGATCGCTGCCTTGCAGTCGATACATGTCTGTATACTAACACTTGCTGGTCTAGGTTTTTTGGACTCATTCTCTACTTCCTCTGCGCCTCGCTTTCATATTACTTTGTCTTCGACAAGGCCACCTTTAAACATCCCAAATACCTCAAGAATCAGATCCGCATGGAAATCAGCCAAGCCAATCGCGCCATGCCGCTGATGTCGCTCTTAACCGCACTCTGCATGCTGGCCGAAGTGCGTGGCTACTCCAAACTCTACGACCTTCCCAGTGAAGCTCCTTTTGGATGGTACAACGTCCTCCAATTCCCTTTCTTCGTCCTCTTCACCGACCTCTGCATCTACTGGATCCATCGCGGCCTACACCACCCGCGAGTCTACAAAACCCTCCACAAGCCACATCACAAATGGATCGTGCCTACGCCTTATGCTTCGCACGCTTTCCACCCTCTCGACGGGTTTGCGCAGTCCATACCATACCATCTCTTCCCCTTCCTGTTTCCGTTGCAAAAGTTCGCCTACATCGCTCTTTTTGTCTTCATCAACATCTGGACTATCTTCATCCACGACGGCGAGTACTACGCCAACTCTCCCTTGATCAATGGAGCTGCTTGTCACACTGCGCACCATTTATACTTTAACTTCAATTATGGGCAGTTCACCACGCTGTGGGATCGACTGGGCGGAAGTTATCGAAAGCCAGATGAGGAGTGGTTCAAGCGGGAGACGAAGATGGGGCAGAAGGAATGGGAAAAGCAGAGTCGAGAGATGGAAAAAATTGTAAAAGAAGTTGAGGGGCGGGACGATAGGGGTTATCTGACCGAGGATGTGAAAAAGGTACAGTGATGTATCGACTCATTGTCCGACCACGCGGACTAAGATGATGGATTTGGTGCGCAAACCCTGCTAACAATACTGCCTCTGGACACTGTGCGGTGAGTGATGGGGGCAGTCTATCATTTCAGATAGGACATTGCATCATGGCCCAAAGGGGCTTCAGTAAAAGCAAGCGACAAGAGAATACAGTCATTCGCGGCCAAGTCTGTATCCATAGACTTCCTTTGAGGATAGTGAACCATTAATAGCTTAATCAAGAAATACTAAAAACCCACCTCGCGCCTGCCCAAAGATAAAGTGCAATATCCATAGTGAATAGAGCGCGCCCTCTCATCTGGTGAGGAATGCATCTGAGTCGCAGCTCAGGAGGACATCTTGTCAGACTTGATGCTGATATCCCCCTTCCCCAGGCACACTCCGCGTCCCAAAGTACGCACCATTTCGACCCGTCTGTCACGGTGATCCAATGTCCAGCTCTGAATCCACCTAGAGATAGTCCGTGGCCCGTGGCCAAGGCGTCCTCTTCCCACACGATTCAGCCCGGTCACTGTTCGGTTCTTCTCCAGCGCCGCGCCTTGTGTAAGACACTCCACCAGCGCCCTCTTCGGCGACAATAGGATAGATAATGAATAAGCCCCGGATCGAGGCCAAGAGAACCGCGGCAATTGCCTGGCCATCGGTTCCCTTGATGGTGGGGGCCCTTCTGAGCAAGGTTGACAAAAGGTGCCCTCCCCCCTCGAGACACTGCAGACTGGGATTGGTGGCTTAGTGCCATGCCCGGTTGCAAACCAGCCTACTATGAGCCGTCCCGTTGGGATTCCGTGAGCGGAACGAAGTGTCCTGCGGGATCTTGATCGCTTGTTGGGGAGTCCGGTGGGATATGTAGATGATTTGACAGCCGGATTCGTCGACACAAAATCATGCATCCGTCGCATGATGGTCGACTTCTGGATCTGATCGCACCTTGAACTTTTCCCTGCCTGGAGAGCCGCTCATACTCTCTGTATCCAAGCGGCAAGAGAGAGAGAGAGGGAGCAAAGACAATGGAAGGTTGTAACATGGAAATGCTCCCATCGGGAGTTGATCCTGTATATGGAACCCGAGTCCAAAACACACGTCGAGACAAGGCTCTAGACAAAGCCTGAAGGAAAACTTGGACTTCCGCAGTACACCCACCATATATCAAGCGCGTACCACAATTGTAACAGGCAAGCCCAATGCTTCGAACACGAAGTCGGCTCAAACATAACGCCCGTAGTCCTTCAAAGTTCCGTAGTCCCCCAAGTTGAACTATGAGAACGACACGAACTTGGGGTCTCTTGGGATTCCGTCCTCACCAATCCCGTGCTTCTTGAACCGCTGTTCCATGTACACCCTCCTGGCCTCGTCAAAATTGATGCCTCTAATCTTCATCAACCTTTGGATCTCTCGCTTCGCCTTCTGGTCCAGTCCGCCTCGGCTGTCGCCTTCCATGACATTGGAACTGAGGTCGAAGTCCGCGGAGGTGAAGCCTGACTCGACATCTCCCATGAATGAGGTTGGGAGGCGGCTATATGTGTATGGGTTTAATCGGGAGAAGAAGTCCTGCACCGGGATGGGCAGGTACGGTATCCAGCGGGCGCGAGTGAAGTACAGAACTGGAGCACAATTATCAGTACGACTCATCTGACGGTAGGGGTTTGTAAGGCCAGGCAGGTCGACATACCTGTCGAGAGAGCGATGGAGAAGAAAAGGACCGAATAGAGGATGTATGCCATGATCGCGCTGCTGGTCTCTCTTTCAATATCGGCAGATGTTAGGCGGGGTCCTGAATGACTGAGTTAGATCGTAGACAAGTGTGAGGCTTCTTATCGCAATAATCATAGTATGGTGCCCATTATGAGGTTCGCGCGATGTCGCTATTTGCAGCAAGGTCAGCGTGAAGCTGCGAAGTCAAGTTTGAGGCATTTGGTGTTGGCCTGGTCTTGGGGCTCGTTGTCGTCAGCCTGCTGCGGCGAGTGTCGGACGTGCTCGGCATGTTGGTCCACGCTCAATGCTCCGCCGTAGAGTAGCGCCAAGCCGGAGAATATCGCAGCCAATGGTGCTCCTGCGCACAGAAGCCATTGCCATCAGACACAAATCAACCAAAAAGTTCGAGACTGTTCCAAGTCTGAGAAAGCTCGACAATCCCGACCAGTTTCCTCGCCGTCACGATGTCTGAACGCGCAAACATCTCCAGCGACCTCATCTGGGAGGTTGTCCGTAAGTCCACACCAGTGACTCCATTCTATGCCTCAGGATGCTAATCGACCCGACCGTAGGAAACAACAATGCGTTCCTGGTCAAGAGGAAGTCCGGCGGTGGTGTCCAATTCTCCCGAGATCCTTTCAACCTCGTCAACAAGCACTCGAAAAAGCACGCCGGCTTTGTGAACGACAAGGCTGTGTCCATCCAACCCAATGAGAAGGGAGGAGTTTCGTTGGTGACCAAGAAGTCCGGATCATCGCACAAGCCTTCATCGCACTACAACACCCACGCTTACGGAAAGACCACCTCGAACCGGAAGTGAGTTTCCCGCGCTTGTACAAGGCTGCAATGGAGGAGGGGAGCTGACCAGTCTACAGGATCTACAAGAATGTGGCAGATGCAGTTGGCAAGAGATCATACCGTGGCGACCTGAACAGAGATGCTGTTGCCCGTGCCAGTGCTCTCAAGGACTCCCAGCGAACGAAGAAGGATACTCCGGAGAAGAAGCCTCGAGGGCTCAAGGGGAGGAAGACAGAGGCATGAGAATGCGGAAGGTGCCGTCAACTTTTCTGAACGTTCCGACTTTGAAGTGCAGGCTTGAGCCAAAGGGCTAGATCCGAAGAACCTGGGTAGATGAGCTTCCGGGATATTTCTTCGGGATGCGGCATCTGAGAGGGGGCAAGATCTTTTGTCCTGGTAATGCAGGACGGGGTTATTCCTTGAAAGACAAACTGGGCTAGGATTGCACTCGCATCCGATGGGAGGATACCATCATTTGATGAGAAGAGCATTGCAAACACATTGGTACTCCGTAGAAACCCAATGACGGAGCCTGACCGAGACAGAACAAACGGTCGCAGCCTGATCCGAGCAATTCTCGTAGACACGAAAATCAGCCTTGCCTCTCCAGTTGATGGAGACTCCGTGCCCTGCCTGAGTAGGAAGCGCCGGACGGGCATTGGTGCACTGCTGGATGGCAAATTAAAAAGGGACACAAAGACCCAAGGAGAGCGCGAAATGTCGGAGCTGCGGATTGACGCGGGGCAGCGCAGACCAGCCAGCCTGTTGCCGCTCGATCGATATTTGGGCTTGGCGAGGAGCAAGAGCGCTTTCCCCTCGCTGTGCTGTGTCCCGCGTCACTGCTGCTTGGTCGGGTTCCTCATGAAAGTCTGACCGCCCCAACTATTTCTTAAACCTCTCAATCTTCTCACAGACACCAGTTCGCAGAACCTCGAGCACTTTGCACATATCTGTCACCTTGATTCGCCCAAGTTCTTAAGGTCAGTGCGAGGCTCTAGTCTATAGAGAAGCAGAAATCTAACCCTATCGTTGCAGTTCAATCCCCCACCCAACTCTCAACATGGTCAAAGCTGTCGTGCTCGGTGCCTCTGGCGGCATTGGTCAGGTATGAGTGTCTCTTCCACAGGGCTACAGCAGATTGAGTCCAGTCTAACTTGTTGCCAGCCATTGTCTCTTCTTTGCAAGATCTCTCCCGTCATCGACGAACTCGCACTGTTCGATGTGGTCAACACCCCCGGTGTCGCAGCCGATCTCTCACACATCTCCTCTGTCGCTGTACGTGTGCTGCAATCCTCCTGACCAATCTCAGCATGCCACGAGTCTAACCTGCACAGAGCATTGGCGGCTACGTCGCAGCTCCAGGTGACTTCAAGGGAGAGAAACCAGAGACAGAAGAAGCAAAAAAGGCGGCTTTGACAGGCGCAGACATTGTCATCATCCCCGCCGGTGTCCCTCGTAGGTATCCCAGTCACCCTGAAGATTTGCTGCGACTGATCAAGGTTCTCAGGCAAGCCTGGCATGACTCGGGACGACCTGTTCAAGATCAACGCAGGAATTGTCAAGGGCCTCATTGAAGCCTGCGCCAAATACTGCCCCAAGGCATACATCTGTGTCATCTCAAACCCCGTCAACTCCACCGTCCCAATCGCCGCCGAAGTTCTGAAGGCAGCTGGTGTCTTCGACCCTCGGAGGCTGTTTGGTGTCACCACTCTCGACGTCGTCCGTGCTCAGACCTTCGTGGGAGAAATCATTGGTGAGAAAGACCCAAGAAAGCTGATTATCCCTGTCATTGGCGGTCACTCTGGCAACACCATTGTGCCGCTGTTCAGCCAAGCCAAGCCTCCCGTCAACATCCCATCAGACAAACTGGATGCTTTGGTGCACCGTGTCCAATTCGGTGGTGACGAGGTTGTCAAGGCCAAGGATGGTGCTGGGTCCGCAACTCTGTCCATGGCATATGCCGGTTTCAGGTTCGCCGAAGCCCTGATCAAGGCAGCCAAGGGTGAAAAGGGCATCATTGAGCCAACGTTCGTCTATCTCCCTGGTGTCCCTGGTGGTGATGCAATTGCCAAGGCAACTGGCTGTGAATACTTCTCCGTTCCTGTAGAACTCGGAGTAAGTTCCTTTCCTTATTATCTCTCTTCCTTGCTTCCTACTGACACTTGTGATAGCCCGACGGCGCAGAGAAAGCAATCGACATCCTCGGAAGCGCCAATGACTATGAGAAGAAGCACCTTGAGGAAGCGATCAAAGGTCTCAAGACCAACATCGAGACTGGTATCAGTTTCGTGAAGAACCCACCCAAGTAGGCTTGATCTTCTCTTTCTTTGTAACATTACCTGACTGTTTTGTAGGTAGGATGTGAGCGACTTCTAATTCCCCAGAACGAGCCTGCCTGCCTGCCACGCAGTTGTTCGGTCGTTGGACATTGTTGCGAGCGCGAAAAAGTGAGCCGGGCCACGGAGACTGACATGGAGCCATCGGAGCAGGTTATGAAAAGCATGTCTCGAGAAAACCAAGACGGCTGTCCTCGCCATGACATAGCTTTTCAGGCTGCATCCTTGTTGCAGCTTGGAGATCGCGTAGACAAAATCACTTATTCCTACTCTTCACGCTCCGTACAACCACCTCTCTGCGTTTCAAAACAGCAGCCGTGTCTGTCGTTTCTGACTACCAATTCTGGAGGGTTTGTGCAGGACATGCCCATGCATCAACTTAGCAATGGACACCATCCACGTAGACTCAGAGCCCTTCATCGAAACATGCCCACTCGTGCCGTATGTTTTCGGTCACGGCCTTATTTGAGGCTGCACCGTTGTAATCTGGAAAACCGCACCAGGCAGTTCTATTGTCTCGGCCTGTACAGTGGCTTTGATTCCCAAGCTGCTCAGGACGCCGCGAATGATCCCGCAGGGGAAGAAAAGGTAAGGTCGCGCTCGTTGTAGGGCTTCGGCATGGTTGGCCATGGACATGCGCGTGAGTGGGCGGAATTTGTTGTCTGTAAGAACGAAGACGCCCTGTAGAAGAACATTGTCAGCGGCTCTGTTCAAAGTATGTGGACGTCGACAGCTCAAACAATGGATATTCCAGCAGAATGTCCCAGGTTTTGTAGACGGCTCTATCGGCCTCCGACTCTTATGAGAAGGGGGTTGAAAACAACGTACCCGGTGATTCGTCTTCAGGTTATCAACCTGCTTCCTCCACACTACACCCCAGATATCCTTGCAGAGAAACTTGATCACATCCAGGTGGTGATCATTCACGTTTCCCACATTGGCCCCGTTGAGCCCGGCCTGGTTGAAGCGCGGCCTGTCCCGCGAGATTCGTTCACTGAGGCCTTCCCCGACGCGGAAACCCAGGCGTTCGAGCCGGACGTAGACGGAGTCAGCGAAGATGGTGGTCGTAGGCAGTCCGTCTGCGGCGAGGAGGGCATTGTTCGAGGGCTGCGAGGATGCGGCGGCCGTAGCGTTAGCGCCCGTGACCGTGATGCTTGGTGCCGAGTTCGAGGCAGCGGTGGTGGTGGTCGTGCTTGCGCTGGTGGCACTGGCCGTGGGCGGGGGACCCTTGGATGTCCGTTTCGCAGTCGTCGAGCTCGTGGGGGAGGGTGTGGGACGGTCGAGAGACGCCTCGTAGGCCCGGGCCATGCGCTCGGCCAGCGGGACCAGCTCGATGATCAGGAGGTCGAAGCAGGAGATGTTGACGAGTCGGGAGTCGGCGTCCAGCGACAAGTCGGTGGTGGGAGGGGCAGCCATCGCTCTGCAAGCCTCAAGGGCGTCAGTTGTTTGCAAGCGATCAACCCGCCGAGGGAGGCCTGCTTAGGTGGAAGCAATATGGAGTTTTGGGGGAGTTTGTGGTTCGATGGAGTCTCATAGCTCGAGGCGTCGGGTCGGGTCTTCGGACAAAGGTGGACACGAGATACACGTTACTGACAGGGTAGGACTGATATTCCCGTTCCCAATAGTTGTATCATGGCTGCGGAAAGCTGATGGAGCAAACTGGAGATTTCGCGGAGAGTTCGTTGGGAGATCAGATTGTCAGGTACATAGATTCGAGAGTCACGTGGTGTTGGAGTTGCAAGGCTGAGATATAGGAGCCAAGTACGGAGTACTTGGTATATACCTCTACAAGAGCTACTATCGAACACGGAAATACACGTTGGTCATGATGTATAGCAGAGTATTCAACAACGCCAAAGAGTGAACTGTACCAGACACACTCAAAGGCATGCGCAGAGAACAGATCCCCGTTGTTTCCAAGGCAAGCTTAACCTTCATTAGAGACGCATGCCATTTCGACACTTCTTGATGAGAGCCGAAACGGATCCAGTATCATTGGAGAATTGGAAAAGGGTCCAAGTTACAGTATTAAGCTATAGTATATTCCCGGAGCCACCACCGAGTCTTTGATCCCATCGCAAGTGATAGCATGCAGTCATAACTGCATCCGCCTTGATTCTCAAATGCACATGTCCACATCAACAACCAAAATAATTATTGTACAGCTATATCATCTTTTGATGGGCACCTGGAAAATTGAACCCAGAAGTTCTTTACTCACGTTCCGTCCGGCGGATATCTACTGCGCCATGACATCCACGTATCTGCCCGACTTTGGTCCTTTCTTGCCAGGCTTCGCAGACTTTCGTCCGGTCGCAGGGCCGATCAAGTCGTCGATGCTGCTAGCATTGCTCATTGCTGTGGCAGGACGCGGTGGTGGAGCAAGGCCAGGAGTTGTGGGGTGGCCGATTGGAGGGGTACTGGTAGCGCTAGGAGGACCAGAAACTCCAATATGTACCGGTGGTCTTGCTGAGGCTCCGGCTCCTTCGGCAGGAGTGCCAGCGCGACTCGAGGGTGCTGACGGCGGCCCCATCCCTAGGCCTGGAGTATTAGGATGCGAGGTAGGAGGTGTAGATGCCATTGGCGGCCTCGGAGGGCCCCCAGAGCTCATAGGAGGCGCAGGCGTGCCACCCATCCTTGGAGGTGGAGGGGTTGCCGTCTTCTTTGCCGCGTCCGGATTGTCAGGATTCACCCATTTCCCAAGTTCTTTGTCGTAATACAGTTTCATCTTCGATTCACCTAGATTGGCCCTGTAAACTTTTTGGTCGGCCCCCTTGCTGGGAGCGTCATCCAAGCTTTCGGTCTTCTTTCCTCCCAGCCATCCACCGAACCACGACGAGGATCTTTTTGATTCTTTCTTCTCCTTTTCGCGAGCAGCGTCTGCTTCGGCTGCAGCACGGAAGGCGGCTTCTGCTGCAGCGTCATTCGCACGTTTGCGTGCTGTCTCATCCTCCAGTGAAGACTTCGACTCAGTATCCTGCGGCTGGTGTGATATGCGAGGGAAGTCGTCGTCGTCGTCGTCCATGAATGATTTTTTCTTAGATCTTACCTCGTTGGGTGCTTCGTCTGGCGAGTCGGGTTCCGGAACGTAGGGGACATAGCCGGTGCCAGTAGGAGGCTCGTAGCCATAAGACTGTGAGGGCGCTTCGAAGCCCATACCGCCACCATCATCCCGTTGGGGCGTCTCGGAATCTCCGGGTTGAGGGGGTTCATAGCCACTATAAGATGCTGGTTCTTCGGGGATCTGGGATACCGCAGCCGGCTCGGGAGTATATCCATATGATTGTCGGATGACATCTTCAGCGGGAGGAGTTGGCGCATATGTGTTGGGGCGCATTGGAGTCATGTTTGCAGCCGCTGATTGTGCACTGGTATTCGGCATGTAGGAGGACCTCGGAGGGCTCTGCGGGAAGGAGGTCGGGGGGGATGCTGTGGCGAAAGCTTGATAAGGATTTGCAACAGGCGATGCTTGTATATGCTGAAACATGTTCATTGGTTCGAATTGATGATTGTTCTGGGAGTGAGAAGTCGATGGAGGTGATCTTTGAGAATCCAGAGATGGTCGTCCACGAGTAAGCTCTGCCGAGGATCGTGCTGATTGTATGCCGTTGGGTGCATACCTGGATCCAGCAACTGTTGTAGGAACAGATTGTGGGTAAGATCCATGCATATCGGACTGGGACGCTGTTCTGCTGATTGATGGCGTGCCGGCTATGTTCGCGAACGGACCGGCATCGACTGCGTCTTTTCCAGAACCTTTGGATTCGGCGTCACTATCATCACCTGCAACAAAACTGCTGAATTTGTTCCACATAGACCCTCCGACTTTTTCTAGGCTTGGCTTTCCGATCCAGGATGACGACCCTTGAATTGGCGTCTGTTTGAGCCGATTTGATAAGTCATCGAGCTCAGACAGGAATAGAGGATGATAGTATGCTGACATCTTTGTGCTCGATTTGAATGTCGACGCGATTGCATCACAATAAGATTGTGCCTCCAATCTCATTCCGGACTCCGCCATGTTTGCTGCTCGTTGCAACTTAAAAACAGAAAGATGTGGCATGAATGACAAGGATGCTCCTGCTGCTAGAATGCTCGTTGCAAACTCGTAAATTTCAGTGAGCAAAATAGCATCTTGGTCGCGGCCAAAGTCGAATGGCTGAGCTTTGTGGTTCGCGCCGAGTAAGACGATAGCCGCATGTTCTTCATCGAGCCCACCAAACAGAACAGGTCTCTGAGGGTTCCTGGAGAAGAGATAGCAAATATGTGCCGCTTCAATGCGATTGTAATCCTCAAGCAATCTTCCAAGGACTGCCAAGGCTTGATGGTCGCCTTGACACCGATTGTTTAGCACCAGACTCAGAGTTTCCTTCCATCGATTCAGACCATCAAGGGCATTCTTTGTCGGCCCACCCATATCGACTTTGCTCACCATTTGGAGCCCAGCACGGGCAGAGGGTGGAACCAGCTCGTCTATGCTCTCTTCGAGATTACCCCCGAAGATTTCGTACAGAGCAGAGAGTGATTCAGTGTTCTCGCCGGTGGTCTTCACCTCTTGGCGCACGAACTCTCTCACCACTTGACTCCAAACTGAACGGTCCATCGTCGAGGCTATGATGAGAGCGTGCGACCACAGGCGGTTATCCATGGCATGAAACACGGCCGCCTGTCGATCGCCACCAAGCAAGCGCTTTCGCAAAGTTTCAACTGCCATTGGATCCACCGAGTCGGGACGCACATTTGCACCAGGAGGTCTGTAGATACCAGAAACCTGTTCACCGTCGCGATACTGGATTGGACTTGACAGGTCCACGTTATGGACCTCCGGAGAAAGCAGGAGATTGATTGCTTTCAATGCAGATCCATCAAGAGATCCATCGTATTCCACAAGGGTACGAACGATCTTCCAGAGCAAGACCTTTTCATGATACCGCGTAGCAGGATCATCATGAGATGGAGCATGGACGATGTGTGGCGGATTCACCTCCATACCATTTATGTAATTTGTCATCCAGGACAATACATCTTTCTTCTTCGACTTGGATCGCAATGGGCCGGGAAACTGGTTCCAAAGTTCCGCGAGCGGAATCATATCTTTGGCGTTATGAATAGACACTGCTCCAGCCGTCGGCTTGATCTGAGGTCGTGGCGCCCCTGTCGCATATCTGGGCACAAGCTTCGGAAAGGTGCTAATGACGGTACCGCCAAACCCAAATCTGAACAAGGGGGCACCTTTCCAACGCTCCAGAGGATCAAATTGCGTGTCATCTTGAGGTCGTACGAACTCGGTTTCCGGAGCCAGCCCCCGAGCTCGGACACTAGGCCTTGCGGGTGGAACAGGCTCTAGTGGGGCCACGGTCCTACTAGGTAGCGGCTGTCCATACGCAGAAGCTGGACGGTTGATGATATCGCTTGAATAAACAGGAAATGCTCCTTGGGGACGCTGTTTGGATGGAGACTGGGTTTGTGACCGGCGTGGAGGGGGCAATTGTTCGCCATTGGGCCGTCTGGTCGCCGATGCTTGATGAGAGTCCGCCATGCCACCTCGATCAGGGGAAGTTATCGGATAAGGCGCAGTGGCACCGGGTGGTGAGAACTGATTTGCATGTGCAGGTGGGGGAGAAATCTGCATGACTGATGCTGGCGTTCCGTCGACATTTTCGTCCACTGAACTTTTGTGATATGCAAGTGGACTCGAAGTCCGAGGTTGGAAGGGCAGGATCGCGGGCGTGGCATGTGGATGTTGTGATGAGGGCTTATTTGGCATTGCTGCCGTGCTTTGATGTGGAGCAGGAGGTGGCGTCGGCTGCGCAGCATACCTTGCCGCAGTTGCAGTTGCAGTTTGTGGGGGAGGCGCTGGAGAATATCGAGGAGAAGGCCCTGGCCGAGGACCTAGGGTTGATGTGACGGGAGCTGGCGAATACCTGGCAGTTGTAGCTGCTGGTACAGGAGGAGGCTGTAGCGGGACATTTGCATAAGGATCCAAGCGCTCGGGAGGCCGCAGCTGATACTGAGAATATGGATCAGAGGGACCAGGGGGTGAAGTTTGCTGTTGAGGAGGCGGAGGAGGAGCGATGGGTGGGCTTTGAGCCGGCAATGGCGGCGGAGGAGCAACTACGCTATGTTGCGGAGTGTGGCGGCCGGTATGTCGTGGCCTTGATGCCAACGGCAACTCTTCAAAGAAGCTTGAAGAAGAACCAGACGTCGGTGTCTCAGTCTTGCTAGGTGTAAAGGCGGACACGCTTCGTGGCGGCATGGCGGGAGACGGAGCTGGGGGTGGCACAACACCAGATCCTGACCCCGGCGGCATGTTCGGATGGAAAGGTGATTGTAGGGGCTTTTCAGACAGACTGCTACTCCTCGGTGGCGGCGCAACAGACCTTGTTGTCTGGACGGGCTGAGGAACATGGGCTCTTTTCCTTGATTTGCTCAGCTCCAGGGGCAAATCATACGGAGATTTGTATCCGTCTCTTGCCTGATCAACATAGCTCTTTACATTCTGAGACTGTGGTTCCTGTTGTAAGTGGGCTTGGAAAGAACCCATTGGAGCCAGTTCAGGACGTGGCAATCCAACAGTGTTATGTGTGGTAGGGGCCTCAGGAGATAGCTGGAGCATATCAGAAGTAGACGGTTGATGAGGTGCGTACGGGTTGGCAGAGCTCTGCCTTTGCGCTGGGAGCTGTTGTTGGGAAACGGTGTACGGCGTTGGTTGTGTGGCGGGTATGTTAGGAATCGTTGACGACTCTTGTAAAGAGGCAATGAAAGAGGACGGCGAACCCGGCTCGGAATCAGGAAGTAGGTCGTCGGCATCTTCCACTAAAAATTCTTCGTCACCAAGGGCTGCTGCCCACATAGCGTCAACATCTTCCGTCTCTGGGATGACGGGCAACTTATTGTCCTCATTAGACGCTGCCCCGACGGCGAGGTCGTCGAAGAAAGAGGTTTCGGCTGCTACTGGAATCGGTGGAGACTCTTGTGCATGGTCATCGGGTAGGTCCAGCGAGTCCAGAACCTGTGCTGTGGACTTCCTGTCAAGGGAAGGGGTTTGTAAAGTATCAGCTGAAGCCCCGTTGATGTTCGAAAAGAAGGTGGATTCTTCGTCGTCTTGCGCCGCTTCAAAGGGATTTTGTCGTGATCGCTCCTCCGGAGCCACCCGATCAGCTGGGCTCGTTTCATCCGCTTGGATAAGTGGTACGCCCTCTTCGTAGCGCATAGCCTCCTCATCAACCGCCTCTCCCTGTGGTGGGATTGTCCAGGACTGAGGATCGCGAGTCCCATCATGATTGTCATTCATCCAAGACAGACTCTGGGGCTCCGTAGCGGCGCTTTCTTGTCGCGTTGCCTGACCAGCTTCTGTAGTGCCGTTGACAGTCTCAAAGTCAATCCCATTCTGCGTCAGGTCGGTGACGGGTTCTTCTGTTGCGGTCGCGGGCGAAACAAACTCGGGAAATGTTGTGGAGCGATGAACTTGGTCAAGAATATGAGCGCTGTCGAGACGCTTGATTCCCCAAGCAGGATCTAGTCTTTCATTGTCGTCATCAGACGGCAATTCATCGCTCCCAAGACCTCCGCCTGCGGGTTGAGAGGTCCATGTTGCATGCGTTCCATGCCCGTTAGCCATGGCTGCGCCCGTTACACCCGTTACAGGCTTATCTTGAATGGTCGACTCTGTGAATGTATCTTCTGTCGAAAAACCGACATCCCCATTCTGTCGTGAAATAGGAGTTGGAGGAATCACCGTCATCGACGTGCTTGCAAAGAGATCCGAATCGACGTTTCCGCTCGATTGCTCTGGGGCTTTCGATTCGTCTTTGAACTCGTCGATGGTGTCTGGGCGCAGGGCTGGGAGCCAGTGACCTGATTGCATAAATTCTCTCGGCTCTGAAGAGCCTGCTTCGTCAAGGGTGGCTGTGTCCATTGCGGCTTCGAAGGAAACGACGAAAACTAGTTCAAGTCAGCAAAGACCAGGGGGTTAGTTCGCATAATCTTGATACACACATGTACAACGAATTAGCAACGCTTTTGATACATGTCGCAGAAGGAAAGCCTATTCACGGGCGATGCAGTTGATTAGGCACCGTGAAAGGATCTGTGGAGGGTTCGACGGGTGTTGAGAGATGGGAGAGATTGTGAAGTGAAGGCCAGATTGTTTCGCCTGACACGGAATGGAGATGCGGATATGAGGTGCGGATACGGATGAGGACTGGCAGCGCCAGATGCCTCACTAGCCATGCCCACCACCCAGGAGCCTAAAAGCGGCGGCCCCAGGGGGTTCTCAGCCAGGGCGCGGCTCGGCGCGCTTCATCATTTGCTTGGGCCAGAATGTCATGTCTTGCCTCGACAAGGCATCCGTATTATTTCTCCTCTTCAACGACGTCCTCCCCTACCTGACCCGTTGTTTCCATTATTTCCGCGAGGCCAGGACGGATCTGTGTCGACCAAATCCCTTACACCTGTTCACACGCAGAAGTATGCACCAAAGTTGAATATCCCTCAGCCAACATTCCGAGCCCTGTCGCTCAACGATACTCCTGAGGATGACCGGGGAAGAGCATGTCTCCTCCCAGTACCACGCACACGGCCGGAGACGTAGACTCTGCCTCCGATGACGATCTCGATCTTGATGAACTAGATCCCATTGTTAACTCGTCCCGCCGCTCCAGGGCCAACGCTCCATCTGAGTCTGGTGCCCGCCGTTCAGTAAATGGCTCCACAAATATTCCGCTGCACCGACTACAGAGGTTTGGCAGCAGTCGCATATGGCCGTCAACAGGCAAGCAGAGCAGAGGAGACGATGACACAGAAGATACGGAAGGCCTTTTGGGGAGCTGGCCGAGACACACACAAGGCAATGGGCATGTAAGACTGTGGTCGGAAGACCAAGTAGGCTGGAATGTCAGGCCAGAAAGATACCAGAGGGCGAACCGACAAGAGAGCATCTCTCAGGGGCGGGACGCACACTCACGTCGCTCCAGTGTCCGTCAGAGCATGCAAATATCAAACTTCGTCAGACAAGAATTGGCAGACATGCGTGAGAATGAGCAGGAATTCAGCGGCCAGGAATCCCGTGAGGTCAGCGTTGGGCATGCTCAGAAGAAGCGATTTCCCACGAACGTTGTGTCCAACGCCAAATACACTGCTTGGTCCTTCCTGCCGCGGACATTGTACAACGAATTTTCCTTCTTCCTAAACGTCTATTTCCTCCTGGTCGCCTTGTCTCAGATTATACCCTTCTTGCGAATTGGTTACATGTCTACATATATTGTGCCTTTGGCGGTGGTTCTCACGATTTCGATTGGGAAGGAAGCGGTAGACGACATCGTGCGGCGACGCCGAGATGCGGAAGCAAACGCCGAATTATTCACTGTGGTATCCTTCTCCGATACGGCTCGGAATGGTGCACTCGAAGTCCAGAAACGAGCGCGAGATATCAAAGTTGGCGACGTTTTAAAACTTGAGAAGAACCATAGGGTTCCTGCGGATCTTGTCATCCTTCAGAGTCATCTGACGGAACTGACACTAGATGCGGCCTCTGATTCCACAGCAGCTCCTTCAGCTCAGGCTGCTGGGGAGACTTTCATTAGGACGGATCAGCTTGACGGGGAGACTGACTGGAAGCTACGGCTGCCGAGCCCGTTGAGTCAGAATCTCAACCTGAAGGATCTGCAACGTCTCAAGGTCACGGCTGGTGCTCCCGACAAGAAAGTCAATGAATTCGTGGGGACTCTGGAGTTTCAACCAAGTCTTGCGCCCGCCTATGACCCCTATGTGCTCAAGGACAACCCTGCAGAAGACGGTTCAAGCTCAAACGACATCGATCGCACTGCGGTAAACAGACAGAACTCGGCACCCTTGAGTATTGACAACACGGCTTGGGCCAATACCGTGTTGGCCTCTAACACCATAACTTATGGTGTGGTCATCTACACTGGCAAGCAAACTCGATCTGCTATGTCCACATCACCATCAAGGTCGAAAACTGGCCTTTTGGAACTGGAAATCAACAACCTAACCAAAATCCTCTGCATCATGACCCTGACCCTTTCCATCATTCTCGTCGCACTCGAAGGGTTTGAACCATCCAACAAGAAGCCATGGTATGTAGCGATTACGATCTACCTGATTCTATTTTCAACTATCATCCCAATCAGCCTCCGAGTGAATCTTGATATGGCGAAAACTGTGTATGCATATTTCATTCACCACGACAAAGGGATTCCAGGCACGGTTGTTCGCACCAGCACTATACCCGAAGACTTGGGCCGAATTGAGTACCTGCTGTCTGACAAGACTGGGACACTGACCCAGAATGAGATGCAACTTCGGAAGATCCATGTTGGTACGGTTGCTTATGCAGGAGAGGCAATGGAAGAAGTTGCAGCCTACGTCGACCAAGCATTCGCAGCTGATGGTAGTCAAGACTTGCCTGTCTCAGAGCTGGGCGCAACGACGAAGACTCGGCGAGAAATAGGCATCCGCGTCCGTGATCTCGTTCTCGCTCTTGCGCTATGCCACAATGTCACGCCTACAGCGGACGAAGTTGATGGAGAACGAATAGTGTCCTATCAAGCATCATCGCCTGATGAGATTGCCATTGTTGAGTTTACCGAAAGCGTTGGTCTACGTCTCCTTCAGCGCGACAGGGAGAACATTATCCTCCAATGCGTCTCTACGAAACAGGTGGTCATCCGAGCAGAAATCAAAGACATCTTCCCTTTCACTTCTGACAGCAAGCGCATGGGCATTATCGTACACCTTTCCTCAGAAGTGCCCGGACTATCCCATATAGATGAATTATGGTTCTTCCAAAAGGGTGCAGACACGGTAATGAGCTCTATTGTGGCCGCGAATGATTGGCTCGACGAGGAGACGGCGAACATGGCGCGTGAAGGGCTTCGCACACTCGTGGTTGGCCGCAAAAAGCTGTCGGCTGAGCAATACAGAAACTTCTCCTCCGAGTATGCAGATGCGTCGTTAGCATTACATGAGCGAGACGCAGGAATGGCAGCTGTGGTGAAGAAGCATCTCGAGCATGACCTAGAGCTTTTGGGCGTCACTGGGGTCGAAGACCGCTTGCAAAAGGATGTCAAGCCGTCTCTCGAGCTACTCCGTAACGCCGGTGTCAAGATATGGATGCTGACCGGTGACAAGATCGAAACGGCGCGTTGCGTCGCAATTTCAGCTCGCCTGGTTGCACGAGGCCAGCATATCCATACAATGGCGAAGCTGAAAGGCAAAGTGCAGGGCAAGGATGCGCTGGATGTGATGCGCAATCAGACTGAATCGTGTCTGCTCATCGACGGCGAATCACTGGCACTCATGCTCAGCCAATTCCGACACGAATTCATCACAATTGCAGTCCAGTTACCAGCAGTGATTGCCTGTCGCTGTTCGCCGACGCAGAAAGCTGACGTGGCGCACTTGATTCGCAAACACACCAAGAAGCGCGTCTGTTGCATTGGGGATGGCGGCAACGACGTCAGCATGATCCAAGCTGCGGATGTGGGCATTGGGATTGTTGGCAAAGAAGGACGACAAGCCTCGCTGGCAGCCGATTTCAGCATTGAGCAATTTTGCTATTTGACGAAATTGCTAGTGTGGCACGGCCGCAACAGCTACAAGCGGTCGGCGAAGTTGGCTCAATTCATCATCCACCGTGGGTTGATCATTAGCGTGTGTCAGACGATGTATAACATCGCTGGGCACTTCGACCCCAAGGGCCTGTTCAAGGATTGGCTGATGGTTGGATACGCCACGGTTTATACCATGGCCCCTGTTTTCTCCCTTGTGCTCGATCGAGATGTGGATGAGCAACTGGCCAACCTCTACCCAGAACTATACAAGGAGCTCAAGTCGGGGAAGAGCTTGAGCTACCAGACTTTCTTTACCTGGGTATTGGTGTCGGTGTATCAGGGCATCATTATCCAAGGTCTGTCGCAACTTCTGGTTGGGGAGGTTGACGGGCCTCGTATGCTCAGTGTCAGCTTCACAGTCCTAATCCTGAATGAGCTCATCATGGTGGCTGTATCGGTTACGACGTGGCACCCCATCATGATTGTTTGTATTGTTGGCACTGCGGTACTCTATGCGGCGAGCGTGCCCTTTCTCGGGGACTATTTCAACTTGGCATATGTGGCTAGCTGGAGTTGGGCTTGGAGAGTGGCAGCCGTGGGTGCAATCAGTCTTGTCCCAGTTTGGGGTGGGAAGGTCATTAGACGGACATGGAAGCCGCCGAATTATCGCAAAGTACAAGGTATATAGCGCAACGACAGAGTGGATTTTATGTGCTGTTAGGCGTGTGATCATCACTGAGGCCTCACTTCACAGGCTAGAGCACCAGAAACGTTGTAGAGCTCGCTTCAACTCGAGAGAAGCACGGAAGTCTAACAAGGCTGTCGCTATGTCGGCAAGGCTCTCGGCCGAGCCTCCGTAAGTGGGGAGAGCAGAGAGGCCAGGCAGTCCTTGGTACTCGGTGAGTCGCTACAGTGTGCCGAGTATTATCACTGCAACTCCCAACGTGGTGACGCTGTCGTCCTGCTCGCCGCCAGCTACCGTAGGGTTGACAGCAACTCCATAAAGCCTCAAGCTGCTGAAGCCATGGCGTCCTACCTCTCCTACTTCACCTCGAATTCGTCGACGCCACAACCACCGTCCCAGGGCGCAGGCACGCCCGGCGCAACGTCGACATGGTCGAGCACCTTTTCCTCACGATTCGCGACACTGCGCAAGGCTCTGACGACCCGAGACTCTGAAGAAGACGATCCGGACAACGAAGATTGTTCTCACATCTCGAATGTCTTGCGGGCATACTACACAGAAAAGGGACGGCCCTTTCCCGAGTGGCTGCCACCTGATCCCAAAAAGCCCGTAGCCGCACCGCCTCTCCAGCCTCAGGGCTCGTATGGGCAGTATGGCAATAATGCATATGGTTCTCAGTACGGAACGCAGCAAACACACTCAAGAGGGCCATCTGGGGGCCGCGGCGGAGGACTTTCTGATCTGTGGGATCCTGCCCCTGCCCCGGTCGCCCCTCCTGCTCAGAGTCTCCGGGCTGGTCGACCAACGCCGCACTCTTTACGTTCGAATGATTCTGCGCGGTCGCAGTCGAGCAACAGTGGCGGAACGACGTCTTTGACACAACCCAGCCCCAGCGCCCGCCCTCTCCCAAGCCAAAGGGCTGGAAGCTATCAGACGAACCCCGCTACCAATGCCGGCGCTCTAGGATCTCGTGATCGGCTCCGTGCTCGGTTGCAGGGCGGGGGCAGCGGACGAAACAGTCCATCTGGTGGTTTGAGCAGTGGGGGAAGCGGCAGCCAGGCGTCTTATGGCCCCTCGAGCGGAAATTTGACTCACCATCCGCCATCTCGCACGGGGTCTTCTCAGCCCTACATTTCAGCCTCAGAGCCTTGGTCGACGGGCGGAGATGATCCTTATGCGTACAACTACAGTAGCGGTGGAGGTTCTGCCAACCCGTATGGTCACCAGGACTATCGCCAACGCCCCGGAGGCCCCAGGTGAAGCAGCCACAGTTCAACCAACTTGGTGCTAGGACGTACAGCCGACAACTGGCGGTCGGCGGCATTGACATAGCCCGGAACGAGCTCCCAACCCCGTCAGTTGACCAAGGATCCGTTCCGCACAACGTTCGCGAGCGACCGTGAAAAGTCCCCTGCCCTCGGATGGCCCCCTTCCAAAGCCTCGCGGTGCCATTTCCTCAGAGGTCTTGGTCTCCCCAATGTAACGGCAGTCACCACGTTTGACGTGAAGTCAGATCTCCTGCGGGCCGGACCAAGGTCGATTAACGAACCGGTCTGCCATTGGCGATGTCCAGGTCGGCAATCTGATCGACTTGTATACGAGCTCCTAAAAGGGGGGAGGGATGGGTGGCTGATCTGATTGTCAGCCTCTTGGCCAGTGGCTAGTGGACTCGCGAGAGGAGAATTCGGTTGGTGGCACTACACCAGAACAACTAGAAGGGGCCAGATATAGGGCTGCAAGAGAGCGGAATAGGGCAGAAGGGGGGGTCCACGCATCGACCAAATGCCAAATGGGGCGACGGACAGCGAGGGTATACCCAGAGTATGTTCGTGGGGATCCACTACTGATGCTCAGCAGCACAGCCGCAACGATGGAGAGGCTGAGGCAAAGAGGACCCCAAGCACCAACAAGGCTAGGCTCGGCAAGATCGGGGGTGTGATGGACCTGTACGAGGAGGAGCAGTAGCAGTTAGCAGTAGCAGTAGCATAGCTGTCCTTAGTAAGCTCTGTTCAGTAGTAGTAGGTAGTGTGTCGGAGTGGTAATGGAAATGGACTTTTGGTATGGCAGGCACAGGATGGCATCACAAACAGCAGTCGGTCAGAGTGCGGCGCGGTACGGGGTCAGTTGGCGAACCAACCAATTTTTCCCCTTTGTCTTTCTTTTTCCTTTTCCTTTTTGGACCCAAGATCGACACCAAGTCATCGAGGAAGCAGAAGAGGAAGAGGACGAGGTGTGCAAGGGTTACCTTCGTTCTCTCCTTGCTCGTGCTTCGTATCGCCCCTCTTCCGCCGTCCCGCGCTTAGTGACGTCCGGTTTCTTCCCTTTCTTCCTTCTTGTCTCTCTTCTCTCTAAGCTGTTTGGAGCTCAACTCAACCGCCTTGTCCTTCTCACTCCTCTCCTCTCAGGTGTTCCCATCTTCCCACCCCAAAAGTGACGACTTCCGTCCTGGCCCCCATCGTCTCCCCCCCTCCGTTGCGCGCGCCCATCCCAACCTTGTTCGCCAATGCCTGTCCTCCCGTCTTCCCTCCCACCGTGCTTCACTCCTCTCTCCTCAAACCGGCCCTTGGTCAGATCTCGGCGCCCGGCACGTGGTCCAAAGGCCAATGACTGCAAGATGACGCCAAAAAGTCTCCCTGCCCTCCCCGGACACTGAACGCCTGAGGCTGAGGGTAGCGAGCATGGTCTTGTCACGTCCCATCCCGTTGGATCTGGCTGAGGGGGGAGCTGTAGCAGCTTGTCGTTCGGATGATGACCCTACCGTGCCTTGGTGTGTGGCGGGGAGCAAGAGACAATACAGCCGCAAAGTGACTCTCCCGTGGTAATCATTCCTCGAGTCGTTCACCTGCCCGGTGGTGCTGTCGATGGAGCAGATTACCGGACTTGCTAACTCTTTTGCTCGGCACATCACGCTTCTGCCAGAAAGTCATAATACCTCTGCGGGCACTCATGTGTCAGCCTCTCTCCCTGTCTTGGTCTGTTCCATTCGTTTGAGTCCAGCTGCTACACTGCGCACCGCTTCCTTCTACAGTCTCTCCTCATCATCGTCCAATGCTGCGTTCTGACTAAGTTTGCGTCCACACACACTCACTCACTCACACTCACACACCCATCCTCACGCCCTCGCCATACAATACCACCAACACCCGCCCCCTTTCCTTGCCCGAACGAGTCGTGTTCCACCTTCCTTGGGTTATATCATCAACGATTACTCAAGGGCCGCCAAAACTCTTCTACCGGGTCCAGAGCATTGTGTGCTGCAGCTTGCTGTCTATGGACGATTACTCCGGAGAAGCCTCGAGGAGCGACCGGAGCACAAGTACAAATACGTCCAGGAGACCTCAACCTCGTCAGCGAGGAGAGTCTTCCACTTCAGCACGCATTGCTTTGCCATCTCATCCTGCTGGACGAAGCTCCCAGAGTCCCTCGCACCCGGGTGACCCTTTCTCAGACCAGTCACCATCCCGCCGAACACCATATCAATCCCCCTCGTCTCCTTTCGAAGACGCCATGTCTCGCTCCGCAGGCCCAGGACCGACCACGGTCTCGACCAGCCGACCCCAGCAGTATCAGCTTGTTTCTCCTGGCACACCAGCTGATCCTCGATCCATGAGCCAAGTCAGTCCAGGCTTTATTTTTGTAATATTTCCTATGTGTGCGAGTTTTTGTTTGCTGAGTTCCTGAAATCTTTCCTTTTTGCCCTTATCTCTCTCTCTCTTCCTGTCTTCTCTGCTCTCTTTCCAGTATATTTTGCTTGAATATCTGGGTCTTTTTCGCGCACTCCATCCCGGGCCGGAATCTGAAGAGCTGACCGAGGATGCAGAACAACAAGGATCAACTGATCCAGTCTCTTCGAACGCATCGGGTCAACACCATCACCGAGCTACGCCGCATCGAAAAGATTTTTGCCTTTCTGGATTCCGCCGAAGTGACCGAGCCCATGACCACGGCATGGGCTCATTATGTGAACTCGAACAACCTGCTGAACGAGCTTCGCGGATTGACCAGGACCTATCCTTTCAGCTCCGAGTGTCTGGATGAAGCCAAAGCGATGGTGGTGCGTGATCCGAGCAGCACGCGGAGCTGGAACTACTGCTGGTTAGTTCTGGTGAAGATGGAAAAGGAGTAAGTCCTCTCCCTTCACGGTTTCGGGCCCAGTCCTGCCCAGGCTGACTATTTTGCCACCCAGAAACCTCATTGCGAAACACGCCCGTGCTCTAGCCTCCAAGGCAAGCACCTGGGGTGGCCGCAGGCCTACGAAAGAAGAGTTCGATCGCTTGGTCAATGCCTGTGTGGCGGAATGGACTCGAGCCCTCCGGCAGATGCTCAAGCACTGGGACAAGCCTCCAAGCACGACTGGAAATTGAACGTGGGATGAGTGGGCTGTCGGCATGGGCCGAGAGGCCAAAAAAGAGAGTTCCAGGCTTCCATTCTTGCCACCCCGTCCAAGTGCCTGTGCTTATGCAAAGCAAATGGTCTTGGCTTTGGGGTCCCTTTTCTTTTCCTTCTTTTCTCTTTTCTCAACAACTGTTAATACCAGATTTACCGGGACTATGGTATGGACTTGCAGCAGGGCCTACGGGAGCGCTTTTCGGATCGGAACATTTTGGGGAAGACATCGGAATATGGTAGAGCGGAGACTGGTTCTCGGCTGTTATACACGACGGACAAATCTTGGTCACACGGAACAGGGGAAATGCCGTTTTGGTCTCTCTTTTCCTTTTGATTGAGGTGCATTGCTACGGGGAGTTGGGCAATGCTTTCCATTCTTTTTACTTTGCCAGGAGCATGTTGGGGCAAACAATGTAGATAGCGGGGAACTGCGGACAGCGACATGACGGATCTCAAGAGTGTACCATCATCTGGATGAGACTGTACGATGCTCTCTGTACGAGATTTCTAAATGCTATTACGTCTTGTTTTTGGGCTGGATCTTCCACCGCTGGATCATCATGTGGCGGGAGCGTATTCCAGGGGGGTTGGTGGACAAGCGCTCCCCCATGATTCTCTAGTTCAAGTTCCGCAAGACTAGGACATTGCGATTGATATCCCCTGGTCTATGATTATCAACCGCACAGCGCTGGAGAGGGGGGGTGTGGAAAAATACGATATCCGGAAAGCGCACTCGGGGGCCAAGGATCGGTGCGGCTCCGCGGGCAGTGGCATTATCCTGTCCTGGGAGGACCCAGCCCTAACGGCTCTCCTTGCGGTGGCCTAGAAAAGCCTCTCGAAAGCAAAAATCAAACCAAGAAAGGGGACGAAAAAGCGCGAAAACGGTGAGAAAAAGGGTATACGAACAGCCGGCCTTGGCCGAGAGGGGGGAGGGGGGAGGGGGGGATAAAAGAAAAGTAGAACGGTGTAGGTGGAATTATTATGTACCAGGGAGGAGATTGTTATCTTCCTATTCCGGCATGCGCAACCTACAGACCTACAGACCATCCGGCATCATTGGACGCGCACTGACGCGATATCTAAACTACCACTTCCGGGCTCGGTGCCAAGGGGAGGGAGGGCTTCTTTGAACCATTACGGGAACTCATGCTGGTCTTTGGAAAGGGTCGAACTAAACGGGGGAGAGAGATTGAACCAAAACGACGCGACGAGATCATGACATCACCTTGGGTTGGAGGGGTGGTTGATTGCGGTCCTGGTCCTGGGTAAAAATATCAATGGATTGTTTTGGGTTGGACGTTGTTTCGTGTAATTCGTAGTTTCAGAAGAACTAGAGAGAAGGCGGATGATCGCGAGGTGCCAAACCAGACCTGCGCGTGATATTATGGATGCGCTTTTCTTTGCATCTGCACATATCTGACAAATGGTTCCTGAGGGAAACTCGATGGATCTAGGGCTTCTCCGTCGGCAAACTCTAAAGCCCTTGGTGGTGGTTGTGTTTCCTTCTTGACAGTAGTAGTGATGGTCATCCATGGGGAGGAAGAAAGAATGGGCAAACAATTGTCACGATACACATGATGGGATAGGATGGGCACATGAATACCTTCCTAGTGCAAGGGGAGGAGGTGGCGAAAAATGAAACCGGCGAGACGGCGCCGGAGGGAGGGACCAGGATTATAGGGCCACGATAGATCCAAACTCGCCCAGTCCATCCATGGTAGTTTTGATCTGTCAGGCTCTGCAGAGTCATGCACCAAACAGACAATGACGATCGCCCGGGGTCGGTTTGGGGGGGAGAGAGTGTGTGTACGTGTGTGCCACATCGGGTCCCAGGTGCTTCCAAAGTCGGCAACCTGCCACGCTTCAACCCGCGCACCGCATACGCAGGTATAGCGCTGACGGTACCTGCTTTGAAGGAGAGGGTGGCCACCATTCGGGAAAAGAAAAGGTCGTATACAATAAGGCACCTGTCTGGTAAGTGGGTATGTAGCATTCCCTCGCCTGGAGAGGCAGCACCCGGGCTCTGGCATTGGGCTTCTTGGGGGGGGGGGGGGGGGTGGGTGACGCCAAAAAAGGGACGCCGGTAGCATGGATGCCAATAATGAATTGCCCTTGAGAAAATAGGCGAGAGGCCCTTGGGTTCTTTCTGGGTCTTCTTCTCACCTCACCTCACAGCGGAACGATTATATAACCAAATGCTACTGGTCAGATCCAATCTGTCAGGGCCCGGATAGGGTGTACTCGTAGGACACAGGCCAGCACCACCCGGTATAATCAAGCCGTCGTCGCGCTCTGCATGTACGGCGACGACATGATGACGTCGATCGGGGAGAGACGAGGTAGGGACAAGTTGGTCTGTCTGTTTGTCTGGGTGCGGTGCTGACTGACTGGGGATTTGTCTGAGTGACGGAACCGATCACCCTTGGGATGCCCGATTAGGGAATGAATGGCTCTGGTTTCGACAACCCTCCTTGCCTCCACAACTAAGTAGTAGTAGTAGTCGTCGTGGAACAACAAAAGGGTAAGTGGTAGGCTGGGCACAGGGCGAATTGCTGGTGCTGGCGCTGATTAATGATATGCTGCTTCAGGGAACAAGGCTTGCGCGCTGATTGGCTGGGGCCACCCTTACCTTTTGCCCGAAATAGCAAATGTGGCTCCACCTGCGCCTCAGGGCTTCAACTCACTTTCTTCAATTCTCCTCGTCTTCGTCCTCGTCCTCGTACCGACGACACCTTATACCCCACCTCTTGTAGGTTTACTCGAACCGCCAACGCCTGGCCATATCCATGCCGCCCATCGCTCTGCTGCTTCTTCTTCTAGAAGCCCTCTCTCCTACCCTCTCGGGCACGTCGACTCCTGGCTAATCTCGTGCATGACGGGGGCTGAAAACCCAACACACCTCACAGGCACAAACCCTCTCCCAGACATTCTCCGCAAGCGCCCCTCTCTGCCATCAACGCCACAGGAGAAAACCCTCGGAATCGTGCCACCTGTTGCCCTTCCAAGAGCCATCAACTTCGATCCAAAGAGGCTTGCCAGAATCGGGAAGTGGTCCAATGTAACCTGATTCATCATACGATGGTTACCCACATCTGGCCTCACAATACGCAAGTAACGGCACCAACACCAATGCTTACTTACGGGGGTGGGAAATGGTACAGCTTGCCCGGACATTGAATGGGATGGCCAGCCTTGTGACAGCACGGAGTTGAGCATCCCCCCACGTGACGACACAACCCCCCCAATGAGCCACTCATTTGCTCTGGCTAGTCGGCCACCTGTCTCGCTTTGCGGCAAGCCCCCCAGTCACGCCTGTCACCCCCAAAAGGCGTAGCAAAAGTTCGTTCTAGAATATGGGGCCAAAAAAACGAAACATCCACACTTGGAGCCCACCAAGAGCGGCTCTCTCCTGCAGACCAAACACCTTCCTGGTCCTCCACCTCTCCTCTTCGACAGCTCCAGCAGACTGCATTCAGGCCGACAAAACTTTCTCGGACTGCACATAGGCTGTTGGCAGGTCGGTCGACTTGAACGAATCAGGCATGGGAGCTGCGATCGCGGTGGAATCTCAATGGTCACACCGTGCTATTCGGGCCAATTGCGGCCGACGTGCCAAAAGTGAACAAAAATGCTTGCCATGGTTCTGAATGCACACTTTCCTACGACCACTGCAGTCATCATCATCACCCAAGCCCGAACAAGGAGGTGTTTGGAGCTGCAACAAATGAATTCCGCTCAGTGTGGTCCTTGTGGAGAAGCAGATGTCGTCGATCTGGGTCTGATCTCTGACAAGTCCTCTTGCATCAGACCCCGATGGGCCCCCCACTAACATCAACCCCCATGAGCCTGCTCATCCTCCTGCTCCTAGGGGAACACCACGGAGCTCTCCAGCGGCATCCACAGTCGGGGCCCCTACCAGGCGTCTGGTTCTTGCCTCTCACCAATCAGCGTTGGTGGATCCGCCAGACTTCGGTATGGTTACTCGAGAATGCATGGTCATCGCTTCGCCAAACCGCGCAACTTAGATCCTTCAACCCGGTCTGCAAGAGAATACGCACCCTCCCTCATAATCAAAAGCCAACGGATCGGCGATGGTGCTGCCCTCGCAACACAGTGATGCGCGTCTCTTCGCCGTGTCCGCCTTGTACGGGCGCATTCCACGAGTAGACGCGGGCCGCGGACTTTCGCTGTTGTTGCCTTTCCGCACTTTTCCAAGCCTGATGAGACACGGCCTTCACAGTATGCCGGGCCTCCGTTGCCCTTCGACCTCAAAGAGGTAATTCGCCACCGACGTGGGAGACGCAAACTGAGCACCAAAGTTAGCAACATTCACACCGCTCGGCTAAGGGGGAGAGGGGGTAGGTCTCGAAGGAGGGCGGGCAGCTCTTCCGTCCCGGGCGCGAGCTCGATGCCTTTTTTTTTTCTTGCCGGGAAACTTGCATTAACTCTCACGCGCCATCTGCAGGATCCCGGTCTCCCTTCAGAGGCCAGCTCGCTGGACCCATTCCGAAGTAATTCCCTGCTTACATATGCACGAAAACTTTTCGAGGGATTGCTGAGCTAACAGACCCCACCCAGGCCTCGGACAGGGATCCTTCGAGGGTCGAGACGACTGTTGGCCGGTAGATTGTTTTCAGACCTCGCGGGGGCAAGTCATTCCACAGACCTTCCCGCGGCATTAGATTCCGATCTAGCGCTGAGAGAAAGTGCCCAAGCGAACAGCCCCAGTCAATGCCTTCACCGCGTTTTTTGGTTGGATTATGTGGCCCCTGTGTCGAGGGGGTGGCAGAATCCTCCTGAAAACTCTTCATGCTGCGATATGGACCGAGGTTGCCAATACCACATGCCCCTTTGCACAGGCAGATCTACGACCAAGCGCACATTGAGGTGAGCAACAGTAAGGCATGACGTCTGGATTTGTTGGCTTGAATCATCAATTGATGCTTCTTCGACCGCCTTTGCAGATCAGGACGTCTAGCCTAGTCGGTCGAGTGTTGAGAAATCGTGGTTGTTCTTCATCCCCTGGGCAGCGCGCGGACGAAAAGTCTCCCGGTCATAGGAGTGAATCCGCACATCACTACGGCGTCGAGTCCCTCTGAGACTTTACCCTTGCCCTTGCTGGCCCCACGAAATCCGGTACCTTGATTACAAGACGACTTGCCGAAGACCTATCACGAGGGTTTGCATGGCCTGACAAATTGTCCTGGGGCCGTCTAGCCGCAATCAACCCTGAGACCAACCCTTGCATGAAAGGACAGAAGAGGTGATCTAGCTGGATCCTGATTCAGCTCTTCGAACAAACGCCGCACCATTCCTTCTTGCAGATCGGCTCGCCCAATTTTGAGCAAGATTTTCATGATCGCTTACAAGAATGCTGACTTTTTCTGCTGCCAAACGTGGCCCAGAGGATGCTCCCGGGGACCATGAACGGCCTTGATCCGACCCGCGAAGGCTTCAAAACTCTCCTTCCACGCTGAGCTCTTCCAAGTTAAGCTACGTGGAACGTCTCCGACAGCACCAATAGGTCAAAGCCTTTTGTCATCGACAAGCTAACTATCAGCCAGTCGGGGTATCAAGATTGATACCGTGAACCATGAAGTCTTCTCACCAAGCAGCTGTGATCTTCCCGGCACCCCTGTTCCTCTCTACGAGGTGGCTCGCTCATCTTTTCTTGCTGAGAAATTGACATCAAACGGAGTCACAACATTTTGCGTCATGCTCTGTTCAGCGCCACAGGGGTCAGTCGTGGACTTTTAGAGCGCTCCTCGGAACGTCATGGCGCCTCTATCTTGAACCCCGACGAGCGTTGACAGCATCCCTGAGTCAGCAACCCACCCCATTGGTGGTCTCCATATCCGATCCTGGTACCTGTCGACACTCAGAGCTCCGTTGTTTGCATTAGGCTCTTGGAAAAGCTTGGTTATGCTCATGGCGATGATTGTTGCTCTTCGGCCGTCGACAACTCTGAGTCAGGGCAGAAATTCGGCTATTTTCGACATCGGAGACGTGGCAGCGTTGTTCTTCAGTGGGTACAGTGCATTTCTGGCTAAAGACCGGCAATAGGCGACGCTCGCCAGACAGACTAGGGGATCGTCAAACCTCGTGGGCCTCTGGTCGTCGTGAAAGACAGGCCTGCACCTGGACATTTTCCCTGCAACCCATGTGTCAAAAGCGGAGTGACACGGGTCGACTGTCCCACCAGGATGACTGTTTTCTGTCTGGCGTCAAGGCAGACGAGAATCTCATGCCGTCTTCGGCGCGCTTTTCGGCGATTACCACCCCCTTGACATCTCGCGGTGGCCGGCACCACGCAAGGGAGTTGGCACGGCTCCTACGGCTTGATTGGCTCTCTCCGATCAGATCGTATGCTTGGTCGTCATCTGTCTTTGATTGATTGACATCTTGGTCGTTGCTTTTGACGTGTGCCTTTGCAAAAACAAGGACAGGGTTGACGGGCTTTCATACCTCCAGGCTGAATTTGAGTTTTTCCGTGTCGGTCAGGTCGGGACGATCCTTGGCCTCATCGTTGATCGAGGACACAGGGAGGATCAGGGAAAGAAGCGGTAGGTGTTGACCGCTTGAAGGGAGAATGTTGACCGTTGCTTCGGGGTGTCGGTGTCGTCACTGGCTTAACGAAGCCGGGCTCGTTCTCGTATTTGGTTGCGTTTCCATCCCCGGGCGCTTATCATCACAGCCTTATGCGAGATAACTGGTCAGCCCCTTTATCTCCGCAGCCTAACTCCGATATGTTCTCGCTCCTTTGATACCACGTTGCGTGTGCGTGCTCAGGGTGCCAGTCGACCGAACCGGTGGGCAACCAGGTAGCTGATACCCTTTACCTTGCTCACCTTCCAACGAAGGAAAGCTACTCTCTATTTGCGCGTAGCTTGCATCTCTTCTCACCATCGATTGAAAATGCAACGAAGTGACCAAAGAACGGGGAAGGCATGGTTGTTGATCACTCAGATACTTTGATCCTGATTATCCCCTGGCTGCACTTGAAGTACAAATTACAACCCACAACCATTTATTTACCTGCTCCCGTCTACTGGTTGTAGTAGTCCGTATGATGTATGCAGACAACGTTGCATGGCTTTAATACGTCCTACCCGTATGGGTGGAGGATACTCGTAGTTGTACCGAGTACAGACCACCAACACCGCGACGAAATGGGTTTCGGGGCTCGGAAGCAATAAGGACAGCCACGCCGACATGGGGAGACAGATGGAAGGGGGGCAACCATAGATCCATCTTCTGCAAGCTGTCAGCGAGGTCTGACTACCTATGTAGGCAGGCAGGCCAGGCGAATCCAGCTCCTCGGGGGCACGAATCGTCTCCTCTACCTACCTAGATACGTAAATGTATAGTATGTACGTTCCGATGTACCAATGTACCGATGTTCATACTATGTAGGTACATCGTAGACATTCGTCCCTCTCCCTAGAATCTCAGCCTCGCCTCGCTTGACCCTTGCCTTGCCTGACGTTGCCTTGCCAAGCTTGCCATACCGATGATCCTGTTAGGCGAAGCGAAACAGGATATCGGAGATCAGTGAAACAGTAATATATCGTAGCTTGATGAATCGAGCCTTGTGAGTCCTCGAATCATCATATTGTTTTTGTGTGTGTGTTGGAGGGGGGGGGGGGTTGGACAGCTGGACATATCCTAGCATCCTCCTTGCGGCTGCGCCTGCATATCTATACTACGGCTCTGTAGCTACGATAAGACGCCGAACGGAGGGGTCCGCGGTTTGTACTCAAGAATACCACCCACCGCTCAACAGCTCTAGTTCTAGGTTTCTTAATGCACAGAGCAACCCATGGAGGCGTGAAGGACATACAACAGCGTATATACATATACACACTCGTTTGGAAGGGGTCGAGATAGATGGCTGACTCTCCAGACGGCACCGTGCTTCCACCCGCTGGTACTGGTACGTATCCCCATAAACATTGCCCCTCCTCGGTCTATGCTCAACCTCGTCTGTTGAAGAGTGAAAACCTCGCTCCGTCTCATGGCTCCTTCGCAGCAGCCTCTGTGTCGGACGTTGTCACCCGAGAGGAACATGCTTGGAGCGAAACCGAAACGCACTTTCGGCTCCAGTATCGCATCGGTGCCGGGGGTTGGGCCGGCTAAGACGAGGGCATGTGCAGTATTGGTTGTCTTCCCTGTGCTCTCCCAAGTTGAGACGACCAAGGACAACAAACTGGATTTGCCTCGTCTGAGTCGGCTTCTGAAGACACTCTCCCTTTGAAAGTCGTTGTCATGCTTGTCGAAAGGAGCTGGTGAAAGCTCAAAGGCTGGAAAGAAACATGCGAGCCATTGGCCAAGAAGGAGAAGAGAGAGGCGAAGAGGTTGAGGCGGCGAGGAAGTGACGCTATAGGTGTTATATTGTATTACCAAGCAGCTGGAGGGTTGTGTCCGACGACTCTTTGCTACCTGCAACGTCAACGTCGGTGAATCCACAGGCAGTCGAGGCGGGTGGAGTAGTGTCAGGCCGGCCTGGTCATCATTGATCGGCTTCTTTATAACGTTTGGATTGTTGTTCGGCGACTGAAATGTGCCTTCCTGATGTGCCTCCCTGGGCTCCAGTGCGCTAGTCGGGTCAACGGTTGTGCTCCATGTTGAATGCTAGAATTCCTTCTGCAATATGGCGAGTGTGACATTGGTCTCTCATAATGGGCTCCATGCTTTAATCTGCCAGCCGAGTCTAGCAATTTTCAAAGCTTGTGGACAGTACTTCTCGACGGATCCTGCTGCCCGCAATGGACGAGGCAGTTGTCATGCTGGGACTTCTCAGCGGGAAACCTATGGAGGAAGGGCACTTCTGATATCCACGACAGGTACAGGCTCAAGCTTTGGTCTGGAGCTCTGCACGTGAACATCGTCGATTCGACCACTTTTCAGCCTTGTTGACTTGCAGAATTCGGCCTCGTCTGCAAGTTCCAGGTCCTTCAACGACAAAGCAGTGACCTCGTCCTGGTATGAGAATCAGGCTCTAGGTAGAGAGCCTTTGACATAGGTAGAGAGCCTTTGACATAGGTAGAGAGCCTTTGACATAGGTAGAGAGCCTTTGACATAGGTAGAGAGCCTT